ATCTTTACCTTCAGACTTTATCCGTACACCGACGGCCGTTCGAAGAGACGGCCGAAATAGTGAAACTTCTCCACTTCCAGCTTTTGCAATCGAATGCGCACTAGTAAAAGCGACTTTATGTCCATTTGATGTTCGATATTTGAATTGCATAATAGTAGTTGTAATTCTATGTAAAGAATTTTTTTAAAGTACTGATTGCTATCTAAAAGCAATTCCGTAGGTTCACTTCTTTATGCTTTAAAAAGTTACATTTAGCTCGAGGGTTGGTCAAGTGATAGTGACCATTTCGAAGTCACATCTCTTATTGTTAAGGATTCGTGAAAGAGGAATGGGCTTTGGGATTCACGAGGAAGCCTGGAAAGGGAAAGGCCGTCGAAATTCACTTATACCCCCTCACAACGACCCCTCAATGGCCCATCTTCTTCACTCCATACACTGCCCAGATTGCCCCTCTTCTACATCAGAAAGAGGTGGGAGAAACTGGGCGATTATTCTCTTTTTCTTTTTCATCCTTTTCCACCCAACACTTCCCCACAATCATCCCAACAATCTTTTTTCGCCACTTTAGCCGTTCACTTTGGAACCTTGGCGTCTCAAAGTTTACTTGGATATTGCTTTGTTATCGTGGCCCGTTAGAAAGTTGTCCAGCTTTCAGTTAATAGTACCTTGGCGTTTCAAACTTTAATGTTACTTAGTACTCTATGAATTTCATTGCATTATGAGAAAATTACCCTACAATTTCTATTCTTTATCCAAAACCATCCAGCTTTTAGAAAACAGAACCACGGCGTTTAAAGCAAATGATGTCATTTGCTTTTTTCAAGGTTCAGAATGCTTGTTTTCCCAATTCTACTTATCCACTCCAAAAGAGAGACAATTTCAATTCTCTGTTACCCATAAAACTCGATGAAAGTTCATTTCCTCTTTTTTCAAGATAAATTGCCTTTTCCAACTTTTACTCTCTTCCGCAAAAAAAAACTTCTAAAATCAAAAAGACTCTCGAAAGTGGTGAGGGTTTAGTGTGAATATTCAATGGTTGGCGAAAACCTTTTTCTTTTCTTTCCGTTTTTCCTTTTGAGTTTTTCCCTTTAACGGTCTCATACCCAGGTCTTTTTATCCTCTCTGAAATCCCAAAGGACCCATTCAGCACTCAAATTTTTAAGTTTAATTTTTTGATGGAAGAGTTTAGGTGCCTTTTCTTTTTAGTTGTTTTAAAGCTTGACTAGGCTGGTCATACTTCGGGCTACGGTATCCGGAACATGCAACTACCCGAGTCGTAAAAGTCAGATTTATTTGATTTGCTTTGTCTAATTTGCTAAGAAGTAGTTGCAACTTTCTTTGTAGTTTTTATGGAAAAGTCTAATCCAATTCTTCTAAGTGCACAGCCATACACAGTGCTTTTTCTGATTGATAATTCCAACTATTTGGATACAAGTGAATCTAAATGAACTCTAATTTGTTAGATCTTTGTTTCTCAACGAACCAACAAACCAAGATTAAACTGCGTTTATATCCTTTTTCAAAAGCCATTCATTCATGGAACTTTGTCAACTATTTTTAGTGAAATTTCTTCAGCCATTTTTTCAAGGTGCCAACTTTAGGTCTCAAGTTCCTGAAGCTTTTTTCTTTTTGTTACTCAAAGAAAGCTTCATTTTATCTTTTAGAACCCCAGAAATCAGGCAAAGAGATATTTTCGTTAGGGACAAAGGAGGGGATTTTGCGTTGAGAGGAAGAGACATCTCAAATTTCAGAGCAAATTTTTGAGAGGAAAAAAGGAGGACTCAAGCTAAAGAATGGGTCTTCTCTGATTATTTTGTTTCTTTAACAATTTTACTATAATTTTCTTCTAAAAATTAAAAATACAAAGTTTTCTCATAAATTTCAGGTTTAGACGTAACTCAAAAGGAGTTTTGATCTAAATTTCAGCCCGAGTTTTTTTGTTTCAAACAATTACCGATGCTTTTCTCCCGCTCAAACCCGCTCCAGGTTTCAGGAAAACCATCATTATCTCACTCATACAGATGAAAACGCAAAATGAAACTCAACTAAACCAACTAAACAAAAATTGTAACTAGGTGACTAAATTTAACTAAAACGATAACTAAAAGTACTTCAATACTTAGTTAAAAATGCTAATGTGCAATGATTTTTGTGGAAAAATTAAAAGGGTAGAGATTCAAGGGGCAAATTTCTGCATTTTATCAATTGTGTTTCTTTTGCTCTTCTATTAGAGTAAATACAGTACATTCTAAAGAGCTTGCTGAAGTAGATAGATTATCTAGTTTTTAAAATCTACTTATAATCACCATCAGTTCTACTACTTTTTGCTTCAGCGCACAAGAAAAGTGAAGAATTCAATGCCCCAAAAAGGGTGTGTTTCGGTTTTAGGCACAAAGTACACAGCTTTGACAAAGCTTTGTACTTTAAAACTTCTTTGCAAAGAAAAACTGTGGTGGGATCTCGATCTCTGTGATCGAAAGATCGCAGATCTCTTTGGAACGCCTTAAATCTTTGAAAAGAGTGACTCTTGGACCTCGATCTTTTCCCCATTTCTCCATTTCCCCTTTTTCAATCCATCCACCTGTTCAGTGTTTGATCCATTCCATTCCATCAAGTCACTCATCTTGGCAGCACAAATCCAATCCATTTGATTGGGTGACATGTTGTCCTTTTCATGTTTTGGATTTCAACTTTCTTGCCAAATCCAAAACTAGATAAATAACCGCCAGAAAGCATTTGAATGATATTCTCATCCTTGAAAATTATCCCAGCAACATTTCAACTTCGCGATGTTTTATAAGCGTCAGCTCTTACTTTTATTGCCCAGAGCTTTTATTGTTGTATTTTATTTAGCTTTTATTTTATTTTATGGCGTTGGGGTCATGGCCATGATCCAGACCTAAATAACAAGTACAAGATCACGCTGTAGATAGTAATTTTGATTTGAGATCATAAATAGTGGATAAAAAACAGAGTAATGGTGGATAGATAATTTCAAATCATAAATATAATCTCAAGTGAGCAGAAAACCTGCTGGAACACTTTTACTGATGAATTTGCCGTTTTGGTTTTAAGGATCAATCAAACTCGCTAATTTGCTCCTCAATTCGTTTGGTCTTTTAGTTGTGAGTTAATGAAAATTATTCAATTCACCGAAAAATTTTTCTGTACCAGATTTGTGTATAAGTATTGTCCAGGGCCCGATCTCATCAATCTAGCAAACTAGCTCACTAAAATCTCCCCAGAGTTTTTATTTTGCTGGTCAAAACCAGGCTCAGAGTCGGTAAGTTTCCACTGAAAAGATCATCGCCGACTTTTCACTCCATAAAGCCTAATGAACAGATTTGCTGCAAAGCCTTGTTGTTTACTGTTGACATAACATTTCACTGGAAGGATTATTGTTCCGGGGTTTCTTTGTGACTCGAGGCATTGCCCAGATCTCCCTCAATCCCCTCAATTCCTTTTTGTGTTCATTTGTCACTCTTTCTCCTTTTCCTCCTTTTTCCCATTCTCATTTCACACAAAGGACCCATCCACGTGCACACGAATTTCCCAGATTCCCAATTCTCTTGTCTTATCATGGCCCGAGACATGAGGATTTTTAATTAATCGTCATTCGGATGCTTAAAAAAGATGGGGAGGATTTCCTTTTTAAACGCCTATCAGGTGTTTCTTTAAAATTCCCTTAATTTCATTTCAATACAATTTTTTTTGATGAGGGTTTATGTAGATTAAAGTAAATCGGCTTATCAATAATTTGTCAGGCATTAAAGGTGAAATCTGCTTTTCAGGTCATTTCAACTTTCAGTTTTGGTTTAGGGGATGTAGAATTTGTAGATAAAAATATTCAACTGTAGCACAAAAAGAAGATATTCAACTGTAAATTTGTACCCACAAGTTTTTGGGGTCGGAAAATCGATTGAAGCTATTCATTTTATTGAGTCTACCAATTGAAACTCGAGTTTAATGGCCCAAACTTTTAGATAAATTCGGGTACTTCTTGGTTTAGCCAACCTTTACTTGTTGAGGACTGAAGAGGTTTTAAACGCTCCTCTTTCAAAGTCAAAAATTGTGTGTTTATTCAAAGTCATTTTCATCAATCTCCTTTTTCGCGATCTGTTTTAACAGCTTTTCATCAATTTTCCCCTCTTTTTCCCCTATTGACATGCGTCCCAAAAATCTCATCATTTTTGACGGGGTTGAGCGCTTTTTTCTTGACATTGATGTGCTCTTTTAAGAGTTTTTAAAGATAATGACAATTTTTTATTTTATTTTGGTTTTTGATTAACATCAGGCTATTTGGAATTCTCGCCAATAGCTCTGAATTTTTCACGAACAAAATTTTAAATGAGTTTTTGAAGCGCTTTTGCAACAAAAAGCTTTTTGTTTTGAGTGGGCCACTAGAAAGTTTATGAAAGAAAATTTGGTCATCTTTTGAGACAAAAAAGGGAAATGTTCTCATTTATGATGGCAAAGAGATTAATTAATTAATTTCAGAAACATTCCTGCTTTCTGAGTGAGTGTAAATTAACTGTTCTCCATTCTTGACTTTGGATACAAATATCGAATTTAACCTCTTCATTGGTTTAGCAAGAAAATTATAGCGCTTTCGAAATTTCATTTCATTTCGAAAGTGATTAATTACTATTCTTTGAGCGTTTCGGCACTGGATACTTGCTGAAAACAATAATTCGTAAGGCACAATTTGCCTTTTGCACAAAGTTTATCGATATCCTAACAATTTATGTTTAGTTTATTTTGGTCAGAAACAGTTTCCGAAATTCTTTTTGCATTTTGATCTTTTCATCATTGCAGCATTAATACTGTTTTTTTCTCCAAAAAGTGCTAAACTTTATCTAATAAGACTAATTTTAGGCAATTTTCTAGAACAAATTCCATTTCAAGATGTCCTCCACTCAATGATCCCATCCACTCATCATTCCACTATTGCCGGTCCATCTGGTCTTTTGTCGGAAATGAATGGCCATCACACAGCGGGAATGATCTCTTCTTCTTCTTCTCGTTCATCAAACGCCCACAAAGCTGTTCTCATTTGTTGTGGCATTTTCGATCCGCCCACCTACGCGCACTTGAGGATGTTTGGTGGGCTTCAGTGGAAAATTTTAAAAATTTCGAAGTTGACGGCAAACAACAAAGATTGGTACTAGACGGTTAATTCACGAATCAATTGCAAACCATTCTATTAGGTTGAGTACTACGCCTTGCCCCTTCATTTTATTATCTAAATAAACGAGTCTCAAACTACCAAATACCACACGGTTTCTTTTATTATAAATGTTTACCGTTTACTTTTTGTCATTTTAAAACAATTTTTAGTATTTTAGAATAATTTACGAGAACGCAAACTGATATTTTTAAAATGAGCACATAAAGAAAACTGCTAAACGGATTATTCTGGAATTTTAGTTGTAGAGATAACTTTTTGTGAAAACCTTCAAAACAAAGCTTTTCAGAAATTTTACATTTACAAGAGAAATGATTGGGCTATCTAATGAAAATACCGTATTTCATTTGGTAGTTTGAGACTTATTCAATTAGAAAATGAATTTGAGTGAAAGACTTAGTACTCAACCTAATATAACTTACCATCAATGCTCTACACAGTTAAAGTTGGGATTTACCGCTTCACTTTATTCTAAACACCATGGCATAAAATAGTTTGCCCATCGACAACTCTTTCGTTTCAGAGTTAATTTGGTGATTTGGGATATAATGGAAGGCATTAAATTTAAATTAAGAATAGCTCACATGTCAAAATGACACTACAACGCTCAACGAATCCCTAGAAACAAAAATGTTTGTTTAGAAAGAGCTCGAGACTTTCTCCAGAGGTGCCTTGATTGGAGGGTGATCGAAGGAGTGATCAGGTAAAGATAATGCACACTAGCTGTAGAAAATATTTGCACTTTTGCTATCATTAACTCTTCTCTTTAGTCCATGCGGTGATCAGCCCCGTTTCGCCGAGCTCACCCCGTTGAAGCACCGTTTGAGAATGATCGAGGCGGCGATACGGAGGAGCTCGTGGATACGGTAAGAAAAGTAATAGGGAAATGGATAGAAAAATGTAAATTCTGATATGCAAAAAATTAAACTTACAGAAGTTTTTTTTCTGCTCCATAACGAGATTACTTTAGTCTCTCCGACTGGGAAGCGGCTCAATCGAAACAGCCGACTTGCATGGAGCTCTTGAGGCATTTCAAAAAGGTTTTCTTTAGACATTTCAAAAATTTGAACAAAATCATATTTGTAAACATAACAAATTGGTTTTACAAAAAATTTCAGGAATACTCATCAAAATTTGGGGAAACGGTTGAGCCGATTCTCCTCTGTGGCGGCGATGTGATCGACGCGTTGATCGAAGTGAAACGCTCATCGGAGCTGCTTTGGAGTCAAAATGAGGCAAGTCTTCAAAAAGTAAGGAATGAGAAGCTTTAGCTATTCAAGTGGTAAAAACTTGTTGAATTGGATCATTTTTAATAAGTTTTTGTACTTCATAAAAAATGAGTGTAAAAGCTGTTTATGCTAAGAAAATAAAAGTTAGCTTGAAATTTGTAGAGAATGGTGTACCAGCAAGTGTAGTGTTGAAAACACAAAATTGTCAGAGTAAAAGACGAAAGGGTACTGGGTCTAATGCTTCCAGAGTCGAAACGCTCGAAATACCGTATTTATTCTAATAGAAGCGCATGCGCTTCTATTAGATTTTTCAATCATTCTACAAAATTGCTTCTATTGGAGGCTGCGCTTCTATTTTTCGATGACTAAAGAATTGATGAAGTAGTTCGTGAAAGAAAACCTCTTAAAAACGATTATTGTATCAATTTATTTATTAAGTATAACAACAAATTAGGTAACAACCACTTAAAAACAATCCAATCGTTAAAAAACATCACCAATCGTCCCTAAAAAAAGACGTTATTTATTTTATAAAACGCAAGAAAATGCAACAAAAGCCAAGCAATAATAAACTTTAGCAATGATTTTCAACAGTTCATGCAAGAATCTGAAAAAGAACTGAGCAAGAAAGATTCTTTGCTAAAGGATTGGATACTAAAATATAAAACGTCAAAATACTTAAAATTATGAGAATTTTATGGTGTAAATTATCTTAATCTCAACGGAATTTAAATACCCTTACTAAGTTATAAAATCGATCCAAATAAGCTGTCTAATTGCGAGAAAGACATCAAAATTGCCACTGCTCATGCAAAATAAATGAATGCATATTCAATAAAGAATGCAATTTTTCTCAAGGAAATGCCATACATCCTTAAAGGCTCAAAACTTAGGGTATTTAGTCTACGAAGCTAAATATCCATAGTTGTTGCCTCTATTTGAGACTGCGCTTCTATTTTGCAATCATTCCACAAAATTGCTTCTATTAGAATAAATACGATAAATCAAATGCACCCTACACGAGGTAGGATGTAATTCAAATATCATTCCAAAGGAATGAATGCGGGCGCCTAAAAGGCAGCTGAGAAAAAGGTAATGGTATTGCCTGGCTTTAAGGGTCTACTCTAGACCAGGGCTGTTGGTGGCGGTCCTCTCATCAGTAGAGACCCTCCGAGTCAAAGGAGGAATAAAAGTCACGGTTAAAGTAAAAAGAAAAAGCGAGTTGTATGCAAAATTCGGAATTAGTAACCGCGAAAGTCGAATATACATAACAAAGGAGTTGTGATATGTAATAAAGCTATTGTTTAAAATATACTGAATTATGAAAAGGAGATCGTTTTTAGAGAAGCGATTATCATTATCTATATTAGAAAAATAGTCCATTTTAAGTTGATTTTTGAGCAGTTTCCGGTTTATTGATAAAATTGAATCGTTCAATTAATAATTTTGCGCCAATTTCACAAAGTTTCTAAGCCCTTTTTAAAAGTATTTTTTTAGATGGACTCCCTTTTGGGCGAATTCACAGTTGTAGTGATTGCACGGCCGCACACAAATCCCGCGAGAACCGCCTATCTATTAGATGCAATCAGAAAGCATGAAGTGAGTGAGGGAAAAGGGGGAATGGGCAAAAAGAAGGCACATTGATCGAGAAGGAGCTTGCCTAACTTTAGCACATCTCAAATTTTGTCTGAATTTTCAGAACTCAAAACTTTAAATCTTAAGCATTCAAGTTGAAAAGCCAGCCAAGTTTGTCTTGCCAATCTTTCTTTCTTCTTTCCCCTTGTCTTTCTCTCTTTCTTCTGGCAAGTTAAGGTACCGAATAGCTCAGTGGTTAGGTTAGAAAACAAAAGGGCGAGAGTTCAATCTCCTCTTTCTTTTTCTTCTTTCTTTTCCTGCTTACTCTTTCACTTCTTATACTAAAGTTTTGTGAAAAAATCTTTAAATACAGAATTCTTTAGAATTCTTATTGTTAGCTAGTTCTCATAGCAAAGCTGATCACGATTTTTCAAAGTTTTTGTTTCAGCGAAACTTTCACCTAATTGAAGACGAGACCTATCCAAACGATGCCAGTTCAACACGGTTGAGGTGAATGCTAAAAGAAATTAGCGATTGTTATTGATAGATTACTTAAAATTGATTTTTAAATACTGGTTCTTCATTTGCAGTCCCAAACTATAGCCACGTAAACAAGTTTAGCCAGGTCTGGTTTCAGGCTGGCTCAGATACACTTTTGTGGTCAACCAGGAAAAACAGAATTTCCAAAATTGGTTTAATAACATCGTTGGATCATTTTGTTTGCTTTAAAAAGTTTTCTAAGTTAATTTTCAGATTAGCTTTGCGCAGGGGTGAATCGATCAAGTATTGCACGAGTGATGACGTGGTCGAATACATCAATGAACAAAATTTGTACACACAACCATTGTGAGCGCTTTAGATTTTCAGATAAGCTGAACTTTGTTAAATAATATACTTTTGACATTGACGATTAAAGCATAACCATACAAACTTCAGTAATCATCGTCCTGGATGTGCTTTTTATCAAGTAGCACAAGCCTCCTCTGAACACACCGTATCCACCGACAAGTGAGTAGCTAGCTTTTTTATTTGACTCTAAATTTTGATCTTGTTTTCTCGTAGATCTCAAACAACCTCAACAATTCTGATGTCCGAGACACAAATCCCCTCATCCGCTGAAAGTACACAAAGTGAATCCGATCGTGAAAAGAGGAAATCATCGCAAACGAGGAATGTGATCAGGTATGACAAAAATAGCTATTAAAGAATTTTCATTTGCTATCAGAACACTTACGCACGCTTACTAAACCAAACATCAAGAAAAAACTAAACTAAACCATAACAAGATTGAGGATAAGCTGACCCTGAGATAATATGTTTGTACAAAAAGTATAGACTATCTAGTTCATGCACCAGAAGCTACACGCTTCTTTCTTAAAGCACATCATTTCATGATTTTGATTCCAGTGAACCTATGCGACCAAAAATGCCCGAGGAGCTGACTGAGCACCTTCCACAGTGCCCGCTCAGCAAGAAGTCCCCAAAATTACCCATGTGAGTTGGTAAAAATCAAAGCACAAATGTGGGTTAAAACTTTGATCTATCGACTTTATGCCTTCAAAGTTTGATTCTGAAAAGGCTTTGTGTATTTTGTGAACAAATGTTTTCTAACAATTGGACAAACACACTTGATAACTTATTATTAACGATCTCTGATTCAACAGTGATCGTCAGTAATAACATAAGTTTAATTTCTAGAAGAGATTACCCAAAAGAGAATTCGATCCAAGTGGAACATCACCCAAAATGCACGGAATCGAAGGAGCCAAAGAAGGTAGTGAAAAAGACCCCACCAACGCCACCGATGAGAAGAAGTTCGACGACGAAAATGACAAAGACAAAAGAGATTAAGGCAGGATTTTTATCTAGTTTTAAAACTTAAGAAATTTTTAGTTTGATCAAAAAGTTTCACGCCAAGCCGATCAAATCGAGGACATTTGGGAGCCATCGACTTCAGAGGACACTACGAGAACGGAAAATTTGGAGGGAGGAGTGGATATTTCTGAGCCTCTGCCATCTCCACCATCACTGAAAACTAATGGACATCATGAATCAAAAGTAACATTATACATAAGAATCAAGGTTAAGATTTCAGAACTTTTCCGTACCCGAAGTGCCAAAGATACCTCGTGTCTCTTTACCGTCACACATCACCGATTGGCGATTCGGATATGAGAGCCCGAATTACGATAATGTGACGTTAGACGAGTTGCTCGAGGCGAGCACGAGTTGGGCTGAGTACATGTCGGCTGAATGCAAGAGATTGAATGGTGAGTTTGAATTTTGTAGTGGATTGAATTTGAAATTTTTGAGTTTTGATTTTGATTTGTTTCAAATTTCAAAAAATTTGAGTTTAAAAGTGGATTGAATTCGAGAACACATCTAAATTGATTAGGCAGAATAACTTTACCATCAGTCTGCCTAGACTTCCTTTGAGCTCCAAGTTAAAAACGAAAATCTAGATCTAAAACTCTAGAATCACGCCGACTAAGCATCAAAAGCCTACGGTCAAAATTGGCAAAGCTTGTTTAGAATAGTTGCCAAGAAGCCAAGTCTCATAGTCAGAGAGCAGCCAGGAAGGTACCTGTAGCTGTTCCAGCTATTGTAAGAGTACTGTACTGTAGTTTGGCAAATTCTGACTCAGTCTGATAAAATTTGTTTGGCAAAGTTGCTGAGGATGTCGCTCTCACTTATTCGCTATTGTCTCATTGAATAGCCAGAAGAGCACATTAGCTACCACAGAAATACTGGAGGGGTTCTGTAGCTATTTTGGGGTTACTGAGTTTGATAAAGTTTTTGATTTGGCAAAGTTTGGCAAAAATTGGTACCATTTCCAGCTGAACGTGAAACCTCGGTCCAATCGGTTGCTCACAGCGAGCCACAGCCGCTCAGAACGATTGAAAATGGGAGGAATATCCCGAAAAATCGAGGAGTGAGAAGCCAAGGAGATCTCCATACGAAACCCCCACCACCGCTCAAAGAACCACCGGATAAGAAAAAAGTTTGGCCGTTCAACAGGAATGCAAAATCATTGAAGGTTTCTTATTACTAGAGTGGGTTCTTCTCGATTTATTCGTTTCCGAAAAAACACCTATTTCATGAAAACTGCCATAATCAAGCCGCCAGTTTACATTTAATCATTCCAATTTTGGTATCATTCGATGAAGAATCACAAGACTCAGTCAATGATACAAAAATTAGGCTGGTCGAATGAAAACAGACAGTTTGAATACGGTAATTTCAGATACCTTTTAAGAAAACGCATTAATCGAGAGAACACTGGTTATTAGACTGTTATTGTACATTTTATATTTTTTATTTATCCTAAAATTTTCAGGATAAAGAGCGTGAAGAAAGAAACCAAGATGAGCCATCGAATGAACAGATTAATGGAGGCGTTAGTGTGCCGAATCTCTTGAAGGTGAGACACTTACAAACCTAAATGGAGAATTTGTAGTCAATTTAAAAATCTTCAGAGTGGTAGAAAAAAAATTGCACCCCGTGCAATCGTAAATACCTAAATGCATTAAGTAGAAGACAACTAGGCACAGTTAAGCTGATAGAAGTTTTGAAGCATCTTTATGTACATTAATCATCAACAACAAAAAACACCCTGAAAAGGCGGAAAAAAATTTTCACCTCAGACAAAAAGCTTAAACGTCAGTATCTAGTCGGTCCTCCTTGAGCTTTAATGATCTCTTTCATTCGATTTGGCATACTTGCAACAATTTCTCGAGTTTCTCGAACAATCGACTTCTAAATCTCTTGTTCCATTCAAATCCAAAGCTCATCTTTCGAAGAAAACTGGTAGCCAATTCCGTTTTACATTTGCCCACAGATGTTCAATCGGGAGAGTAAGGCGGTGTTTGTAAAAGAAAAACCTCGTTGATTCGCAATCAGCCCGAAAGATGAACAAAACGACCATTCGAAATCTTAACTTTTCGGCCCATCATCAATCCGCTTGTATGTTTTGGATCGTTATTTTATTGAAATAACCAGGAAGACCCCATCTTTGAACGGACATATGAAAGCACAAGTCCTTTAATATTTCACTATATTTTGATCCATCCATGATTCCATCGATTCGAACGAGAGGATCAATTGAATGAGCGGCAAAGCCTCCCCAGCACATTACATCACTACCATTAAAGTTGACTGTTGGTCTGGTGTATTTGAGTCGATATCGAGTCGAATGGGTCGTTTGATCACATAATAGCCATTCGCGTTGAAAATATCGAATTTGCACTCGTTACTAAAGAGTACATGCTTTTAGCTCTCAATTGACCAGTGTTGATATTCTAACGCAAACTGTAATCGTTGCTGCCTGTGTCGTAGATTCATTAACGGGTTGAGCGCCGGCCTTCTCGAGTACACACCAAGTGTTTTGAGTCAATTTCGCACAGTCCGCGCGGTTACATTGACTCCAAATATCCATTTCAAGAACAATTTCCCATCGGTAGTGGCAGTAGGAGATAGAAAATGGTATTTGTGAAGGGCTCGATCTTGATCCTTCGCCGTTTTGCATGGGCGACCACTGCCTATCTTTCTCTTCGCCAATTTGAAAATATTGTTTGCAAATCCTATTCACCGTCCATTTCGATGCGCCAAACAATCGTTTGATGGTCTCTTGGTTGAGGTCAATTTTTTGAGCTTTGGCAATTCCCTCCTTCGTTTGCATGCCCAACCGTTCCTTCCCGGCATCTAAAATAAGAACATTATAAATTGTAAAGAAATAGGCAAGAAAAAAAGAGTTCAAGATTCAAAAAACCAACCAGCCAGCCAGCCAAAAAGCAACTTTTTTTCCACCCTCTTCTTTTAACAAACTTCCGTCTAAAAAAAACAAGACACCATTGAATACACTTTCCTTTTTATTTTAAGAACATTAATCTGCAGGCAAACTTAAACAACTAAAATCAAATGACGACGCTGTTAAATGCGTAGAGTTTTTCAAAGGTGCAATTTTTTCCACCACTGTATATTTACTTATCAATTTAAATTTGAACTGAATTCAGGCTGCACATAATGTCCGCTCTTCTCACTCGGTCGAGCAAAAGAAGTCCATTCGTTTTGCGTCGGGGATGGCTAAAAGTGAGCCCAAACTGAAGAATTCTAGATCAAATATAACTATTCATTTGATCTAAGCTTGTTGTTATAGGTGCCGAAAACCTTGCCAACGAGCGAGCTGAGGTGGACGAGCGAGAGGAAATGAGCAAAAGTATGCACGTTACGAGGAGATCCCGGCTCGATGATGGAATGAGTAAAAGCTATCACGGGAATAACAGGTGGATTAGTGTAGAACGGATGTAGAACGGATCTAATAAGTTTAAACAGAATAATCGGTTTTCTTCTGTCATTCTTGAATGCCCCGAAGGTCTTATATTGAATTTTTATAATATTCTATAATATTAGTCCGTCCAGAAAGTCTTTTCGTTCTTTTTCGTACTTCCGTTGAAAAATAACAAATACACCAATTAACCTATGGTTGGCTCTAAATAAAAAGTGTCTATTGTTCAATTTCCTTTTTTTAAGTCAATTTGGGTTCACTTTCAAGCAAATTCGAGTGTGAAAATGTGTTTTTCGTGAAAATATATAAAAACCTTTACGAAGAACTTGGCTGAATCAATTTCTCTGAAAATTTGGCCACCGTATTTCCTGTAATAGAAGCCCCGGGGCTTCTATTTTTTCGATGTTCGTCGATACCTAACTTTTTGCGCCCTATCTTCTATCTATTGACACTAAGATAGGTTTCCTTAGTTAAAGTGGCTAAACCGCTTCATCGAGCCTTCGCACTTTTTGACTATCCGACTTTACGCTCCCAAAAATCCAAAAATAAGACATTTTAAATCCGTTTGAATGTTATTTTGCAGAAAAATAATTAGCCTTTCTAATGAAACAAACCGTTGTTCAATTGGTGCATTTGTTGGTTTTAAGTACGAAAAGAAACAAAAAGACTTTCTGGACAGCCTAATAGTTGAGCATTTTGTTGCAAATCTAGCTTCAATAAATAACCACCGAGAAAACTTTTCGTGCTCGTTTAATGCTCGGTTATTCAGAGATTGAACTTAGATTTTTGGCCATTCCCTAGCAAAATGCACAAAGCCACGAGATAAGAATTTCAGAAGATCAACCGGGGAAGATGAGGGAAATGAAGGTGAAGATGATGATGGAAAGATCACTCTCTCGTTCAGAAGGTATCGATTGGCGGCAACCCCGGAGACAACCGTGTAAAGGTGCCTAACACCAAAAAAAACTTTTTTTATGTATCCTAGGATTTTGCAAGATAATTTGTCTAGAAATATTAGCTTAGTTTCAAAACTTTATCCTATCCCAGGCCCAAAGTGACCAAATTAAAATCAAATCTTTCCCTTTGATCTCATTGTTTTTGGATCTTCTCAAGTTTTCGATAAGCAGAAAAATTGTGGCAAAACACTTTCTGGCGGGAAACCCAAATTCAATGCAAATTTGTCCTTTCAGCTTTCTTTGAAAATCTTTCACAAAGAAATTGATTTTTGTCTTTCTGCAATTTTCCGGTGGTTTTCTCTTTTTTTTCGTGCTCGTTTCAGTGAATAAAACTTTTTTCTAATTTTTGAGAAAAGTCTTTATCCATCGTTTTTGCAAAAACTGACAAAAAACCTGTCAATCTCACACAAAAATAAGCAAAAGTGTTTTCTTCTAAAAAATTCTTGTTTATTATATCTAATTTCCAAATTAAAGGATTTTCAAAAATCAAACCGTGAAATTACAACCCTGTCTAAAAATTTAAAAAAAAATTCAGTTTATTTCAGCCATGTTTCAATCATTCATTCGTCATCCCTGAAAGCTAACAAATCTCTTTGATATCAACAAGATTCTATTGTTTTGGCTACAAATTTTTATGTTTATAAATTGATTTCAAGCAACTTTCGGTTTTCGGGCAAAATGCACCTGCATTAAGCTTTAGTTTAACTTTTAGCCTAGAATATTTCTGTTAGAGATTGAAGAGCAAAATCAGAAAAAAGGTAGGGGCAGAAAACAGGTGGAAAGCAAACAAACTTATTCTAAGTAATGGGAAGCTTTGTTGCTTATTGTCGGGAAAAATGCCCTTGAATTTTCACTATTGACATGAGGCAATAAATATTTTTGTTTACACGAAACTTTGAGCACTGACAAATGTTTTCTAGTTGAGTGAGAAAATGCCCAAGATTAGGAAGATTTTAGGAAAAGATTTACCCTTAAGCAAAAGTCAGCTTCTCCATTTAGAAAAGTAACTCGTTGAAAGGCAGGTGGAAAGCTAGAAAATTTGTATAGAGTGTGCAGGGTCAACTTTCCATTTTTTACCGACTTCAAAGCGAAACATGTACTCAGAGCCGTATATCTATTTGTGGTTTGATCGTTTTCTCTCGGTCATCACTTTTCCAATCAACGCTTTCGTTTTATTTGTGATTGTCACAAAGACTCCGCCAGAAATGAAAGAGTACAGAATATCGCTCATTATCTTGCAGGTTTCTTTGAAACATTGAACAAATATTTAAGTCGTGACAATGAAATAATCTATAGACACTTTCAGTCAATTCTCCTCACCCTGGACGTGGTGTTGCTATCAGAAAAGCCCGAATTTTATTTCCCGGCCACCGCGGCTCGAATGTTTGGCGTCTGGGATTCAGTCTTTTGTCTTGGAGCCAAAAATGCAATGGTTTTGAGCTGATTACATTTATAAAGTCTCCCTCTTTTCAGACAACCAGCACTCTTCTCGTAATGTTAACCATTGCCTCTTCAAATAACATATTCGTTTTAAAGCTGCAAAATCTGTTGGATTCATCGAGTCGTTTCAAGTGAGAAATCTAAAATCTTTAAAAAAATCAAAGTGATCCTCAACGAGCTACATATAACGTATTTTTTCTAATGGTAGCCCGGGAATATTCCCAAAAGGGTAGGCCACTATTAGAGGTGGGACTATTAGAACGAATACGGTAACTGTTTTGCTCAATATTTTTCAAAATTGGTCACAGATTCGGGAATTCCTTCGTCATTTTGGCTTCCAACAAATATGAATAGATTAGAATAAATACTGTTAACTTCCATTTAGAATAGATTTAGCTTAGCAGCATTTGTTAGTAATTTTTCTAAAAAACGAAAAATTGTTAACCGTAAAGAGACGAGAACTTGAGAAAATTTGGGAAATTCAGATTTGGAATTTTTGGAAAAGCGGTCATCTTGTTTCCATCGAATGTGCTTTTGCCAATGCTCGGTGTCGTTTCTGTCCGACTGGTGCCAATAGAACAGGGGATTGAGACGAAGCGTTTCTTAAATATGATCGAGGTGCTCACGCTCCACAATTTAAAGATCCCCAAATTCTTCAGGCTCACCCATCGTATTCTGATCTCGCAAATATCACTGACATCTATGTGGGCGCTTGGGAGCCCATCTATCCACCATATGTCAACTTTTCGGGGATCACCATGCTTGCGGGGGTCATCGCTTTATTTATTCTGGAAATAGTGGTCAAGGTGAGGCTTGAAACACTTTAAAATCTAAAGCTTTTCTAGACACACGTCTCCATACACGGATGCTATTTCATCCTTGACAATGGCAGTTTGCACTTGAGCAAGAAAACCAAGGAAATGCAAAAGAAGTTCTTTAGGGTCTTATGGCTACAGGTGGGTAGATTATGAAAATATTAGGTTGGCAACTTAATAATAACGCCTCCCCCCCCCAAAATTTTTTTTTTATTTTAGGCTTCTTTTTCTCCTTTTTTTTTTTTTTTAAAAGGGAGGGGGGTTTAAAAAAAAAAAAATTTTTTTTTAAAAAAAAAAAATTTTTTTTTTTTTAAAGGGGGGGGGGAGGAAATTTTTTTTTTTTTTTTTTTTTTTTTTTTTTTTTAAAAAAAAGGGAAAACTCCATTTTATATTTTTTTCTAAATATATTTTTTTGGGGGGGGGTTTTTTTTTTTTTTTTTTTTTGGATTTTTTATTAGTATTTTTGGGGGGGGGAGATGGGTGGTGTTGGGGCCGCCCCCCCCGGGGTTTCTCCTTTGGGGGGTGTTTTTGTTTTTTTTTTTTTTTTTTTTTTTTTTCCCTTCCCTTCGGGGTTAGTTGTGGGGAATTTATATTTTTTTAATTACAAAAAAAAAAAAAAAAAAAAAAAAAAAGAAAGGGGGGGGAGGGGGGTTTGTTTGTTTTTTTTTTTTAAAAAGAACAACACAAAATTCCCCAAAAAATATAAAATATATTTTAAAAAAAAAATAAAATTGTTTTTTTTTTTTTTTTTTTTTTTTTTTCTAATGGGGGGGGTGTATAAATTAAAAAGGGGGTTTTCCTTTTGTGCGGTCCCTACTCCCCCCCCCCCCTCACCCCCCCCCAACAAGGGGAATAAGTTATTTTTGTGGGGGGGTTTTTTTTTGTTTTTTTTTTTTTTTTTTGGGGTTTTTTTTTTTTTTTTCTTTTTTTTATAATATTTTTTTGGGGAAATTTTTTTTTTGTTTTTAGTTTTTAAATGGGGGGGGGGGTATATTTTGGGGGGGGGGGTAATTTAAACTTTAAAGCAAAAACAAAAAAAAAAAAAGGAAAAAAAAATTGGGGAAAGGGGTCCTTTTTTTTATTTTCTCCCCCTTCTCCCCTTTTTTTTCTTTCTTTTTTTCTTTTTTTTTTTTTTTTGTTTTTGTTGGGGGGTTTTGGGGTGGGGATTTGGGGGAAAAAATTTGTGGGGGGGGTATTTATTTAAAAACCTGTATATATCCAAGATAATTAAAATGTGGAGGGGGAATATAGGGGGGGGGTGGGGGGGGGATGGGGGGGGGGGGGGGGGAGGGGGGGGGATAATAGGGGGTTTTTATATGGGGGTAATTAATAAAAAAAAGAAAAAAAAAAAAAGAAAAAAAAAAAAAAACACACCACCAACACGCCCCCAATATAAATAGAGCGCCTGTGTGGTGCCACTAAAACTTGGTTAAAAGCGCGAGTCGCTGCTCATGCTTTTTTGATCAAATCACGATCAGGTATCGAATACGCTTTTTTCCATCGGTTTTCCGGCCATCTATTCTTTGATCATCATTCTCATTCAACCAAATTTCATCGTCCAATGTGAGTGTTTTTCATTAAAAATCAGCAAATTTTACTTGTATCTTACGACTAGATGTCTTCCCATCAGGTGAGAAACTATTTTTTTCTTTTTTCCAATCTCAAAATAATTTCTGCAGCTTTAGGGTTAAACAATTTATTTTTTGCAATCGCCTATTGCCATGGAATTATCGGATCGATCACGATTCTCCTTTTGACTCACCCATATCGGCTCTATGTGCTCTCTCTTATCAAAAAAACTCGAATTAATGGATTTCTTAAGAAACGGCTCTTCAATCCACCCAACAAAATACTAATTTCCGTCACTCAATAGAAAGAAAGAGCAGCCACTTGAGAAAAGAATGGTCTAAATTCAAAATTGAACGATTAAAATTTCGGAGATCTTTCTTTGGTACTTTAATAAAACGTGTTCAAATTGCGAAGAGAGCTTTGAATCTATAATAGCATTAAACGCCTTTTTTTGTCCCAGGTAGGCTCTAAAAATCAAAACTCAAAAGCTTAAAAGAAAGTTCTTCAAGTTTTCGTGCATTTCACTGATTGGTCCATTTTCCACTGCAACATAGGTAATGAATGTTCCCGACTCTGAGAATATACAAAACAGGATGCAATAGAAAATTTTGCTTTGCGCTTTGCTCCTGAAACGCTCAAATGTTAAGAACAAATATTTTGGGTTTTGGATTACATAGGAAACAAATACCGATTTGCTTCCACATTAATTCAGCCAATTTAGCAAGATAGAATCAGCAATTATTGAGCACTTTTTCCAAAGGAGACCACAAATTATTGTGAGAATAAATCATTTTCTGGATCGTTCTCTTGGATTTTCGCGACTGATTTTGGCTTCCAACTCGCCGGGGTAGGCGAGATTTGATCCTGAAAATTTGGGTGTTTTTGGTGAAATGAAGAATACTTCGAATGCGATCAAATAGTCAATCAACAAAAAAATCTCAAAAAAAGTGAATTACTTTTTGTTTTCAAGCCAATCTTCAAGCAGCCTTAGGTTACGGTAGCTTTCATACGAATAACGGTTACAGTAACTTGGGCACGCTTTAAAATGGTATCTAGAGTGAACTTTTTTGCCCACCTCATTTCAATCGGAGTTGTTGCCTCATCTATTCCCATAATGATAAGTGTTGTAATTGATAGCGCGCCCGTTTTGCATAGATAACAAATAGAGGTAACGTAATAAAATTCTCAGCGGCCAAAACGCTTTTCCAATGAAACTCGTTGTCCAATGTTCTCGAGAAGAAGAAAAGCGCTTACACTTCAGCCGAGAAAATTTTTCTGAAAAAATGTAGCTTTCGAAATCTTTTCAGGCGTCTTGGATCAACATCCAAATGAAAGCTCAACTCCTCGATGAAACATAAGCTTTTCAAGGCATTTTGTATCATTAAGGCCTCCTCGAATTTTCATTCAACCTTACAATTGTTGAATCCTCACTGAATAGCGATTTCATGCATCGATGGATTTCACGTAAATAATCAGATTTGATTGATTGATATGCAATTGATATGCAAAAGATACAAAAATATAGCATCCCTGCTTTTCATCATCTCCCGTAGAATATTCAGGATCTGGACCTGATCTGGCCAACTGATGTGCTTCGGCAAGCAAATGAGCTTTGCAGGCATTCCATCGAATCGTCGATGAGAAAAACAAGTCACTTCAGAATCTTCGCCTTCCTCAAATTCGATTTCTGCAAGGCAGCCAGGATTTCCTTACTGTTGTCACACCTTGGGATACAGATAATATACAGATAGTACATCAGCAACATTGGCGTTGAAGAGATTTAAGCAATGCACCGTTTCACTAACAGTATAGACGGTGAGTCTGAGCATGCGATGGCCACCTTTTTACTTGCTAGATTCCCCAATTTGCAATGGGTTCTCAACTTTGAACTCACTGTATATTATCTGTATCCCAAGGTGCTCCCCAGAAGTCCTCTATCTCAGCCATCGGATGGGTGGTCTTGGCTTTCAACCGATGAACATTCTTGCTAATGTGTCCCAAATCGTCCATGGTGCTCGCCTTCTCTCCTCCAACGACGTCATCGGATCCCCGCACGCCGGACCTGCTGGGGCCCGCCCACTCCACGCCGCGCCACCTCCAACGCCACCTCCACCACCGCCCCCACGCCACCTCCACGCCTCGCCACCTCCAACACCTCTACCTCCAGCACCGCAAAGCCCACCAGCCGAGCTGAACGTCACCTTCACCATCGACCACCGGACCCCGCCCCGGGTGGCCTATCGAAGAGACCGAATGGTCTCTTCGATAGGCCACCCGAGAATTCTATCGGCAGAAGTTGATCGCCAAGCTGGACCAAGGAAAAGTCTACCGAGTCACCTCCTCCAACGAAGCGTCCAACCACTTTCTTCGCTCTGGGAACTTCACCAGCTTCGCCGACTGGGGGTTTTTTCATAACTGGAATTTTTTAAATTTTATGATGCGGATTCGCTACTGGATGCTAGTTTTGAAATTTGTGAGTTCAATAGAACTCGTATTACGGAAGTGGACAAAAGGAATTTGACTCACTTATGAAATCACAGAGACACAGAATCACAGAAAAAAATAAAATAGATCAATTTAAAAAGGTAAAAAGATAAGAAGATAAAGATGAAAGTCTTAAAATCTAGTCCAAGGTTTGAAGGCTTCGACTTTGAAAAAAGTCCACTATAGAAAAAATTCTGTCTAATAATTTTTATTTGACGATCCTTTCTAAGCATTTTAGTTCAAAAAGTAATTAAAAATAATCATTCTACGCAAAGTTATAGTTCTCTTTTCTTGTCCTACTCAGAAATCGGGCCCTGTTTTCTCAAACGCGCTTCAATTACCATACCCCTGAATGCCTTCAGTGTCAAAGATATGCTCGTTTTTGACCTTTTTTAATTTTTTTTGCATATTTTCCATTTTTTTTGCAACATATCGTCTTCTACAAAAACGATTAGACAAAGTTAAGTTTTTTTATCGATTTGTGAACGGATTGCTTTGTTGTAAAGAGTTTTTTAGACACCTCCGCCAGAAACAGCAAACTTTTATCAAAGAAACAACCAAATTGGTCAACAATGTGGAACAATGTGGTTCCTCGAATGGATCGGCTTCGGCACCAGATCAGGCATCGTAGACACGTCAAGAGTGAAGTGAGGCTGGTGAAGGCCCAAAGACGGCTTGATAGTGGCGATGAAGATCATCTGTGGCGATTTGGCAGAACGGCGAGTCAGCATCGGTGATTTCACGGAAGGCACGCGGACGAGATTGGCGGTAGAGTTTTTGGATCTTCGAGGCAGCCAATGGGTCGTATTGGCGTTGCTGTGGGCGTCTTCTTGGTTGCTGTTGTCTTTATGGGTTTTGACATGGTGAGGCTTCTTCCATCTTGCAGTGTTTCTTGACGGCGATGACCATTTCTTGTCTCGAGTTCCCCAGGCAGGTTGATGGCTTCAATCCGCTTCACCCATTCTTGTTGATTTCGGTCACCGGTTGGGGCAGCATTTTGCACAGGAGGGTTTGGCACGGCTGCTGGCGGTGGTGGAGACATAGCTGGGCTTCGCGAAGGTTCAGGAGAAGCGAGGCGGGTGGCGATGGTGCCATTGAGATTGTCGGGCGAGTGAGGCATGGCTTGGTTTCTGACGAGGACTGGAGAGCCGATGGCCGGAGATCCCATGACGACGATTGTTTCTTGGGTTGGCTGTGAATGGTCTTCCTCAGGCATCGATCCAGCGACTAACCGAGCCCGACGTTGCTCAACTTGGCAGATCGGACGGGGCGGCGCCTTCTCAACCATCTTCTTGCAGGCATTGGCGTGACCGTCAAAGTCCCGCTTTCTCTCGAACCTCGAACCACATTTGGTTGACACCATCACAATCTTGACCAGATGAACACGGAGGTGGGCTTGGAGAGCCTTCTGCGATGAGTAGATGCTGGCAGGCGGCACTTCAGGTCAATCACAGCGGCGTCCACCGTCTCAACCAAGTAGTCGTTGAAGAGTGGCGGCAAGTCATCTTCCTCACACGGGCGCTTCTGGTGGCTGTAGACGGCCTTCTTCTTCTTGTGGCATCGGCGACATCTGAAGACGAATTCCTTTGTCCAGTCATGCTTTCTGGGATGCTTCTTCAGGTCGCCTTGGCGTTTGTAGACAGACACGCACCACATGCACTTGAGTTGGGCTTCGAGGGGCACGTCGAGAACGTAGTCGTCTTCTTCGGCTGGGTCGGCATTTTCGGCTCGCTTCTCTTCTCGGTCGTCGACGAGTAGTGGCGTTGGTCCCGGAACTGGCGACGGCGGCGGCGGCAGCAACACGGGCGGCAGCGGCGCTAGCTCGGGCGCGATTCGGCGACGACGACGAGAAGGTAGGGCGGCTCGTGGTGGTACGACGGGGTCCTCATCTCGCGTGGAGTCCTCGGAGTTCTCTTCTTCTTCATGATCGGCTTCTTTACGCGCTGCGCTGGAGTCGGCTTGGCTTAATTCTTTTTGCGGGGTGGGCGGCTTTGTTCTCTTTTCGGAATCAAGTTCCGTGGTTTTTCTTTTAGCCAGGGTCCCACACTCTTCCGCTTTACGGAGCCTTGCCTTCTCGGGTTGGGGGGCATTTTCTTTTAGTCTTTCATCATTGGACCGCATATCCTCAGAAATCCGGTCCCCACGGGCGTATGGGGGACCGGATCACTTCGCGGAAGGCGCGAGGGCGTTTGGGTTGGGTCCGGGCAGCGTATACGGCTTCTTGTCGCACAGTCCACATTGGTAGTTGGCGTCGAGGTGTGGGAGGTCGAGCGGTGGCGTGGTGGCGTTGATCCCAGCACTGGCGGCCATTGGCGGTTGAGGCATTGGGCTTCTGGGCGGGGTCCGGTGGTCGATGGTGAAGGTGACGTTCAGCTCGGCTGGTGGGCTTTGCGGTGCTGGAGGTAGAGGTGTTGGAGGTGGCGAGGCGTGGAGGTGGCGTGGGGGCGGTGGTGGAGGTGGCGTTGGAGGTGGCGCGGCGTGGAGTGGGCGGGCCCCAGCAGGTCCGGCGTGCGGGGATCCGATGACGACCATTTCCTGAATTGCCTCATTAGTCTCCGGATGTAGATTCCTTCACACCATTTGCACTTCAGTCGATCGTCGAGGGGCATATCCAGAAAGTATTTGGTTAAAGTTTGATTTAAGTTAAACCTTCCTGGATCTGCCATTCCGACGTCTTCGGTGGTGTCCTTGGCGGGATGCCCGGAGATGTGTGAGTGCGAAAGGCGGGGAGAGAAGAGGAGGCATCGCGTCGGCGCACGTGTGAGTGGTCGTCCTTGGTGAGGTCCTTGGCATCGCGTCGGGGCACGTGTGAGTAGTCGGTGGCGCCCGGCATTAAATGGGTTTGTCTCAGCAATGCTGCCTTAACAATGCCCCCATCTAAGCCGATAAGGTATTTAAACACCATCCACCAAGAGGGCCGACCGTAAAAGCATCCAGGTAGAGGTCGTAGTTGAGGGCACGGAGCTGGTTGGAGATGTCGCCGTACTTCCGGAGCTTCTTTTGTCTGGAGTTGATGAAGGCGTCCACTCGGTTCTCGAAGGGCATCGTCACGTCTATGATGGTCACCGTCTTGGCTTGGTCGTCTTGGATGACAAGGTCGGGCCGTAGGGTGGAGTTAATGCCTGGAACTTGTTGGTTAATACGGATTGAAGAAGTTTCAGATATTTTCACAGCCTTTACGAGTCGGTCCAAGATGGCGTTGTGTCGTCGGGTGATCGTCGCGAAGTGAGGCTTGCAATGGCATAACACATGGGGAAGGGTTTCGGACGCGTGTCCACATCGCCTGCAACTTTTATTTCCATTACCAAATCTCTTAGTCGCATCGAAGGGGACACAGTCCAAACGTGCTCGATGGATAAATCTCCAGTCTGCAAAACGGGTGAATTGACCCGTTTGCAGAAAGTGGTTCGAGCAGTTTGAACTGGTCGTAAGGCTGTAAACTTTCCCCTGATCCGGCTTGGAGATGAGGCTCTGGCGGTAGAACTCTCGGACGGCACAGCGAAGGGAGTATTCGACGGTTGAGGCTGGAAGTTGAGTTTTGTTTAGTAAAAGTAAAAGTTTTCCAGATTCCCATTTCCATTCGATGTCCATCCTCGCCTTCAGTCTTCGGGTCGCCCTGCGTAGTCGGATCCACATGTTGGTGATGTCGCTGGACTCAGGCCTGAAATCTCCTTCCATTGAACCGTTCAGATACTGGCTAATTTCTCGTTCGTTATGTATCGCCCTCCGAAGTCGTTTGGTCACCGTCTCGTGGAGGGGCTGCGGCGAAATCCTTGACATCTGGTGAGGTGAGTAGTCGGAGGCCGTGCACAAGTTTGGAGACATCTGCGAGAACTGAAATTTTCTGTAGACCTAAACCACCCATCTGACTGGAGAGGTAGAGGACTTCTGGGCTGGCTCGTTCGGGCAGGTTCATCCACTTCTTGGCGGCCGATTTGAGTTTCTTGTCGAATGCTGTAAGTGGTTTTTTAGCTACAACACCATTTTTTAGATGAAAGGAAATACAAGGCAATACGAATGTGTTGATGGCGTCGGCCTTCTGCCATGGAGCGAGCAACGAGGAGTCGAGGGCTTCGAGCTGTGCGGTCATCTTCTCAATCACCTTCTGAGCGCTGGGAGCGGAGTGGTAGCCGGTTGGTGTGCCTAGGTGTTCATATAGATCGTCCTCAGAATGGAAATTCCCCTTGTACTCGTAGTTGGTTGTTGAGTGCTTGCTTCTTCTTCCCATCGATGCACAGGTTGGCGCACTTCTTGGAGTTGAACTTCAGGCCGAGCCAGTCAGCTGCCCAAGAGACGACATCAAGCGTTTTCTGAAGTTGCATTGGGGTACCTGTGATTACCGCAAGGTCGTCCGCGTAGGCTAGCACATCCACATTTCGTCCATGCATCTTGTATCCGTTGTTGGTTTGCGAGACGGCTCGGAGAAGTGGCTCAAGTGTTAAATTAAAAATGATTAGTGAAAGGGTACAGCCTTGCTTTACTTCTGCCTGAATTGGGATGTCGTTGGTCGGACCAGTGGCGCTTCGGATGGTGGTGGAGCAATTGGCGTAGAGACGGCGGATGACATCGATGGCGGTGCTGTTGAGTCCGGCGTACTTGAGGGCACTGAAAATTGACTGGTGGGGAACACTACCAAAGGCATTTGTTAAATCTAGCCATGCCATGGAGACTTGTTTCCGGTTGCGTCGAGCGTCCACGATGGTAGATTGGAGAACGAAGTTGTGCTCGGCACATCCATCTGCTGCCACGAATCCCTTCTGCGATTTGGAGATGCGTCCATTGCGGCTTGCCCACTTCCCGAGACGATTTGCTAAAACAGAAGCGTACACCTTAGAGATTGTATTGGACATGGAGATAGGTCTCCAGTTGTTAGTTCTCTTTTGTCGCCCTTCTTGTGGAGTAGCACCGTCGACGATTGATTCCATTTCGCTGGGACGTGTTGGAGTCGGTGGCAAGCATTGAAGAGTGAGGCGAGGATGAGTCCACCGTTGTCATACTTCTTCCACACTGCGTAGCGAAGGAGGTCCGGACCAGGCGCGGTGTTGGAGCATCGGGAGAGGCGTGACCATACCTCCGGAGCTGTAAATGTTTGGTTAAACGGGTGAACATCACCGGCTAGGTTGCCCTCTTGCTCTGGCACGAAGTCGGGAATCGTCGGGTCCACGGGTGGAGACGGTCCAAACACCTCGCTGAAGTGGCGGTGGAGGTCGTTAGCTGAAATTTGGCAAAACGGTGAGCCCGCTTCTACAACTTCGCTGAATGCGCGTGGGCGGCACTTCCGGTACAACTTCTGGATCCCTGATGCAGCCTTTGGATCGTAGCGTGGCGGTCCTCTTCTTGGTGGTGGCGGCGGCTGTCTTCTTGGCTGGGCTGGGCGTGGACTCTTCGGCGGCGCGTCTCCCATCTTTGTCGTCTTCTTGGCGTCTTCCACGAGCTGATCGAGCAGGGTGTCTAGGATTTGAGCATTAGTAACCATGTCAAACTTGGCCGTCCATTCCCGTTGATGTAGAGCTCCATTTGCGGCCATTGGTGGCGGTTGAGGCATTGGAGGGCTTCTGGGCGGGGTCCGGTGGTGGATGGTGAAGGTGGTGTTGAGCTCGGCTGGTGGTGGTTGGCTCGGTGGTGGGCTTCGTGGAGGTGGGCTTCGTGGAGGTGGGCTTCGTGAAGGTGGGCTTCGTGGAGGTGGGCTTCGTGGAGGCATGGCTTGTAGTGGGTGAGCTGTGGCAGGTCCGGCAATCGGTGATCCGATCACAACCATTTCCTCAATTAGAATTTCATTAGAGTTTTCCTTAGTAATCTCATGAGTAAACTCTGGCTGACCGTTCCTTTTGCGCCGTGTTGTTGTCGCTGCCTTGGTTCTTGTCGTGTTCTTGGTGGGTGAAGGTCTTGGTGGGTGTGGCGTTGGAGGTTCGGTGTGTGGCGAGCCGATCACCATTTCCTCAATTGTCTGATTAGCACCCTCCAACTGACCTCTCCTTTTCCGTGGTGTTGTTCTGGCCATTCTTGCACCATTCGACCTCTTCTTGCAGCCCGGGACGTGTAGGGTGAAATCCCTCTTTGAATTGAAGTGGGCCTGGCATCGGGCGCATTCGAGGACGAGCTTGGCGACGTGTTGGCGTAGGTGCGTCTGCAAACTTTTCATTGCGGTAAATTTGGCTTTGGTTGGAGGACATAAACGACATTTTAAATCTAGGCTTTCTACACTTTCTAGTTTGACTATGTAACTGTTAAAAAGTAGGGGGAACCCGTCCTCTTCGCATGGTCTCTTCAAGTGGTCGTCCGCCTTCTTCTTGGTGTCGAACTCCATCGCACAGCTCTTGCACCTAAACACAAACTCATCCTTCCAGCCGTGCTTGTTGCCGAGGTGCTTCTTCAGGTCCCCATGCCGGATGTAGACTCCTTCGCACCATTTGCACTTGAGACGTTCGTCGAGTGGCATATCCAGAAAGTACTTAGATAAGGTTTTGTTTAAATTAAAGCTCCCTGGATCTGCCATTCCGACGTCCTTGGTGATGTTCTCGGTGGGATGCCTGGAGATGCGTGAAGAGGCGGCGAGAGAAGAGGAGGCTTGTGAAGACGAGGCATCGCGTCGGCTCGTGTGAGTAGACGTCCTTGGTGAAGTCCTTGGCATCCCGTCGGGGCTCGTGTTGGCAGTCGTCCTTGGCATCGCGTCGGGGCTCAGGTAGTCGTGTCAGTAGTCGGTGGTCTCCGTCGTCGTCGGTGGCGCCCGGCATTGAGTGGGCTTGTCTCGGCAATGCTGCCTCAACAAGGTCACCATTCAAGCCGATTAGAGAGTCGTCTTTGGTGGAGTCCTTGGCATCGCGTCGGGGCACATCGTCTCCGTTGGTGGCGCCCGGCATTAAATGGGTTTGTCTCGGCAATGCTGCCTTAACAAGATCCACATTCAAGCCGATAAGATCACCGGCGGAGGTGGCGGAGGAGGCGGAAGAGGCGGCGGCGAGGGAGACTTCCCCTTGAAGTCGATGTAGACGCCTCGTGGTTCTCATGGTTCCAATCTCCGTGTTGTACTGTAAAAGCCTTACTCGGTAGACACCGATGCGTGACGTTAATAAGCGATAAACTTATTAAGCCGATAACAACAGGTACTACACATTGATCTTAGCAAGACGTGAGAAGCTACACATTGATCTTAGCCAGAGGTGAGAAGTTACACATTGATCTTAGCCAGAGGCCAGAAGCCACATATTGATCTTAGCCAGAGGTGAGAGGTTACACATTGATCTTGGCAAGACGTGAGAAGCTACACATTGATCTTAGCCTTAGCCCATTGATCTTGGTTTGGCTGAGACACGATGAGAGGCATTGGACCGTTGAGCTGTGGCGATGGAGCGAAGACTTGGCTGAAGTAGGCGTGGAGCTATTTAACGATGGAGCAGAAGGGCGTCGATCACTTCGCGGAAGGCGCGAGGGCGTGACGAGCGGTAGAGCTTCTGAATCTGGGCAGCGTCCTTGGTGTCGTAGCGGGTTCCTTGGCACGATTGGCACCTAAGATTGGCACAAATAACGCCTCGACGTGTGTTTCGATTGAATTTCACCACCACAACAGGACTTATTTTTCAAAATTTTCTCGACCATATAGTGGAAAACCCCTGTGGTTCCGCACGACTGATTCACCGAAAGGAGTCCGAGAGGGCTCCTTCCCCATTGTTATCAGTGATTTCGGATTCATTTTCTTTCTGCTTTTGTGATTATTCTTTGGTTTACATAATCATTTGTTTTTTTTCAGGATGAATTTCTCAACCAACTTGATACGCGTCAAGTTGGTTGAGAAATTAATTCATACTGAAAAAAAACAAATGATTATGTATGACAAAAACGACAAACAAAAACAAACGACAAAAAATACGATGAAATTATGAACAGAATGACAACAATGTCAAGTGAAAGTGAAAGCGAGAAACGGAAGCGAACGACAGAAGAGGCAAATTGAGCACGTCGTTACTCGATTCAATGTATTGAGCATGAACGATACTCTACAATCATGGAGATAAAGAAGCGAACGAACAACCAAAACGAGTTGTCAAGAAAGAGGAACTCTTCGATGTTTTGACGTCAACTCACAAAAGCCTAGGACACGCCGGCCGGGATCTGATGTGGAAAGAACTGCGAGGAGGTTATCACGGAATCTCAAAGGAAATACTCGAGATTTTTATCAAACTTTGCCCGGAATGTGAATTAAAGAAGGGGACGCCAAAAAAAGAAGTTGTTGTGAAGCCGATCGTAGCAAAGGAGCAAAATGAACGCTTAATTAATCTTCAATCGATTCCGGACGGCGACAACAAGTTTCTGATGGTTTATCAGGATCACCACACAAAATTTGTTGAATCGTTGGCCCTGATGTCGAATTGTAAACGGTCGTCCTCGTCATTAACAGAGCCAAGGATCAGTCGAACGAGCAAATCAGGATGTTGAAGTGTTTTTAATGTTGTCTTACACCACATTTAAAAATCGTACCTATGTTTTTCTTTAGAGGTTTGAGTATACAATTGAGGGAAGAGAAATCGAAAAAATGGACCCGTATTCTTCCCATTGTGCAATCAATTTCAGCGTCCAAATCTCCACCAACGTCGCTTTTATCGAAGAGACACAGCTTCCCGATCGGATCGAACGTCTCCAAGCGAGCCATGTCAAAGGCGTTCTAAGCGTACCTCTGCGTGTAGCGCCTGGGAAACTTCCTAAAAGCGAACTATAATAACTAAAACACTTTATCAAAATACCTAACAACAATATCGCCAAGATTTGCATCGTGAATCGAAACAAGTGATTCTACAATAGAAGGTAGTAAATGTCGTCGTCTTTTGTTAACATAAATGATGTCAAGCCGACTAAATACAGGAATATTATGCATTTTTGATAAAATATACCTAAATAGTCGTCCAACGGAGACCGACGAGCCAGGAAGAAGGCACCTTGCTTGTGAAGAGAGAGGAGAGATTCCCTTGTTGCATTATCCAAAAATAAGGCAAAGAAACGTTGCTAGCAACACCAGAAGTTACAATTGCCACATAAGTAGTTAAGTAAAATCTGATTGTTAAATAAGCATTATAGATTCATCTTAGCTCCCAGTTTTGGAGTAATGTCGGAGCCAAAAATTTCAGCGGCGTAGCAATGCGACTAGAAACCGACCTTTTAATACGATCTTCACCCCATTTAAAAAGCCGCAGAGTTGTAGCTGAGTGGGCAACCTCTGCAAACAACTAAACAAAGGATCATTGGTCAGTAAATATCAAATACCATTTTTATCATGTAGTTGAAAATTGGCAGCATCGTTCACAGCGCTTTCAAACACAACACATCCTTGAAAGTTATTGCAAAGTGTGTATCAAGTTCGACCATGATTTCATACTGAATTCAAAATTACTGAATAAAAAGAGCTAAAGTAACCAGTACCGTCAATGTAGTCACAAAGCATCGCGAACATTGAATCCCATCGTGTTGGCACGTCAATTCGTGGCTTGCGTCGCTTAGTTAGCCTGGTTTAGGTTAGTTAGTTACAAATAAAAAAGTAGTAAAAAACCAACTTTTAGTTAGGTTAGTCCAGATTGCCGCACTTCTTGCCATCTTTCTCACAAACTCACAAATCTTCTGCAGCAAATTGTCAATCGGGTTCAACCGGTTTATTGGTTATACTGCAGCATCCACAAGGCGAGCACCACAAATAACGCTAAACTATTGTGGGACAAGCAAATGAATGCAACTTACCTCTTTGAGTTGAGAATATTGGCTGCTTTCCGCATATTTGCTCCTCTGTCTGATCGTTTTTGCAACGTAGTAGTTCCCTAGAAACAATTTAAATCCTTTTTTTGGAACATGCTAGATACAAAAGCAACACCTTACCTCTACCTCATGTTGTTGTTCTGATTCTTTTTTCGTAGTTTTCCTCGTGGGTGCCTTCTGAGCATGCGCATCGTTGTTTCTTCATCATTTTTGGAGAATCTAAAAAAGAACATGACTCTCGAACAGTATAAACAAATTAAATTTTTTTAAAAGTTACAAACATGGAGTACTTGCATTGTTTTTATCGTTGATTTCTCCGGGGTTTTTGGCTGCTGTTCGGTCATCATTTGTGTTTATCTGTAAAAGAAACAATTATTGATGTGAGAAAACATCGGAAATCTGTGCAGAGAGTGTGGAAAAGTGCGAAAAAAACTGGTGGGGTCTCTTCCGCAAAACCAAGTCTTGAACATTCTGCTGCAAAAACTAACGCAAAGTACAACAAACGGTAAGTTAAATTACTAAATTTTAACGAGGGCAAATAAACAACAAAGTGAGAAACGCGGTAGCATAAAATTAGGACTTGGCGAAGGGCAAATGGCGATCGTCCCTTAAAAGCCTCCAATTCCTTTCTGTAGCGTTCCTTGTCAGCCTTGGCTTTCTCCTCCCATACGGACTTGTTCTCGAGTTTTTTCCATTCAGCACCGGCTGCCTAGAATGCAACAGTACTACATGAACGAATCACAAAGCTTACCTTAAGAACCTTATTAGGTTTGACAGTTTCGATGAGACGGGCGCGATTTTCGGCGAGCCTGATACAAGAAAACTACATGAAACTAGTAAGATAAACATTACCAGATAAAGAAGGCCGTGAGGTTTCGCTTGGGAGGACGCCACCATTCTTCTGTGAAACCTTTGACACTTCTTGCGAGCTGCTTCCTTTGGTTGGTCGAGCCATTTGCTTTCTGAAAAAAATATCCAATAACGGTTTTCAAGCTTTCTCCGGAGCACATCCAAAAATCGGCACAATAGCATCGTTATGTTATAGTTACAATAATTAGGTGTTGAAAACCCCACTAACTTCACTTAAACTGGCGAAATAATTTATTGACCAACAGGCCAAATTAAACTGGAAAATGGTCAAAAACAAAGGACTTCTTTGAAGCAAAAGTAAAATCAGCAAATAAACATAATATAAGGAAACAAACAAGCAACAACAAGTCGGAGTTGATGGTTCATTAGGATGACGAGGTCTTGTAAACTTTGATTTCCTTTGAATTTCGCTCTTCGTGACTTGCTTCCCCCACTTTGAACGATCCGTGACGTTTTTCCATTCAGCTCCGGTAGCCTAAACAAAAAACGTAAAATTTTACCAAAAGCCTTAATTTCGATTTGTTTTTATTTCCCTACGCACAGTTTGCAATAATTCTACTAGCAAGATAGCATTTTGCGTGTAAAGGCCGCAGCCATCCGATAGTACCACAAACCTTTAGCCACGAAAAATTTGCAGACAAGATTAATGCTTTTACTAACCCAACAAAAGGTTCTCAAGATCAAGTGACAAAACAGTTAACCTTGACACCTCAGTAGGGGAAATTCCAGGCCTGGTGGGGCGAGGGCGGTTTTCTGAGTAAGGGCAGCACTGTAGGAGAGGGCTCGCTTGGGCGCGTTCTCATCCTTCTTTTCGCCGCCCGGGGGGAAACGCATGTGGGCTGTTCCTCTTCGGAGGGCCATCGAAAAAGCAATGAATGGTTCAAGAGCAGACAAGAGAAATAGTGAAAGACCTGCGCTACCTACTGATCAAATGGGGTTAATCTATGGTCAATTGATGCTAATTGATTGAACGCACGCAGAGATAAACAAAATAAACGTTCTCAAAGCAGAGAAAAGATAGGTTCAAGTCTCTTACAGTCTCGGATTCTCTTACAAACTTTAACATTTCAATTTTTCGATTGAAAAGTTTTACTTCGGGGGTGTATTTGGCGGGAAATTTTTGATTTTATTTTTAGCGATTAGATAATTGCGCATGTTTCAATGCAGTCACAAAGCGCTATAAATGAGTAGAACATGTTTGCGGATTTGAACCTATCTTTTCTCTGCTTTGAGAACGTTTATTTTTGTTTATCTCTGCGTGCGTTCAATCAATTAGCATCAATTGACCATAGATTAACCCCATTTGATCAGTAGGTAGCGCAGGTCTTTCAACTATTTCTCTTTTTGAATCTGTTCTCTTGAACCATTCATTAGCTTTTTTTCAGATGGCACCTCCGAAGAAGGGAACAGCCCACATGACGTCTCTACCAACGAACGCCACCAGGGCGGCGAAAAAGAAGGATGAGAACGCGCCCAAGCGAGCCCTCTACCTACAGGCTTTGGCTTACTGAAAACCGCCCTCGCCTCACCAGGCCTGGAATTTCCGCTACTGAGGTGTCGAAGGTATAACTGTTTTTGAATTGTCACTTGATCTTGAGAACCTTTTTGATTAGGTTAGTAAAAAGCATTAAATCTTGATGAGTCTGCTAAATTTGACGTGGCTAAAGGTTTGTGGTACTATCGGATGGCTGCGAGCCTTTACACGCAAAATGCTATCTTGACTAGTAGAATTATTGCAAACTGTGCGTAGGGAAATAAAAACAAATCGAAATTAAGGCTTTTGATAAAATTTTAACGTTTTTTGTTTAGGCTACCGGAGCTGAATGGAAAAACGTCACGGATCGTTCAAAGTGGGGGAAGCAAGTCACGAAGAGCGAAATTCAAAGGGAAATCAAAGTTTACAAGACCTCGTCATCCTAATGAACCATCAACTCCGACTTGTTGTTGCTTGTTTGTTTCCTTATATTATGTTTATTTGCTGATTTTACTTTTGCTTCAAAGAAGTCCTTTGTTTTTGACCATTTTCCAGTTTAATTTAGGCCTGTTGGTCAATAAATTATTTCGCCAGTTTAAGATGAAGTTAGTGGTGTTTTCAACACCTAATTATTGTAACTATAACATAACGATAGCTAATTGTGCCGATTTTATGGATGTGCTCCGGAGAAAGCTTGAAAAAACCGTTATTGGATATTTTTATTCAGAAAGCAAATGGCTCGACCAACCAAAGGAAGCAGCTCGCAAGAAGTGTCAAAGGTTTCACAGAAGAATGGTGGCAGTCCTCCCAAGCGAAACCTCACGGCCTTCTTTATCTGGTAATGTTTATCTTAACTAGTTTCATGTAGTTTATCTTGTATCAGGCTCGCCGAAAATCGCGCCCGTCTCATCGAAACTGTCAAACCTAATAAGGTTCTTAAGGTAAGCTTTGTGATTCGTTCATGTAGTACTGTTGCATTCTAGGCAGCCGGTGCTGAATGGAAAAAACTCGAGAACAAGTCCGTATGGGAGGAGAAAGCCAAGGCTGACAAGGAACGCTACAGAAAGGAATTGGAGGCTTTTAAGGGACGATCGACCATTTGAACCCTTCGCCAGGTCCTAATTTTATGCTACCGCGTTTCTCACTTTGTTGTTTATTTGCCCTCGTTAAAATTTAGTAATTTAACTTACCGTTTATTGCATACTTTGCATAAATTATTGCAGCAGAAATGATTACAAGATAACAAAATGATCAGGGGTACAAGTAAATTGGCAATCTTGTCAGAATTATTCCGGAATATATGGATTCGGTCTACACAATTCAGTCATTGATGTTTGGGGTGTTGCTTGCTACTAGGTGCAGGCGTGTAATTTATCGACCTCTTTAAATTTGTTTATTCGAGATCACAAGATAACAAAAAGTTCAAAATAGAATTAAAAGTTTAAAAAGGGAATGGATGACAAAAAGGGCAAATTACAAATGAGGTATCAATCTTTAGAAGAAACGTTAAATGGAACAATACGTATACATCCATTTTTCGTCGACTCTTCATTTCGATATTCACTTTGTTGTTGGCATGCCTCGTGTTTAAGATGAATTCGTTTCGTCTTCGAATCCAGGCTTTCAACGTCGAGCGCGCTGAAAAGAAATTCTTCGTTTTGGTTAAAAATTAAATTTCCTGGAATTCAAAAACTATTTGTCAAAAGCCACCTACATCTCTTCTAAATTCTCGCTGATCACACTTGATGTCGTTTGAATGAAAAGAAATGATCGATCGTGTGGTGTGGCCTAAAATCTCGATTGAAACGCAGAAAAAGAATACAAACCTTTTCGCCGAGCACGGGAAATGTTGTGAAGAAGCGTCGATTTATGATCGTCTTCGCGGCATCAGTTAGTTCCTTAAATTAAATCATCTTAAAGATAAACTTCAAATATTTACTTGACAACAAGCCCCACAATCGCTCGTTGTCGAATTATCGGCGTCACAAATCAAGACCGGTACCTCTGAAAAATCAATAAAGTAGTAGGTATTTGGACTATACAATAGCAAAACTGATAAGTCCAAATGTTAAAAACGTACCATAAATGTATGATAGTCAGTGCGGAGTTGATCCAATGTGAACACGAACCGCTTGAACATTCTCGCCGATCGAAACACTTCTTCAAAATGAAATTTGATAAATGATGATTTTTTTCTTAAAGCAGAACTTACAAAGATTTTAAAACTAAAATTCAGAGAACTAAAGAGCAGAGCTTAATGAGGAGCCTAGATTATGCCATTTAGCCTCAATCCAGGCAACAATAATTAGAGGTTTTTGATAGAAACTAGCCGGGATCATAAGCAAATTTTACCTAAAAAGTTTTGACAGAACGATTGCTCGCAAAGTTTGTCATTTCTCCTGGTCTTCAAAGGCTTTCCAAAAGGCTTCACTCGCTTTTTCTGCTGTCACTTCTCGGTCATGCCGTTGTTCCTAAAAACAGGTATATTGTTTTGAAATTGCAAAATCATTATTTTCAAATTTACCTCTTACAATCCTTTCTTTTCCATCCTCTCTTCTTTTGCAGCCTCGACTGTGGCTGTTCCATTAGCTAAAGTTTCACATTAAAACAAAAACTGCGAATAGTAATTCAAAAGAAACTTGACAAGGTGTTCTTTGTGTAAAATAACTAATTAACCGAATAAGATGCAGTTTTTTTGCATTTGAAAAGGCTATCTTTCTTCTAATAGTTACTTTTGAAAAATTTTGCAAAGCTTTTGTTTTAAGCAATTTCCAATAAAAATAAGGAGCGTAAACAAGAATGACAAAAATTGACGAAGACGATTTGGGTGTTTCCATTCACACAAACTACTTTGGCGTCAAAGTAAGGAAGATAGAGAATAAAAAGTTAAGCATACAGGGAAATTTTTGGCGCAAACAAATCAGTCGTTCTTGTTCTATAGCTAATTCTTAAATTTTGAGAAAAACCAGGCTTTCTGTCTCAAATTTTGTTGAAACAAGCTGGTTTTTCTTTTAAAATGACTCAACGTAAGCAAGAAACATTTTTAATTCCAAAAAGCCATACGTTAATTGGCAAATTAATTGTGAATAAAGTGAGCAACACAAAAATGACTCATCTGACTGACCTAAGAGTTGAAAAATCTCGCCTCGTATTGAAAGTTCACCAGAATCATTTATTCTATTTTTTATTTAGTCATTGGAAAGTTGATTTTTAATCGACAAACAACTGTTGTCATGTTTCGCAAATGTTAAAATAAATGTGATTACGGAGTTTCTTTTCTTTCCTTTTTCAAGATCCAATTACTCGGGTTGCCTGTATATTATCGAAAGTTAGTCACAAAAATTGACAGCTTTCACGTTATTCGCCAAAAATGTTTTTGATTCGAGTTTTTGAATTGTGTAAGAAGTTTCACGAACCTTTGACTGCTGTCACCATATCTTCGATTATTTATGGTGAGCTTTCAAACCAACTAATACTGCTTTGTTGAAGGGTTGCACTAATAGTAAGCAGAAAGTGATTTTTGAAGTTATTTGGTGACGAGAGGAAATCTTGAGACTATTGTGGACCTTTTAAAACCATTCAATTTACTGATATTAACCCATAAAGCCCTATCATGGTGGCGTTGGGATCAGTAGCACAGCGGTAGAGCAGTTGCCCGGAAAACGAAAGATCCCGACGGCGCACTTTTTTGATTCCCAGCCCTAGCCCAAAGACAAATCGTGCCCAAATTGATTTATCTAGGAACAACAATATTCTCAGATTTAGTGGTTTTTGTCGTGATTGATATTGTTAAAAGTAATGATTACGCCTCTTTGTTACAACAAACCGATTATGAAATGGACAGCTTTACTGAATATTACGTTTACTTCATCAGCGATGAAGGAAGAACCGATCTCAATGTCAATGAGACCGTTCTCCTGATGAATATACTACAAAAAACGAAAATTGTGGTAAATAAGATTGATGCTTGTTTGTAGATTGAACTGACTTGTATCCGGCTGTCGTATTTTCATGAAGCCACGGGGAGTGGGACCAACTCATTGTTCGGATCAGACTTTAGGCAGAAAAGCGGAAAAATAAACCCAAAATTTGAGCCGATTAAGCTTTTTCTACCTTAGCTATTTTAGTGTCATATTAAAGCTTAACTATTCAGCTACAAAATAAAAAATTTAATCAGATCGGATGAATAGGCAGGGTTTTGCAAGCATTTTAAGGAGCGCAAAGGACGCAAAGGACCTGTTTGTAGGCTGCTAATTTTAGTCAATTTTTGTCATCGACTCACTCCACTACAAACAGGCATAACTTTTAAAATTTTTATCTTGAACTTTTTAAAATTAAAGCTAAATAATATAGCTTCAAGATGATATATAATTAAATCAATGTTACAGTTGTGAGATCATCTCAAATTTGGCGTTTTAGTCTTATTTTCCGCTGTGAAAAAAACGGAAAATTTTTTGCGCTCGAGTTGCGCTCCTTAAAATGCTTCCAAAACCCTGCCTATTCATCGAATTTGATTAAAAAATTTTTGTTTTCGAGCTTAATAATTAAAAATAGTGAATAGAGCCCAACTTTGGATCTATTCAGTCAGCAATCGGCGACTGCTTGAGCTCATTTTTTTGTTTCATTTGTTTTCAGGTGTTCGGCTTCAGTATTTTCACAACACCGTTAGCCGTGTTTTTTGCGGCTACCAATATTGATCTCTCGTTGCCGATTCGGTAAGCTTTTTTTGTTTTTTTTTTTCAAAATTACCCGTACGATTCCCTGGGCCATTCGGTTGACCTTTTTGAGCTCAAACACAAATTTCAAAAGCTTCCAGGTTTTTGAATAGAATCTTCCTTGAGTTGGTTCTTATTAAATTTCCCATTCGAAAGGACAAAATTTTCAAAGTATTCAAACTGATAGACTATTTTTCATTAGTCTCATCTTCTCTAAAAAAAATTTCATTTTTTCTTCGAAAAACCACTTCAAAACGAAAAAATAGGCAAATTTTTGATATTTAAATAATTTATGTTTAGTTATTTACAGACTGCTAGCGGCTGCAGAAAACTCGAACAAATTCATTTACGTGTTCACTCTCTTTTCGACTCTCATCTGCGACCCAACGGAGAATTTGTTAAAGTTTGCAAAGTTTATTTCTAATAATTTTCATTTATCTTATAATTAGTTGCTCGATTTACTATGATATTACAAAGAGCGCTTTTGAGTACATTGCTATGTTTGGTCTTTACGATATTGCACAGTACTGTCAATTTATCATTTCCTTAAGGTTTGATTTAATTAGAATTTTTAAATAAAAAATTTTGCTAAGCTGACTTTTCAGTCGCTTCCTTGCCATTTCCTTCAATGGAGCTTTCTTTCGTTATACCCTGAAATTTCCACTTCTCCAACTTATCATACCGTACGTGTTGCGATTCGGTATCGAGGGCGGGCTGTGTTTATTTATGCCCAATTACTATCTCGGGGCTGTTGGCTCGATCAAGTATTATTTGGTGGCTTTTCCATACTTTCTGACATGTGGCCTCGACTTTGTGACCAGTCGCAATATGAAACACGTGAGTGCTCCTTTTGTGCTTTACTGCAAAAATATATCAATTTTCTAAAATAACTTTTGAAGACAATATGCCACTTGCGCAAAAGTTGCAATTTGCATATTTTGCGGAAAACTTAATAACTTGCTCAGATTCTCACCGATTCTTGAAATTATATATCAAAAGGTAGCTGAACTTGAGAGGAGCAAAATGAAACTGAAAACAAATCGATTGGTCAAAATTTGAGCGAGCCATTAAGGTTTCCGCAAAATATGCAAAATGTAATTTTTCCGCAAGTACTAGGTTGAGGAAAAAGTACTGACTCAGCTGCGAAAAGTTTCATTTTTATGCGCACTTTAATAACAAAAATAATAACAATATTATTCCTCAAAGTATAACCCATCATTAGTTCACAACTTTCTGCCATCGATCTGCAAGCTTTCGGATCTGGTCGAAGTACTTCTCCTTCGGTTTTGAATCAAAGAACTCTTGGCAAGCTTCTTCAACTTCTTCAAATGTTTCCGTTTCCAGCAATAGCGGATCAAAACTCGAAGCTCTTTCTTGCAAACTCATCTGGAATACAAAGATCAAGATTAGTACAACACTATAAGCGCGAAAAACCAGCAAAAAATGCATAAAAATTGCATTTTTCGCAGATGAGTTAGAACTTTTTCCTCAACCTGATAGTATATTCCCCTTTTGAAATGTCTGAAAATCTTTTGTTTCCAAGCCTTTTCAATAGAACATAATTGAATACCTTTTGGAAAGATCCTTCAAAGTTCGATTTCTTGATTAGTAAATGGCCTGAGATTCTCTACGCTTAAATAATTTGTATAATGTTTTGTTTAGCAATTTTTTTCGACTAGATTTTTCCAAGGCAAAAAGAATAAATCTTTAGATGAAAAGAAGCGGCAGGACGACACGCGCCGAATCGCTGCTGATGCTTGAGGTAATGTTTCTTTCTGTCGACAGCAAATGTCGGTTTTTCGATGATTGCCAGCTCAATCTTCACAATCACCAACTACGTCATTTACGATGTGATCAGCTTGATTCTCCTTGCTTTTGCCGGCAACAATATACTGGGTCTTGTGGAAGGATCAAACGATCTTGTCTGGGCGCTTTTCTTTCACCTAGGAGCAAGGTGGGTTCTAGTAATTTGCAATCGAACCACCACCTGAAAGTCAATAAGCAAAAATCGAAATTCCAGTTCAATCAGCTGCTTTTGTTTTCGACGTCGGAAAGAAAAGCCCCGCAATGTGATTGTCGTCTCGCAGACCACTCAGATCCCCTTATCGAGCCGATAGGTTAGTTTTTGTTGCGAATTTTTTTAGAAAAACACATGTAAAACACACCATTTCAAGTCGTAAAAATGAATTCTATTCTTATGAAAATTTCTTTACAAAAAAGATCCTTGAGAACACTTTCATTGTTGTGCTACAGTAAAATGCTAGAGTTCTATTGGGTTGGTGGGTATGACTTTTTTGAAAACACGTTGAAAGCACGTTTTTTGAAATCAAATTTTGCTTCAGTTAACAACTTCAAATTATGTGAGATATTTGCCATTGTATGATTTGTGCTCATTTTACTGGTAGAAATCGAATGCCTCTTTCGCAGAAAATCTTCGGTTTTGTTGCAAACCAATCTGCCAGCCATTTTTTGACCTCTTCTTCGGAATCAAAGTGTTTGTTCGCCAAGTCATTGCTCATCGCCCGGAAGAAGTAACAACAAGGTACAAGATCAGGGCTGTATGCCAGATGGACCATCACCTTCCATCCAAGTGAGTTTCGTGTAAAACGAGTCATCTTCGAAACACGCGGTATAGAATTACCATTTAAGTCCCTAATCGCAAGTCGCAAGGGACCGGAAAAATAATTCGTTATATCGAAATTCGTTATATAGAAACAACAAGCAGCGTTATATAGAAGCACTTAATTCCTGTTGAAACTCGTTGTGTAGAAATAGCCACTGGTTTTTTTTCACCGATACAGGTCTCCATAAAAGTTAGAATTTAGCTCACAAGAGCGGCTATATTGGTGTTCGAAAAAACTGCTTCAAATGAAACCATGTTCAGTCCTTGATAGCTTTTCCAAAACTTGCCCCTGCTACCTCAACCTTAGCACGTGCGCAATTACATTAATACAGATAATGTAGAGTTAGAATGATTAGATTTACGTTTTAAAGAGGTCACGATGGCTCTAAGTACCTAAACCAGTGTTCCGAAAAAGTTCATTCTTTTAATATTCATTCAATTTCAGATTTGAGCCCATCTCTCCTTGTTTTCAACATTATCAAATATTTCAACAAAGTTCAAATTTTGATATTTTCTGGGTTTTCAAATTGCAATTGTTTCATTTTGTTCAAATAGAAATGCTGTTCTTTTAAATTTTGAATCTTGAGCTCTATTGTGATCTAGTTGGTTGATTTGGAGTGAATATCTAAGCTGATTGTCACAAAAAAAGTCTTTATAAAGTCCAACTCCGAAATTAACACAAACATCCAAAAGGTTTCCATGACAAGGTTTCCAGAAATGGTGACGATTATTTAGGAAGGCCAGAAGCAATTCAGTAGCAGATCTATTTGGAAATCGACTTTTGACAATCAATAACTTCATTCTGTAAGAATCTTCTTGTTACAACACTACACTCGTTTAAAATCTTTAAAACTCTAATTTCCTTGAAACATTCTTTTTTAAATGCTAACTAAGCCTGTCTTTTTAAATCACAGACAAAATTAGTACTCTTGTACCAAGCAAAGCTTTAACAGCCTAACGGTTTTAGCATCAGCTCAGATCAAGCCAGGCCTGCAGTAAAACCAAGCTAGGCCAGATCAGGACTTGGTTTCTGAACTGACCCTGGTGGGTATGACTTGGTACGTTTTTTCAAATTAAATCCCAGAGATGTAAACAAACACCTCTGGGATTGAGGGAGGGGGGTTTGTGGAAGGAAAATAGGTAAGTGAACATTCACTCTTGCGAAAACAATGGACTTTCACTTTCGACATATTTGGCTTTTGGAATCTTACTTTACTTTGTTCTAACTATTGAAAATCTACCACCTGGAGATCTGCGACACGTTATGTTGTACGAATTTCTACAAAGACACAAGGGCCTCTAGTGTTCAGTTGATATTGAGATTGTTTATGTGGAAGGATCAGCTCAACTACGGACATATACAAGCTTTTTCTAAATCCTCGAAGTCCAGATGTGGCCCAGCTTCTGGTCCAGCTTCTGGTCCAGCTTCTGGCCCAGCTTCTGATCCAGCTTCTGGATTAGCCATAAATCCTCGAAGACAAAGGGAGGAGTCATCCAGCGGATAATAACAAGTTACTCGAAATTTTCTAAACCAACAAAAGGCTTTCTTAGCAGAAATAGCAGAAGAGTTATCAGTTAATCATACAATAATATTCGAACATTGCATACACTTGGGTTTAAACCGTATTAGGGACTTCGAAATCAGTGCCACTCATCTTTATCGATACGAGCGCAAATCTTTTTTTACCCTGTATTGTGACGGGAGATAATAATGAATTCTAACTCTCAACCTTTGGAGAAAGCGTCAATGGGTTGCTGAGGGGGAAAAGCTCGAAGATAAAGGGAGGAGTCATCCAGCAGTCCAGCTGGATAATAATAAGTTGCTCGAAATTTTTTAAACCAACAAAAGGCTTTCTTAGCAGAAATAGCAGAAGAGTTATCAGTTGATCATACAATAAGATTCAAAAATTGCATACACTTCTGTTTAAACCGTATCAGAGACTTGTATTCCGCCGTAACACCCAGAATCAAAAAACTCCAGAAAAGCGGCAAATCAAAGTGTCCAGTCTGTAGAGCGAAAATGAACAAAGGATTGAGTTTGGGAGTGCTCGAGGAAGGGATCGCTGAGCCGCTCCAGGTCGCTCAATACGACTTGAACCTCGCCGGTCCAATCAAGGCAATCAAAAAGGTGAAGGATTCAAAAATGCAAGCTATAAGACGATAAGCTTTTAAATAAAGCTTTAACGGCTAAACTTATCCTTTCGTTCTGGGATCGATTGACCGCTTTTCTGGAGTTTTTTGATTCTGGGTGTTACGGCGGAATACAAGTCTCTGATACGGTTTAAACAAAAGTGTATGCAATTTTTGAATCTTATTGTATGATCAACTGATAACTCTTCTGCTATTTCTGCTAAGAAAGCCTTTTGTTGGTTTAAAAAATTTCGAGCAACTTATTATTATCCAGCTGGACTGCTGGATGACTCCTCCCTTTATCTTCGAGCTTTTCCCCCTCAGCAACCCATTGACGCTTTCTCCAAAGGTTGAGAGTTAGAATTCATTATTATCTCCCGTCACAATACAGGGTAAAAAAAGATTTGCGCTCGTATCGATAAAGATGAGTGGCACTGATTTCGAAGTCCCTAATACGGTTTAAACCCAAGTGTATGCAATGTTCGAATATTATTGTATGATTAACTGATAACTCTTCTGCTATTTCTGCTAAGAAAGCCTTTTGTTGGTTTAGAAAATTTCGAGTAACTTGTTATTATCCGCTGGATGACTCCTCCCTTTGTCTTCGAGGATTTATGGCTAATCCAGAAGCTGGATCAGAAGCTGGGCCAGAAGCTGGACCAGAAGCTGGACCAGAAGCTGGGCCACATCTGGACTTCGAGGATTTAGAAAAAGCTTGTATATGTCCGTAGTTGAGCTGATCCTTCCACATAAACAATCTCAATATCAACTGAACACTAGAGGCCCTTGTGTCTTTGTAGAAATTCGTACAACATAACGTGTCGCAGATCTCCAGGTGGTAGATTTTCAATAGTTAGAACAAAGTAAAGTAAGATTCCAAAAGCCAAATATGTCGAAAGTGAAAGTCCATTGTTTTCGCAAGAGTGAATGTTCACTTACCTATTTTCCTTCCACAAACCCCCCTCCCTCAATCCCAGAGGTGTTTGTTTACATCTCTGGGATTTAATTTGAAAAAACGTACCAAGTCATACCCACCAGCCCAATAGATAGTTTATTGGCTACTCTAATCAAAAAACTCCAGAAAAGCGGCAAATCAAAGTGTCCAGTCTGTAGAGCGAAAATGAACAAAGGATTGAGTTTGGGAGTGCTCGAGGAAGGGATCGCTGAGCCGCTCCAGGTCGCTCAATACGACTTGAACCTCGCCGGTCCAATCAAGGCAATCAAAAAGGTGAAGGATTCAAAAATGCAAGCTATAAGACGATAAGCTTTTAAATAAAGCTTTAACGGCTAAACTTATCCTTTCGTTCTGGGATCGATTGACTTTGCTGTTTTCAGGTTGAACACTTTGAACGGATCTGGAATCAGATGGAATCACTGAAATTCGACGACAAACAAGACACTGGACAAGCAAGCGGTGGATTTTCAATTCGTTTTGAATTCTATTTTATTGAAACCTTTTGTACCATCCTGTAGTTTGAAACAAGGGCTAAATTTTGGTATAAAAATATATAACATTTGATAAAGAAAGTGAGAAATTTCAGTTTTAGCACGGCGCAATCTTCAGGTTTTCGAAAAAAATGACCAACTATTGTAAATTTTTGAACTCAATCTATTATTCACTTATAGAAACCCAGCCTCCGCCTCCAGTCAATCCCTCAGCTATTGAGCCAAAAGATTTGTGCGCGATCTGTGAACGCCCAGTCCTTGATGAAAGTTTCTCCTATCGATCATCCTGCTCGAGCCGTTACCATCAATTTTGTTATCTCACGATCTTTTACGTGAGTTTATTTATTGTATTTAGAACAGTTGGGCTGAGGATAGTCGAAAAATTTCAGATCTCCGATGTTCCAGTTCACCCAATTCACTCATATTGTCTACCACTTCAACTCGAGTTTTTTGAGGAAAACGCCTGGAATCTCGTGGCCGAATACAAGAAAGGGATCATAGATGTAAGCGAATGGAAAGTCAAGTCACAGGTAGAGAAATTTTTAGATCTAAATTTGTCACAAAACTTTTAAACTGAAAAAGTACCATAAAAGGGCAATGTACCTAAGGTTTTTAAACCCAAGTTCTGGATAATAGTTTAAAAAAAGTTTTGACAAATTTAGACAGAGCCCGAAATTGTGATTCCGCCAGAACTCGTTGATATGGGGGAAATAGAGGACGAGGACGAAGACGACTTTGCTAACTCCGAAGGTGATGATGGAGAAGGTGAGTTGCATAGAGGAGAAAGCGAAACAATTTATAAATTTGCATAAAATCCAATAGTTTTTTTCATTTTATAGCCAACTACCAGCAGGACCCGTGCGCTGTTTGTGGTGGCTCGACCTTGGAGCGCGGAGATTTCCTCTTGGGATGCTACGAGTGCCGGATGAGGTTTGCTTTACTTTAAGCTAAGCGTTTAAAATAAGTTTTGCTAACGAAGTACGATACTTATCAAATGCAAATTTAATTCGTTCCTTTGTGGAGAAAGTACAGAGTTGTTCCAACGACAGTTTTTCCGGGTTAGGTCAGGCTGGATCAGGCCTGTTCCGGTCAGGCCTAGCTTTAGTGCCGTACGCGAATAGGATTCGACACAGGCAAAGCCACGCCAGATGCAAATCATTTAGCCGACCCAACTTTACTTCGCCTAGTCAGGCCCAGCTTTACTTCAGGCTTGACCGGGCCATAATAGTACTCGAATAGATTTACACTACACATGTTAAACTAAAAGCAAATCCTGATCCTGACCTAAGCTGGCTTTACTGCAGGTTTGGCCCAAAACCCAGAGCTATATCTGGGTTCTAGCCTCGTCTGAACTGGCTTAAGTGCCCAAGAACCCGGTTGGAACATTCCTATAGAAAAAAGAAATGATACCACCTTGCTAGATTCAAAAATGTTTAATAAAAGACTTTCTGATCAACTTAGCAACTTGTATCCAACTTTTTTAGTCGTTGTCACCACTCGTGCATGACGGACGCCGAACGGGAAATCATCCGAACAACGGGTCGCTGGTGGTGTGAGAATTGCAAAGAGGAGGGAAATACTTTTCTCCATCATTTTGACTTGTTCCGGTGACCATCGAGAATTACCTAATAGAAATTTTTGAAATGAAAAAATCCAAATTCAATCCCGAATTTCCCTGATCTGATCGAATGTAAACTGACGGTTTCGTTACGGTAATTGCCCATCTTTTAGAAAGTGCTATTTAAAAGTCAGTACACAATCTCTTCTCAATTGATCTCCACTTAAATTTCGGATCTGACCTTTATCTTGCTATTTTAAATTTTACAGGCTTTATGAGTTACCCTTTTGATGTCCGGTTCTAACATTTCTCCTCACTTTGTGGCGTTAAAATTCCTCGTTTCTTTGTTGTTTCTTGAATCACTTTAAATAAAGTTATAAAATATCAGTTCTTTTTAAAATTTTAATGTTATAAAGCTATGATTATCTAATTCTTTGCTAACTACTAGAATTCGAACGATCCACTACCATTGACGATCCGATCCTTCACACCATTGACCTTCAAAAATGATATCAAAACCTGAATTCTTCCTATCAAAGGCTTATAGTTTAAAAATTGTACTTACTTAGATAATTTCATAATCTATTCTAGCTTTAAATATTTAACTCTTTTTTAAAAATTGTTATTTATAGCTTCAGTCTTTGATCAGTTCGTTTTCAGTGCGAGAATTCGTTTATGGTAATGGAGGCGACAAGCACAAAGGCGACGGTGAGTTGTAAACTTTGTCCTCAGGCGTAAACGCACCCTTTATGGTGCACCCAACTCTTTGTTTTTTTCTTGCGGCATTGTTTTAAATTTATAAAAATGAAAGATAGGAGCAAGAAAGGATGCGTTTACAGCTAAAAGTACACTCAATGAATTGCTTTTTTCAGACAGGCTCGTCCATCTGGAGACCACAAGATTGGGTCCCGCCATCGAAAAGTCTTCCCTCAAATAGTAAGTGGCGAAAGTGTAAACAGAATCAGCACTTTTCTTACATTCACGTTTCCTATCAAATGCTTAGGTAATCTCATTTATCGCCATCTCATCTAAAGACTGATTCTTTAGATTCCCAAACAAAAGATGCGAAGAGTTTCCGATCGAGAACTTTCACGAATCAACAGTGGAGCTCACAAGAGGTGATTCGCTTCTTCAAATCAAATCAGACCAACCTCTTGTTAACCTTCTTGTATCAATAATATATTTAAAGTGTGTAACTGATGTACTATGTAGGTCCGTACCCAGAGGAGGGATGGGGGTCACCCCCACTTCCGACAACCACCTCCGAAATCTATTTCTGGGTACTAGGTAATTTGTTTAGCTGCATGCTGTATCTTTTTAAGATTTACTTTAAGATTTCAAAGTGTACTCAAAATTTCAGAAAGCAACTCGACCCGCCGAACTGAAATACGTCGCACCGATTCCCTCAGAAAAGAAGAAAAGAAATCGACAAAAGAAACGAAAAAATATTTCCCCGAGTCTCGAATCGAATCCGATTTTGGCCAGTCCGAAGAAGAAAGAGGCGAGGAAAACGAATGGGAATGTGAACGAGGTAAAGCCAAAACCATTGGGCATTCAGCTAAATGAGACAAAGAAGAAAATTAATAATAATACTATAACTGGACACGGTATTCAGCTGAATGAAATAAAGCCCAAAGCGGTTCATCCATCAAATACACAGTTGATTGGCATTGAGAAGAAAAAGCACCAATTTTCCATTTGGAATGTTGTGGAAACAAAAAAAGCTAAGGTTTTAATGCAAACTTTCAAGAAAATCCCAAAAAGCATCCAAAGTCTATCGCCAAAACTTGAGACAAGTGAAAAATTGACCGATGAAACCAAAGGTATTCAGTTGATTAACGTGAGTGTTGAAAATCAGCCAAATCACAAATTGGATTTGGAGAAAAGCGGAAAATCTCAAGCTAACGCTATAGTTTTATCTCAAAATAAGCCCAAGCGACAAGTGAAAATGAAGAAAACCGAAGTTTTGTTGAAAAATTTGAAAAATCAAGCTATTGAAGAGATCTCTGAGAAAAGGTTGAAAACCAGAGCTTTGCAAGTTTCTCAAAAAGTTGAAACTAATCAAGTCCAGCAAGGTAAATCAAAGAAAGTTTTGAAAAATCAAGTGCTTGAGCCAAAAATTTCGAAACCGACAACTTCGAAAGTTCAAGATAAAGTTGGATCTCAAAAATTGAAATCAACTCAAGCTAATGATCAAAATGATACAACAATGAAAAAAGCAAAAGTCGTCAAAAAAGAAGTAATTCTTGAGACTTCAAAAAACGCAAAAGCTCAAGGGAAAACTTGAAAAATTGGCCATGCAATCGGAAAAGTTGACAAAAACAATAATTCTTCAGGAGAAAAGTACCAAATATGATTCACCGACAATCGGATCACATAAAATCACTGATGAAGAAACAATCTCACAACGGGAAATTATCCAAAAAGTGATCCAAGTGGAGAAAAGCCATCAACCGAGAAAAGAAAACGACGAATTTTCAAGGAAATTGGGAGTGAGATGCGATTTCGATTTGGTCAGCGCGATTAAAGGGGTAACTTTTATAGCTTTAGTTTTACTTTCAATTAATTGCGCTTTCAAACACTAGTCAGCAGGAATTTTGATAGACTAAACTCATTTTTTTCTCTTTACGATCCAATCTCTCTGACGTCACTTTGGCATTCTAAACAGTGGATAAGTACCGTATACCCAAAAGTTAAATGCCTTTTCTATTTATCGCAATCATTTCAGGAGCTCGTTAGTCTTTAGTGAAATCTAGTACTATTAGGTTGGGGAGAAAGTCTTTGCCGATTTTTTGGGAGAGAGCCTTAAACTTTTCCGATCTGGACGTGTAATAACTCATTCAAAAGCTAATTTTCTAGCGGACTGAATAAAAAACGTTTTTTAATATATCAATTTTCAAAGTTTTTGTAGTCTTTTTACTGAGGGGTGTCAGACCCCAAATTTCAAGGGCAGGTTTTTTTTGTATATTTGTATATTTTTATTTTGATATTTGATATTTTGATATTTGATATTTTGATTTTTTATTTTGATTTTCTTTCGTATATTTTTTACTCTTGAATATTTTCTTTATTTTTACGCTTTTTTAAAGTTAGAGCTTTCACTTTTTAATTGATATTTGCTTTAGATCGTGGTAGATCAAAAGCATGTTGTGCGCGTGTGTCTTCTCTACGATTTCAAGATGGGCAAAAACACTGCCGAATCACATCGTGATCTCTGTTCCGCTTTTGGAGAAAAGTTATGACCGCAAGATCCTGCCAGCTCTGGTTTGCTCAATTCCGAGAAGGTATTAAATCTCTTGAAGACGAACCACATGGGCATCGCTCGGCAGGGATCGATAATATAACAGATAGCAGCGAACAACTTATTGAAGCCCATCCAATGCAAACAACATAAGAGCTTGCCAAACATCTCCGCTTGCCAAACATTTTTTGGTATTTTTCTTCACTTCTTCTATTGCACTCGACAATCTGCCACCGGGACATATTCGTCATGTCATGCTTCATGAGTTCCTACAAGAGCACAGTGCAGGCTTGGCAGTTGCTAGTATTAAAAAGATATATGGGGAGGACTCACCTTCCGAAAGAACGAGTCGAGTATAGTTTGTCGATTTCGATCTGGGGACAAATCTTTGAAAGATGCAGAGGGCCGTGGAGCGGCACCCCAACTGGATGATTCCAAATTACTCGAACTCATTACCAACGACCATCGAGTGTCATCGCGTAAATTGGAAGAAGAGTTAGGGGTTGATCATGTTACAGTGCTAAATCACCTTCATACCCTTGGATTTAAATCGAAACTTGGGACTTGGGTGCCCCATGACCTCACTGACCCCCAGAAGTGGCAGCGCGCCTCCATCAGTGCCGCTCATCTCTCACGATACGAAAGGAAATCCTTTCTTCCTCGAATTGTGAAAGGAGATGAGAAATGGGTTTTATCTGTGAACTTTCGGAGCAAGCAGCAATGGGTGGGACCAGGCGAGAAACCCGAAAGTGACCCCAAGCCCGATTTGCACCAGAAGAATGCTCTGTGTTTTCTGGGATATGGAGGGAGTGGTGTACTGGGAGTTGCTGGATAGCAAGACGACCCTTAGTGCAATCAAATACAGTGAACAGTTGGGAAAGGTGTATGAATCTCTAAAGAAGAATTCAAGTCAAAGATCGTTCTCCTCCACGACAACGCGCCCTCATGTTGCAAAACTGAGTCGCTCTAAAATAAATAGCCTTGTTTGGGAGCTTTTGGCGCATTCCCCATACAGTCCGGACCTCGCCCCTTTTGATTACTATTTATTCCGGATCATGTGAATGAGCTTGCGGGAGAACATTTCGATTCGGAAGAAGCAGACAAAAGTTGGTTCCAAAAGTTTTTCGATTCAAAATAAAAAAAATTCAAAAAAATCCTACTACGAAAGAGGAATCCGCAAATAATAATGGAAATTATTTGGAATGGATTTATGGTTTTATGTTGAATAAATTTTAGTTCAAAGTCTGGCAGTTTTCAATGCACCAACCCAATATATAACGATGGTGCTTATTGTTTGGAGTAAATTGTTACCTAAAGAAATTTTGATTAAATTTAATGTTCGTAAAAAAAGAAATTTCTTTTGTAACAACCTAGTACGTAGTTCCAGTACTGCTCACGAACCACCAAGTCGCTTTCTAAAACGTATCAACTTTAGTACTATTTCGAGCCAATTCTTTCTTGCAGGACCTCGATTGGTATATCAACAAACACGCTGAGGCTTTCCGAGTGTTCAACGAGGCTCTCTTGCGCTTTTGTGCCAACAATGCTCAGGTTTGTAATTTACCAAATTTTTCTATAACTCTTCAAGTTTTAGTCTTCGAATTTCTACAAGCAAAAGGAGGAGCTCTGTCAAAAGATTGTCGAAAAAGTGGTCCAGGTTTGTGCAAAAACAAATTAGATTTAAAATTTTATCTATTTATCTATTTATAGGTATTCCCAACTCAGAAAGTCTCCATTCACCCGTATGGATCAACGGTGATTGGAACGGGGCTCCAGAAATCGGACCTCGATGTTTGTGTGGGAATCGGAAATTGTGAGGGAGAAGAGGTCGAGTATGCACCGACTTCAAGGTTGGAAATTTTCCTTTTTGAGCAAAAAACACCAAATTTTTATCCTGTTAATTTTAGTAAATCCCAACACTTTAGTTGCAAGTCAAAGCTCGGCAAGATTGCGAAAAACTTGCGTACACTCCTCCGACACAAATATCTGACTTTTGCCGTGATTGGACGGTGCAAGGTAGGTTAAAGTTGAGTTTGAACTTTCTTTGAATTTTAATTTCAAAATCGGCAAGTATCAAGAATTCTTTTTGCAGGTGCCAATCATCAAAATCCAACTCGTTCCTCACCTCGACGACCTCGAAATCGATCTTAACGTGAACTCTTTCGATGGCGTGTTCAACTCGTATCTCATCAAGTACTACACATTGTAAGTATTAACAATTATATTGTGTCTATTGTAAGATTTATCTTCAATTCACTGAACCATTTTCAGAGTCGATCACCGATTTGTGCAGCTTTCGCTTCTCGTGAAATATTGGGCCAAAGAGCTGGGACTTTGCGATGCACAAGGGGGAATGTTGAATAGGTGAGAGTTTTGATTGAGTAATGAAGGTACGTGGCCTCTAAAAAGTGTCAACTTTTGGAACTACCGTAATCTTGTCTTTATTTTTGTCCTATCTATCTGTTTATTTTTGTAGTTTTTCCGAAAGATCTCTTTCCAACTGCCAGATTTGGATTTGAGTCTTTTTTGAGTAGAATTTTTTGAATCAAGGCCAAATAATTGGTGGCAAGAGCGTTTTACACTAACACGTCAAAATAAACCTTTTCTTTTCAGTCACAGCTACCAACTGATGGCCCTTCACTATCTTCAATGCGGAGTCTCACCGCCAATTCTGCCAAATCTACAGTTTCTGCAACCGGAGATTGTAAGTGTTTGGCTTGATTGAAAATGAAATTTTTAAAGATTAAAGTTAACCAAAATGACATGAAGTGACTTAATGAAACAACTTTCAGTTCAATGACGATAGAGATCTCGAAGAAGTCACACTCAGCTCAACAACTGAGCTGCCACCGGTGGAAATTCCTGGTGGGTTTAACATTGAGACTAGGCTAAAATCAATTATCTAATCGAATTTTCATTTTCCAGCCTTTGAACAAAATAATGCCTCACTCGGTGAACTTTTATGCGGCTTCTTCTACTATTTCAGTGATTTCCCCTGGCAAACCGAAGCGATTTCGATTAGAAATGGGGCTGTTGTTTCAAGGTTTGAAATATATTCAAGAAACAGATTTAGATCGATTTTTTTAGAGCTGAGATCACAGAAGAAAAGGGCCATTCACTCATGTACATCCAGGAACCGTACCAAGAATCTAATGCGGCCAGGTAGTGCAAAAGTTGGACTCGCCGATCCTTTTATGGGTTGGGGCCGGGAATACAAAACATGGTCGGCTCCGGAATTCGAACCCATGACCTCCCGCTTACGGGGTAAACGCTCTACCAATGAGCTACTTCAACGGCTTAATAGCTGGTCCAATTACTATTTTTCAAAACTGGTATTGTTTTTGGAAAGCTTCTAATTCGACATTTTGCCTTACTATTAACTGGTACGAGGGTCCGTAAGCTAGCATTAAGCTAGATCTCAATTGGGTCCACAATGCAGCCAGCTTTCTGGATTTGAAGATATGTTCTAACAGGTTAATTAATAAGCTACAGTTCATGATTACGGTAACTCTAAAGAAAAGTACTTCAACCTCATTTCAAGGTTATGGTACTCATGGTCATATTTCAGAACCATGAATCGGCCTCCTCTCTTCGATTGGCTTCTCTCGTCGATTGAGGTGGCGGCGGATCTCGGAAAATCCCCATCATTCAGCAAATTCTTCAATCGATCTTCATACCCGAGAAAGCCTCAAAAACCCCAGAAACCAATAAAGGAGAAAAAGGAGAATAATTCGAATCCTTAGAATAGAAATTTTACTCATTCCAGCTCAATCTGATTATTTTGAAACTCTCAAAAAGTTTAAAAATTCTTGAGTTGAATCTCTGTGATATATATATATAGCTAGCTAAATTTTTGATATGTCCTAGGATATTTTTATTGATTTATGCTAATTTTGCCTTTTGATTCTAGGAATTTCAATCAATGTAAATTTCATATGTCTATTATGAACTGATCTGATTCTAGAAATAAATTGTCTTGAAATTTAACAGAGGCTCGGCCACAATATAATTGAAAAAAACCATGTAAATTTTGTGTCATTTACATATAGAGTGTGCACCTTGTTGTCAGACAATTTGTCGGACAAATTTGCATTGACAACTTTTTTGTCAGACAATTGATCCGACAAACTTTCGACAACGCGTTTTCTAAAAGGTGCGCTTTTTAAGAAAAGCTATAAAAAAATGTGCAAAATTTTCTTAAAATGTAGTAATGGATAGTTTTATTTAAGGATTTAAGTTTTTAAGGTCGTGGAATTTGTTTTTGTTTGTTTTCGTTCTAGTGCAAATGTAGACAATAGGCTTAATAAATTTGTAAATAATATAAGTTTTTAATAGCGTTTCTTAACTTTTTCTATTTCAAATGTTTTCTTTAATTTTACACAGGAATTTCGATATAACGAAACTTCGTTATAACGATTTATTTTTCAGTTCTTTTGCGATTCGTTGTATCGAAGTTCGACTATACAGGGTGACCAGAAATAACGTTGCGGGATTTTCGGCAGCCTAAAATCCTCAAAGTTTCAATTTTGGGAGGCAAATCTATTTTTAACCTATTCTCTGTGATTGCTTTTATTATTTTCTTTGTTGTTTTACTTTGTTTCAAGTCTATTCATTTTTTATAGGATGACAAGCAAGGGATCTGCCATTCTGGAGCTTCATCGTCAAGGTCAATGCGTGAGTGCGATCGCGCGATTGCTACGTGTTTCTCATCAGCTCGTCTCAAAAGCGATTAAGCGGTACAAGGAGCTTGGCAACAATGGAGATCGTCCAGGAAGAGGCAGAAAAAGAACAGTCAACACCTCCAGAAATCACAAAGTGATTCAGAAGCGCGTGGCCCGGAATCCACAGATCTTAATGAGAAAGATCGCTCGCCAATCGGTTCGACTTATGGCCAAAAATGAGCTCAATCTTCACCCTTAAAGCTCAAGCAAGGACAACAACTCGACGACGACAACAAAAGAGTTCGACTCGAAAGATGTCGAGAGCTTCTCAAGCGGGCCGCAACTCCACACTGGGAGCGAATCCTGTTTTCTGATGAGAAGCTCTTCTCGGTGGAGCAAAGCTACAACCACCAAAACGATCGGATTTGCTCAACGTCCTCTCCAGGCAGCTCTGCAATTGTTCAGCATCCACAAAATCCCAAATCGGTCATGATATGGGCCGAAATCTGCGCAACCGGCAAAACTCCTCTCATTTTCATCGATTCTGGGGTAAAAATCAATAAGGATGTGTACCAAAAAAAGATTCTGGAGGATGTTTTGCTTCCATGGATCTCGGAAAACCAAAACAGCATTTTGGTAACGGATTTTGGACCTTCCAACAAGACTCCGCTCCTTCTCATCGAGCCAAATCCACACAGGACTGGTGTAGGATAAACTTTCCGGATTTCATCTCGGTCCAGGAATGGCCTCCGTATTCGTGCGATCTCAATCCGTTAGACTACAGTGTTTGGTCAATTTTGGAGGCAAGGGCTTGTGCAAAACCCCACAAAAGTTTGGAGGCTCTTAAGCGATCGTTGACCAGGGAATGGGATGAATCACTCCGGCAGAGCTGCGGCCCATCGCCGAAAACTTCATCAAGTGTTTGAGGCTCTGCATCGGATCCAAAGGTGGCCACTTTGAAGAAAATTAGGTTTTATGCTCTCTTTATCATGTTGTTAATAAAAATTGTTTTTGCTACAAAATCTTTTTGGATTTTTAAAAAAGAGGCTAAATTAGACCGCAACGTTATTTCTGGTCACCCTGTATACCTTTTTGATGTACTGTAGTGCCAAAGAGACTTAAACTTTACAGCTTCTACATATTTGTATGTTTATTTTTGTTTAGATCACAAAGTTTTTTTTAGCATCACCTTGCCGAACATTACCCAACCAAGATCAAAAGGTGTTTCAGCATTTTGTTTTTCTTGTCAAATCGAATTTTTCAAAATTCCGCGAGTCATTGCTTCAGAGAATTGCGAGCGTTCGCAGCAATCGCTTTCGAAAGCACGGAAATCTTGCACAACAATGATGAGAACTGGGAAAGAAAAGGGGAATTGAGAAAGGGAAAAGATTGGGGAAATGGGGAAATAGTGGGAAATGGAGAGAGAGATGAGAAATTGAAAAGGATTTATTTTCGAAAAGGCTAACTGGCCTTGTACAGGGGCGTGGCCACTGACCGCCCCATTATAACTCTAAATTTTGAAGCTTTAGATCATTTAATATTTTAAACTTACTTCAACTCATATTGTTCTTATTTTGACCACTTTTGAACAACCTTTTTTGAATTGAATAACTTTTTACACATTTTCTATGCCTTTACTTTATTGCCTTGTGTAGTTTGTCGAAACAAATCTTGTTAGTTGTCTTGGTCTATTTAAGGTCAAACTTTTTGGCTTTTCCATCCTTCCATCCAACTCTGCTATCATGAGCGCTTCTTGATTTACCACCCCAACCCCACTCCTTGTCAATGACTTATTTATTCATCAAAAAAATATTCAAATTCTCATCAATTTTCCCGCAAAATGTGATTGCGCCTGGAGCCATCGGCAAAATGTGATTGCTCCAGGCGGGGATCCGTGGCCTCAACTCGTTGCACATCGAGGTAAGCGAGGTTTGGGCGTTGAGAGACGGTTGAAATAGTGAGCCATAGTTATTCCTCGCGAGTAACGCGTTTTTTAAAACACACACTTGAGAAAGATTACCGTACTTTTAGCGAAAATTATTGGAAAAAAATCACGACTTATATGACTCCTTTTAAAGATATTCAGCCTCTTAACTGATTTGGTGGCAAATTCCCGTCAAATGTAAAGATATTCAATTTACTCGACCGGTTGATAGAGTAACAATTACTCGTGCAAATCTTAGTAATGACTTACTCGCAAGGAACACACTCTAGTGAGCCATTATTTTCCTGTTTCTCTGATTCCTAGTGACAAGGGACAAATCTTTGACCTTCTTTTTTTTTGCACCATGGTGACTCACATGCACTATTCACTAGCCAAAACGTGTTTTGGAAAATTCTACATAGTCCAAAGCCTATTCAAACCCAGAAATTCTTTTTAAAATTTTAGTTTGCAAAAATTTTGATGAGTAAAACTTTTGTCACGAAAAATTCTAAGTACTCAATTTTTTTTCAAAAATATTATCATTTCCTGTTTTTCTCAATTTGCCTTTATTTTCTTCATATCTAGTTTTCTTATCTTTTTGCGTTTCACGATTTTTCATGTGCAGTTTTTTTTCGAGTGAGAAGCTGACTCATTCAAAGAGTGCACAAAATGTCACTAAAAAGAGTAATCATTTTTTTTCATTTCTTGGTCTTTCCACAAATAAATCAAATTAAATATAGCTTTTGGAAATAAAATTGATAATTTCTAGAAGTTTTTAGCAAATTTTGACTGTTTCAAGTGCGACTTTAGCTTATTTTGTCCCTACTTTTCCTTTGTGCTTGTAAATATTGAATCGTTTTTTGATAATAAGGTTGATATGATTTGTTTGAAATTTTTGACTTTTAAACTTTAACCTGTGTTTTCTATAATATACAAATTTTTCATACTGAATTTTGAACTGGTTTTGTTCTACTTTCTTATCCAAAACTGTATTTGACCAAAATCCTCAATTTCATTTGGGATCCTTGCGAAAATTTCATTTTTTACTTTATTTTGTGGTTTCTATATCTTACTCCTTTGTTAGTTTTTATAAAGTTTCTAGTTTTAGAACCAAAATGGATACCTCAATCCCATTGTGGCAAAAGCGAATGGAGGAGTTGCGAGTGTCCGGTGAGAATTTTGCGGCGATCAACGGGGAAAAGGAGGCGCAACTCGCGGTTGGTTTGAATATTAAAACATGATTAGATCTGTTTTTTAAAAGGCACCAATTTTAGAAGGCTACCGTAATCGCGTCGGTTTACATTCGATTAGCTCAATTTGGTGTCATTTGATGAGGAGTCACAAGGCTTAGGCAGTGATACCAAAAATGGGTTGATCAGATGTAAACTAGTGGATTACGGCAGTTTTCTGAAAAAGGTCTAGTTTAGAAAACGCAATAGATTTGAGGATTCCATTATTATAAAATCTTAAAACTAATTTCCAGAAGAACTTCGGAATGCTGGAGATGCTGGCGACGAAGGGCAAAGCGGCCAAAGGGCAAAAGGAGAAGGCTCGATCGGATCAGGTAAAAATCTCTTAGAATAGACTTTTTAAGAATTTATTATCTTATCAAGGGGTTTATATGTAAATTTAAAATAAATTCTTAATCTGTAGCAAAAATTGAGTAAAAAATTTCAGGTGAAGAACTCGGCTGGTGGTTTCGTTTTCGCCGTCTCTGACGTGACCCGAGTTAGGCGATTCTTGATTTTGGGCAAGTTTTTGATAAATTTAAGATAAAATCTAAATTATTATCTATAGTATAACCATTTTTAAAGTATAATGTAAATATCTAACGTGTTTCTTTTCAGGAACGGACGGCGGAACGTATTACTCAAAGGAGAAGACCCTCCGAATGGAAAACCTCTCTGCGATGATCAAGATCATCGACCAAGGTTGGACTTATCGATTAAAACGAAATCTGCCTTTAAGATTAAATGTAAATTTATAACTTCAATGACTTTTAGGAAATGCTCACATGATCCTCACTGAAGTCCGCGCGATTTCGGTGGCCGGCAGAAATCCCCGCCAAGACCCTTTGATGTTCACATTGGCTCTTTGTGCTAGGTAGGAAATTATCAATCAAGTAAATCTGTTCTTTTGCGTTCTTTGAGCTACCTTTTTATGCAAACATACCCGTTCTGAGGCACTGAAATCCTCCTTTTGGTGTTGAGTATTTATCGATTAGACTAGTGCAGAATAGAAAATTAATTACGTTAGAAAATAGGTAAGAACAAAAAACCCAGCTTATCTTTTATTCCTATTTGGCACTAATTTGATCGATAAGCAAGTCATAACTGCCACATCCAATTCCCTGTAAAAATGAGAATTTCAGTGTACCAGAAAAGATGTGTTTGCAAGTTTGAAGTAGAGCAAAGAAACAATTTCAGTTTGAGTGCGTAAACAATCAGATCTTTTAGATATCGAGTCTGTGATGTGAACGAGAAGAAAGTAGATCAACGAGCGCTCACCGCCACCTACAAGGCCTACCTCAACGCGATGCACCGTGCCGCTCTTTCAATCGTCAACGATGTTAGTTTATTTATCCTAGCTATTAACATATTAATAGCAAATTAAATTAATCTTCAGGTTTGTCGAATCCCCACTCATCTCTTCCAATTCGTTGAGTACTGTGAGCTCGTCTCGCAACAAACCGCCGGTAATAAAGAACGCAAGTCGACTGGATGGGGACGAGCGATGAGAGACACGATTGCTAGATGGTTTGTTTGGAAATAGAATACAAAAATCTAGTGTACCAGCTATACGTTGTCCTCAGAAATGTAGATAAACCCTTCCTGGTGCACTCAATTCATCATTTTTCTCGCGGCACAAAGCCTCACTGCAAGAAAAATGAAGGCTTGAGCGCGCCAGAAAATCTGTGCATTTCAGCACAAAGTACAAATTGAAAAACAAATCTAGAGTTCTTTATTACAAGTATTTTAGGTACACTGCTAAAAAACCCGATCAGCTGGCGATGGCGGTCACCAAGTACCAACAGAGGGAAGGATGGTCACACAGGGATCTCTTCAGACTCAGCCATCCAAAGGTTTGCGGTTTGATATTATATCCAGCCTGCAAGTCAGGCCAAAAACTGGTCAGTAGTTAGATTCTGGGACTTTTATAGGCCAGACCTGCCAGTCAAGGTCAGAAAGCCTGGCTTTTGGCCTGTACTTGAGTCAGGACCTGGCCTGGCCGGGGAAAATTGGCTTTAGCACAATCTTGAAACGGACATAGCTATTAGTACTATTCGAGGCTTTATAGTACTTTATAGTAATTATATTATTATATTATTAGTACTATTACTTGCACATCTAATATATTATTTCCAGGTCGCCGTAAAAACTGACGACCCATCATTGCTTGAGCTCGAGCAAATCTACCACTTCATCGCCAAGGGAGCGCTGCAGACAAGAAAGAGAAGACTCTCTGTGGACGAACAAGTGGAATCAAAGAAGAAGTACACTGAGGATCAGCTTGATCAGTGAGTTTTAGAGGAGTTAAAAGGAATTTTAGTCAAAACTATTGCGAAAGTTCTTTGGTTTGAATCTAATGTTTCGCTAACTTTTTCCGAAATCCGACTCAGGTAGTTATTCTAAAGAATTCCACAGTTACCGTAACTCGATCTACCGTACTGAGTTTTATAAATCTTACGGTAGCCAAGCCACCAGTTACTTGGATTACTGTAATGGCTACGGAAATTTAGCAAGTATATGTCAATCGTTTAGCCATACTGTAACAAAGTTGAGCAGGTTTTTATAGTATTTTAACTTTAAGATACTCAGCCCAATACCTGCAAGTACAAATTATCGATTTCAGAGAGGACAACTCGAGCGCCCTGGACCTTATCGAGACGTTCAAGTCGCTAAAAGGAAACACCGAGGAATACCTCGTCGTTGATGCAATTCGTGCACATGGTCTCGTCCGTGAGCACATCCCCTCGGAACATCTCAATTCAATTGCCGTCTGGGAGGCTTTACTCGACAAAATGCCTATGACCGCACTCATCAGAAATCTCGGAAAGATGCAAGCGATCAATTTAATTAAGGGGTGAGTGAAAGACTATAAATACTCTAATAGAAGCCCCCTTATTGGAGCGTTGCGTAGTTTAAGTTTACACTCAAAGAACCGCTCATATCTCGGCACCAGTACCTTTGTTTCTGCAAGTTTAGGTATCAAATTAAAGTAGAAAGAATGGGTGATTTTTGAGATATAACAAATATTATTGGCATTAACAATTAGAAAAACTAGAAAAAAATTATTGAAAAGTGACAAAAAAAGCCATTTTTCATCATTTTTCGGTCATTTTTTCTAAGCACTGGTTAATGTTAAAAATATGTGCTATATCTCAGAAAAATCACCCATCCTCTCTACTTTAATTTGATACTTAAGCGCGTAGAAACAAATGTCTGGGATATAAGCGGTTCTTTGAATATAAAATTAGACTACGCGGACGCTCCTATAGGACTTCTATTAGAGTATTTACGAAAAAGTTTACACTTACTCATCAAAAATTTTCAGGGACAAGATCACAAAGTTGTGCAAGAAGCTCGGGGACGAGGGGGCAATCCGCGCGTCGAGAGTTCACCCAATCCAGGTAAAATCTTGTAGAGATAAAAACATCTGTTCAAAAAAGGTACTTATGAATATTTTGTGGAAAACTTGCATAAATTGTTTCAGCTTCATAACTCCGCTTATACTTTTAACATTTTTTTTTCTTATATGGCCTTGTAGGTACGTACATCTTTTTCTTTATCCGTCCATTGAAGGCTTATCTCTCATCCGTAATGCAAAATTGCTGGCAAGATAGTAATAAGTACCAAGAACTATTAATATGTCATAACGTTTTAATATATTTTTTCAAATTCAGGTCTTGATGGCTCACGAGATCTATTCGCGTGGACGCGGAGACAAGGGAAGCCTCTCGTGGCACCCAAATCCAACGATCACATCGGCCATCGAGAAGGTAAACTGAATATTTTCATAATAAAAGTATCTAATATTTATCCAGTATAAAAATCTAGACAGTATCTAATTTTAAAGCCTATGGATTAGTAAGTTGTAGTGACAAGGTCTTCAATAACCCATTTCTAGGCTTTCTACCTCTCCTTCCAAAACGTCACCCCCACCGGAAAAAGAATCTGCTTTGCTTTCGATGTCTCTGGTGAGTCTAATAAATTTTGATATCTAACTAGGCTTACTGTATTATATCATATATAATATCTAATCTAAACATCCTTTAGGAAGTATGAATTCTCAAATCATGGACTCTTGTCTCACTTGCCGAAAGGCCTCTGTGGCGATGGGAATGGTCGGGCTGAGAACGGAAAAAGAGGTGGGTAGAATGTGCAAATTACAAGAAAAGCAGCTCTAGTCCGTTAAAGGGAACCCTTTCCGAATTCATATGAATATTTAGACCGATTAAATCCGAGTTTCAATTGGTAGACTCAATAAAATGAGTAGCTTTAATCGATTCCCTGACCCCGAAAACCCCCGGGTACAAATTTACAGTTGAATATCTTTTTGTGCAAAAGAAAATCCCCTAAACAAATGACTGGCGAGGTGTTCTTTCTGTGGCCGCGTAATCGCTCGCGACCTGGCAAACCGCTCCGGTATAGAGCGCTTCCCTGAATTTAGATAATAATCCAACTCCAAAAGTTTCCTTTAATCTAGAGCCAGAAAGCTACAATATGTAAATAATATATATAACTTGTAAATGGTAACCATAATTTTCCAGGTGGAAGTGGTGGCTTTCTGTGGTGACCTCGTCGAGATTCCATTCGATCGATCGTGGACTCTCGAGCAGACTTGCCAGTACTTCGATGGATTGCAGTAAGTTGAGATACTTTTAAAATCTAAAGCTATGTCTTTACTATATAGCTCAATACGTTCAAAATTTCAGTTTCGGAACCACCGATTGCGCTCAGCCAATGCTGTGGGCGACGAAGAACAAGAAGAAGTTCGACTGTTTCTGCGTCTTCACGGATAATGAGACCTATTTCGGAAAGGTGAGAAGCTTTAAATTTTAACTGAATACTAAAAACAATTACAGTAATCACTTTGAAGTCATTCATGCAAAATTTCCCATTTAGGTGCACCCCTACCAGGCCTTGCGAGATTACCGAAAGGCGTCGGGCATCGAAGACGCCAAGTTGATCGTTTTCGGCATGACCGCCACCAATTTCTCTATCGCCGATCCAAATGACGCGGGAATGGTAAGGAAAATTTTCGATTGTTTACTAGAATCAGTTCTGCATGGTAGACTTAAAATTTGACTTGTTCTAGATCGTAATACTTGGCAAGATAGTTGAAGTAAGCGATCAAATTTGCCTCGTACGGAACTTTTTGGATTACTGTGACTAGGCTTGTTTGGCATTTTAGTAATGACTTAATAGAGCCTCCGCTATTCTTCATTGCCTATCATTCAATACTCAAATTTACCCCTTTTCCTAGCCATAGTTCTTAGCAGGGCTATTCTAAAGCAATTTTTGACCAGGCAAGGCCAGGGTCAAGCCATGAGTCGAATCCCAGGCTGACTTAAAGGCTGAAAATGTAAACCTGTTGAATTTTTAGCTCGACGTTTGCGGCTTCGATGCGGCTCTTCCCGAGATTATGGCCAGCTTCATCCGCGGAGATTTGTAGGCGGAAACGAAAAAGAGGGCAAAGAGTAGACATAAAAAATAAGAAATAGCGTTGCAATAGCTTTATAATCTCCAAATTTTCTATGATTGTGTACATAATTGTTATTTTTTTCGCTGTTTTGTCGATTTTTACGTGGTATTTCCCATTGATTTTGATTTCTTTTTTTGTTTATGCTTTAATTTTTGCAGACAAAAATTAAATTTATCCAAAAACTCAAAAATTTACACAGATTTCATCCAATAGTTACAAAACTTTTCAAAAAAATGTGCCAAAGATCAACTTTCTAAAGGAAATTTTTGTTTGCTCAAGTTCCTTTTCAAATTTTTGCAAGTTTTGGAAATAAAATTTTTCACTTTTCAACTTTTTTTTTCACTTCAGCCAGGTCCCTTTTTTGCTTAGGAAAATAGCATTGACTCAGAGAAAGTCCAACAATAATCCTTTACTGAAAGAAAGAGAAATAGAGAAAACAGCCGAATGGAATGCTGGGCGCTTTTTAGAGTTTGTCGCTGTCTACGCCTGTTACGAGGTTGAAAATGAACACTTTTTGCATCCCCTTTAGCCCTTTTAAAGTAAATCCTGGCTAGGGTGTTTAGAAAAAGTCCTTTCAACTTTTAAAAAATACCTTGTTCACTAGTTTTTTAAAGTTGTCAAAGTTGTAACTAACTAAAAACCTTTTAAAACTCTCTAAATTGAGTTCCTCTATCATTTTTACAAATTCATTTCACCGAAACGTCAAAATTCCGACTCATTACTCGACATTTTTTGATCTGATCTCAATTCGTGAAAAAGCAAATGGTTTGCTTCCACTTAAGTGTCTCAGCTTAAAGCCGAATCCTTTTCAAACAGGCTTCAAAAACATAATTAGTTACTGGATAAAAAATAAGAAACTATCTACTATATATAAAGCAGAAGAGACAGTCTGTGTGTCTGTCCGTCAGTGAGAAAACGCGACGCTCCGTAATTACGTTTGCTCTATCGGTTAAAAGGCAAAATATTCAAAATATTTTGCTCCTGGGGGGTTTTCAGCTATGGGGAATCTGACTTTTAGGTCCATTTTTAAAAAGAGGGCGGGGCCTAACATGGGTTACAGTAGTTTTAGTCATTTGAAAGAAAGAAAGAGCGGCCCCAGCGGAAAACGTGAACGAAGTGCGCGTTTTCCGCTGGTTTCAAACATATCTTTAAAGTCATCTTTAATTCAAATTAAAATGCAAATCCAAATCTAAAAGCAGATTGAAAAGTGTTGAGTTTTAATAGTGACTTTTTGAAAATACAAAGTTTACTTCAAAAATTTTTTACTTTGTTCATATTTCAGTAAAATGCAAACAAATTAAAAAAGCGCGAATGGTGAAAAGAGTTTTTCGCATCCTTGCTTTCAAAATGATTTTGTAACAAAAAATAATAGTATTTTGTAATAAATTTGCGCTAATAGCTCAATAGTAATGAATTTTACTAATAAATAATAGATTTTTTTCCTTTTTTCCCCATTTTCCTCCACTCCCTCGTTCATTCCAATAACCAGCATATAACTATCATTTTTTTTCTCAATTTTCCCCCATTTAGTCATTTCCTTTGTGCTTTTTCATGTCAAAACGTCAAAAATATGATTTTACGATCGAATTTCGACTGATAACAAAAGTCTTAGCACCTCGCGACTCTTTTTGGGGGAAAGGCAAGGTTTTGCACCCCATCATCTGACCATTTTCGTACCTGATTTCTTAAAAAGAATGCCAATTTTGATTCTAATTTCAATTTCAATTTTAATTCAGAAATGGAAATCTTTTCCTCATCTCAACTTGTCGAAATCGCTCACCAATTCGGGACCCCAATTTGGGTGTATTCGGCTGAACAAATCCGAAAAAATATCCGAGAATTGAAATGCTTTGACACGATTCGATATGCACAAAAGGCGGCCTCGAATCTGAATATTCTGAGGTACTATGAGTATTCTGAGCTAAATACTTTAAATCTTTAAATTTTTGGACAAACTCACTGCTGAGCTCACTTACAAGGTCTAATTTTGTGTACTTTGTGCTCAACAATAGAAACCTGCAACTTCTGGCATATCTAGAATTTGATTTACCTTTCTAAACCAAATCAAACATTACTACTCGTACCAAAGTTTTCCTCCAATTTTTTTAAGTTTAACTCTTGAACAGCAAAAACAATTGCAAACAAGTAAAGTGATTTGAAACTTTCAAATGCTTACAATTAGTTTTTTGAAGCTGAAAAACTTATTCTTTTAAGACTGATGAAAGATGAGGGAGTGATGGTTGATTCGGTTTCACTCGGAGAGCTGGCAAGGAGTCTCCGGGTTGGCTTTGACCCAAAAGGTTTGTGAAATTTTGTAAGCGTTCAATCAAAGCATGTCAACTAAAGTCCCCTTTTGGGAAAATTAAGAATCCGGAAACTTATCACGCTAGTTTCATCCTAAGCATTCTTTCTTATTCTGCAGGGTTGAGATTTCAAGGTGTGAGATAAAACCTTCACTGATAAAAAGCGTGAAAAAAGGCGCCATTCACGTGTTTGCCAATTGTCACGTCACTTTGAAAACGGAACCAAACAAAAATAAAGCAAGCTTTGAAAATAAGCTATGAGTTGCCATGGATTACTTTTAAAATGGAAAATGTATTGTATTTGAATCATTTATGAATCCATTTTAGCAGAAGAGGTCATTTTTACCGCTGATCTCATCGATTTCTCCACTTTGGAGACAGTGATTGAGAAGGGGATTACGGTAAATGCTGGTGGGTTTTAAAATCAGATACCGTAACCTTTTCAAAATACTGTAAGTCTAGCTGAAATATTTAAGACTGGTCGATTTGAAGAGAAAACTTTGATTGAAACTGCTAAAAGATAGCCAATCTTGATCAGGAATATTTTCCAACGACAGTTATTCTACTTTGCCGCATTCCAGGCTCTCTTGATATGCTTCGTCGAATCGGTGAACACTCTCCCGGGCATCGTGTATGGGTGAGAATCAATCCAGGTAAGTTATACAAATTATAAGTTGTACAAGCCTCTTAACTACGGTCTCTTTAGGCTTTGGGCATGGCCATTGTAACAAAACGAACACTGGTGGGCCACAGAGTAAACACGGAATCTGGCACACCGATTTGCCGGAAGTGATCGAGATTGTTGAGAAATATGAACTGAAATTGATTGGGATTCATATGCATATTGGATCGGGAGTCGATTATGAGCATTTGACACAGGTGAGAGTAGGGAAATACTAGAGGAATGGATGATCTGTTAGATTTGCTCTGAAAATTTGCAACATAAAGTGCAACAGAAAAGATTTTGACTGAGCATCTACATGCTATACGCTTCATTACCAGGGATTCATTGCCCTAGACCCTGTAAATCAGGCCAAGCCTGGCTAGATCAAGGCCAGGTCAGAGGTTAGGTCAAGCTTTGTAGTATCATATGTTACAATCAGGATTTTCCAAACCAGGTCATGCCAGGCCACAAGTCTAGCCCATACCTGGCTTTTGACTGGTCCAAGACTTTTGAGGGCTAAGCTAGGCGAGGCAAAGCCAAATCTTGGTCAAAAGCCAGGGTTAGATCCACAGCAAAGAGTTCAGCTCAGGTCAGGTAAACCAAACTTCAAGCTTGACCCTGCCTGTGAACTGGTCCAGAAAAATCGCCTTTGGAACAACCCCGGTTATTGCCTTCCAGATACCACGAAACCTCAATCTTTTACTCACCCGTATGCAAAAGTTCGTGGGCCCTTTGTTTTGTGATTTATTGAGAACTATCAAAGGCTACATTCGGAAACTTGATTAGTATATACTCTATAGTTTTTTCTAATATTAGCCAGAGTTTTGAGCTGATCGGACAGATCAACCGGGTAAACGAGAATTAAATGTGCAAACAACTCAACTCAAAGCATCCTATTTTGGGGGTAAATTTTTGGTAAACTTTTTGCATATTTTATGCAAGAATTTTGAACGAATAAACCAAGCACTTATTATTTTCTGTCCGGAAATTAGGTCAAATAGTCCTCGATAAAACATTTTCAGAACCTTTCCTCACCTGGCTTCACCGCAAAATCCAGTGCGGATTTAACGATCATTCTCCCGATTGAGCTTTCCAATCAGCTTGAAACTCTGGTTAATATTAGAAAAAACTATAGTGTATATACCAATCAAGTTTCCGAACGTAGCCTTTGAAAATTCTCAAGAAATCATAAAACAAAGAGCGGCACGAACTTTTGCATACACCTAAAATACTGTCTCAAAGTATTCAGCTAACAAAAGCTCAAGTCTCATTGTTAAAATTAAAGAATCTGAAAGATACCCATGTTTTAAAAGCCAAAATTTTCTGTTCCAGGTCTGCAAATCGATGATGAACGTGATCGAAAGCGTTGACGTTGGCGGATTACGGAATTTGGAGGCAATCTCAGCCGGTGGTGGACTCACTGTTCCATATGAAAAGGATGAACCCGAAATGGACATTCAACAATATTTCTCTCAATGGGATGAGATGAAGAAACTCGTCGAGAAAGTACTAAACAAGAAAATTCAATTAGAAGTGGAGCCGGGACGATTTTTGGTGGCCAATGCTGGAGTGCTTGTGACCCAAGTTCATGTGAGAAAGATTTCAAAGAAGGAAAAAGGTTCTTCTCGAAAATCGGGGTCTTTTCATTGTGAAAAGCTGTCATATGCAAAACGCAAAACCAATTCGATTCTCTTAGGACTCTTCTTGGGACAAAGGGTCAATAAACTCGCCAATTCCACATCCGGTGGATTGGCCTGGCAAAAGGTTTTTCTAAATCCCGGAGTTGGAGAATATAGACACGAAAAATAGAAAATAGACACGAATTGGTTTTGGGTTCAGCATATGATAGATTTTCACAATAAGAAGACCCGTATTTGGTCAAAAAACTCGGGTTTCCGAGAAGTGCAAAAAAAATCCTATAGAGTTGTTTTAACGTAAATATTTAAATATAGGTAGTTCAATTTCTTGTCTTTAAGCCTAGTGTACTTCAAGATGTACTTCTTTAGTCGATACAACACCGCCCAAAAGACGCTGCCGATTTTATCCTTGTTGATGCCGGTTTCAACGATTTGATGAGGCCATCAATGTATGGAAGTTACCATGGAATGAGTGTAATTTCGCAAAATGATACCAAAGATCGCCCAATACATGAGGTTTGAAAAACTAACAACCTTAACATTGTAAGATAATGGTATTCATTGAAAATGCCTAGGTAGCTAACCCAGTTCAAATCAATAAATACCGCCATAAATTTTCGTTTCTGTTCTCGTTGAAATTTTGAAAATTAGTAAAATTGTATTCAGTATGCTGTAGCTGGTCCATTGTGTGAATCGGGTGACGTGTTCACGCAACACGAGGGAGGAATTGTGACAACAAGGCATTTACCGCAAGCACAGGTTACATTGTGGATTCTTTTGTTCTCTTTTTTGCTCGATTACTTTTCGCCAATTTATACTGGCACCTTACATGTCTGGCCGGGCCTGAAAAAATCTCTTTAGAACAACCCTGAAAGTAATTTGTTTTCTAATAAGATCACTTCCAGGTTGGCGACTTTCTGGTGATTCACACAACGGGCGCATATGGAGCATCGATGTCATCGAATTACAATAGTCGACCCTTGGCCGCTGAAGTGCTCGTTGAAAGCGATGGAACGGCTCGATTGATTCGAAAAAGGCAAAGAATTGAAGATTTGATTAATTTAGAGGTTTTTGAATAAAGATTTTCTCCCGTTGTACAAAAAGGCATATTAACACTAAGAACAATTATAATGCGCTTAAAGTTACTGTAGAATGCATTATTTCGCTCAAGTTTAGTGCTAAAATGCATTTCAAAGTATGCTCAGCGGTAAGACTGAACTTGAGTGCACCAGAGAGTGTGCATTTCAACTTCGGCACTTACAAGGCTAATCCAGAAACTGACACTGTAAATCCAAGCGAGTCCAAGTACCCAAAAAATCTAAAAGGATAGCCATTTTCAAATCCGTCACAATTTTTGAAACAAGCGTTTCCGCAAAATCGAAATACCCAGAAAAACAAGAAAAAGAAGCGATTGAAACAAGTGGATCCTGGCATCGAGATGGGGAAAAGGGAGTGGAGAAGTGAATGGAAAAGGGACAAAAGGGGAGATCTCATCTACAATCTGTTCAATCTTTCAAACGAGATTCTCAAGTCTCATTTGTGGGAAACACTTCTCACAATTCTACCGTCAAAATCCAACAATTATTTTGTTTTTGATATTGTTTGGTTTTGTGTTTGTCAACTATTGGGTTGGTGAATTGAAAACTGCGGGACTTTGAACTAAAGTTTATTCAACATAAAACCATAAATCCATTCCAAATAATTTCCATTATTATTGACGACTTCTGCCCATTTACCGCCAAATACCAAAAAATAAAAAGCTGAAAGCATAATTTTTTCGCAATAATTTGAGGAAATGTTGAAGTAACCAAACCCCCTTTCAGCTGGTTCAATGCTGTTGTTTTTTATCTGCGAGTCCCGCGAAATAGCCGGCAATTTTCAATTCACCAACCCAATAGTTCTTTATCTATTCCTGCTCAAACCCACAGTAACGAGGTGTTCTTTGTGTGTGAGCACAATCGCTCCCCCATAGATACTCCTCCTCTCCCCAATTTCATATCTCTCCTGGCCTTAAGAGAAATTTTTGTTTTGTTTCATCAAAAACCTCAGGCAAACCATCATTGGCAAAACTAAGTCTTGAGCCCCTCAGCAAAGTTCCGAAATTTTGTTTACGGTAGTGATTGCGCGCCCCCTTTTCTTCAAAATATTGGCTTATCAGTTCTTTATACAAAAACACAATCCAGAAAGCCAAATACTCTTTTATATTTTTTATTGATTATTTATTCTAACAACCGGGCAATTCCGACATGTAATGTTTTAGGTGTTTAAAAATAGGGTCTTCTATCTCTGTTGCTCTGGCAAACATCAAGAACGTGTATAGGGATAACTCTTCTTCCGAAAGTACAATAAAACGCTGGTTCCACAAATTCAGAAATGGGGATGAAGACCGAACGGGTAGACCCAGAGAGCTTGAAAATGCAGATATTCTTCAACAAATTCGCGAAAACCCGCGGATTTCTTTGCGTGAAATTGCGGCTGAGGTTGGATACTCTCATCTAACAGCTGAAAAGCACCTTCTTCCTATTGGTTTTAAACCGATTGAGGGTCAATGAGTGCCCACAACGTCACCGACTTCATGAAAGAGCAGTTGCCGCTGCCCTTCTTTCCAGATACGAGAGGAAATCTTTCTTGCCGCGTGTAGTGAGAGATGAGAAGTGGATTATGACTGCAAACTTTCAGAGAAAACGACAATGCGGAGGACCTGAAGTTACACCAGTAAAGGATACGCTCCCAGACCCCACCAGAAGAAGTACATGCTATCGGTTTGGTGGGATCTCTTAGGTGTCATTTATTGGGAGCTTCTCGATAATAAGCAGACAATCAATGCTCTATTATATAGCGATCAGCTCAAAAAGCTCGATGAGAAAATTAAGGAAAATCGCCCCAATTCGAAAAAGGTCATTCTCCAACAAGACAACGTTCACATACGGCAAAGTTGACCTGCTCCACAATCGACCGGTTGCACTGGGAACTCTTAGCCCGTTCACCATATTTTCCTGAACTCAGTCTTACATATTACCATCTTTTCCGATCGATGCAATACACCCTGGATGAAAGCACTTCCAAAATGAAGAAGACCTCAAAAAGTGGCTCCAAGACTATTTTGGCTTGAAACCAAAAATTTTCTATCAAAGGGGAATTCACCAATTGCCAGTAAAATGGGCGAAAGTCATTGCAAATAATGGAGACCATTTCGAATAATGGATATTCTCCAAATAATGGAGACTCTTTTAGTTGTCAATAAATATTGTTTTGAATTTGGGGCCAAGACTTAGTTTACAACCTAGTACTCTATCGTCAAAAAACAAAAAGCCTACGAGACTCGGGATTTCCAAGCTTTCTCCAATCCAAGTACTAACCGAGCCCAACATTGCTTAACTTAGCAGATCGGACGGGATGCCGTGTTTTAAGCGTAGTATGGTCATAAGCGAGTCTGGGATGGTGAGAGACGATTGAAATAGCCTGAGAAGAGAGCTCTATCTATTGTTTTTGTTTACAATTTCTCTCATTATTTTAAAAGACTGTATTTGGCGTACTTTATGCTCAAAAATTGGAAACAAACGCTTTCTGGTGCACTCAAATTAGCATTTTTCTGTTGCTTAAAGTAGTTATCGCAGGGAAAATGGGAATGCAGTGCACCAGAAAGGGTGTGTTTAGCCAATCTTGGGCACAAAGTACACTTCATAGTTTTCATTTTTATATTCAGAATTTCAGCAAAAGTCAATTTGATGAGGGATCTATGTGCATTGCCTCTTTCATTTAATACCTTCTGTATTCTATTCAGTCTCTTCATTTCGTTGTTCGTAAAATACCTGGAAACGAATGCGCATTTCAAGCAGAAAACGCTGAAGATAGAAGATGATCTCTTCAATCGGTACCAATACAAAGTCGGTTTTAATTGAATAAGTTCTGTAGCAAGCTAAAATACTGTTTATTCTGCTGATAAATGTAAAAAAGTGCCCAACTTTCTCGACTACCGTAATCTTGCTTCAACTTTATCAAATCCTGTTAGTCTTTATAAACGGGGACAGAACTAATCATTCATCAGTAGATAAAATTGGACGTTGATTGTCTTAAATCCATTTTAAAGCTAGGTGACGATGAGTATCGGCGAGCGTTGTGGGCGAGAGAACAACTGTGTGATGGGAAAGATCGATGCTCTCTTGTACCGCCATTCATCGAATATGAAAGTCGACAAATGGTGGGTGATATTGAAGTTTGATTAAAGTGTGCGAAAAAACAGAAAAACTACTGCAAAACAATGGCTAAAGTCTCAGCACATTTTAAATTGTTTTAAATTGTCCTTTGGTCCCAAAAAGGGCCCCCATTTGTCGTTTTCCAAAACTTTCAAAAAAAAAAATAAAAAAAAATGGGGAAGAGGGGAGGGTTTGGATTGGTTGTCAGTGCCTGTCAGTTTTCAAATTGGGTTAACCTACAGCAATCGGACAAACATAGATAGTTTCGATATCTGCAGTATCAAAAATTGATCTCCAATTCAGATCGCTCCAAAATTCGGTATCTCCTCTTGTGTGATCTACAAGAATTTCTCCACCGTCATGACCTCGATCATTTGCTATATTTATGATATTTTCGAGTACGAGACTCATGTCTCGAAACTCATCGCTGACACATATGTTGTGAGGTGTGAAGGGGAAAAGTTTCAAAGAAAAAAAGTCTGATTCCAGATTTTGCAAGGGGAAAAACGAGTACACGTCATTTCGAGCGTTCAAAAATATGAAACCAGGAATACATCAGTAAGTTTTTTTTAAAATTTTACTTATTTGGAAGACGTTAATTGTCACTTTATCAGGTCATGGACAAATTTCGTGCTTGTTCGGGAGCCAACGGAACGTTTCTTGTCGGGTTTCATCAACAAATGTATTGGGTAATAAATCAATTCAATATTTGAAGTTTAAAAAGTGTATCCAAGCATGCTCTTTGATATGTGGCCAAACAGGCACACTTGCAAATTTGATGGGATGTAAATTCCAAATGTAGTTTTTAGTGTTTTTAGCTAGCAGATAAGGTCGAGGTTTATTCGTAGTACACAAGTAGAGAGAAAGATACAAAAGAAGTGAAGGAACAAGTAAAAGTCAATCTAAACCCTACTATTAGGTTGGTAAAAAAGAAATGCGCGTTTTCGTTAAAAGTTTATTTTATTGTAAAAACAAGATAACAATACATTAATCCAAAAGGTATTCGCCATCTGCATCAATGACTTGTCGTCAACGTTCACGCAGAGAATGGATGCCCTTCTTGAAGAACTCGACCGGCTGCGACTCGAAGTAGTTGGACACCCAAATTTGGACCTCGTCGCGGTTCTTGAACTTTTTCTCGGCCAAGGAGTGGTGCATTGATCGGAACAGATGGTAGTCGGAAGGCGCCAAGTCTGGGCTGTATGGCGGATGAGGCAGGACTTCCCAGCTCATTTCTTCAATTTTCTGCTGGGTGATTTTTGCGACATGCGGCCGAGCGTTGTCGTGGAGGGATTTTGTCGATGTCGTATCCACACCTTGACGTCGCAGCGCCTGGTCCACGCGGTCCACTTGGCCTTGGTAGAGGTTCGCCGTAACTGTTTGACCCGAATCCAGAACCTCAAAGTACACCAGGCCTTTACTGTTCCACCAAACACAAAAGCATCACCTTTTTTCCGTGGATGTCCGGTTTTGGAGTCGGTTTTGAAGCTTCACCGGGGTCCAACCACTGCCGCTTTCTTGCTGTGTTGTCGTATTGGATCCACTTCTCATCCGACGTAACAATGGAGTCACTGTTCTTGGCTCGGTGAGTGAGAATTCCGACGATTGCGACGTGTGTCGCCTTGTTTGCGTCGGATAGCTTATGCGGTACCCATTTTCCGCATCTATTCGTCTTGCCCATGCCATGCAGATGGTTCTCAATGATGACATGAGTGCAGCCGAACTGCCAGGTCGCGAGTGGTTTGGCGTGGATCCGACTCAATGGCTTCCTTCAATGCGTCGTTGTCGATGATTTGAGGTCGACTCCCGTGTTTTTGGTCTTCCAAGCTTTCGTCGCCGTCTCGGAAGCGCTGGAACCATCGCTTACACTGACTTTCGGATAGAGTATCTTCGTCAAACACTTGAGATAGAGCGCGATGAGCTTCAGCAGCCGATTTGCCTTGCTTAAATTCATACCACAAGCAGGCCCGCAAGCGAAATTTTTGGTCCGACATTTTCTAAATACTCTTTCTTGTAAAAAAACAAAGTAAACATAGACAAATTATATGTCAAACGATGCGCAAGAACACGCTCTTTCCAAAAGAATAAACTATTTAAAAAAATCTTTTACTGTGAATAAAATACAAATCAACAAACACGACGCTCATTTCTTTTTTACCAACCTAATAGATTAGGGTTTAAAGCTTTAACTTCAGCCTGCCAAACTAGACCCATCAACTCCATTTCAGTGACGCGAATCGAGAGAACCCATGCTACAATTGTGACAAGAATATCACTTGTGTCCTGGAGAGACAATATGAAAGTTTACAGGTCAGTATTATACAAAAAGCAACATTTAGTATTTAGATTTAGTAGCATTGTTCTAAAAAAATTTTCTAGCAAATAGCGCAAGGGAAAAAGTTCTGGCATACCGTAGAGGATTCGCATTTTGCGCCACAGAGTTGGTGAGTTTCAAATGAAATTGATGATCTGGTTGTATTCTAGGCACTGCGAAATGCGAAACAATTATCAAAACTACACCTTCATCCAATATAACTCGGCGAATACGGAAGAGATGATAAATGGGTTGATGAATCGATTTGAGGAATTGGATGTACCGTTGAATGTCACAGCGAACATTGCGAATCAGGTGGGAGAACCTCTTCTTGAACCGCTTTTCTTTTCGAAACACTTATCCTGGAGTTCAATGCTTGCCTAATTTCCCATTTACTTAATTTGAATCACAAGATTTTGAATCACAAGGCCCAGTCACTGTTAGAGGGCTAAAACAGGGGGCCGATCAAATGGAAACTGGCGGTTGGATTACGGTAGTTTTCTGAAAGATGAATAAGACAGCCATTACGGTAGCTAGCTAGTAACTAGGGTACGGTAGCCGGGGTAGAGTAGGTGTCTTTTAGAAAACGCATTAGCCAAAAGGGTACTGTAAATACAAGTATACTGTGTCAAGTCCCACTAGGCCGAATACCTTCACGTATTTATTTTTCTCCAGGTGCTCAGCGGGCGAACTTTCCACGCGACATACAAATCGAAACATCGAAAGCGATACGAGGATGAGATCCGATCGAGTCCATATTTGAGAAAACTCTTAACACAAATGTTTTTCTATGATTATATTCTTTTTCAATTTCCGTTACCTTCATTTTAATCTCATAACCTCAATGAAAACGTGTGCTAAAAATGCTCAAAACGGGTGCATTTTGCTAATGAATAAATGTTTGTCTTTTCAAAATCCATTTTGTTTTTTTATTTTCAAACCCCTAAAAAATAGACAAAATTTATAAAGGAAAAGGTGCAGAAAAATGAAAAAACTAGGCAGTGATTTCTGTTTTCCGCTGATTAAAAACATAATAAACATATAAACAAAAGAGGAATTTTAAAGAAATGTAAAAACGGTTTCAATTTTTCATTTGAAATTGAGAAATCTTGAGTTAGCTGAAGCAGTGAAGCAGAATTTTCAGTTAACGGAAATTGTCGAGAAGTATGAGATCTTTTTCAAGCGAATGAGGAAAGAAATGAAAAAGAACTTATTTCTGCAAAGTTTTATCAAATTTCAATAGTTGTGGATCGTTTTCGGTCTACGGATGTTACTTTTCGGATGATCTTTCGAAGCGATTGAATGCGAAGTCTCTTCTTCTTTATTGCCTAGATTGGGATGAGACCAAAAATTTGATCTCTAGGATCCTCGATCAGAGAATAGGTAGTACATTATAGATATTTAAATTGTACTTTAGTGCCTATATTCAAAAATGAGCGCCAAAATCTTTCCCTGTAAAACTATTAAACTCAATCATGTCTCTTTTTTTCAGGTGCACTTTTCAGTGAGCATGACGAAAAGGGGTTTTTTGGAATTTACGTACGAAATTCTGAAGATGCTCTGCGCGTTACTCGTCACTAAAAAACGCGTTACACGCGAGGAATACTTATGACTCACTATTTCAACTGTCTCTCAACCTCGCTTACCTCGATGTGCAACTAGTTGAGGCCACGGATCCCCGCCTGGAGCAATTATAATGAAAAACCGCACACGGCAAAGATGACCCTTCAACAAATCGAAGAGATGGGCTGGAAACTTCTACCGCACGCTCCATACAGCCCTGACTTAGCCCCATCAGACTACCACTTATTCAGGTCTCTAAAGCAGTTCATCTTTGATCAGCTATTCAAGGATTCCCAGGAAGTCGAAAATGCAGTCACGAACTATTTTTTGTCAAAAAGTTCCCAGTTCTTTGAAGATGGAGTTATTGAATTGAGCAAAAGATGGCATGATATCCTAAATAATAATGGAGAATACCTTTTACAGTCATGGACAAAAGTCTTTACCCCTACCGAGGTCAGCTTTTAAAACGCAAAATTTTTCAACTTTTTAACAAGTTTTAAAAATTGTTTTCAAAGCATTTTGTAGCATTTTTACTCTAGTTTTTATATCCCATAACCAAAAGAAACAACCATTTATTTTAGGCAATAAAGAACGACGTTAACAAAAAAAAACCCTCAAAACAGGTGGACAAAAGTCTTTACCCCTTTTCAACTTTTTATTTTCTTGCTGTTGTTTCGTTATTTTTCACATAACAATGCTTTATTATTTTTTAATTCTAGTGATGCCTGGAGCCTATCTGACCACTCCCGACAAAGAAAAGATTGTGGAAGCAAGGAAACGAGGCGACAAAGTAAAAGATGCAGTAAATATTCAAATGCAGCCCCGAAACGGTGAAAAAGCTTTGCAAGAAAGAAAAAGCGACTGGAATTCTTCACCGAGCATTCAAAACAGGTCGTTCACCCGTCACAACACCAAGAGAAGACAAGGTTCTAATTTTGGCCCACAAAAAGGATCCAAATCTTAATGCTTCCGAGGGAGTCAGATTAATCAAGCATCAATTTAACAAGGACATCAATCGAAAGACAGTAAGCAGACGTTTGATTCATGCAGGATTGATGACTAGAAGACCTGCCAAGAAGCGCCTGATGGTCGCCAAACACCGGAAGATTCGACTCGACTTTGCCGAGAAGTATGAAAGTTGGACAAGCAACGACTGGGCCAATGTCATCTTCACCGATGAATCGAAGATCAACCTTTTCAATCCCGACGGCAATCATTTGATCCGGAGACCTGTCGGACAACGATATAGCACCAAATACCTTCGTGCGACAGTCAAATTTGGTGGCGGATCAATCATGTTGTGGGGTATAAGAAACTTTTATCTTTATGCCTATTGACTTTTTTTTCAGGAGCGATGACTAGAAGTTCACCAGGTCCGCTCGTTCTTCTCAATTCAACTTTGGACGCTCAACGATACAAGGCGATTTTGGAGAACGATCTTCTTCCATTTGCGACCACAAAAATTGGACAAGGATGGTTGCTGTACCAGGACAACGCTCCATGCCACAAGTCGCAACTGCTAATGGGACGAGTTGTTCGCCTTGCCAACGGTGGTAGAGCTCGTCTACCCGGATGGTTCGGATCGAATGGAGTTCAGCTCGTATCTGCTCCTCCCTACAGTCCGGATTTGAACGTTATCGAACATTTGTGGGCGTTTTTGAAGCTGAAATTGAAGGGAAAACGCTTCAATACCAAGATTGAGCTATGGTACTTCATTCGACACGTCTGGACAAAGATCGGTCCTCAAATTTTACAGGATTTGGTCGACTCGATGCCGAGAAGGATTCAAGCAATAATTTCATCCAAAGGAGGCCCTACCAAATATTAAAATACTCGGTTTTTTCTCACTTTTTGTTCGAGGGGTAAAGACTTTTGTCCACCTGTTTTGAGGGGTTTTTTTTGTTAACGTCGTTCTTTATTGCCTAAAATAAATGGTTGTTTCTTTTGGTTATGGGATATAAAAACTAGAGTAAAAATGCTACAAAATGCTTTGAAAACAATTTTTAAAACTTGTTAAAAAGTTGAAAAATTTTGCGTTTTAAAAGCTGACCTCGGTAGGGGTAAAGACTTTTGTCCATGACTGTAAAAGGTATTCTCCATTATTATTTAGGATATCATGCCATCTTTTGCTCAATTCAATAACTCCATCTTCAAAGAACTGGGAACTTTTTGACAAAAAATAGTTCGTGACTGCATTTTCGACTTCCTGGGAATCCTTGAATAGCTGATCAAAGATGAACTGCTTTAGAGACCTGAATAAGTGGTAGTCTGATGGGGCTAAGTCAGGGCTGTATGGAGCGTGCGGTAGAAGTTTCCAGCCCATCTCTTCGATTTGTTGAAGGGTCATCTTTGCCGTGTGCGGTTTTTCATTATAATTGCTCCAGGTGGGGATCCGTGGCCTCAACTAGTTGCACATCGAGGTAAGCGAGGTTGAGAGACAGTTGAAATAGTGAGTCATATTTTTAAAACTTGTTAAAAAGTTGAAAAATTTTGCGTTTTAAAAGCTGACCTCGGTAGGGGTAAAGACTTTTGTCCATGACTGTATATTAATCCTCTTTATTTCTTGTTTTTTTAAATAAAAATTCGCATTATTTTCCCGCCAACCTAATACATAGATAGATTTCCACTTCACACTGTTCACGATTGTAGCTTCGAAAATTTTGAAACTAAGTTTGATTCCAAAAATCTCATTGGTGCCGATATTCTGCGGTAAGGAGTTCAAGTTTACGTTGCTAAAGCCGAAAGAAAGGGTGATCGATCTACTGGATGGTTTGGACTAGCAAAATCAGAGATTTCAAGTTAATAAAGAAGTTCAAATCATTTTCATTAATTGCTAAAGCAAAAATCTACACATTACAGCAACTTTCTGGCAAGCTAAAGCCCACTTTTTTTTGCAAATGATTGATAGAAATACTGGCTTGATTCATTCAGTGAAATGTATTTATTTTATTTAAAAAAAGCAGTAAGCAAAGAGATCGTTAGTGAAAAACTTGAAGAAAGTCGATCAATCATCTTGGGCATAGATCGGATGTGTTACCTCGCCGACTTCATCATCGGAATCGTCGTCGACGACAATGTCTGGCTCGCTGAAGTTAAAGTTGATTTTTTGATATTAAACTTTCTGGAGCCATTAGGATAGTTTAAGTTTAGTGATTTGAATTTGAAAGATTGATTGAAATCTTTTGAAAGTTTTTTAAAACTTTGACAGTGCTTTGTTACTCAAATTTTGAAGCTCTACTACAATAAGCTTAAAGTTTCAGTTACATAAACTCACTCTTCCTTTTGAAAGAATATCTTGGGCTCAGCGAAATGATGGACTGACATTATGATAGGCCGAAAAATAATTAGACTCAATTTGAAGTTGAACAAACTATTGTTCACGGGAGGACCTTTTATACCCGATTTTTATTTCAAACCTCTCATAAACATTCTGACAAATAATCTTACAAATAATCTTACAAATTTGATTTTGAAATTTACACAAGATTAATGCTAGTTAGCAAGTTTTTTTTTCTATTCCGAAAGGATGATTATTTGATTATCCGATTTTTATTTCAAACCTCTCATAAACCATTCTGACAAATAATCTTACAAATTTGATTTTGAAATTTGCACAAGGTTAATACTAGTTAGCAAGTTTTTTTTCTATTCCGAAAGCATGATTCATTGCGAAAGACGACAGAGAAGAGAATTGATAAGACTGGCCTTTAACACACTGTCTCATTTATTAAATGCATTGTCTCATTTCAGGATAAAGCTATGGAGTAGACATATCTATGAATGAATATGAATTAGCATCCAAATTACTTTTCAGGTGAATTATGAACACAAAAAACACGTCGAAAAATAGATTAAGTTAAAATTTACATTTTTATTTACGGTAGTCATTGAAGTTTCTTTGAATGATAATTTTTGTCGCAAGTGCAAATCTAATTGTCTGCTAATTTCGAGTAAATCTAAACAAGACGATTTTGCCTAAAATTTGTCTGATTGCAGCAAAAATATTTCAGATCAATCTAAAAATAAAAACGACAGAAGCCATTTATCTGCACCAAATCACACAATCTTTAATCGGAAAAAAAATCAAAGATAATTCCATAAAAGTCGTTTCTTCTTAGTGGAGGAGAGGGGCCCATCACTATTTGCTTGGGAAGATGTCAATGAAGTGGGTGCCAATGAAGCATCAATGAATTGATGATCCTTCTCGGCCCAGGATCTACAGGGTGTCTCAACAAGCTAAAGTTCTGATTTTAAGGCAGATAAGAGCAAAATAGACAAATTTTTAACTGAATAACATTTATTGTACATTAACAATTATAAATGAACTATCTAATTAGAATCGGCCACCATCAGCATTTGAGCAGGCTCGCAGGCGTTTCGGGAAGGCGTCAACAGTGGCGACCAAATAGGCTAGATCGTGCTCTTCCCACGCTTTCAACAGTGACTTCTTCAAGCTTTCGATGTTTTTGCGGGGCTTTGAACGATCATTTTGCTTTTTAAGAAGGCCTTCAACGGTAAATATCTTTTCATCCGTGAACAAGATATTGTGATGGTCGATTCCATTGAAGCGCATCAATAACTGATCAGCTCAATCTCAATTTTCGCTTGTTTTTCGCGGCATTCGAAAGAAGTTGAGCCTTGTTTTTCTTGATATAAATCTCCGATGCCGAGACTCCTCGCTTGTGCAATTCGATGATCGAAAAAACAAATGTATAATTTTTTCAAAATGACTTTTTGAGTTCTTTGCTCTGTTATAAGAAAAAAGTCAACTTTGAAACTTTTTCTGCATATTAACAGGAATATTTCAAATTCTGTCCATCTTTTTTCTTGATCTCCTTTTTTTGGTATTCCAAAATGTTTTACTAATATCGTCGCTAACTAGTGAATAATGCAAACTGTTATTAATTGCAATGTTCTATTTGAAAACTTTTCATTTCCAAAATGATATAAATACAATGAATGCAATAGTGTTCACTAGTTGGAAAGTGATTTGCAAGATGACATGGTGCTGAAAGAGAGTTCTCCGGATCGCGAACCATACACGAAGATAACTAAATCTTAACGTTAAAGTTTGTAATTTTTGATGATTTTAGGACTTTAGCTAATGCTCTAAAAATACCCAGTTTTTGCCTCCTCTTGCTTTTTCAGTTTAGCCATCGAGCATTTGCGCATCACATCCGGCTGGGAGTAGATGATGACGAGAATGCACGCCAGCGAGATCACCAAAATACACGAGAGCACATAAATACCTAGGAAATTTGCAAATAACAACAAGTTACAAAAAAACCTAATAGTGGGAAAACGGAAGTCTTCGGGATGGCGGCAGCTAGCATGTCCAAAAGAACGGTCATCGAAACGAGACTAGTCAAACCGATACTCAACTAAATGCTCCCCTTGTAAAAATGTTAATACTTGTTTGTCAATAGATTCATATCTTTTTATCATTAGAGTGTGTTTCTCAACACTTGTGTTTTTGTTGAGTAAGTAAACACTTGAGCAACTACGAGGAAAATTCTGAATAAACGCAAATTACTATTAGGTACTCCGGAAAAAAAAACTGTGTTTCTTGATATCAATTATGTCGGGCCTTGTTTTTGAGTTTTTAAGTACGGATTCCTTTAGTTTAACGAATAATTGTTGATAGCTTTTCTTCACAATGTCGTAAAAATTTTGTCTATCTAAACAATGATTAATTTTTGGTGCTCGACATAAGGAGAATGGACAAACGACAAATTTAGACGATTTTTTTTGTATGAGTTCAAGCTTGGACATAGCGCAATGGTTGCGGTCGAAAACATCAATCGTGCATTTGGTCATGCGACTACTTCTGCTAGAATCGCTCAAGTTTGGTACAAACGATTCCAGGAAACGAGGATCTTGATGACGAGGAGGGTCGCGGTCACCCAAGACTCATTAACGATGATGATTTAAGACAATTTGTCAAAGCCAATCCGCGAACTACTGAGCCAGAATTAGAAAAACACTTCAATGTAGGGATTTCGATCATAGGTGATCACTTGAAGAATATTGTAAAGGTTAAGAAACTGGAGAAGTGGATACCTCATCAATTCAACGACCGCCAGAAGTTTACACGTTTTCTTGCTACCTCTTCGTTGAAATTTCGGAACAATAGAGATTTTTTTTTGGACCGGCTGATCAAGTGCGATGAAAAGTGGATACTATATGACAATTGAAAACGAAATTCAAAGTGACTTAACGAAGGAGAAGCCCCTCATTTGTTCCCGAAACCCGATCTTCATCCAAAGAATGTGATGCTCTCTGTTTGGTGGTATAAAAAGCGCGTCATTCACTACACTCTGTTCAAAACGGGAGAAAGTATAAATTCAAACATTTATATTCAACAAATTGAAGAAATGCATTCAAAATTGAGGTATTTGAGCCCGTCTTTGGTCAATCGAAAGAGGCAATTCTGTTTCAGGACAATGCTAGCCAGGATCTTCATCTTTGAAGACCCTCTCTTGCTTGCCAAGTTTGAAGATCGAAGTTCTTCCTTGTTCGCCGTATTTACCTAATCTTTCTCCAAAAGATTATCATTTTTTCAAGCATCTCGATCGTTACGTCGTAGACAAAATTTTCAAGAACGAAACAGAGGTGAAAAATTCTATCGAAGACTTCATCGCCTCTAGACAGCCCGACTTTTTTGTGACAGGAATCGAAAAACTGGCTACTCCTTGGCAAAAGTGTATTGATGCTAACGGTTGTTATTTGGATTAATTTGTTTGTTATTTAATAAAAAAATTTTGCAGGTAAAAATCATTAAAAAAACGCAGTTATTTTCCGGAGTACCTAATAAATTTACTATCAAACAGAAGATAGTCAATTGAAAGCATTGACCATAAAAGACATTTTAAGGTTCATTTTTTAAAGGGCTGTAAGCAAATTTGCATTTGCGTAGCATCAATTTTTGTCTAGTAAATGTAGATCTAAATTTGAGCAAAAGCGCCAAATTTTTTGCGTCACCTAAACTCTGTCAAAAAATTATAGACGCACCCTGTTTTTTGCTAGTTTAGAGCCGGATATAAGTGCTAGTCCAGTGAACAGTATCTTTTAGTTTTTTTAATGTTTTTTTTAAAAACAACTCATGCGAAATTTCAAGTCATTTCACTCATCCAAAGTACTTTATTGTACAAAAAACGTTTTATCAGCTGTCCAAAAATTATAGACGCAACTTAAATTTGACGATTTATTCTATCGATAATTGTTAGTTTTTCTCATTTTTTTGCTTATTACTTATGTTTATAAATGTTTTTACATTTTTAGATATGCCGCTTGGAAAACAACTGGATGTGGTGGAAAAAACACGTATCGATGTGCTCTACACGCTTGGTCACTCAAACAGGGACATTGCTCGTCGCATCGGACGTTCTGAGAATTTGCACGTATCTCAAGACCAAAGTGACTCCTAAGAAGAAAGAAACACAGGGCCGGAAGAAAAAGTTGTCCGATCAAGACGAACGCGCAATTACGACACGTCTTTCCAACACGACGGCATCACTCGAAGAGGTTCGCAAGGAGATGAAGCTTCCGGCCACTCGCCAAACTGTGCACAACGTTGTCAAACGATCTACAACACACAAATACAAACTTATGAAGCAAGCTCCATGACTCACAAAGGACCATAAAGCCGCTCGTATCGATTTCGCTCAAAAGAACCAGAAGACCAAATGGGAGGGAGTTGGTTTACTAGTATTTCTTATATATTTTATGTTTAGATCATTTGGAGTGACGAAAAGAAGTTCAACCTTGATGGTGCTGATGGTTTTCGAGGATATTGGAAGGATTCACGAAAGCCGGGCATGGTCTTCAGCTTCAGCTTCAGGAACTTTGGAGGTGGATCATGTATGGTATGGGGAGCCTTTCGAGACGGTGAACTGGTCGGCTTAGAGTTTATTTCGACCCGGATGACATCGCTTGACTATCAACAACTTGGACAAACATCTAGCCGTCTATCTGAACAACAATCCGGGCAATAACTTTACTTTTATGCACGATAACGCGAGTATTCATGCAAGTTGCTCCACAAGATATTGGCTGACGGCGCACAAAATCGGCACTGTCGCTTGGCCCGCTTGCAGCCCAGGCTTGAACCCGATTGATAATGTGTGGGGGGCACTCGTTCGAGATGTCTACAAGGGAAACAAGCAATATTCCAGCGTGAATGAACTCAAGAAAGCCATTCAAGTAGCCTGGAGTCGGCTCCAGCCAACAGCGCTCCATGACCTTGTCTCTTCGATGCCGAGACGTCTTTTTGAAGTTGGACTAAAGCAAGGAGGGGCCACACATTATTAATTTATTTGGTTTGTGATGTTATTTTTATTTCTGTTAACTTTTTCTTGATAAAATAAAAGCGCGTCTATAATTTTTTGACAGCTGATAAAACGTTTTTTGTACGATAAAGTACTTTGGATGAGTGAAATGACTTGAAATTTTGCATGGGTTGTGTTTTACATTAAATAAACTAAAAAATACTTTTCACTGGACTAGCACTTATATCCGGCTCTAAACTAGCAAAAAACAGGGGGCGTCTATAATTTTTTGACAGAGTGTATAATTTACGCCAAATTTGCGCTTTTTCACACACTTTCCTACCAACTCTGATTAACCATTGATATTTTTTCAAGTTTTTCCTCGTCGACGATTCTATTTTGCTTATTTTGATATTTTTCCGCCTTTACCGGATCTTAAAATGGCATAATTTCAATATAAAGAGTAAAAAGGCCAATCGGAGACACAAAAATGACTGTTTTTGGGATCTGGATAGGTATTTAAATGTGTTTCTACTTGGTATTTTTAATTTAAACATTGAAAACAGTGAGAACTAAAGTTGTGAAGCAGAAAACTGAAAAAAAGGTGTTAGAAGTTGGGGAAAAGTGATTTTCATAAGCGCAAACTTGTCGCAAATGATACTCGGCGCAGATGAAATTGGCGCAAAAAACGCGACGCTTTTTAACCTTGTAAATTTTACTCACTGGAACACACTCTATACATTAGAAATGCTATCGAAATCAACGAATCAATATAAATTACGATTGGCTGCTTCTATAGTGCAACTATTCTATCAGATTTTAAGATATTCAGGCTGTTTTGTTTTCCTATTTTGCACTATGTTAATCGAAGCACTACTATGCATCTTTCTACATTATCCACCTTAACAAGTTGTTCACTCTTGACAACGGGCGTCCAAAACATGCCAACGATCGCCAGCAGTGTCGTGATAAAACACGGGAGAGCAATCACGTAAACGTAGAAATTAGGAACACGCTTGATGTGAAAGACTGGACAAATCTAAATCAGTTTTTTGTTTAATTTGATTGCTGACGGTCTACGGTTTGCGTCGGAGTATCGACGTTAAATGGCGCAATCGTGATGTTTGTCACCAGCCATTCGCCATTTCCCTGCAAGCTTGATAAATGTGGTTTAAATTATTGGATTGGCGAATTGAAAACTGCCGGACTTTGAACTAAAATTTATTCAGCATAAAACTATAAAATTCATTCCAAATAATTTCCATTATTATTGACGACTTCTGCCCATTTTACAGGCAATTTGCGGATTCCTTTTTCGTGATAGGATTTTGGTTTTGAATTGGAAAATTTTGGAACCAATTTTTGTCTGCTTCTTCCGAATTGAAGTGTTATCCCGCAAGCTCATTGCTCATGATCCGGAATAAATAGTATTCAAAAGGGTCGAGGTCCGGACTGTATGGGGAATGCGCCAAAAGTTCCCAAACAAGGCTATTTATTTTAGAGCGAGTCAGTTTTGCAACATGAGGGCGCGCGTTGTCGTGGACGAGAACGATCTTTGACTTGGAGGGCCTATTCTTCTTCAGGGATTCATTCACCTTTCCCAACTGTTCACTGTATTTGATTGCATTAAGGGTCGTCTTGCTATCCAGTTCTGCTTGCGATTCCCAGTACACCACTCCCTCCATATTCCAGAAAACGCAGAGCATAAACTTCTTCTGGTGCAAATCGGGCTTAGGGTCACTTTCGGGTTTCTCGCCTGGCCCCACCTATTGCCGCTTCTTTTTAATATTAGCAGCTGCCAAGCCTACCAAGCCTGCTCTTGTAGGAACTCATGAAGCACATGGCGAATATGTCCCGGTGGCAGATTGTCGAGTGCAATAGAAGAAGTGAAGAAAGTACCAAAAAATAAAAAGCTGGAAGCATAATTTCAGGAAATGTTGAAGTGATCAAACCCCCTTTCAGCTGGTTCTATGCTGTTGTTTTTTTATCTGCGAGTCCCGCAAAATAACCGGCAGTTTTCAATTCACCAATCCAATAATAACAAAGATTTAAATTTAAGTAGAAGAATTATATTTGTATATGTAAGAAAAGGCTCAATCACAAAATTCCTACCGGATTAGCAACGTTCATGTTGTTGACACTGCCTGTCATGTACGAGAATTTGCTGAAAAGTTTTTGTAACTTAAAAAGTGAAATTATCTGCTTAACTTGCTTAACGAACACTCTTTTTCAAACAAACAAACAAACAACAAAAAATTGGAAATACTCACACTTCATAAGACAAAGATCCCAACGGAATCGGGCAGTCTTGTTGATCAAATGGAAATGTGCTTACCTAAATGTTGTTTTTTTATGGAAATGGCTGTAAAAATGAATACATTAATTCATGAAAGTAAATGATAAAAAGCTGCTGAACTCACCTCCAAGGGACAGGCGAGTTCCGCATAAAATACAAGCGGTAAAACCACCGTTCCATTGCTGTAGATTTTGACGGATATCGCGGTCACTGGATGAGCCGTGTCTAGCGATTTTCTAAAAGGTTCCATGTTTTGTTTACATAAGAAAAAAAAGCTTTTGTAAAGCATAATTTTGTTTTAAGCTTCTAAATCCGTACACATTTCCGAACTGTTGATCCGGAGTCCAAAGGATGTCCGGCGTCGAGAAAAGATACGGGATTCCGCCGAATTTCGTCTCATTCCACGCCAATCGCGGATCTCTCCAATCCTAAAAGTTGCTTTTCTTTTAATAAACATCTCTTTTGTGAACTTGGGCTAATGGCATTAAAAGCATGTTTCTCAAAGAGCTCACCATGACAAATTGAAGACACAGACTCAATATTTGACCCTCAGCATCCTGCAAATAAATTTAAAAGAAGATACAATAGAAATGTAGATTGGAATTCAATTAAAATTCAAATTAATCTATAGAAATTTCAAAATTTGAGATTTTTATCGTTTTTTTAAGCTTTCTGTCGATTTTTCTTAAATCCACTCGAAATGGGATGCAGTTAAAACAGCGCCATAATAGAAAACGTTCAAAACAGCGCCGTCAAATTTTTCACAATCCAAAAAACCAAGCTGATTCAAGTTTTATATCAAAAAAAATTTCTTGCGTTCTTGGCTACATGATGGGTAAAACAGTTTTTTAAAAAAGCTAATATTTAATAGATAGAAAGAGCGCTCAAAATGGGTCTCTAAAAATATTCAGCTAACCAACTGAGTATCACTCGACAATTTTGAGCGCTCTTTTTATCTATGAAATCTTAACTTTTTTTAAAAACTCTTTCACCCATCATGTAACCAAGAACGGAAGGAATTTTTTGGTATAAAGCTTGAACCGGCTTGGATTGTATGAAATTTGACGGCACTGTTTTGAACGTTTTCTATTATGGCGCTGTTTTAACTGCATCCCCTCCAAATCGACCCAAGTTTTATACAATTGAAACGCAACTTTTTGTTGTATCCTTACAGTTAGCATTTTTAACAGTTTTTGTACAACATGAACAGCTATTGTACAAAATGGAATCTGATTTGACCGTTAAAGTAAACGGGAATTGTTCGATTAAATAACTCCATCGTACCAGATTGAACATTTTCACATATCGTAAGACCATATTGACACGCAGACGGGGGATTGGGCTTTCTGAAATACAAAGTGAATACTATTTTAACGCACAAACAGTTAACTTTTTAAATTCTAATACAAGGTTTTCTTTGATTTTAAAGTTCAAATCAATTGAAGTTACCAGTGAAATTTTCAGGCATCGGCACGTAAACAGGTGACAAGTATTTGTTGTAGTTTCTCGTTGTAAATAGCTCATCGTAGAGCTTTGTCGCCTGGTTCATGTAATCCGAATATTCTTCTAAATATTTGAATCTAAAACTTGACAACAAGCGAATCAAAGTTCAATCGTTTCTCAGTTTTATAGAGCGAACTAGAAATAAACCTAATTATAACTAACTATTTCTCCTAAAAATTTGTTTTCTAAAAAGCACTAACAAAAAAGCTACCGTAATCTTTCCTTTCCTTAAATGTAGATTCGTAGAATTTACATTTATTTAGATTTTAATCACCTGAATCTCCATGTTCGGTGTAGTCAAGTTGGGCAGTGATAAACGATAGAAAACATGAAATCAACACAAGTATTTGCTTCATTTCTTGTAATTTATTTTGGTAAATAGATTTAAGATCACAAAAGTTCAAATAACAAACATCATCTACCAGTACATCGAAAGTTTGAGTTCATTTTTTTGCCCCTTCAAAAGTGGAACACTTCCGAGTCCTTTTCGGGGGTCGTCGGCCACTTGAGACTTGACTCTGTAAACAATAATTTAGTGAAATGAGAAAATAAAAGTTTAGTTATAACGATCACAAAACGAAGAATGTTCAAGTATTCAAAGTTATTCAATAAAAACAGCACTTTTTGTGTATGATTGGTCTGTGTTTTCTTAGAAGCACAGCCTTTGTATGTTATTCTTTTAGAAGACCCTGTCTGCTAAAGCCAAATTGTAAGACTATTCAAAACAAAACAAAAGGTACCAATGTGCTAATAAACGAAATGTATTTGTAGTTCGTTGAAGCTCAAAAAGTCTGTGTTTGTCAACAAAAACTGCAATTTGATACGAGTTTTCCCCCAAGTTTTTTCAATTGATCACAATTTTTAGATTTTAAAAAGCATCAAATCATTTGATATCATCAACAACACCCGATATTTTGTACCTAACTTTTTGCGCTCTATCTTTTATCTATTGGCAGCAACATAAGCTTCTGTGAATGAAAGCGCCTAAATTGCGTCTTCGGGTTGTCGCTTTTCTTGACTACCCGTCATAGACAAAACATTCTCAAGATTTGAACATTATTTTGTAGAAAAATAATAGGCCTTTCTAATGGAGCCAATTGTAGGTCAATTAGTGAATTGGTCATTTATAGATAGTAGAAAAAAAGGGTTTAAAGACTGATCGACCAACCTAATAACAACTGTGATATACATCTTCATCCCATTTCTCCATTTTTTTAGAAAGATTTTTGCTTTGATTATTACGGGCTTCTCTAGGTTTTGGCATAAACTCTCAGAGAACGAAAAAGTTCACGGAAATTTGGATTTCAAAAACGGTTTGCCGAACGGATAACAATGAGTTTGTTGGGAAAAATTCAAATCAACGATAAGAAGTTAAATGGAAACATTTAAAACCATAAAAGAAGTTGAGTTCCGTATTGGATGAGTTAACGAAAGGGGATGGATTCTTTCCTTTTCCTTCTTCTTTTCTGTTCTGGTGGGTACAGTATTTGTTTGTCACTTCTGAGTCAAGCATACAGGGCTGTCCAGGATTACGGGGACTAAAGAACTTGAGAATTTAAAGGCCACCTTACATTAAAATGACACCAAAACAGTAAAATTTTATTTTGATACAATAATTTAACATAAAAATTTACTTTCTTTCAAAATGATCTCCCTCGGCGGCAACACAGGCCAGGCAACACAAAGGCGTTTTGGGAACGCGTCCACGGTGGTGAGAAGGTAGGGTGTGTCCAGCTCTTCCCAAGCTTTCTGAAGGACTTTCTTCAAAGAATCGACTATTGGATGGGGTTTCGAGCACGCTTTTGCTTTCAATACACTCCATGCTGAATAATCGAGATGATTGAGGTCCGGCCTTGGTCGGACATGGTGGCCACTCGTTAAAATCGATAAAATCGGGGAAATTCTACCTGCACCGATCTTGAACGATGCGAGTTCTATGTGCGGGTGCCTTTTGGCTTTTGGAAAATTTATAAGCTTCCATTCCAAGACGATTTTTGACAATACGGCCCATAGAATTTCGCGAAATTCCCATATTCGTTGTCATTCTGGCCTGCGAACGAGTGGCTTTTAAGCGTAGCTGATCTCGAACCTTCTTGATGGCAACGGTCACTTTACCACCACGTCAGGAACGATCAGAATTTGTTCCTAACTCTTGAAAGCATTTGATCGCGTTGTAAACAAGTTGTTTGCGTATCATCAATCGCTTAGAGATATCCATCGCGAGAACGCCACACTTGTGTAGATCAATGATCACATCTGACTATCTGATCTGGTACACTGACTTCTTTGACCTAAAAAGAGACATTTTTTGAGAAAAAATACCAAAGCGCGGTATAAGTTCGTTTGGTTTCGCTGCAAATTGACGGCGCCCCGGGGGGTGGAGGGTGCCCCCGCACTTTTGCTTTAAAGAAAAAAAGAAGAATATGGGGGTGTGTTATTTGTTGCCCCGGGCGGCTCGGGGCGTCCGCCCCCCTCTCCGGTAAAAAAAGAAAGGGGGGTAAGTAAATAGTGAAATAAATAAAATAAACCAAAAGAAAGACAAAAACGATATATAAATTGTAAGCAAAAATATTGCAATATCAAAGATATCCCTGTAAAATGCATCCAAAACTGACTTTGATAGCTTGTTCTCAAGATTTTTGTAAAAAAAGCCAATTATTGTCGGTTGATACGCAAATTTGTAAAAAAAAGACGAAATACAAAGCCAAAACTTCTTGTCTCAATCACAATCCTGTTTAAGCAAAAACTTGACACTTCTTCCGTGTTTCGGGTGGTTGATTCACTCTATTTAAACACTTTCACCCGGGAAATTATTGCTCATAGGCGAAGTGAACTCTAGCTCAATAAATAAATGCTATCGTGAAAAGCTCAGATTATCCCCCACATCCTCTAAATGCGACTATATAATTAAACTGTTCAGCAACAAATCGGTGTTCATTTGTCTCGCGTTCACCAAAGCAGAGGGAGTGAAATAAATGGGAGCGAAGCATCAAATTGGACTTTTTTCTCTTTTTCTCTTTTATTCCCTCATTTTCACCCATCAACCGGAAATCGGACCGATTCCATGCCAACGAATCTTTCAAAACTACTCGAATCAAACGATTGCTCAAGGGTTGCTGGTCTGTTTTTCGAGATCCTCGTTGTTTTCCCCAAAATTTCCTCAGAAGACTTGGAAACGATGAAACTTTGGCCGGTCCGGTTCAGGACTAATCAAAGGTTTATCGGTCCAGTCTGGTTCGGTTCGGGACCGGTGTGAATAGAGCAAAAAATCTACTTTTCAAACACTAAAATTTCTACCATTACCGTTTTCCATTTTCTACGATAGGGAAGCCTATCTTTAGGACTGAACCGGAGTGGGGACCGATAGAGCTATGGGTCCAGTTCGGTCCTAGAACCGGACCGAATGGCTGGTCTTTTTAGGACCATTCCCCGAGTATTTACCATTCTTGGACCAGAACATAATGGGAAGTTTTAGGTATGTAAACAGATCAACAACGTCAGCAATTGTCAAAAGAAAGTGAAAATAGCGGAGAGATGGGTGAAGAGCTCTTGGGTAAGGAGTGAGTGGAAAATGTGACTGGGAATTCATTCTCAGAACGCGACAATGCCCTTGAATTTGACTCAATTTGTGAAGGAATCTTGTGTGGTCGACAGATATATGCAAACACGTCACTTTCCTAACCTTCGCAGACTCCCTAACATGACTAAGAAGAATATGAAAACGGTCAGTTTTTTCCACAATGATTCCCCTCCAATATGCCAGACTAGTTTGTTTTCAAATTCCCTTGAAAGTTGTGGTGATTTGCGGTGGTCATTACGGTGCCAAAGTGAATACAGTCGAACTTCTCTATAACGATATTCAAGGAACCAAGAATAAATATCGTTATATAGAAATATCGCTATATAGAAAAGTGGCATTACCGATTTTTAAGCAAGCAAATAGATGGCTCGACAAATTTAAGAAAAGACATAGGATCTTGTTTTGTACTCTACAAGAAGAAGCGGCTGGCATAAACCCCGATGATGTTGAGCAATGGAAAGCCGATGTTTCACAAAATCTTTTACGCGAATATGAGCCTAAAAATGTTTTTAACATAGACGAGACGGCTCTCTTTTGGAAATTGACACCAAACAAAACGTTAGCGTTCAAAGGGGAACAATGCACAAGCGGAAAAAAGAACAAGGAAAGATTGATAGTTCTTGTTGGCTCAAACATGGATAAGAGTGAGAAATGCCCGCTTTTGAAAAGCAAAGCAACCACGATGTTTTAAGAACGCAAAAAAATTCCCGGTTCTTTACGAAGCGGACTCAAAATCGTGGATGACCGGTGAATAGTTTGAGAATTACCTCAAGAAATGGAGTACAAACTTAGTGAATTTTAATAGGAAGATCATTCTTTTCATTGACAACTGCCCAGCTCATTCAAAACTTACTTTATCAAAGAACCGACTGCGATCTGTCGTTAACCTTGACTCGACGGTTGTCCACCATCATTGATCGCCTCCAAAATTCATTGTTTTTTGCGAGAATTGTAGAAGTTGTCGATTGCAGCAAGTTGGACTCAAGTTGGACAGCAGCAAGTTGCCAAGTCGACAAGCCTTTTTGCTGCTGAAGCCTAAAGAAGCATTTTCTTTTTGGCCAAGTCGATTCGTCGGCGAGTTGGTTTCACTCGATTCATCGTACCTAAAAAACAAAATATAGCAATTGAAAAAAGAAAGCAGGTGAAAATAGGACTGGAATATGCAACACAAAAATAGGTCTTTAGATGATAAAAAGATACCAAAATTACTACGTTTTTGCGTTGTTATAAGCAAAAAGAAGTTAAAGTAAAATTTAAATTGCTCAAGATTACGGTAAGAAAGAATGTAGGACATCATTTAGAAAACAAATTTGTTCGATTCAAGAAAAACCCACCAAGAAATTTTGTAAAAGAATTCCAATTTCTAAAAGTGAAATTTTTATAGTTTTCAATCAGGGACTAGCATCTTGTAAGAACAGCTCAAAAAATTAATAAAAAAAGGTCTTTAGGAATTTTGACGCATAAACCGAACCCGGTTTTTTGATCAAATTTCGAGAATTTAACCAAAAGTTAATGGCAATTTCTTGCCAATAAGTTTCTTATTGGCAAGAAATAGTATTGGGTTAGTGAATTGAAAACTGCCGGACTTTGAACTAAAATCTTATTCACCATAAAACCATAAATTCATTCCAAATAATTTCCATTATTATTGACGACTTCTGCCCATTTTACAGGCAATTTGCGGATTCCTCTTTCGTGCTAGGATTTTGGTTTTGAATCGAAAAACTCTTGAAGCCAATTTTTGACTGCTTCTTCCGAATCGAAGTGTTCTCTTGCAAGCTCATTACTCATGATCCGGAATAAATAGTAATCAAAAGGGGCGAGGTTCGGACTGTATGGGAAATGCGCCAAAAGTCCCCAAATAAGGCTGTTTATTTTAGAGAGAGTCAGTTTGGCAACATGAGGGCGCGCGTTGTCGTGGACGAGAACGATCTTTGACTTGGAGGGGCTATTCTTCTTCAGGGATTCATTCACCTTTCCCAACTGTCCAGTGTATTTGATTGCATTAAGGGACGTCTTGCTATCCAGCAACTCCCAGTACACCACTCCCTCCATATCCCAGAAAACGCAAAGCATAAACTTCCTCTGGTGCAAATCAGGCTTGGGGTCACTTTTGGGTTTCTCGCCTGGTCCCACCCATTGCCGCTTGCTCCAAAAGTTCACAGATAAAACCCATTTCTCATCTCCTATCACAATTCAAGGAAGAAAGGATTTCCTTTCGTATCGTGAGAGATGAGCGGCACTGATGGAGGCGCGCTGCCACTTCTGGGGGTCAGTGAGGTCATGGGGCACCCAAGCCCCAAGTTTCGATTTAAATCCAAGGTTATGAAGGTGCCTTAGCACTGTAGCATGATCAACCCCTAACTCTTCTCCCAATTCATGCGATGATACCCGATGGTCGTTGGTAATGAGTTCGAGTAATTTGGAATCATCCAGTTGGGGTGCCGCTCCACGACCCTCTGCATCTTTCAAAGATTTGTCCCCAGATCGAAACTTGGCAAACCATACTCGACGCGTTCTTTCGGAAGGTGAGTTTACCCCATATATCTTTTTAATATTAGCAGCTGCCAAGCCTGCACTGTGCTCTTGTAGGAACTCATGAAGCATGACATGACGAATATGTCCCGGTGGCAGATTGTCGAGTGCAATAGAAATGAAGAAAAATACCAAAAAAAATAAAGCATAATTTGGAAGCATAATTTTTTCGCAATAATTAGAGGAAATATTGAAGTAACCAAACCCCCTTTCAGCTGGTTCAATGCTGTTGTTTTTTATCTGCGAGTCCCGCGAAATAGCCGGTAGTTTTCAATTCACCAACCCAATAAGAAAAGCATTAGTAAAGTTTGAAGAGAATTCATGGCATAGTATTTGAGAAAATTTGATTTGTATAGACGGTCAGGACTTACGCAACGACTTAATAGATAATCTAGTGATTAGTGACCTTGCACACAAGACAATTACAATTTGTGCGGGTTCCTAATCATCAAATTTCTTTTCCAAAAGAAACTAATCTTCCAAATCTTCCAAAATTCCAGGTCAGAAATCAATACTATATGACTCTGAATCAAACGGGCGACCCAAATCAGGCAATGGTGATGGTGATAGCTTTGCTCGGATTTGTGGTTTGTTGATTGGATATTGGAAGTTAAAACACTCTAAATTCTATTCACAATCTTGTCCTTTTTAGTTGACAAATCCCGGAAACCCATATTATCCAAATGTGCTTCTCGAAATGGCCAGTGTCTACAATGTTCGTTGTTTTCTTTATTTGCGCAAAAACTTTGTCTGTGCCAAATGACTAGAAACTTTGAGAAATTCCAGAAATCTCTGAGCACGATGTCCTCGAAGTATCAAACATCTGTCATAGAAGCGTACACGTATCTGAACTACTCGAAAGCATATGTCCGCTTGGATCCGGCGTCAGCCTATCGAATTCTTTCCAATCCCAACTTCACCTCCAACGATTTTCTGCGAACCTAAAATACCCTAGCTCTCAAATAAACATGATTTGAATGATTATTGTATATTATATTAGGTTGGTAAAAAAGAAATGAGCGTCGTGTTTGTTGATTTGTATTTTATTCACAGTAAAAGATTTTTTTAAATAGTTTATTCTATTGGAAAGAGCGTGTTCTTGCGCATCATTTGATATATAATTTGTCTATGTTTACTTTGTTTTTTTACAAGAAAGAGTGCTTAGAAAATCTCGGACCAAACAATTTCGCTTGCGGGCCTGCTTGTGGTATGAATTTAAGCAAGGCAAATCGGCTGCTGAAGCTCATCGCGCTCTATCTCAAGTGTTTGACGAAGATGCTCTATCCGAAAGTCAGTATAAACGATGGTTCCAGCGCTTCCGAGACGGCGACGAAAGCTTGGAAGACCAAAAACACGGGAGTCGACCTCAAATCATCGACAACGACGCATTGAAGGAAACCATTGAGTCGGATCCACGCCAAACCACTCGCGACCTGGCAGAACAGTTCGGCTGCACTCATGTCACCATTGAGAACCATCTGCATAACATGGGCAAGACGAATAGATGCGGAAAATGGGTACCGCATAAGCTATCCGACGCAAACAAGGCGGCACGCATCGCAATCGCCGAAATTCTCACTCACCGCGCCAAGAACAGTGGGTTTTTCGACTCCATTGTTACGTCGGATGAGAAGTGGATCCAATACGACAACACAGCAAGAAAGCAAGGCAGTGGTTGGACCCCGTTGAAGCTTCAAAACCGACTCCAAAACCGGACATCCACGGAAAAAAGGTGATGCTTTGTGTTTGGTGGAACAGTAAAGGCCTGGTGTACTTTGAGGTTCTGGATTCGGGTCAAACAGTTACGGCGAACCTCTACCAAGGCCAATTGGACCGCGTGGGCCAGGCGCTGCGACGTCAAGGTGTGGATACGACATCGACAAAATTCCTCCACGACAACGCTCGGCCGCATGTCGCAAAAATCACCCAGCAGAAAATTGAAGAAATGGGCTGGGAAGTCCTGCCTCATCCGCCATACAGCCCAGACTTGGTGCCTTCCGATTACCATCTGTTCCGATCAATGCACCACTCCTTGGCCGAGAAAAAGTTCAAGAACCGCGACGAGGTCCAAATTTGGGTGTCCAACTTCTTCGAGTCGCAGCCGGTCGAGTTCTTCAAGAAGGGCATCCATTCTCTGCGTGAACGTTTCATTGATGCAGATGGCGAATACCTTTTGGATTAATGTATTGTTATCTTGTTTTTATAATAAAATAAACTTTTAACGAAAACGCGCATTTCTTTTTTACCAACCTAATATTATTGCTCAAAAAAGATAAGCACCTCCGAAAAACTTTGCTTTCAAAATAGCTCCGCTCATAATTATTAGGTTGGTGCAAAAGAAATTTCGGTCGATATAAAATGTTCTTATTTTTTTAATCTGAAGAGCTTATTTGATGTTCTTTTGTGCATTTGTGCTCTTGGATATTTACTTTATTTTCGCATTTTTTCAAAGTCAGAGCTTTCACTTTTTAATTGATTTTTGCTTTAGATCATGGTGGATCAAAAGTTGTTCTACGTGACTTCTCTATGACTTCAAAATGGGCAAAAACGCTGCTGATTCACATCGTGATCTCTGTTCCGCCTTTGGAGAACAGGTTATCACCGAAAGATCATGCCAGCTCTGGTTTGCCCAATTCCGAGATGGTAATGAATCCTTTGAAGACGAATCGCATGGACATCGTGCCACAGCCATCGACAACAATGAATTGGAACAATTAATTGAAGCTGATCCAATGCAAACAACACGAGAACTTGCCAAACATCTCCAATTCAACAATTGTACGCCATTTGGAAATAATTGGAAAGACAAATCGTAATGGACAATGGGTTCCACATCAATTGAGTGTTGAGAATCTGGGAGCACGCGTTCCGATCAGCCATATCTTGCTCCAGAAGTCGAAAAGAAGCCATTTTTTTTGAGAATATCTTGACGATGGATGAGAAGTGGATTCACTTTGATAATACTTCTCGAAAAAGACAATGGCTGAGCAAAGGTCAAGCGCCAATTCCAACTCCAAAGCCGGATTATCATGGGCGCAAAGTGATGTTGTCTTGCTGGTGGAATATCAATGGACTTGTTCATTTGGAATTATTAGAGCCCGGAAAAACAGTCGATTCATCTTATTTTATTCAACAACTCAAGAAGGTTGACGAAATTTTGCGTGAAAAAGGCCTAAATCCCTCAACTATCAACTTTCTCCGTGATAATGCTCCAGCTCACACGGCAAAAACCTCTTGTAAGGAACTAGAGAAGCTAGGATGGAAGGTCTTACCACATGCGCCGTATAGTCCAGACTTAGCACCCTCCGATTTTCACCTTTTCAGATCGATGCAACATTCCCTTGAGAATTGCCAGTTTAAGAATGCAAAAGAACTCGAAAATTGGGTGACCAACTACTTTGCATCACAGAATCAAGCGTTCTTTGAGAAGGGGATCCGCAATCTGTAGCAACGTTGGAGGGATGTCATAGATAATAGTGGTGCTTATTGTTTTAAATAAATTGTTATCAAAAAAAATTTTGGATGACTTTAATGTTTGTAAAAAAACGAAATTTCATTTGCACCAACCTAGTATTAGGAATTAGAGTAGGAATTAGCGTTTTCAGCTACAGTTCCATGAGGAACAAATGCACTTATTTTTAGCTTTTTTTGGTGACCCAACTATTCAGCTAGTTTTTTTCAGGATTCTTTGAATAGATTTCACTGTCGTTGATGCCATTGAATGACATTGAAGGCATACAGTGACCACCAAATCAACTCTGATTTCATGAATGTTAAAAGCGTCACAAATTAATTTTCCACAAAAAAATCGTTTAAATTTCAAAAGTTTCACATAAAAATACTTTATCAATCGATTTTATCTCATCTTATTTAGGTTTCCCTTTGATGATTCGAACGAATCTCCATATTGTGAAGCACTTTATCGAAGATTGCATTTTGATCTATTCCTGACGAGTCGATAGCTTCGATTATCTGGAAAATTGAGATTGAATCAAACTAGCCAGCTTCTGAGTTACAACTGCAAGTAAACTAACATGCAGATTTACTCATTTATTCAGCCGATACCTATCTAAAAGAGTCCTGGATTGATTTAACGGTCACAAACATGATCCCGATTAGAGTGCTTTCCTCTCAACCACTGCCCATTCTAAACGGTACTTATTTCAGAAAATTGCTGTAATCATAAAGCCAGTTTTCATCCAAACAGCTTCAATTTTGGTCTCAATCGATTAGAAATTGAAAGGTTCAGTCAATGACACTAAAATTGAGCTGATTGGATGAAAACTTGCTGTATGATTACGGTAATTTTCGGAAATAGGTGCCTTTTAGAATGTGCATTGCTTGAGAGGAACACACTCTAGTTCTGATTATGGCTACAGTTTTTATTGAAAGTTTTGAAGTTTCAAGGAGTTCCAATGCTTACTTAGTTTGCTGTTATTTTTTGAAATGTCAAGATCATTTTAGGACTTATTTAGGGTCTAAAGATTTTCTGATTTGATTAAGTCTCCTTGTTGCGTTTGCCCAATAGCACTTTGCAGCTGGAGTGGAAATGTAAAGTTGAAATCAGTAGCCTTGATAAAGTCTCAAAACGATAAAATTAAACAAAGTAACGTAAAAGCTCTAATAGAAGCACCCCTATAGGACCGTCGCGTCGTCTAACTTTACTCTCAAACAAACGCTCATATCTCGACATCAGTACCTTTGTTTCTGCAAAGTTTAGGTATCAAATTAAAGTAGAGAAGGTCGGTGATTTTTTGAGATATAACACATATTTTCAGCATTAACCAGCGCTTAGGCCAAAATGATTGAAGAATGATGAAAAATCGGCTTTTTTTGTCACTTTTCAATCATTTTGGCCTAAGCGCTGGTTAATGCTGAAAATATGTGTTATATCTCAAAAAATCATCCATTCTTTCTACTTTAATTTGATACCTAAACGTGCAGAAACCTTTTACGGTATTTTCACCTTTTTTCCACATTTTTCCAACAAATGATTCGTGGCTTTCTCAAAAATTCTCCCTCTGAACTGAAGCACAAGGGCTTGTGCATTTGGCGTTCGAAAGTCAGCTCCTTCGTTGGAAGTTTTCTAGGGTTGATTTGGATTTTGGACAAGAAAATCAGTTACATTTTGAGGATTTTCATTCTGTTTTTCATAGAAGGTCTCCCAAACAGCTTGGGTCATCGTTTGAAAGAGCACAAGTGAGAGATGATTGCAGTAAATTTCGGAGGATTTTGTTCGTTCATATTGGGCACTCCAAAGCCCATCAAGATTTCTCAAATCGTTTTCCTCTACAAACTAAATGGATTCACGAGTGTACAGTAGAATTAGTGGATAACTGAGGGAACGCTCAGAAATCACTTTACTAAAAAGCGATCTAAGCCTGTAGATTTTCGGTCATGTTCCCTAATTTGTCTTGGTTTTTTTAAAGTTGAATTTTGATTCTTTTATTCGTTCTTTTAATCGATTTGCTTGTTTCTTTCTTGAGAATGGAGGAAAAAAACTGATTTTACAAGGTTGATTTTAAAGAAATCAAGAGGTGCTTTCCATTTTGCACCTACTGACATTCAGGCAGACATGCTACCAGATCTAGCTACTGCCCGAAGGTCAGCTAACCTACAGTCGATCAGCGGGCTGAAGGCAAGCATGATCTGGACCGATCCCGAGCCGGTCCACCCACCTAACTAGGGATCATTGTTTATTTACCACCGAGTTTCGAAGTGAGATCTAGCCTATTTTGTAGCAAATTTCGCTGATTCTGAATATCTAGGTAGCTTGTGTGTAATGGGTTCAAATTTTCGATTTAAATCCGTTTGAAGACAGGTCATCGTGGCCAAGTAGTCAGTGCGCTTGGCTCTCAACTTTTTGAGAGCCTAGCGAGCGAGTGGTCCAAGCCCGGACTTGGGGAAAACTTGCTCTTTACAAAAGCGATCTCCAAAACTATTATTATTATTGTAACTTTGTTTTGGATATTTATATTAAACAAATCTATTATCTACATATATTTTTCAAATTAATCCACGTTTTTGTGGCAATCGTTGAGATTCCCGGTCGGAACCCGTAATCGGCATTTTTGCTACAAAATAGGCTAGGTTCCACTTCGAAACTCGGTAGTAAATAAACAACGATCCCTAGTAAGGGTACCGGTCCGGTTTGGTCAAGGTCCGCTGGACTGATCATTTTACAACAGGACCAGTCCACACTAGAGACCATGCTTGGCTTGTAGGCAATGCTAAAATCATTCACCAACTCACCTCTTTTCCACACTTTGCCTCAAGAATCTCTTTGGTGTTTTCGTAAGTTGATTCTCTCAGTTTCATTTCCCAATCGGATGATTTGTTGATGACAGTTTTATCTGAGAATTCTATATTTTCTTAAGTTCATCAAAAATAGCTACTTGAGTATTTCCACTTGGCCATTTCCTCTTCGTATCCCTGGATCATGCTCTCGCAGAAAATTTGCTGGAGATTGTCACAACTTGTGATTGCATTTCTGAAAGAAACGAACATCCAAAAATAGAGTCTACTATGATTTCATAATTTTTGAAACTAAAAAAACCAACGTCAGTGGAATGAAGAGAATCAAGACGTGAAAGAACATCGTTATCTGAAAATAAAAGTCACCCCGAAATTGGTTAATTATTGAAAGTTAATGGTTTGCGAAATCGGTACATCAAAAACTCAATAACCAGCCAAAAAAGCAAGGGTGAATTCAAAGCTAATCCAGAAGGAAATAGAATTCCATTTGTGATGGCCAATCTGTTTTCGATGCACAAATCTGAATGAAAGGACCCTGGCTGAGCAAACAGAAAACGAGACCATTTGGGAGACCTTTTGTTGGTGTTGATTCTGTTTTTTTAGTAAAAAACAGCTTCCACTATAGAAAATGAAGACTAGATCTTATCAAAAAACATTTTGATATGCAACAAGGATAAGAAATAAAGTTTCTTGGAACAACTTCTTGTTCATGGTTCACACTGCATAGTCTAACAATTCAACTCGACAAGTTCAACACCAATCAAGATACTTTTCAATCATACAGGGTTGTCCAGGATTGCGGGGACTAGGGGTATCTTTGATATTGCATATTTTTGCTTACAATTTGTATATTGTTTTTGTCTTTCTTTTGGTTTATTTTATTTATACTCACTATTTTTCTCAAAAAAATGTCTCTTTTTAGAAGGGACAAGAAGTGAGTGTACCGAGATGCGATCATTGATCTACACAAGTGTGGCGTTCTGGCGATGGATACCTCTAAGCGATTAATGATACGCAAACAACTTGTTTACAACGCAACCAAATGCTTTCAAGAGTTAGGAACAAATTCTGATCGTTCCTGACGTGGTGGTAAAGTGACCGTTAAGGCAACATCAAGAAGGTTCGAGATCAGCTACGCTTAAAAGCCACTCGTTCGCAGGCCAGAATGACAAAGAATATGGGAATTTCGCGAAATTATATGGGCCGTATTTTCAAAAATCGTCTTGGAATGGAACCTTATAAGTTTAAGGTCTTTAAATCCTCAAGTTCTTTAGTCCCCATAATCCTGTACAACCCTGTAGTCGTCTAAATTTTCAATCACCCATTTTGTCAAACATTCACATTCTGTCCACAGTTTTCAATCGCTCACAAATTCAAAAGTCAGATGTCTTGAAGAGTCACTTTCAAATAATCCCTTTCATAAAAGATAATTGGGAGTTTTTTGTGAAGGAAAGATACACTTTTCCAAATAAATGTATCCACAGTTTAACTTTTGAATTCAAAGAACCAACAAACGTCAATGAAATTTGGGAGTGATGCAGAACTGTGAAAAGTCAATTAAATGTTATAAAAGTACATCTTTCCCCCAGAAATTCCCCCAATTACTGTTATTGAGGAGATCGTCTGAAAGTGACTCCGCTTCTTTCTAGCCTCAAGTAGACTTTTCGAAAGTTTGTTTACGTTTTTCGTCTACGAAAGTTTTCGAAAGAAAATTTCAGCAATTTCAGCGTGATGAACCTGTTGAGATAGGTGAGCAGATACTGGAAATTCACGTTGAAATTCAAGTTGAAGGAATTGAAGGAATTGTTGATGTTTTATTGAAGAAACAGTTCTTTTGATAACCGGGTTCACCAATTTGGCAAGATATGCAAGATCTTGGTTTTTCCAATTAGTGAACTTGATCCCTGGCTGCGTTCGGTAAGAGATCGGCTTTTGGGTAAATGGAAAAACTTTCACTCTCACTGCAACTGTCAGTTTGAGTCACAAGGTGCTCTTCTCTTCTTAAAGTTAAACCATTTTTAATAATTCCTAGACATTTGTTCCGCTAGGGACATTAATTTTATTTGAACACAAGCACTTTTATGTCGAACTTTACTTTTTTGCTATTTTATTTTCAATCTCCTTTATTCGCTGCAATAGTTTTTCTTTAGGTTATTTACTCCCAGTCCATATCGGAAAGTAATCATCGATCTTCACAAGAATCATAAGAATTAATTCCGTTTTCTTTGGGAGCGATAAATTTTTAAGTGCACATCAAGTGGGCTTAAATCAGGTGAATTTTGAGGCCATTCACCATGAGCGATAAAGTCGGGAAATTCAGCAGAGCACTATTGTTGAACCAGCTTGGCCTTATGCGGAGGCGGAGTCTTATTGAAAGCACCAGGGATTGTTTCCAAAATGAGAAAGGCTCCAAGGTTTTACCACGTCTTTTAAAATTGTCTCTAACTAGAGATTTCCATTTATTTTCACTCCTGAATCGACGAAAGCAAGCGGAGTTTTTCCATTCGATGTTATTCCGCCGCAAACCATTACAAAAGCTGGATGTGCATTTTTTTTAACGATTATTCCCTTTAAGTTAGCTTCTTAAATGGGTTTAACCAAAATTCGATCGTTTTGATTATTTAAAACAGCTTCAATTGTGAAAATTGTTCCGACAAACATATCCAGAAACCGTCTAACACATACTTTCGATATTAGAATAGTTGGGATGGTAGCAAACAGTAGTTATGAGCGAAACTATTTTGAAAGCAAAATTTTTCCGAGGTGCTTATCTTTTTTGAGCAATAATATAATATACAATAATCATTCAAATCATGTTTATTTGAGAGCTAGGGTATTTTAGGTTCGCAGAAAATTGGAGGTGAAGTTGGGATTGGAAAGAATTCGATAGGCCGACGCCGGATCCAAGCGGACATATGCTTTCGAGTAGTTCAGATACGTGTACGCTTCTATGACAGATGTTTGATACTTCGGGGACATCGTGCTCAGAGATTTCTGGAATTTCTCAGAGTTTCTAGTCATTCGGCACAGATAAAGTTTTTGCGCAAATAAAGAAATGTTTGAGCCGACAAGGACTGTCAATCTTTCCTTGCTCTTTTTTCTGCTTGTGTATTGTTCCTCTTTAAACGCTAATATTTTGTTATCTTGTTTTGTTTTGCTCCTACCAGTCAATTTAAGTTAGAAAATGAATATTTGGTGGTTAAAAATGGTTTTGGCTCTAGTTTTTGGCCTTAAAAAGCGCCCCAATAATCGATAGCTTGGGTTCAATATAGTTGAGAAATTTTTTTGAAAATGGTAAGGGTTATTTCCACCACATGGTTATTTCCGGACCTTTCAAAATTTCAAAACCTTGCCTTTCAAAATTTCAAAACCTTCCCCCCCCTGGGTACGGGCCTGCCCTGTAGTATCCTCAAAAATATCTGATTTATTGGGTTGGTGCATTGAAAACTGCGAGACTTTGAAATAAAATTTATTCAACATAAAACCATAAATTCATTCCAAATAATTTCCATTATTATTGGCTACTTCTGCCCATTTTACAGACAATTTGCGGATTCCTCTTTCGTGGTAGGATTTTGCTTTTGAATCGAAAAACTTTCAAAGCCAATTTTTGACTGCCGCTTCCGAATCTAAGTGTTTTCCCGCAAGCTCATTACTCATGATCCGGAACAAATAGTAATCAGAAGGGGCGAGGTGCTGTTGTTTTCTTTAGCTGCGAGTCCCGCAAAATAACCGGCAGTTTTCAATGCACCAACCTAATGCATCTTTACCAGAATGTTTTTTTGAATCATAATACTTTTTAATTATTGGTTGTTAATAAAGATTTCGATTAAATAACTCATCGTCAGGTTGGAAAGTAAATGAAAAGATAATAAACACTTTTATATGTTCTCTGCATTCAGAAAGATAGAGATAGGTTTATCGTTTAGCAGAATGATAACAACTTTAGAAAATTAAATTGAAAGCATCAAAACGGCAATAGAGAAACAAATGTTCTTACTCAGTTTTCCCTCGAAACAATATTCTCGAGAGGAAGATCTGCTTTCCCTCGTGATCGACGAGACAAAACTTTGAGGGTCGCGGCGATTCTTTCGGTTCTTTCTCAGGATCAATCAACAGGAATTTGTGCTTTTCGACGGGCAAATCCCGTAAATATCTTCGTAATTGCCTGACAGGTAACTCATGGATTTTCCCAATTAACAAGTCTATGTTCTGAGCGAATCGGACACTAAACGCGGGAATCGTCTCGAAATTCTCGTAATTGACCGGATGATCCAATAGCACTAAATGGCCCTTTTCCTCCTGAAAGTTCGGCACGAAAAGCGTCGGGAAATAATTATTTTTCTCAAATGAAAAATTCTCCGCATACTTCAAGATACACTGATAATTGATGTGATTCGACGAAAAATGTTCCATGGCTGTGCCCAAATCGTTCCAAACAACGAAAAAGTTGGATGAGTATTGTAGCTCTTCTTTTGTCGTGCACTCAAAGTAGTCAATAAAAAGTTTTGGTGGAAAACTTCCACTAATGTTTACTCTCTCGGTAAAAGTGTCTTTAAACGCTTCTAGCATCATATACGGATCGATTGGGTAATTGCCGGTGAAATGCAGTTGATCGGCGTGGCTCGTGAATGTAAACACTCCATCCATTGCATGGACATCGCTCTGGCAGTCTTTCGCGATGAACGTCTTCCCGCGGTGCCAATGTCCCTTCAGATACCGGGCTTTACTCAGATCCTTCGTGACCATCAACACGATCTCTTGAATGTTGTCGTGCCCCTCGACGAGCAGCCACTCCTCTTTGAGCACCGTTGATAAGTAGCACTCAAAGTAGAAGCGCGCCAAATAAAACGAGGTCTTTCCAGCCGAGAATTCCCTAATCTTTGAGACCATATTCGTGGACTCTATCCAGAACAACGAGAACCTGGTGTCTTTTATGAGTTCTTGAAAGTAGCGGCTCATTTCCTCGGCTTCCCACGCAAAATCGGCAAGCAAAAGCGCTTCGAAGAGCTCTACTGGATCGGTTGATTGCGCTAAGTCCATAAATCGGGTGGTTAATGCGAGATGTTCGTGAAAGAAATAGACCTTTTGCTGGGCCTCGGTGATCATTCTTGGAAGGATTTGATAGAATTTGATTTGATTCTCGCTGCTCATCTCATTGAATATTGTGGTCAATCTTCCCACATCTTCAATCCGATTGAAGCGTCTCAAATTCGAATTAGTGTTCGGGGCCTTGTGGACGAACTCTTGGCGAGTCGATTCATTGCTTTCTGGTGCTTCTTCTGTCATCGGATCGATCTAGAAATTATTGTAATTGTGATGCTTTTTTTGAAATACCGTGAATGGTAGATTTTCACTTTTTAAATCAAGCATCAAGAAACTGCTCGACTTCTCCTCATCCAAACTTCTCCCAGACCCGAATGGCGGTAGTAGAACTCTTTGCTTTTCATCGATTATTGGCAAAAATTCGTATCCTTTCACAAGTGCGTTTTCCTGAAATCGATTTTGATGTACAATACATAAATAATACTTCAAAATGACTCCAACCTCTAGGATGAGTTTCACAGCCTTGAGTACATCTTGAGGCTTAGGACGAGATCCACGATCAAAGCTCGAACAACTGTAAAAGCAGAAGCTTGATGTAGCAAAAATTCTTAAACCTAACAATAAGCTTTTGCAACTCTTCAATGCATGTCGGTGGTTCCAACTTCTGCAGAACCCGGAATAAGATGTCAATAAAGAATTGTGTCGTATTGAAATTATCCTTCGAATCGTATTTCGCATAGACACGACTAGAAACGTAAGATGTTTATTAGGCAAAATCGCGAGTGACCTTCGTTCGAGGGTTTCCCAAAGCACCAATCCCACCGCATAGACATCATTTGCATGGGAGATCTGAAAACTATGTGCCTTGTTTATATAAAGACCGGCTTTAAAGTCATCAATCTCATTTGAACACTTAGATAAAAGTTCACAAACTTAATCGCCACGTCTATGCTAAGGAAATATAACAAAAAAATCAATGATACTGCTCGCTTTGTACCAAGAAAAACGCAAACTTGAAAGGAATATTATTGAGCCACTGCTTCTGCTAATTAAAAGTTCAGACCTTTCGATCAACATGCATATTTTCCGTGATCAAATCCGGGCTGATATATCGATAGGTGCCGTGAAATGTGCCCGAGCATGTGACCTCACAATCTCTTGTACTCCCGAAATCGCCGACCTTCAAATCGAAGCTTTCCTTGACAAAAATGCTAAAAAGAATCTTGGAAGATTAGAAGAAACGCTACGAAGATTCGAACTTTTCAAGCTTTATATCGCCGTGAACTATTGAGCGTCGATCGAGGTACTCGAGCACTTCGAACAGCTGCTCAGCCCAGCAAAGCACCGTTTTGATCGAATAGGAAATCGATGAACCGAGCACCACTAAAACAAAAAAAAATAACTAATTACTAAAGTAAAATCCTAAAAAGCTTGTATTATTTTATTTTACTTTTGCATAACTTTTTCTTTGAGGAAGGTCCGATTTCCGACTTTTTTTTTGAGAAAAGTCCGATTTTAAGCTCTGTTTAATCCTGCAAACCTTTAAGAAAATACTTTTGATTTAATAGTTTTATTAATTTTTTGGCTATCAAACAAATACAAAACCAAATCCGACCTCTCTTCAGACCTCTCCTCTCGCAGTACTCCAATTCGATCCCAAACCCCGGAATTCCCATCACAATATCCCGAGTCCCGATGTAGGCAACAATATTCTTATGGCTGATTCTCATCATTATTTCTTTTTCCCTTTCAATATTCTTCCTCGAGATCTCATATTCGACTTTACGACCGTTTTTCTGCGAACAATTCATTGTACTGGTAGATGAACCTTTAACTAACCGATTGTTCGCTTCGACCAAATGAATAATGCCCGATGAGCCTCCATCAATTATCGTCCAAACCTCCTCCTCATACATTCAAAAGAGAATTTTGCAGTTGCAAGAGAATTGCAAAGAGAATTGCAAAGAAAATATTTTCTAGAAAAATCCATTTATACGGCCTAACGATGGATTTCTATTGCGTCCATGAAAACACGGAACAAGCGAGGAATGGAGCTGATAACATGAATCGATTTAGCTTGTTCTTTTTTAGTTCTTTTTGAGCTTTTTCTTTGATGTGTTCTACTAATCTGGAATTACCATATTCACTATTTCCTTGCATTTTCAGCTTCATCGGCTCTTCCATTGAACGCTCTCGGACTCCATAGACAGTTTTCCTGACAATAATAGTTTTAGACTTTTAGGGATTGTATTTTCAAGTCATGGGTTCAAAAACGATAGATAAACACAGATAAACAAACGCGTATTTACAGTCGGAAAAAGGCAATAAAATCGTGGCAACGTGGAAATGGTCAGATGGAAGTGAGGTGAATTATACAAATTGGGGAGAAAGCGAGCCAAACCTCCATAGCAAGTTTGTAAACTGTAAGTCTTATTCTTTACAATAAAAAAGAGCCAGTCACTCCCAACAAAAGAGCTTTTAGCGTTCACTGTTGCTAAAAAAAGGGCACAATCCTAAATCTGGTGCGATAAAAAAAAGCGTGGGATTTGAAAGCGCCAAAAAGATTAACATGGGTACGATCTATCTTTAAATCTTTTGAAATTTGAATTTGAATTTGAAAAATTGAGATTTTGAACACTGTTTATTGAGGTAGTAACAAATACAAAAAACAACAGTAAAGTTCAAACAAGGCTCCTTTAACTTTCACACAGAGTTTCGAACGTTTCATGAAAGCGTCGCACGTTGATCGCAGGTATTCGTCATCCAAATCGCTTCAAGCTTCTTGTAGAGGAGCTTTTAGAGAATCCGAACTTTGTGCGGAGCCTTCGTCTCTAAAACAGACCAGACCGAAAAATCAAGTGCGCTTAAATCGGGTGAATTTGGAGGTCATTCACCATGAGCGATAAAGTCGGGAAATTCAGCAGAGCACTATTGTTGAACCAGCTTGGCCTTATGCGGAGGCGGAGTCTTATTGAAAGCACCAGGGATTGTCTCCAAAATGAGAAAGGCTCCAAGGTTTTACCACGTCTTTTAAAATTGTCTCTAAGTAGAGGTTTCCATTCATTTTCACTCCTGAATCGATGAAAACAAGCGGAGTTTTTCCATTCGATGTTATTCCGCCGCAAACCATTACAAAAGCTGGATGTGCATTTCTTTAATGATTATTCCCTTTAAGTTAACTTCTTAAATGGATTTAACCAAAATTCGATCGTTTTGATTATTCAGAAGAGCTTAATTTTGCGACAAAAAGAAATTGTGAATAGTTTTTCTATTAGGTTGATGCAAAAGTCTTTTCCATTTTTTTCGTACTTCTGTTAAAAAGTAACAAATTCACCAATTAATCTATAGTTTGCTCTATAAAAAAAGTGTTTTTTTGTTCAATTTGCATCTTTTTAAATGAATTTCGGTTCACTTTCAAGCAAATTCGAGAGTGAAAAACGCCTTTTTCGTAAAAATCTATAAAAAACTCTACGGAAAAATTGGCTGAATGAATTTCTCTGAAATTTTGGCGAAATATCAAACTTTTTTTTCTCTATCTTTTATCTATTGACACGAAGATAGGTTTTCTTTAGCTAAGGTGTCTAAACCGCATCATCGAGTTAGCCCTTTTTGACTACCCGACTTCATACTCTCAAGAAAATCCAGGCATAAAATATTTTTAAACCCGTTTTAATGTTATTTTGCAGAAAAATAATTGGTTTTTCTAATGAAATCAACCGTAGTTTAATTGGTGCATTTGTTGGCTTGAAACGGCAGACGAAAAGGAACAAAAAGACTTATGCATCAACCTAATATTTGAATACTATTTGAGAGTAACGGCCATCACTGAAGCGTTTAATCAAGCTTGCACTTAATCACTTTTCCATCATCGGCTCGGTAAGACTGACCCACATTCAACTGCTGTTCACGTGGAACCCTTCCCCACTCTACTCTTTTGCCTTTTATAAGGGTACATCTTGAGCTTCTTTTTGACAATTCTTCCAACCGAATCCTTACTAATTCCAAGCTGTTGGGCAAGTTTTCTAATCGACCGCCTTGGGTTACGCTTGATCCTTTTTCGAATGATATTGACAAAACGAGGAGAAGTTGCACTTCGTTTGCGTCTTCTTCCAACTCAATCCCTATAACTTCCAAGCGTTTTAAATCGACGAACGGCCGCTTGGACTGTTCTTCGAGAAATCCCGAGCTGTTTCACAATGGTCTTCGTCGACAAGTCTTTCTTGTGAAGATCGATGATTACTTTACGATATGGGCTGGGAGCAACCATAGCAAATAACCTAAATAAAAACTATTGCAGTGAATACAGGACATTGAAAATAAAATAAAATAGCAATAAAAGTAAAGTTCACTACTAGTCTATAGTTTTCAAAAAGATAAAAAACCAGGCGCAGAGGTAATTTTGAATTTCGCGACCATTTAAGAAGAATTTCAGCTCAATTTTCTATTGTTCTAGGATTGGAATTTGTGACTTTTTACCCCTAGAGACAGCTTAGTCGAAAAAATTATGGTAGGAAGTGGTCTCACTAGAGTACGCACCATGTCGATTTGTCTGTCTGTTTGTCGGAAATTCCGTTGGCCCCTTTATATTTGTTCAATCTTTCTGAAATTTTGTTAATAAATAGATCGTACCCATGTTAATCTTTTTGCCTTTTTCAAATCGCCCGCTTTTTTTATCAGATTTAGGATTGTGCTCTTTTTGTAGCAACAGTGAACGCTAAAAGCTCTTTTGTTGGGAGTGACTGGCTCTTTTTTATTGTAAAGAATAAGACTCACAGTTTACAAACTTTCTATGGAGGTTTGGCTCGCTTTCTCCCCAATTTGTATAATTCACCTCACTTCCATCTGACCATTTCCACGTTGCCACGATTTTATTGCCTTTTTCCGACTGTAAATACGCATTTGTTTATCTGTGCTTATTGAAGAACTTCTACCGCATTTCATCAAGCGAAAAACACCACATAGCTGCATACTAATAAAAAAAGAGTTTTGCTCGATTCAGGTCCGGCAGGTCAGGTGCATGCTAAATGGTAGGCAATGCAGTATTTCCTTTTTTTTAAGTTTATAGAGAAATTAGTATTTAAAGGAAATTTAAGAAAATTAATCACTGTCATTGAAAGTATTTCTGAGCTCGATTGCTTTAAAAAGTCTTATGTTTATAAGTTTTTTTCCCATTTTAATAAAATAGAGTTAACATTTTACACACTTTTTGAATCTGTGACTTTAAAATCAATCCCTAAAAAACTAAAACTATTATTGTCAGGAAAACTGACGATCACTATGGAGTTCGAGAGCGTTGAAATGGAAGAACCGATGAAGCTGAAAATGCAAGGAAATAGTAAATATTGTAATTCCAGATTAGTAGAACATATCAAAGAAAAAGCTCAAAAAGAACTAGCAAAGAACAAGCTAAATCGATTCGTGTTATCAGCTCCATTCCTCGCTTGTTCCGTGTTTTCATGGACGCAATAGAAATCCATCGTTAGGCCGTATAAATGGATTTTTCTAGAAAATATTTTCTTTGCAATTCTCTTGCAACTGCAAAATTCTCTTTTGAATGTATGAGGAGGAGGTTTGGACGATAATTGATGGAGGCTCATCGGGCATTATTCATTTGGTCGAAGCGAACAATCGGTTAGTTAAAGGTTCATCTACCAGTACAATGAATTGTTCGCAGAAAAACGGTCGTAAAGTCGAATGCGAATGAGATCTCGAGGAAGAATATTGAAAGGGAAAAAGAAATAATGATGAGAATCAGCCATGATAATATTGTTGCCTACATCGGGACTCGGGATATTGTGATGGGAATTCCGGGGTTTGGGATCGAATTGGAGTACTGCGAGAGGAGAAGTCTGAAGAGAGGTCGGATTTGGTTTTGTATTTGTTTGATAGCCAAAAAATTAACAAAACTATTAAATCAAAAGTATTTTCTTAAAGGTTTGCAGGATTAAACAGAGCTTAAAATCGGACTTTTCTCGAATTACCAAGAAAAAGTTATGCAAAAGTAAAATAAAATAGGATTTTACTTTAGTAATTAGTTATTTTTTTTTGTTTTAGTGGTGCTCGGTTCATCGATTTCCTATTCGATCAAAACGGTGCTTTGCTGGGCTGAGCAGCTGTTCGAAGTGCTCGAGTACCTCGATCAACGCTCAATAGTTCACGGCGATATAAAGCTTGAAAAGTTCGAATCTTCGTAGCGTTTCTTCTAATCTTCCAATATTCTTTTTAGCATTTTTGTCAAGGAAAACTTCGATTTGAAGGTCGGCGATTTCGGGAGTACAAGAGATTGTGAGGTCACATGCTCGGGCACATTTCACGGCACCCATCGATATATCAGCCCGGATTTGATCACGGAAAATATGTGTACTGATCGAAAGGTCTGAACTCTTAATTTTACATCACAAAGAATTTATAAATACTGTTGTAAGCAGTAGATCAATAATGTTCCGTTCAAGTTGGCGTTTTTCTTGGTACAAAGCGTGCAGTATCATTGATTTTTTTGTTATATTTCCTTAGCATAGGCGTGGCGATTAAGTTTGTGAACTTTTATCTAAGTGTTCAAATGAGATTGATGACTTTAAAGCCGGTCTTTATATAAAAAAGGACCTAGTTTTCAGATCTCCCGTGCAAATGATGTCTATGCGGTGGGATTGGTGCTTTGGGAAACCCTCGAACGAAGGTCACTCGCGATTTTGCCTAATAAACATCTTACGTTTCTAGTCGTGTCTATGCGAAATACGATTCGAAGGATAATTTCAATACGACACAATTCTTTATTGACATCTTATTCCGGGTTCTGCAGAAGTTGGAACCACCGACATGCATTGAAGAGTTGCAAAAGATTATTGTTAGGTTTAAGAATTTTTGCTACATCAAGCTTCTGCTTTTACAGTTGTTCGAGCTTTGATCGTGGATCTCGTCCTAAGCCTCAAGATGTACTCAAGGCTGTGAAACACATCCTAGAGGTTGGAGTCATTTTGAAGTATTATTTATGTATTGTACATCAAAATCGATTTCAGGAAAACGCACTTGTGAAAGGATACGAATTTTTGCCAATAATCGATGAAAAGCAAAGAGTTCTACTACCGCCATTCGGGTCTGGGAGAAGTTTGGATGACGAGAAGTCGAGCAGTTTCTTGGTGCCCGATGGAGAAGATCTACGATCCATGGTATTTCAAGAAAGCACCACAATTACAATAATTTCTAGATCGATCCGATGACAGAAGAAGTGCCAGAAAGCAACGACTCGCCTCGTCAAGAGTTCCACATCCACAGGGCCCTGAACACTAATTCGAATTTGAGACGCTTCAATCGGATTGAAGATGTTGGAAGATTGACCACGATATTCAATGAGATGAGCAGCGAGAATCAAATCAAATTCTATCAAATCCTTCCAAGAATGATCACCGAGGCCCAGCAAAAGGTCTATTTCTTTCACGAACATCTCGCATTAACCACCCGATTTATGGACTTAGCGCAATCAACCGATCCAGTAGAGCTCTTCGAAGCGCTTTTGCTTGCCGATTTTGCGTGGGAAGCCGAGGAAATGAGCAGCTACTTTCAAGAACTCACAAAAGACACCAGGTTCTCGCTGTTCTGGATAGAGTCCACGAATATGGCCTCAAAGATTAGGGTATTCGCGGCTGGAAAGACCTCATTTTATTTGACGCGCTTCTACTTTGAGTGCTACTTCTCAACGGTGCTCAAAGAGGAGTGGCTGCTCGTCGAAGGGCACGACAACATTCAAGAGATCGTATTGATGGTCACGAAGGATCTGAGTAAAGCCCAGTATCTGAAGGGACACTGGCACCGCGGGAAGACGTTCATCGCGAAAGACTGCCAGAGTGATGTCCACGTAAGTTATGGAGTGATTACATTCACGAGCCACGCCGATCAACTGCATTTCACCGGCAATTACCCAATCGATCCGTATATGATGCTAGAAGCGTTTACCAGGGAACGAGAAAAGTTACTGAATCAGGCAGTGATTATTAGAAATAAAATGCGGAGACTGAATGAGATTCGTTCCATACCAAAATTCCTGGATATTGGATCAAAGCTGCCGATTCCGAGCTATATTTTTCAACTACGAAATCCTCCCCGAATACCATGTCGTCATAAAGGAATTTGCTCAAAAAAGCAATGGCCAAAAGACACTTTTACCGAGAGAGTAAACATTAGTGGAAGTTTTCCACCAAAACTTTTTATTGACTACTTTGAGTGCACGACAAAAGAAGAGCTACAATACTTATCCAACTTTTTCGTTGTTTGGAACGATTTGGGCACAGCGCTGGAGCAGTTTTCGTCGTATCTCAACAAATCTCAGCGTATCTTGATGTATGCGGAGAATTTTTCATTTGAGAAAAATAATTATTTCCCGACGCTTTTCGTGCCGAACTTTCAGGAGGAAAAGGGCCATTTAGTGCTTTTGGATCATCCGGTCAATTACGAGAATTTCGAGACGATTCCCGCGTTTAGTGTCCGATTCGCTCAGAACATAGACTTGTTAATTGGGAAAATCCATGAGTTACCTGTCAGGCAATTACGAAGATATTTACGGGATTTGCCCGTCGAAAAGCACAAATTCCTGTTGATTGATCCTGAGAAAGAACCGAAAGAATCGCCGCGACCCTCAAAGTTTTGTCTCGTCGATCACGAGGGAAAGCAGATCTTCCTCTCGAGAATATTGTTTCGAGGGAAAACAGAGTAAGAACATTTGTTTCTCTATTGCCGTTTTGATGCTTTCAATTTTCTTTGCTGTTTCAATTTAATTTTCTAAAGTTGTTATCATTCTGCTAAAGGATAAACCTATCTCTATCTTTCTGAATGCAGAGAACATATAAAAGTGTTTATTATCTTTTCATTTACTTTCCAACCTGACGATGAGTTATTTAATCGAAATCTTTATTAACAACCAATAATTAAAAAGTATTATGATTCAAAAAAACATTCTGGTAAAGATGTATTAGGTTGGTGCATTGAAAACTGCCGGTTATTTTGCGGGACTCGCAGCTAAAGAAAACAACAGCATAGAACCAGCTGAAAGGGGGGTTTATTTATTCAACATTTCCCCTAATTATTGCAAACAATTATGCTTTCAGCTTTTTATTTTTTGGGTGTTTTTCTTCACTTCTATTGCACTCGACAATCTGCCACCGGGACGTATTCGTCATGTCATGCTTCATGAGTTCCTACAAGAGCACCGTGCAGGTTTGGCAGTTGCTAATATTAAAAAGATATATGGGGAGGACTCACCTTTTGAAAGAACGTGTCGATTATGGTTTGCCAAGTTTCGATCTGGGGACAAATCTTTGAAAGATGCAGAGGGCCGTGGCGCGGCACCCCAACTGGATGATTCCAAATTACTCGAACTCATTACCAACGACCATCGGGTATCATCGCATGAATTGGGAGAAGAGTTAGGGGTTGATCATGCTACAGTGCTAAGGCACCTTCATACCCTTGGATTTAAATCGAAACTTGGGGCTTGGGTACCCCATGACCTCAATAACCCCCACAAGTGGCAGCGCGCCTCCATCAGTGCCGCTCATCTCTCACGATACGAAAGGAAATCCTTTCTTCCTCGAATCGTGACAGGAGATGAGAAATGGGTTTTATTTGTGAACTTTTGGAGGAAGCGGCAATGGGTGGGGCCAGGCGAGAAACCCGAAAGTGACCCTAAGCCCGATTTGCACCAGAAGAAGTTTATACTCTGCGTTTTCTGGGATATGGAGGGAGTGATGTACTGGGAGTTGCTGGATAGCAAGACGACCGTTAATGCAATCAAATACAGTGAACAGTTGGGAAAGGTGAATGAATCCCTGAAGAAGAATAGGCCCTCCAAGTCAAAGATCGTTCTCATCCACGACAACACGCGCCCTCATGTTGCCAAACTGATTGTTCTAAAATAAACAGCCTTGGTTGGGAACTTTTGGCGCATCCACCATACAGTCCGGGCCTCGCCCCTTCTGATTACTATTTATTCCGTACCATGTTAATGAGTTTGCGGGAGAGCACTTCGATTCGGAAGAAGCAGACAAAAATTGGTTGCAAGGCGCTTGCCCCCCCCGCCGAAATTTTGAAAGCTCCGGAAATCACCATGTAGGGGACCCTTACCATTTTTAACCACTAAATATTCATTTTCTAACTTAAATTGACTGGTAGAAGCAAAACAAGATAACAAGCAAAACAAAACAAGATAACAAAAAAGCCGCCCAGGGAGATATTTTCGAGAAGAAATAAACCAAATTGTTGAAAGCAATCTAGAGGATAAATTTTGTTAATGTTAATTTTTGTTTTTTCTTTGAAAAATTTTTAAACCATGAGTTTTATTGGTTCGGGTGATTTTGGGGACCTGTAGTATCCTCAAAAATGTCTCATTTATTATCAAAAAGTGACAAGTTTTTAATCGAAAATTTTGGATTAATGAAAATTTTACTTTTATGTTTATATTGGTTAACAAGTTTGTACAAGAATTTTGACTTAAACGGTTTTGAATCTAGCAAGTTGTTGCAAATTTCTAAAGGGAAATTAGGCGAAAATCTACTTTTTACCACATCCTTTCTCATTTCTCAAAAACTCTGCATCAGATCGGGATGAAATTTTGGCGTATAATCAACAAAACTTCAATTGTTATTAGAAAAAAAATTGAAAAAGTTATGCTTTAGTTTTTTTTCAAAACTTCGTATAAAGACGCCGCCATTTTGATATTCCCCAACCCACTACATTTATGAGCTATCCAATATGAGCTATCCAATTCATTATGTATTATAATATTGTGTACGATGCCTACATCTTATATTTAGAAAATACTCAAAATAAATCCAAACGATTTCATAAACGCTCTACTCAAGCATGACTAAAGCAATCATCAAAGATCCCGCATTCGACCAGTCACAAACTAGAGACTGTCACAGATCAGTGTAAGCTATTTTTGAAGGTGTTTCCTGTAATTCTGTAAAAAAAAGGTCTAATTCTGTATTCATATCAATTATTTTGCACGTCATTCCGTTTTCTGTGACCAAAAAGCCATTTTTTGTTTCAATATTTACCCAGTGAAGGGTTTAACAAGCGTTTTTCATGAACAAGCACACTTTCTGTTTGATTTTCAACTTCTCAAACTCTTCGACACAAATTTTCTGGAAAAAGCTGACCTTTCATTTGTAGAAAGATAGCTTTCTTGGTCTTCAAAGTCCTATAGCAAAGAGTTTAAAGAATTTTCGGGGAATCATTTTAACTTACCGATCTTTAAACCGTGTTTTAGCAAAAAAAAATCACAGATACATCTGTGGAGACGATTTTGTGTTGTTTTAGAACAATAAAGTCATCATTTTTATTTCTAACGTTAATTAGTAGCCTATACAAAGTTCTTTGATCAAAAATTAGTATTTCTTCTGATCATAATATTGGAAATCTTTGTTAAACTATTGTATTCGATGTTTTTTCAACGGAAAATTCTTTTCCAGACGTTACTAAAAGTTTTTCTTTCTGATAAACAGACAGTTCTTCGGTCAATACAGTAATAAAGCTTATTAAATTCCTTTTAAGCATGGAGCATTTTTCGAAAAACTAATTCTTCAATAATGTCATTTAGATGATAGGTCTTTGGATTCAAATCCTACTCCTCATTCCCTTGTTAACCGCTCAAAATGTCACCATTCAAACACCAATGGGCTCGGTTACGGTAAATTAGGCATAAAATTTCATTTTATGTTGTCTTTTAGGGATTTCGAGTAGATTACGGCAACAATACATCCAATTTGTACTATGGAAAGGGGGTTGTCTTCCTCGGGATCCCATATGCTCAACCACCCATCGGCAATCTAAGATTTCAGGTGAACCATGAGTTTTGATGGGGAAATAGTAGGAGAGAGGATAAAGATATAAAGTATGTATTCTTGACGTGTACATGTAGTATATGCGTGGTAGTCAGTGTTCATGAACCCATCAATTTCAGCTCCCACAATCGCTGAATCGCTATCGGACTTCTCCTCTAGATGCGACACAATATCCGTGAGTCAATTTGAAACTATTAGGTTGGTAAAAAAGAAATGAGCGTCGTGTTTGTTGATTTGTATTTTATTCACAGTAAAAGATTTTTTAAAATAGTTTATTCTATTGGAAAGAGCGTGTTCTTGCGCATCATTTGATATATAATTTGTCTATGTTTACTTTGTTTTTTTACAAGAAAGAGTGCTTAGAAAATCTCGGACCAAACAATTTCGCTTGCGGGCCTGCTTGTGGTATGAATTTAAGCAAGGCAAATCGGCTGCTGAAGCTCATCGCGCTCTATCTCAAGCGTTTGACGAAGATGCTCTATCCGAAAGTCAGTATAAACGATGGTTCCAGCGCTTCCGACGAAAGCTTGGAAGACCAAAAACACGGGAGTCGACCTCAAATCATCGACAACGACGCATTGAAAGAAACCATTGAGTCGGATCCACGCCAAACCACTCGCGACCTGGCAGAACAGTTCGGCTGCACTCATGTCACCATTGAGAACCATCTGCATAACATGGGCAAGACGAATAGATGCGGAAAATGGGTACCGCATAAGCTATCCGACGCAAACAAGGCGACACGCATCGCAATCGCCGAAATTCTCACTCACCGCGCCAAGAACAGTGGGTTTTTCGACTCCATTGTTACGTCGGATGAGAAGTGGATCCAATACGACAACACAGCAAGAAAGCGGCAGTGGTTGGACCCCGTTGAAGCTTCAAAACCGACTCCAAAACCGGACATCCACGGAAAAAAGGTGATGCTTTGTGTTTGGTGGAACAGTAAAGGCCTGGTGTACTTTGAGGTTCTGGATTCGGGTCAAACAGTTACGGCGAACCTCTACCAAGGCCAAGTGGACCGCGTGGACCAGGCGCTGCGACGTCAAGGTGTGGATACGGCGTCGACAAAATTCCTCCACGACAACGCTCGACCGCATGTCGCAAAAATCACCCAGCAGAAAATTGAAGAAATGAGCTGGGAAGTCCTGCCTTATCCGCCATACAGCCCAGACTTGGCGCCTTCCGACTACCATCTGTTCCGATCAATGCACCACTCCTTGGCCGAGAAAAAGTTCAAGAACCGCGACGAGGTCCAAATTTGGGTGTCCAACTTCTTCGAGTCGCAGCCGGTCGAGTTCTTCAAGAAGGGCATCCATTCTCTGCGTGAACGTTGACGACAAGTCATTGATGCAGATGGCGAATACCTTTTGGATTAATGTATTGTTATCTTGTTTTTATAATAAAATAAACTTTTAACGAAAACGCGCATTTCTTTTTTACCAACCTAATAAATCCAGTAAAAGTAATGCTAGTAAACAATTTATTATGTGTTATTCAAAATTTTGAGATGATCTTATTGTTAGTTTTTTATAATCCTGTTTAGAGCCGCATGTCCCCAAGCAAGAACCGAAGGAATCCCAGGAGCTCTTGACGCTCCATGCACGAAACAAAGCGAAGATTGTCTCTATCTCAACGTGTACACACCTGATGTAAGTTCATAGCAATGCTAAAAGGTTTTTGTCGGACTCTTGTAGTTTTATTTAATGAGTCGTTTCTTGACAAGAAAATCCAGTGATTGATATAGTTACGCGTAACTATATCAATCACTGGATTTTCTACGTAATTACGTACAAAACTTGACTCCTCATTGCCCAAAATTACTTCTCGAGTTTTATATTAATTAATAGTGCGGGGAAAAAACCAAACTGGAATTAAATCTGACGTAGTTTAACGTAGTTTATGCAAACACGTCATTAGTCCGGAGTTAATCCAATAGTACGTATTGCAAGTATTCCCCATAAATTCCCTATCGGATTGATGTCAGGAGATCGAGCGGGTCAGTCCAAAATTGCAATGTTGTTGTTGTTCAGCCAGTCTCGGGTGTCTCCGGCTCGATGAATTGACGCGTTATAGTATTGAAACAAATCGGGAACGGTTGGATTTAGGAGCAAAAACGGCAACAAGCAATTGTTCAAGATATCTATCTAGTCATCCGATTCGAAACCATCTTCAGAGCGACCGTTCCATCAGCACAAAAGGTGCCCCAAACCATCACAGAAACACCGCCAAAGTTTCGGGTTCCAAACACCATCGGATCACGTCGAAGATCCCTCCAATAGTAGTCAACACCATTGGGACCATCCCAATTCCATTTCTTCTCATCGGAAAAGACCACCTAAACGCAAAAAAAATAATAAAACATAAGCGGCTTTCCAACCATAGACCAATTCTGATTCATATGGACCTTGGCGAATTTCTTGTGCAAAGGTGTTACGGCCAGTTGCTTGTTCAACAATTGTCGATCGATATGTGGATTTTCCGTGACGGCTCACCAAATTGTCGACTTTGAAGAGTCGATTTTCAGTTCCATTTTCACTTAAGCGATCGTTTTTCCGTGGATGTTGTTCACAATATGGCGTCGAGCTCGTTGTGTAAGCTTTGGTTTTGGTCCTGGCTTCTTCTTTAGTGCAGATACGGCCTTCGACTTGATATAATTTCACGATCGGCCCAAATCTTTTGCGATTTTCCTTATTAAGTTTGCTTCTCTGTCAATCTTCGGACGCGCATCAATCTGGCCTTTCTCATAATCCGTGAGCGGCTTTCCGTGTGCCATCTACCTGGAAATTAACAAAAAATTATAAATTTAATAATAAAATATGCACAACAAAACGAAAAATTTCAAATAACAACAGCAAAGGCGGGTGCGTTTAAGAATTTGACAAGGTTGATTTACCAAAAAGTTTTTATTTTGAACATTTTTACTTTTTACAGTATGCTTATTTTTAGCGTTTTCTAGATTTTCAAACACGCTCTTTCCAATAGAAAAAGAATAATAGTTGCTGCGTTGTTAAAAATGCAAAAATCTTTAGTTTTGAGGGTGCTCTTAAGAATTTGAAACACACTGTAGTTAAGCTCATCATTACTCAGCAACCAAACAGAATTAATCAAAATACTAATTCTTTCAGACAACAACTCCCAACAAGTACCCAGTAATGATCTGGATTCATGGTGGATCGTTAGCAGCTGGTTGTGCAAAGGAATATCCGTACAAAGTAAGAGGTTGTTGATGATAAATCAGGTTCACCCTTACTATTAGGTTGGCAACTGAGTAATTTCGATTTTTGATGTTGTACTTTTCCTGGCGAGCTATCCAAATTCAATCAATTCTTTTATGTTGATTTAGTAGTTGATGATAAACTCTACACACAGCTATGCATAGAAATGTTTGATCGAATTTGAATAGCTCGCCAGGTAAAGCACAAGATCAAAAATCGAAATTATTAAGTTCTCAACCTAATATTAGGGAGCAATTCGTAACTTGGTGTCTCGTGGAGTTGTGGTTGTCGTCATTCAATATCGTTTGGCTGCTCTTGGCTTCTTCACCACAAATACCACAGATTTTCCGGCAAATAGAGGACTATTGGATCAAGTACGTAAAGAATTCGCTTGTAAATAAAACTAAAATATTATAGATCGAAGCATTCAAATGGGTACAAAATAATATTGCTTCTTTTGGTGGGAATCCGAATCTTGTCACTTTGTTTGGACAATCAGCTGGAGGGATCTCTATCTCGGCACACACATACTCGCCGTTGAGTAGAGGTGAGATTTGCTGGTAACGAGAAATTTGTTTGGCTCGTAAACCTGGGTTACGAGTCAAATAAAAATACCGTATGGACAGTTAAGCTAAAGTAACAAACTGATCATTGGAGTCTGAGAATGATTACATAAGGTGCTATAATTATCTTTAGCTGATCCCAAAACAAAACTGGATAGGCGCATTAAACGTTAGAAAAACTGACAAACAACTTATCGATTGAACTGGCAAATGTTTGTTAATATTATACTGATATTATCTGATAGGTGATACGGTACATTCCAATATAATACTGACCAATCAAATTTATACAGTAGCGGAAATTAACTTAAAAACTTTTTGTTTTTGAACAAGAAACCCTTTGTTTTCAATTCAGTTAAACTGTAAACCGGTTTCAAAATATATTTTAACATTTGCAAGATAATCCTCATAGCAAACTAAACTTAATGTCTTTGCTTTGTGTTTTTAATTAACATTTATTCAAAAACCCAACGGCATTAACTCAAAGAGAATCATTGCTTTTCTTTATTCTTAATGTCTTTTTTAATCTACTGTTACCTAAAGTTTTTACTAAACAAATAACTTTTGTTTTTAGTCGTGGGAAAGAAGAAGCAAATTATTCCTGCAATCAATGATCAATCATGAGGACACGATCGTTGCGATGCAACAAGCAGGAGACATCAAAAGTCGGATTTCGATAATTTTGAAGGTGCACAAATCAATCGTTTCTCGAATTTTGAAGCTTCATGCTACGCAAGGCTCTACCATTGCGAAGAAAAACAAAGGTCAACCCAGAAAAAACACTCTTCGAGACGATAATCGGATGACTCTTCTTTCAAAGCAGGACCCAGTGCAAAACCGCTGTTCACATCCATCAAGAATTACCGGCAACCTTTTGAAATTCTATCAGTTCTTGTACTGTGCAGCGTTGTTTGAATCATTCTGGACTATTTGGAAGACGCCCGGCAAAGAAACCATTGATTTCTGCAAAGAACCGCAGACCCCAGGTCAAGTTTGCCATGGAAGATCAGCTTTTGACGCCCACGAAGTGGCTTGATTGCCTTTTTTCCGATGAAAGCAAGTTTATGATGCTTGGATCAGATGGAATCAAGTTTATTCGAAGGTCAATCAACCAAAGATTTGTAACCAAAGATGACCAACCAAGCACTTGCTCGACTGTAAAAGATGGCGGTGGAAGCATAATGGTTTGCGGAGGGTTTTTCTTCATTTTATGTTATAAGTTACCTTGTTTGAAAAGTTGTTAAGCTAATGTTCGTTACTGTAGCATCCAACAAATAGGCTTTAGTTGGATCAAAAACAAAGAAAAAAGAACAGTCATTGTTCTTTAAAGCAAAAGAACAATGACTTTTAATCAGGATTTCATTGTCGGCAATCAAAAACATAAACACATTTGTTCAGGCCTCTTCCATCAAGCTATCGTTGAATCTGGTACAATTTTCATGTCTCTTTATGGCTCGGCAAGCAATAGAAATTCCAGTGCAATTACAGCCCAAAACGTTTGTTAGAATTAATAAATTAGTACCTTTCAACAAAATTTAGCTTTGCCAAATCCCTCAAAATCAGTTTAATCGAGGGAATTTCGGACAATTGAAAACATGCATGAACAACATATCGGTATCAGCTTTTGTGGCTGCGGATAAGGTATGTAATTATTGTACCTTGTATGTACAGGGTGGGCCATAATTACGTCCTCGAGGGTGTCGCTTGCAAAGTAGATACTTCCTCGTATTTTGCTAACTAGGAAAAAGCATTTTTGTTGTTTTTCTCTTCAATTCGTTTTGTTTTAAACTTGTTACAATATAAAAATGGTGTTTTTTAAAATGACCAAACGCTCGCTCCTTCGCCGTTCGAACATCGATCTTCATCGAAAGGGATTTAAGACACGGAAGATAAAGGATCGTCTGGGAGTTAACCCAAGCCTCGTCAACAAAACCATTCAACTTTTTAAAGAGTTGGGGTAGGAAGATGATCGAAAGGGCCGGGGAAGAAAGCGATCGATGACAATTGAAGTCAACATCAAGAAAGTGAGAGAAAGAATCCGTAACCCTGCGCACCCCCTTCGTCAAATATCACGTGAGATGGGAACCAAGTTGCAGCGAATGGAGGTATTTTTGAGGTCCAATATGTTCTTTTTCTTGTTAATATTTCAATAAATGCTATTCTGTTCAAAATTTACTTTTCTGGTTTTTTTTGGGTTTACTGGAATTTTTTTACCCTACCGTAAATACTGTAATAGTACCCCACCCCCATAATGACGGTGCAGAGTGTTGCGTAGTCTAGCTTTGAACGAGTGTTTCTCGACACTGGTTTATGCTACAATGCGCGCTTAGGTATCAAAAAATAGCCCTGAATTTCAGCTATTGTTTGATACCAAAGACGCATTTTTGTGGAAGTACGGGCGCTTTGAAAAAAATGAAATACTAAAAAACTTTTCCGACTACGCGACTGTACGAGGGGGGTGGGGGTACTATTACAGTATTTACGGTAATTACTACGAGGACGTAGTTATGGCTCACTCTGTATGGTGATAATGAGTTGGATGTACACATGTATGCGTATTACCCATATAGCCTATTGCTCCCTCAATATCGAATCTTTCAGGCTGATTATGGAAACTGGTTGATCATTCGAGACAACAATTTCTTACCAGGAACCCCTCAATCATTGAATGCTCAAAGAGCAAGGATCCCAGTGATGTACGGAAGTCCAAAAGATGAAGCGGCTCTTCCATGTAAGAGAAAAGTCAATCTTCAGCAGACTCTTTTAAGAATTGAAATAATTTAGATTTAAAGTTTGCTTAGCCTGCAAAGTATTATAAGCTGTAGCTAGTTCTTCGTATTGTAGCTATTTTTGTACTAATATTCTCAACTAAGAAACACTAGTAATTTGAATAGTTACTGATTGTGAATTGATTGTGAATTGCTTAAATTTTGTTCTGGAAACAGAAAAGGTGAGTCAAATTGTGCCGCCCAATTGACAAACTTACCCAGAAACCCTCAAAACTAGTCAAAATATGTTTCAGAGAAAGTAGTACATAAAAATAGAAATTCAATGTGAGAAATTATCACTATCAAAATGTTATATGTAGATTAGTTTTAAAAAATCGGTATCAATTCTATGATTATAATTTAGAAAAGTTGTGTGTGTGTGTGTTTGTTACCAAGATTCCGGCTTAACCATCGAGTTTTATGGTGGGGTAAGTGTGTAAAACTATATAATCGACCCACCGGAACACGAGGGAAATGTCAGAATTTTGATTTGACAATGTTTTGGCATCAGATTCGCGATTTTGTGAAATTGAAAAACCTGATCGACATTTTGAAAAGAATCATTTTGAGGGAAAAGGGGAAAAGCCCGAAATTTAACTTCTTAAATGCGAATTTCGCTATGATAAAAGGTTCTGTTTTGAGCTGCATAAGCTGTACAAAATGGCTGATCATTTCCATAATTTTAAGCCAACATCCATTTACCTAATTCTCAGTGTACTTCATGATGGAGTCCGGAGTCCGTTTCGAAGACTTCAATCAATCTTTCCTTCAACGAACCTTCATGAAAGAGAACGTGTTTTCTCCTTATCAACGTAATTTGAATGCTGCTTGGAATACAATTAGTCAAGTAAAATCATACAGTTTTTGCGGTTTTCAAAAACTTTTAGAGCTATCTAACGAACAGTCAAGCGAATAGCAACAACGCATCGTATTGGTGGTTGAAAACTTCTGATGTTAGTAAAAAAAATTAGTTTATACTAGCAATTTTCATCATTTAGATCTTCTCAGCTTCGAATTTCACTCAATGGATTTGGAAAGATGTGCAATTGCAACTAGCAAATCGGAACCCGATGGTCTACTTGTACGAACAGACATATGGATCAAAGATCATGCAAAGAAAAGTCGGAGATGAAGTCACGAGAAAGCTCAATGGATATAGACGTAGGTTTTAAGGTAAATGACTGGTTCAATGAAGGGAAACTGATAGAAAAACAGAGTACGAATAGTATAGTTACAAATAGTTACAAATAGTCCAGTTAGCTTACATATTACTGCGGTTAACAAATCTATTTATATGATCGGGTAAATCAAGCTATTACATTACTTACAAATTCCAAAGCATGGGGGATCCCCCGCCGCCTTCAAGCAAAACGAAAGGGCAAGAAAACCAAAAAAGGAAAAACCGGGAGGGGGAAAAGGGCAAGGCGGTCCAGCAAAGACGAATAAAAAAAGAAGAAAAAAAAGATTTAATAAGCAGCCCCCGGAGCAAGGGATTTAAAAGGAAAAATTTTAAGAGCAAGTTTGGTGTTAGAAGATCCAATATCTATTTGTTTGATGTACATACTGGAGGAGTGCTACGTTTGTACCTTTTGATGCTTAAATAATGCCAAGGCAGGTTATGTGTATCAATAAAACTGAATGTATCCAAGCGAAGATCTCTAACTTCTAAAAACTCTTTTCGTTGAGTAAAGTTCATCACTACATCATTAACTTGAAAATTTCTCATTTCGGGGAGGGCAAAAATCCTGAAAAACCCTCTTTTTTGCCCTGCCCGATATCATTTCAATCTTACTAACAGCTGGGAATTCCAAGAATTACAAAATTTCCTCTGCGAATCCGTTTCGGAGGAGGTAATAGCCTCTTTACCGAACCTGGACCTGATTGCAAGATTCCGTTTAACTATAATTTTTTTCAGCTGTCCCACACTCTGCTGAAAACCCCTTCATCTGGATGTTCGAACCAATCTGGAATGCTGAAACACAAGCGAATCGAGTAATAAACCACTCCATTAATTATGCTGTTTGGTCTCATTTACAGGTTGTCCCATTCGATCACACGTTAGCAAATGCTTATGGTACTTGGTGGACGAATTTTGCGAAATTCGGGTGGAGTACGACTATAAATCTTTTAAACCCAAGAATTTTCAGTAGACCAACCGTCGACAACTCTTGGAGGCCAGTGTATGGCCAAACTATGCAACATTTCCGAATTGATCAACCACAACAAGGTGGAATGACAATGGTACAAGGGTACAGGGATCAAGATGGTGATGTATTCCAGAGGGTGAGTCAATTGAACGTGTTGAATACACCTATTACTATATAATTTAGCAACTCGTCTCAATCTTTGGTGATGGACCAAATCGATGAGTCTTTGAAAGAAAATGATGGAAATTTTAATAAAGTTTCCCAAATAATTGATGGTTCTTAAAGTTTTCAGAACAGTTTATTATAGCCACAATTTCAAGTCTAAATTTACATCAACTTACAAAAAGACAATCAAGACAAAATCAGCATTGTCGTGATCTTGGATCTAAAAGTGTCTTTCAATAATCTAATCCCAGAAATCCTTACCGTATGTTGGTGTTTTGTGTCGGTTCAATCACAAGAATCCATTCTTGTTGTTTGAAGTATGTTGTTTAGAAAGGAATTGATCTAAACTTGTTGAAACAAGGCAATTTACGAAACTGGACGAAATTGGACAATTATAATAGTAAGCCAGACAGTTGTTGACAATTTACTTGTAAAAGAAGATTTCGTTGAACAACTAAGCAGTGGATAGAACATAATCTTGGCGAAAAACACTTTCGATGCTTTAAAATTAGCTGTCACTCGAAATTTTTCTCGGGGACGCTTATAGTAGAGCATAGAGATAATTTGTACAAATATGCTCAATATATACACATGTGTCAAAATTTATGGATTTGATAATAATATAGTGGATTTCTGCTAGTCCTTAACAAAAGCGTTTGTATCGAAAGAAATTTCTACTATAAGAAAGGAAAATCCGGTAAAAATGGGTCATTTTGTCTCAAAATTTCAGAGCTCGATCCACCAACTAAAGTTGAGTGGTCAAACTTGAGTGAATTCGGTTACTTGTTCTTGTCTTTGTCATTGACTCATTTATCAAGATAATGCGGCAGATTTGATGTAAAGCTTTACATCAAACCTGTCACATCTGCCACAGTTAGATTCCTATTGACGTGCGGTTTTAAGGGACTGGCGCAAAAGCGGCGCGGCGCGCTTTCTAAAGCGTGGATGCGCTACCGTACCCCATGCAAAATTCCCTTTCGCCATTCTTTTCATTTTTCTTCCTTCCATGAAATCGGACACTTTATCCAGCTTTTATATCGAGTCCTCTCTTCTCTTCCCCTTCGTAAAATCTATTATGTTTTTGTGGCGCGTTTTTGAAGTACTCTCTCTCCCCACGTGCGTTCCCTCCTTTTTATATTGTTTGCCCATAGTTTGTTGTTTAAAATTCTAATACGGTTTTGTTTCGTTTTCTTTTTGGCTCCTTCCACTCCATTTTTTTGAATTCGTTCACATATTGCCGTATAAACTCAACTTAACCAATTCCTTTTAACTAAAACGCAAATCTAAATAATCTGCCATGGCGCAGTCTTCTTGTTACTTCGTCTTCGGTTTTGTGTTGAATCATTTTAGAAAAGGTGTTAGGTAAGGGAGTTAGTTACTAACTTCACGATTCAATAATATCAGGACAATTATAGCTCCTAATACAGTTTCTATTTCAATAAAACACTCAATTGTTTTCACCAATTACAGCTGGTCAATTATTTTCGTGTCGTTAGTGCTCCAAATTCTAGTTTGAAGCCAGTGCTCTTTATTTTGCGCCCCCACTATCTTGACTACAAAAGTTACCCGCCACATACTTTCGTAAGCTCCATTTTTCTTATTCGAAATCCGTTTTTGACTTGAAATTTTATAATTTCTTTGCTATTTATCTACCTAACTCAACTTATTTCTTTAGTAATTATGGACGCATCGCCAGAGAATGATGGCGATGATATGAACATCAGTGACGGTAAGTTATGGCTGATAAACATGGCTATCAGCTTTGATTGCTAGAAAAGCGGCTAGAAAGCTAGAACTGCTAGAAAGCTGTCATTATTATAGCTTTGGGGGGAGGGCACTTTTTTCACCATTTTTCCTGGGGTAATTGATGACGCTGATCACGAAAAAGTAATTTTAAAGCAAGTTAGTAATGAAAAAATGTCCGTTTTTAAAACTCAAAGTGCTATAGTATTGGGGGGGGCAATTTTTTTTGTCGCCAAATAAGCTGATTTTTTTGCCCTCAAGGGGTTTTTGAATATGTTGAATCGATTGGTGATGGCTTCACACATTTCGTAGCTTTTAACGAAATTTGAGGGTCCTATATTTACCTACGCTTTGGCTCCGCGCCTTTAAGGCACGTGGCCCCTAGGCTTTGTTCCAGCTAGAAGTCACATGCTTCCGGTACGAAACTCACCTTAGCCGTAAGAGAATCAAGCGATAACCTAGGAGCCACGTGCTTTTTTCACTACTAACTTGCTTTAAAATTAGTTTTTCGTGATCAGCGTTATCAATTACCCCAGGAAAAATGGTTTTGGCGAAAAAAAAAGTGGCCCCTCCAAAGCCCATAGTGACTAGTTTTGTTGTTATTTACTGTCTTGCGACGAATCCGTATTTTCAAGGCCTATTTTAGATAAATGCCGTAATCAAGCCGCCAGTTTTCATCCGGTCAGTCCATTTTTATATCATTCGACGAGGAATCACAAGGCTCAGGCAATGATACAAAAATTGGGCTGATCGAATGAAGACTGGCGGTTTTATTGCGGTAGATTGCTGAATTAGGTACCTTTTAGAAAACGGATTAGCCGGGAGGGCGTTGCAATTAGAAACACTATAGCTCTTTTGTCTGAATACTTAAGTGTACTAGGTAAATAAGCAAACTGAAATGTTTACTGGTATGGCGAAAGTGCCATATTAGTAAAGCTATCACTATCTTTAAATCGATTCTACCAATTGTTTCTAGATGAGATGCAAACAGTCGATGTTCCCAAGAAAAAGCCGGTGAAGACGGGAGAATATCATTGGAAGAAGCTCACCTTCTCGGCATGTGATGGCAATTATCGCTGGTTTCATTACGATCAAGCTGAAGTGAGTTCTTTTATGATTTGTTGCAAATGAAAAGTTATGCAATAATCAAAGATTCTAGCCGTGGAACAAAATATTTCAGGCAATCTTGATTTTCATGGCGTTTTTAATAAAAAGCTAATTCAGTAAGAAATTCGAGGCTTTATAGCTTCAAATTATTTTCAAAACTCGAAAAAATAGATAAAAATTCACTGAAATCTTTGGATAGAATCATGTTGGTTAAAGCTAATAGAACTTTGGTTCATAAGAGCATCAAAGCTGAGTTGACTTCAATGATCGCGAGGTTTCTCCATCATTTCATATCATATAAATAGTTGGCCCGCTGTTATTAGCTTAAGATTATGGCTTTTCATTCTAACCAAACAGAAATTAGAGAGCTGCACTGGTGGAGAAATTGACATGGATTAGCCATTTTTTCATATGCATTGGCCCAATAAAAATTAGACGATAATTTTCCAATGATCAACTTTTCAGAACTTTTTCGCTCAAGAGCAAACCCAAGGTAAATGGTACGTTCGCAACATGGAAACCGGAGATTTTCAAGAATTCGATTGGGAGAAAAACGCGGCGCCCGAAGAACCAGAAAAGGTTGAAGTCATATCAAATCTCTCTCATTCTTAATTTTAGGACAAAGCTCTTGCCACCCAAAGACTCCTTGAGAAAGACGAGCCGGTGCTTTATGTAAAGTGTAAGTTTGCTTGTAAAAGATTCAGCTCTATCAATTCCAACGCAGGTATCACTACAATCTAGTACCCAGCAAGTACTCTTTTCGCCGAGATTTGTATAGAAGTGTAATAGAAAAGCTCTTAGTCGTTTACTCATCAAAAGAATTTGCAGTGAGCATGGAATTTTTTCCGGAGAGAGATTCATATCAGCGACCTGTTTACAAATTCAACAGCGATGGACAACCGCTAGTGCCGAGGAATGAGGAACTTGAGGCGGCAAGTTGAAATTTGCAATTAGCGTCGGATAAAGTTGGTCAAAGCCAAGTCTAGCCAAAGGCTTTCAATTGGGCCTGAAATTTCATTGCTTTTGGCATTTGGCTAAATCTAGCCGAAAACCCCGGCCGGGCCTGAAGTTTACGGAAAATTGAGCAAAAATAATTGACTTGGCTTAGCCTGGAAATTGGCTTTTTGTTTACAAACCTTAGATGAATTTTTGTTTAGGTGTTTCCGTGCGATGAGCAAAAAGTTCCTCTATTCCCGTTCAATCTCGCTTCTCAACAACAAGATTTTTTGTATAACGAAGATGGATTGCAAGTGGTGCCGCTCAACGATGAGGGAAAAGTTGTGGTGCCAATGGATTATTATCGTGAGAAATTTTATGATCAAAGTTTGAGAGTCAATACCATAGTTGATTTATGTGTTACTGTAGTCGATATACTATAAGATTACTGTGATGTTATTTGTGTGAGCACACAATTGCGCACCTTTTGACACACAGATCCAGTCATTCGATTCAATGCAGCCATTTAAATCAGGCCAAAAGAAAGCCTTAAAACGACACAGAATGTGACACCAGTATCCATCCATCAGAGTAAATGCGCTATTTCATTTTTAACTCTAAAACAATATTTTTAGAACAGCCAATTTTTCCCCTGGACGCCTCGGGAAACATTATCTGGCCGCTTGATGACGAGGGAATGCCCTATCCGCCATTGAATTCACAAGGAGTTCCATCGATTCGCTATGATGAAAACGGTAATAAATTAAGGAACGTCAAAGAAAGATTTTTGGAGAGTGGAGTGAACCCTCAACCTTTTTGCTTTCCGGACAGATGCTCTAACCATTGAGCTATCCGGTATCTTCTTGCCAGAGAAGAAAGAGGAGATACGAGGGGGAAGAGAAAACATTATTCAACTATTGACAATTCAGCGATTACAACGGTTTTAAGCTATTTCCTAAAATTATCTGAGAGTAGAACTTAATGGTCTTACTTTAAAACGCTTGTAATAGTCTTATTCAGGTCTACCAATTGTTCCACACGATCCATCTGGCGAGCAAATGATCTTTTTCGATAAAGAAGGGATTCCGATGAAATTTGCCGAGTTTCGAGAAAAGTTCACAAAGGAGGAAACGATGAAGTTTGTTCATACATTAATTTGTAGTGGATTAAACCATTAGCCAAAGGATTATAAGAAGTTAAAGTTATCTCAAAAACAAGTTAAGTAAGGAATTCAAAAGTTATTAGGCTTTATTGCTTATTGCAGATGGGGCGGTGGGCATTTGCCTCCACAACTCGCTCTCCCTCCGCCACCGATTCCCGATCCCGTTGTGAATCCATACGATTTCACCGATCCGGCCACTGTCATGACTGAAGCGCCACCAAACATTGATGCAAATATTCCCGTTTTACAATTACCGGTAAGTCTTGATTTTGTCTTTGATTACTATTAATTTTAGGAAATCCCGCCAGAATATGCTCAAGCCATGGCCATTCATGCACGAGGATTATCCGGGAAATTCAAGATGGAGTACGAATTGGAATGGAAATATTTTGGTGACGAGTTGACACGGAGACAAGCAGAAGCCGTGAGTGAAAGAACATTGAGAACTGACAATGAGCTACAAGTGACAAGTTACATTTTCAGATTCGTATCTACAACGAAGAAGTCGAAAAGTACACAAAAGCACAGAAGGAAGACCAAGAGCGCAAGAAAAGACTTGGCAATTTTCTGAAGGTAGCACTATTTGTTTGCTGTTGATAAAGAAATTTAGAAGAACAGTGGCAAGGCTCCACTTCCGGTTGGCAACAAAGAAGTAAAGAAAAGGGCCGAACAACTACAGACTGAGATTCAAGCAAAACGGGATCGACTTCGAGGAGAAGAGGAGGAAAAGAGTAAGGTTTATTAAGAATATTGTTTTCATTAAGATTTTTTAGAAAATGCGGCTCTTAAAGAAGTTGAGAAGTATGTTGAACCGTTGACTGGAAAAGAGGAAGAAGACTATCGGTCGAGAAAGAGGTAAATATATAATTTTGAGATGAACATTTAGAGTAGACCTATTTATTTTCTGATAGGTGTCCAATGGAGAAACAAGATTTTACCACTTGAACGGCTACGTTTTCAAGTTTTTAGTTTTTAGATCAAAAGATAGAGCTTGAAAAATTTTATCTAGCAAGAAATCCTGAAAAAAAAGCCGTTGAAGTTCAAATCTCTTTTTTTTGTTGCACATCTATTCACAAATATAGAAAATGAACAGGTCTAATATGGATAACTAGATACTCACCCGATCGAAGTCCTCGCGATCGCTACGGATATCACAATAAGCGGGAATATGGAAATGATCGGTACCGCAGAAGGGATGACGAGGCGGACATGTGGAAATTCAATCCAAAGCATCGCAATGAGTAAGTGACACGACTTGAGAATAAGTTCTAAAAACATTCTTAAACTTCAGTAACAGAAGAGGTGAAACGTCGCAAGAATACCGCCGAAAAAGCAGGAGTCGAAGTCGGAGTCGCAGCGTGGAACGGAAAAGGAAATACAGGTTAATTAATCATATTGTTACTTTCTCAACTAGCGTGTGTTCTCGTACTTCTCGAGAAATCCGTTGTCTAAAAGACACCTATTTTAGATGAATGTCGTAATCAAGCAGCCAGTTTTCATCTGATCAGTCCAATTTTGGTGTCATTTGATAAGGAATCACAAGACTCAATCAATTATACAAAAATTGGGCTGATCGAATGTGAACTGTAAATTGATTACGGTATTTTTTTCTGAAATCGGTGCTTTTTAGAAAGCTCGAAAGGAGCTTACTATATTTTTAACTCAAGTTTTAGTAGTGGTAGCGAAGAAGAAGAACGGCACAAGAAGAAGCACAAAAAGCGTGCCGTCTCATCGGAATCGGGAAGATCTGACTCTGGAGATGAACGCAAGCACAAGAAAAAGAAGAGCAAGAAGCAGAAGAAAGAGAAAAAGAAGAAGCATCATCAGGTAAGGATTTTGAATAGAAAAGCAAGAAAATTCATCGACTGACTTCCCACCAATTAATTTAGCAATTATCGTAATACTTAGCTCAAAAACAGCTATGATTGTGTACAAATTACACGAAAATTACGTATTCAGTAGGTAAATTACCGTAAACCTTCCAAAAATGTGCCTGAAACATCACTAATCACTTTCAGAAGGGATCAACATCGGACACTGGCTCAACTTTTGATGGATTTTCGCCAAAACGCCGTCGAGGCTCGGCTACTCTAGAAAATGCCTCTCCTCGACCCGCAATTGGTCCATCGATGCCTACACAGCAGTCATCTAGCAAACAAGAGAAGGGAGCTATTAGTCCTTTGTATACTTCCGATTAAATAGCTTATTTTTCATCATTATACCTGATTTTTCAAGTTGTTCTTATGGGTATTGGTTCTTTGTTTTATTGTTGGATCTCGAAATTTATTTCAGATTGTTTCTAAGCAAATAAAAAATGTTGTTAAAATGTAAAGTTGGCAAAAACAAATTGACATACCTACCTACCAACTGAAATTTGAAAGAATAGGTAGGTATTAAGGCAAGTTCTAAAACCTTTCATTAAGAAACCCACATACAAGAAACTTTCATCAAACTTTTTTATCATCCTATTTTTCATCAAACATGATTATCGCTGGAAGTCAGCAATTGCTTCAACATCAACAAGCGGTTGGAAGATTTTTCTAGAGTTATCTTGTTCAAACTCTTTTTATCTAACCATTCTGTTCCAGTTTTTGCGCTTCGTGCACAAAGCTCGAAAGAGATAAAGAAAATTTTTCTGGTGGAAATCGTTTTACGCAAGCTTTATATACTTGCCAATGTAAATCAATCTTAATTCAGTTGAAAAAAGCCGTGAGTTTTAAGTGTACCGTCTGATACTTTTTTTTCGTTAAAGGGATATCAATATCGGCTTAAAGTGTTTTGTCGCATCGATTAATGGAAAACAATTTATTGCCTTAATTTAAGTAAATGCGTGGGTTCAAGTGATTTTTTAGTGAGGTATTTAATGATTTTGTTTAGTTTCGCATTTACAATGAAGAAGTCGAAAAGTACACAAAGGCACAGAACGAAGATCAGGAACTTAAAAAGAGACTTGGTAATATTCTCAAGGTAGGTGGTTTTCAAATTGTAATATTAAGAGTTGCATTTAGAAAGCTAGTGGGCAAGTCCCACTTCCGGTGGACAACAAAGAAGTGAAGAAGGTAACTGAACAACTAGAGACTGAAATTCGAGCAAAACGGGATCGACTTCGGGGAGAAGAGGAGGAAAAGAGTAAGATTTATTAAGAATATTGTTTTCATTAAGATTTTTTAGAAAATGCTGCTCTTAAAGAAGTTGAGAAGTATAGTTGAACCGTTGTCTGGAAAAGAGGAAGAAGACTATCGGTCGAGAAGGAGGTAAATATACAAGTATTATATGTACATTTTGGGAATTAGGTACTCACCAGATCGAAGTCCGCGCGATCGCTACAGATATCATTGCAAGAAACGAGAATATGAAAATGATCGTTGCCGCAAGGGTGATGACGACACCGACATATGGAGATTTAACCCAAAGCATCGCAATGAGTAAGTGTTTGCCAATAAATTTATCGATCTTACTCAAGCTCAAGCGTTTTAATTCTTTTAAATTTAGTGGCAGAAAAGGTGAAACCTCGCGAGAATACCGTCACAAGGAGCAAAGCAGGAGTCGCAGTTGCAGTGAGGAACGAAAGAAATATTTGTGAATCAGTCGTCTTTGGAAACTTTTAAACACGTTTACTGTTTTTTCTTTAAGGTTTTGTTAATTTTTTGATGTTTCGTTATAATAAAAGGAATGTTACAACTCTATTCCGCATGCCAATAATGGCTACGCCTTTTAAGTTTTACTTTTAAACCAGAACCTTGCTACTGTATCAACATAACGAACTTCTTATTTGGCTAGACTGAGGTTCGCTGATTAAGGCCGTCATCCCCAGCAGCAATCAAACTTTTAATCGGAAACGCATATCGCCAAAACGTAGATTTATTCCATCAATATTAAACAAAATAATAAATAACGATAGGCAGGAACAAAATTTACACGCAAATTGTCATCTGCTTGATTATAAATAGTCGGGGACAAGATGAACGCATCGGTAAATAGTGCAGTCGATTTAATGTCCGCCACCACGCCCTCCTCCCCTTGGTGGTCCTCCACCACCACCACGTGGGGCTCCTAAAACAAAAACGTAAATACTACTAATACTAGGCATGTACTTGCAAGCCTAGACTAACCAGGAAACAATGTAACAGCAAGAACAAATAAGAAGCTTCTTTTTTACAAGTTCAAATCTTAAAACAAACCTCTTCCGGGTCCTCCGCCTCGACCGCCTCCCCGAGACATTTGCTTTCTTTGTTTTTGGGCGTCTTTTTGCTGTCGTCGAACTTCGGCAACTTCTTGCTTTACCAAGTCGACCACCTAAAATAAAACAATTAATTGCGGTAAATTGAATTTTAGACCCAGTTAAGCTACCAGACCAAAACCATTTAGAATTTAAGTAGTAAATAACGGCACCTGATCCGGAATTCGTAAATACTTTACGGTTGATCCACGAATATACACCTCAGCCATCTTGAAGAAGCGGTCGCCGTCCTGAATAAACAAAGTTAAGTTGTAGACAAATATCAAATAAAAATTATACCAAAACATGAAAAAACGATACCTTTGACGTGAAAATGACATCTCGTAGGTGAATGTTCATCCAAGAGTCGCATGATTGAAGATGTCCGTTGTAAGTCTCACCTAAAATAAAAAAAAACATCAAAACATAACACACTAATCAGCTTTTTTGAATCTCAAACCCCGCAATTACTGAAAACCTTACCATTTTTCAGCTCGACTAGCATCGGGTGATTTTGGGCAGTCCGTAGAAGGGAAAGAGGTAACTAAAGTCAAAGATTATAAGATTTGTTCGAAAACCTTAGTAAGCAAAAAGTCAGTAAAACGTACCACCATCTTGCATCCACTGATTTAATTCCGTTCTTTTTGATTCTATCTAAAAAGTGAACGATTAATGGGCAAACGAGCAAAAAACCCGAAATGAAACGAAAAACCACTAAAGCAAAAAGTTTGGTTCAAAACGGGTTATAAAAAGAATTAGTCACATTAGAAGCTATTCAGCTAAGCGGCTGGAGTAGCTTTAAAGTCGACTAAGGAGGTATAAATTGAAACTGTGCAAAATTTTCATTTTCAACCCTTCCAGTAAGACCCGCGAGAGAGTTCGAAATTCTTTTCCCGTAACAGCAATGACAGAATTTAAAACTCTTGTCAATTGTATCGAAATGTTGCGGTGAGGAGAGGAAATTCACATTTTTTGTTCGCTGTTGAATTTTTTGAAACCATTATGGGTTTAGAGAAAACACATAGAATTTTAGTATTTTATAAGCTTTTGACGCTTTTGAACGTGTTAGCTGGTAGGTTGACTCGTGTATTTTCTCATGTATTTCTCGTGTATTTCTGGCCCGATCTCTACACTAAAGTTTTATTTGCTCCCAAATTTGTTTTCTTTTTACCTTCTCTAAATAAACCATTTTAATATGGGAAAACATTTAGCCGACTTCAACTACATGTGTTGAAGAAATGGGCCGAGAAGGAAATCGATTTAAGGTACATTATTCTTTTGGTTCTTCACTTAAACCGGGGATTTTGGCTGAAAATCATTTTTGGCAGCCTTTGGTCGGATACAATTGCAAAGGCGTAAAAACTTGAAATAGGCCATGTTAGTAGTTTGTTTTCTTTTAGTTTGAGAGCTTCACAAAGAAGATCGCAAAAGTTGGCGGGGATCGAGCGCTCTTCAGGAAAGAATTAGGCGGCCGAAAACACAATGAAGAGACGTTTTTCGTGGAAGCTCTTGAGAAATGGACAGAAACCGATCGAGGATCGCATTTTTGTAAGTTTAGTCGAAGGACATATTGGTTCTTTTGATTTGCTATATTTTAGACACTTTCCTCAAGGATATCCCAACACGAGAAATTGGTACATACGCACAAGTTATTCATCACCATGTAAGAAAATATAATCTAGTAAACACATCGATATCTTGTTTTAGAAACAAATTCTCGAGGCTCTTCTGCATCATATCTCATTTCCAGTAAGTTGTAAAAGAATACAGTTTAAAATCTACGCATAAAATTACCCTAGAAAAATCTCATTTGGGGTCGGTTGGCTGGGGGAAACTGTACACTAGCCGATTTAATTGTTGTTAATTTAAAAGTACAAGTGTTTATGAAAGTTAAGAGTGTAATATTTTTAGGGATGTACGTGTCAAATACCGCTTCTCGAGCTGACCATAGCGCTTGCTAAAGATCTACGAGATGAGTTTTACGAGTATATGTGGAGATTTTTTGAACAAATCATCTCAATTATGGAACAAGCAGGTATTTTCTATTTCTCTAAAAGGTTTATTTGGTTTTTAGATAACAACGTCGAGCTTCTTGAAATTACACATTTAACGATGGCATTATTGTTTAAACAGCATTGGAGATCCATTGTGAAGGAAAGCCGCAAAACATTTGAGTAAGAATCTTTGTCTTTTATCTTTGATGAAGAATTATGATTTTAGTCGCTTCTCGCTCCTTTTTGCCAGCAACAAGCAATATCTTCGGAGATTTGCCGCCGAAGCGTTTGCATTTTTGATACGAAAGATTTCGATGATCCAAAAATTCACAACTTTCATGATTGAGAAGGCACATCGGATTCAGGTGAAATCCACAAAAGGATTCTTTCAACAAGTTTTAGGATGGCTACTTCTCAGAGGGGATTTCAATGTTGATCTACAATGCAATACGTGGAGTTAATGGACAATTTCATAGTGCAACAAATGAGGTTTAACTTAATCACTTACTTTAACTATGAGACTTTTAGTTGCTTGGAGATATGTTAGCAGCTTTGTTTACGATTGAAGATTCGTCTATTCGAAATACGGGATTGAAAATTTTCGAACGTGCCATCGTTTATTGTCTTGCTTACGCCAAAAATGACCATTTCAAAGACGTTTCCTCTGTTTTGATGGTAATTGTAAAAATTTAAGTTTAATCACGTTTTGTATTATAGAAGACATTCGAACTGAGAAATGATCACACCACCTTTTGTGAGAGTCTTCGCCTCATAGTTGCCTCTACAGAAACTGTGAAGAAGCTGGTTTTGTTTAGGTAAGTTCGTAATGCAAAGTTTGATACTGGTCCTTTTTACTTTTATCAAATATAATCGTTTAGTCATCGTGATCTGCTACTCGATCTCTTGCAAAAAGTCATTCACAAACCCTGGTTCAAGTTAGATCAAGAATTTTTCGACTTATTGGCAACGGTACATAAAAAGATCCAACTCTTATTTTACTTTGCATTTTAGATCATCAATCGTCTCTATGATAACGACAAATGGAAATTAAAAGTTAAGGCACTTTTCGACGATCTTTCGACACTTGACAATTTTAAGTAAGAACTTGTGAAAATTATGCTGTTTAGTCAGAAAATACAATTTAGTGATTCGTCGATGATTTCGTTTCTGGATGCTCTTTCTCACTTAAGTTATTTTGATTCGTGCATTATGCCATCAGTCGGAACCATATCTGGACAAATAATTGAAGCAAGTTCTTGTGCAATTTTATATATTAACAATTTTCTTCAGTCTTCAAATCAGCAATTATTGCCGGGACTGTTGAAATTTTATGCGAAACTCTGCGTTGATCGGAGGCCAATCGACGATGCACTGAGAAGATGTAAGAATCAAATAATACAACGATGGTCAAGACTTATTTTCAGGCACGCATTCGACTTTCTTCGATGCTTCGTTACATGAAAAGATGCACACGTTCGTCGAGAAGAAGATCTCCAATCTACCAAATCAGATCGCGAAGTTGGGTGAAGATAGTGTTGTCATGGAAGAAGTTGCCCAATTGTTTATTGTTTGGACGTCGCTAACGAGTGCGAAAGATCAATTCTCATGTTTGTTTCATTTTGCAATATTTTGAAACAAGCACCGTTTAGGTCAGGAGAGTGTCTTGAAATTTCTCCGTTCGCTTATCACCGATAAAGTTCCCTCAGATCCTGAATTTTTCTTGTCTCGTGCGCAATTGGTCTTGATTACAGCTTCAGCACTCTATCAGGTAATTGTCATTCTTGAACATCAAGACTTCATGCAATCAAGATTTAGTAATACAGGAATAGGTTTTGATATTGCCATTGTGAAATGTTTGAAAGTTAACATTTTTTTTCAGGTAGACTCGTCGTTGTTGAAGACTATCGATGAGACGGATGTTCTTGCATTTGTTAAGTAATGCTTAAAATATCTTTGTTCGAGCTAAAAAAAATTCAGGAACTTTTTAACCACCGAATCAGCTATTCGATTCTACCATTTATTTGTGACGGCTCGTGGAATTAGTGAAAGCTTGGAGAGTTTGGATGAGGTGAAGTATTCTATTTTCTGTTTTTAATATCATTTTAGGCAGTTCAACTACTATCGACGTCTTTCACTTCGCCGTGCCATTCAATTCGACGTTGTGCCCTTCAGATTTGTGCATCATTCAATGTGCCTTTGGAGGATATTCCCCTAGATGATAATGGAGTTCCATTGTTCAAGGTGAGTTAATTAAGGATAACTAAATACCATGTAAATTATATTATGATAGTTAAATGCAAAATGGAAATGATCACAAGCACCAAAACTCTAAATTAAGTCTAAAGTTCGAAAATTTAGAAACCCGCTAACAATATGTTTGCAATCCTTGCCTCGGCTGAAAGCGAATCTCCAACCACTGCCAATATTCGAGATCGATTGAGACAATTTCGGTTTTGCTTTTTTTGTTACCATAACACTTTTATTGTTTAGCTCACTCTTATATGGAGGGCACTTGTATACAATTCCGAAGGGTCGTCGCAATGTTTTTGAGACAATCATCCTGAAAGTCTCATTAGCTCAGTTTTACCATCAGTTTACACCAATTTGGTCTGGAATTCATGAGGTAGTTTTATCAAACTTTATTTCATTTCAATCTCTTTTAGATTCTAATATCTCATGCAAAGGGTTTGCCAATCGATGTTTTCTGGGCTGTGATCGAAGCGATGTTAAACGATTCTCTTTCAAGTATTTTTAACTCATATTTGGTAATATTTGGTTTAAGGTTTACGAAATAACAAACCGTTATTTACAAAAACGTCACTCGAATCTTTGATACCAAACGTTGATGCCGAGATGAGAACGGACTTTTCTGCTGTCATTGATCAATTGTGTAAATTTCTTCAGAAGGTAAAATTATTTTGTTATTTTTGTTCACTTTTATCTTTTTAGGTACCAGAAATTGCTGAGCGTCGAACCAAGACCCTGTCACCAATCTTTTTGGAATTTTTCAAGTACACTTCCTGGTTAAATTTGTTTATTGAATACATTTTAGCAAAGATTACATGCTCTCGGAAAAGCCACGACTCGCAACTCAAAAAGAAATTATGAGTTTGACTACAACGATAGAAAATACGGAGCAAGATGATGTTCAAATGGATGTAGCCGATGAAGAAGTCGACAACGCTGAACAAACGGTTTCTAAATAATTACAGCTTTTAGTCCTTCTTTTTTAGAATCGATCACTGCAGGAAAAACAAGTGGATGAGGATGAATTGCATACACTTACAAAAAAGATGGTATAGCTAAAGTTGTAAACTTTCGAAAGAATTTTTTAGGCTAGAAAAATTCTTATCGGGTTTCTTGAATTATTTTCATCGTTTCGTAGCCCAAAGATGATCTTTCGTCAACCAGAAGTCTACGGGGTTTATAATGAAGTAAGGAAGTTTTGCTTATGGTATAGAGGGATTGATGTTAAAATTTAGCTATTGTTGTCATGGGATGCTGATCTTCAAAAAGCAGCTCTCAAATGTCTCTTTGCTTACAAGTACAAATGGCTTGTTCCTTACAAGTATGGCTATTTAATTTGAATTTGCAGCGAAATTTATTTTATAGGGATAATTTGAATGCTCTTCTCGATAAGAAAACTTTCCGTACCGAACTTGTCAACTTCAACATCGGCTCTGAGAACAGTGTGATCGATAAGGATCATCTCAATGATTTGACGCCTTTACTTCTACGGTTTAGTTTGGCGTATTTTTCTTAAAACGCAAGAAAATTTAGATTATTGTATGGTCGCTTAACCACTCCCACCTCAAAGATGGATCACTATCATCGTTTGGTGATTGTCCGATTTCTCGCTGGGTGCACTGTCGACCAACTCGATCATTTTATCTACCTGCTTTTTCATCCGTTTTTGAAAATTTTTGGTATAAATTTTTTATTAGAGAAATTTTATAGAAGATTGTAGATATCAACGAAGCTGATTTTTCAAAGATTGACGAACAAATTACTGCTGAAACGGTGAAGGAACAATTCAACTACAAGGACATTTACACGTGAGTGAAAGCTAAAAGATTCGGCCATGACAGCCAAGACTGATGACAGCTCTGCCTTATCGAATCGAGCCGTTTAAAAAAAATTAACCGTTGAAATATCACAGTTGCCTGGAGAATGAGATCACATGAAGATTGAGTTGATAATATTAAAAAACGATACTAGTTATATTCCCACAAGAGTTTGATTCATGCATCAAGTCGGTTATATTCCCACAAATTAGTTCATTTTGTGGGGATATAACCGATTTGATGCCCAGGTCTTTCTTGTGGGGATATAACCGATAAGTACCTAAAAAACTGCATACAAGAAAACTACTAGCCACAAGGTCAAGTTAGAATATCGTTCTCTACTTTTTTTCATGCACAATTCTAACTTCTTTTGATTCTCATACATCTCGAATAGGGATAACGATGATGGATTTCCTCGGCAATAAGTTTCCCCGAGTGTGAGAATGTCAATTTCAACATTCAGTGACCCTTTGAGCGATTGAATGTGCTTTATCCAACCAGAAATCCAATAAAGGCCACAATCACATCGTAGTGGATTATCCTAAAACTGGTTGTCGAACAGATTATTTTCAACTAGTCTATTGCTCTGTAAGCAAAAAATTTTTTGTCACTGACCCGGAGATAGATCGACTTCAGCACCGTTCCATGTTGATTAATGATAGGCAATTGGGAGAATTTGAAAGGATCAATAGTGGTGATTCGATTATTGGGTAGAGATAGAGCGAGAAAATGAATCCCAGATAGAGTGTTAAAGAGGGACGATGGGAAAGATTCCAAAGCCGAGTCGTAAATTTGCAAATGAAAATGTAGACCTCGTAAGCCTTCTAGAGCTCCCACCGCAATCTAAATTCTAAATTGTTGCTTGTCAAGCTTTTACAACTTACATGTTTAAGACGATTTCCAGTTACAGACAACTCTCTCAACATTCTCAAATCGGCTTTTCTCAATTGAGTGTCCAAAACCTCTTCTTTGATTTCGATTCGTAGTATCCGAAGAGGCGGCAAGTAGCCCAACATCAATGATACGTTATAGTTTCTCACAGCATTTGGTAGATTAAGTAACTGTAATTTTTGCTCAAAAATTACGGAATTATTTCTTACCACTAATTCCTTCAAGTGGGCTAAATGCGCGTATGCATCCGGGTCTGGAAGCTTCGTTAAAGATGGCAATGATGAAGCGTATAGAACTTCGAGCTAAAATTTCGTCTTGAATTCAAAATTTGCTTTCTCATACCTGGTGCAAGTTCTTGAACTGTTCCTTTGTTAGTTGGGTGATTTTGTTTCCAGAAATATTTAGCTCTTTTAGCCCAGTTAGGTCGACGAACAGATTTGAATCAAGAGCATGGACATTGTTGTAGGAGATGTCAAGTGTGTCCAATTTAGCAAATGGTGCTAGATCCTTTTTTTGAATGTCGTAGATCTTGTTGCTGAATTTTTATTGGAGTAGGCCAACAATTTTTAAACAAACTGGCTGATGTTGAGATGTCGAAGTGATCGGTGACTGACTTTAGGAACCGAGAACAAGCCAGTGTCTGCTAGATTGAGCAGACTAATCGAGTGGCTCAGCTCCTAAAATAACGGCTTGTTTTATTTTCGGATTAATTTACCGCAAAAGCTTGAGGATGCCAAGTCGTGATTGGGTTGTGACTGAGATCCAAAAACCTCAAACTCGGCAAATGCTCGAAAGCCGCTATCTCAATTGATTCGATCACATTGTCAGAGAGAATCAACGTTGAAAGATTTTTGAGACCAATCTGTAAATGAGCATTTGTAAGGCAAATTGCTTCATACGTACGAATTGTGAGGCATCAATAGATCCAATTTTGTTCCTTTTCAAATTTAAATAGCTGAGACTATTAGCGATTGTTTCCAAGGCATTGATGGGCACTTTTTGTATCTCGTTTTCTGATAAATCTAGCTCATAAACGTTGTCCCTTCCGAAGACGCCGTGCTGCAACCCTTCGAGCACATTGCTGCTCAAATCGATTCGTTTAAAGCGTTTCTATGAATTTCAGTTTTTCTTTTAGCGGATTTTGTTGAACCTGGTTTGAAAAGGTTCCTTTCCAGATGTACCGGATGTGGTTTTTTGCTAGATCCAAGTATTCAAGTTTCTGACATGTCGAAAAAGCATGTCCAGGAATCTACAAACAGTATAAGTTAAACAACTAATCGTTAGTACCTCGAGTATTCCGTTGTGTCTCAACGAGAGATTTTTCAATTCATCGAAATCTTGCATCACCTCTTTTGGCAAAGTCTGTAACTCATTGAAAGCAAGATCCAGACTTTGTAGACTCCGTTTGACACACGTCAGATCAATGCTGCAATTAGGATTAAAATGTTTATTTTGATGATCTTACCTGTTCAGCTCGTTTCTCGCAATGTTCAAGTGATGAATCGTGTTAATGTGACTCAATTGATCGCATGTCAACCTTTTCAGTTTGTTGTGACTCAAGTCGAGGTACTCAATTCTGAAAATCATCTTTTGTCTTGAAGTCCCAAATCTACTCACTTTGGAACTTTGCTGAAAATGTCGCGTTCCATGTTGTCGATATAATTATGCGATAACGATAACCGTTCCAATTGGGGAAGGTTAACAAAAGTGTATGAGGAAATGACGACGATTTGATTGCCAGTAAGATCGATTTGTTTCAGATTTCGCATATCCACAAAAGACTGGAATTTAAGTTGTGAAAATACTAAAAATTGTTGACTCACGAAAGACTCAAGTGCCTGCAACCGATTCCCAGAAAGTAAGATCTGTTGTAGATTCTCCAATTGAGCAAAGGCTCGGCTTTGCAAAATGATGATTGCATTGTTTTCCAAGTTGATCAATTTCAACTCACGATTGCTACTAAATTCACCAGATCTTTGGAATTTACGAGCTTTCAAACCTAGGATGAAAAGTTTTTTCGCCGACAATGGAGAGATCATTTCGCGACATTGAAAATCTCTCGATTTTAATAAGTTGACCAAGAAAGTAATCGGGGAGAGTTGTAAGGTGATTTCCATCCAGAACCAAATTTCGTAGTTTCTGCATCTTTGCTAAAGCATTTACCGGAAACGTCGTCAATTTGTTATTCTGAAGTTGAACTTTGCCATCATCTTTCATTATCATCTTTCATTTTACCTGCAAAAATAGAGTTTCCAACGCCGGAAGTTTGTCAAAGGCTTGTTCACCAATGAGCTTTATCTGGTTTAAACTCAAATCCAAATAAGCCAATGAGGACATGTATAAAAATACCGCCGGGTCATTGATCACTTTGATTTGATTTCCTAAAATGTTTGAATTACTGGCTTTTCTTTTCGGCCTACCCGCTAAGTTCAGAAACATCAGACTAGTGCCGGTACCATCGAAAGTTCCAAAAGCTAATTTCTCAAGCGTTTCGATTTTGTTTTTGCTCAAGTCAAGTTGTTGTAGTCTTTCCATTCCAGTCAAAACATCAGTCGGAACCTCTCGCAAATGATTGTAGGCCAGACGAAGTTCCAGAAGAGTTCTTTTGCTTCCCAAAATGGCAAAGTTTTCGATTCTAAATTTTCTTTCTACACCTTTTAAAATTTCACAAAATGAACTTATTCAATTTGTTTCCACACAGATTCAAATGAGTCAACTCTCGAAGTTCACCCATGGCTTTTGGTAGTGTATGCAAAATGTTCTCTTCCAAGTTCAGCTTGTTTATAGTCTTTGCCAGATTAACAAAAACTCCGTCGGGAATGTAGGCTAATCGATTGTAGCTCAAATCGAGCTCCTTGATTTGGCCGATACCGTCAAATACCATTGGGGCAATTGTGTGAATCTAATTTTTTTTTTCTTTGGGACTTCCATTAGGTAGCTCACCTGGTTGTAGCTCAAATCCAGCTCTGTGAATTTTTGAAAGCTCTTAAAGCTCCCATTTGATAACCGCTTGATTTTGTTGTTCCGTAGCACCAGTTTAAGTTCATTTTTAAAGATCACTTCCAAATCGGTTTCAAGCTTGGTAATATTGTTCCCTTCAAGATTTAGAGCCTTCAAATTCGTGACATCTTTCAAAGCCAAATATGGTATCTGTAAAGTTCACGAATACCAGCCGAAAAAATACGCCTAACGGCGGGTTTTTAGTATTTTTTTTCTCAGAGTCGCGCTCGGTTTTTTGATTTTTAAAATTCAAAAACTTAATTATTTAAATAAAACCAATATTATTTTTAATCTAGAGACTCTGGTCTATCTTTTGAGCCAAAAACTTTCCCTTTCTCTCATCTCTGCACTGAGTTACAGGGGCCTAAAAAAAGTATGTCACAATTTACATTTTTAAGAAAAATAGCTGAAGGGATCAAAAAGCAAATGGGCCATATTAATAAAGATAATAAAAAGTTGACCGTTTGATGTCAAACTTTCAGCTTGATCCGAGCTGCCGTTGGTGAGATATGACCCGGAGAGACGGACACACAGACATACACACAGAGTCGCACCATCTCTCTCTTATAAAAGAGGAGTGATAGTTTGTTTTCAAAGTACAAAATGAAATACCTTTTTTTCTTACCTGAGATATCAAATTGTTCCTCAAATCAAGATAGCCGAGCGTCGGTGGGAGTGAAAGCTTCTCAATGGTAGCTATCCGATTATTTGACAAAGTAAGCACAATCAATCGTAAACGATTGAATGCTAAGTTGGGAATATCGGTTATCTAAATATTTTAACTTATGGACTTGCCATACTGCCAACTAACCAAATTGTTGTCAAGATGCAAAAATTGTAAATTGTTCATTTGAGTCTCATCAAAAGTATTCGCGCGAATCGTCGCTATCCGATTGTTCTCCAAATGCAAAAATTGTAATTGGTGCAAGTAAGTTAGAGCCCAAGAAGGAATAACAGATATGTTGTTTTGTGTTAAAATCAGTTTGAATAGCTTCATCTGAAAATTTATTTCAGTTGCTTGAAACTTAGTTAGTTGATACCTCAAGTCCACGAAAAGCATTGACGTTGACCGTTTGAATCTGATTGTTCGTAAAGTCAAGTGTTTGAATATTTTGACTTCTGAAGCTGTCCTGTTGAAGAAATTTGAGACCACCATCAGTCAACGATAGGGCGAGGATGTTTACGGGTTGTTGATTCTGAGAAAAGTTTGTTAAATGAATTTGTTAATTGTTTTTTAGCTTTAGTTCTGAGAGTCACAAGTACTATTTGTTTTGAAGAGCTGTGAATTACCTCATTTTTCAACTCCTCATCCACCTGTGGCAATGGGGGCACAGTGGCGGCGGCCACTTGCTTGCACATCACGTGTATTGTTGAGTCTTTTCCCACTGGAATGCATTCGCATTCTTTCCAGGGCGCATTGTAAATCCCATCAAACCTAAATAGTTGCTTGAGATCTTTGTTTTACTCTCTTTTACCGGCAATGAGTCTCATCAATCGTGAACACTTCATTGAAAACGGCCAAAAACGTTAGCAATAACAAATGCCACCATCGAGAAGTCATTTTAGAAAAAAAAATCTAATCCATTTGCGGTCGATGATGAAACTAAATGAAATGTAAAATGTTTAGGAAATTGGCATGAAAATTAAAGAAAAAAATTAGCCAGATATTCAAAAAAGTTTAGCATTTTGTCGTTGTGTTTATTTGTTGTTGAAAGCCGCATGAATGAAAATGCGATTGACTGGACCGACGCGTTTGTCAAATATTTATGAGAAGTTGTTAAGTTAGGGAGAAGAACGCTCATATGCTTTGAGTTTTGGAATTTCCAAGGAATTAGGTCATTACGCATCCCTCTTTGTGAGTCATTGAAGGAACAGACAACCGCTGGCTCTAATTAAGATGTACTAATTATGGCGTAAGAGCGGCACCTTTTATGATTTGAAGGACACAAGTTGGTATAGAAAAGAAATTGATTTAAAGTTTTTAGAATAATAGTTTATTCTTGGAATTTGGTGGGCACCCTGTGAAGTGGGCGACACTAGATGTAATCTAATACCCTCGGAAATTGTAGCCTAGCCCATTCTTAATGGGCCACACCTGCGATTTAGGGAAAACTGACTATATAATCTTTCTAAAGTTAGTCTAGGTGATAGCTAAATATTAATGAAAACAATGAATCTAATAAAATGAATGAATGATGGGTTATTTTAGGCTAATGAAAAAGCTAATGTACATTTCTAAACAATCCAAATCTTGTCGATTCGTCCCAATGAACAGCTGACCTCTGCAGAGATCGGCCGTTAAAATGCCTGAGTAGTGGGGAGGAGATGCAATGGGCAAGTGGTTTATGGGGAAAGGGGGGAAATGAAGAGGGACGAGTGAATGGAGATGGGTCTCGTTGTCACCTACTCCCTCTCCGTCATCCATTTCCCCCACTCTTCCATCTATTCAGTCGGCTTTCTGGCAAATTTGATCGCACCACTAGTGTTACTTTTCAATAGCCTATCGGCGAGAGATATTGTGCGGAAATGGGATAAACTTTTTCCAAGCAGTAAAGCGAAAAAATATTTTTCGGTAAAGAATGAATGTTAGTTGAGTGAAGATGTACCTTTGACAAATTAGAACAGAATTATGGGCACTACATTAGGCCAACCTTGCTTGTGGCTTTTCCAGCAACATATCGGTGTTAAATGCAAATTTAAGCTATAACAGTACATCTATGGTAGATTCAGAATCAATTCAACATTTGTCTAGTACAAGTTTTTCAAATGGAATTTTAGGACGCTGGAGACAATCGAGAATGTTCTCAAAGGAATTGCTCAAAGGCTTTCGGATAAACAACGGCTCTTGATCTATCGACTACTAATCTCGATTATGGTCATTTTACAGGTTTTATCGACAACAATTTTAAAAAATTGCTTACTTAAGCGTGTCGCCGAATCGACGCAAGAAGAGCAGGAGATCAAAATGGTGAAGTCTCTGAGGAGATCAATCATGGAAAGAATTCGACAAGTACGACAAGCATTTTTTTGCTGGAAATAAAATATTTTAGTTTGTATTGGCTTTTGCTGATTGTGAATGGTCCGCTGAGCAAGTGAAGGCGCTATGGAGATGGGTGATTTTGCCCCACGTAGAGGTATTTTATTAAGCTACCTAGGCATTTTAGCCAATTGCTTACTTTAGGTTGTTCATCGCGATGAAAGATCTTTAACAGTGGCACTTTCATCCGTTGTTGGAGTTATTGCTGCTATTGCACAGATGCCAAAGTAACAATTAAAATAATTATAAAGGTTGTTTAAATTTTAGATTGTTCCACTTGCTCTGTGCTCGGCTTGAAGTTGAAAATCTTATGACTTGTCCATTGAAGATCATGATCGATTCACTGATGTGGGAAAAGACTGTGGCAAGTTACAATATTGGTTTGCTTAAGAAATGATTTCAGCCTCGATATATGAACATGATCCGATTGGGGATTGTGTCGATGCTCGAGTACGCGGACGAAACTCCGAAGTTGATTGCGGATATCGAATATTTGCCTGTTCAACGAAGAGACGGTATTTTAAATTTTATATTCAAATTATAACTGCTCTAGATGTTAATTACGGGACTTCCCTTCTTGTGACTCAAATGGACATCTTATTGGAGTATATCATCAGCACTTTGGAAAGACCATCAAACCCAGCTATTATCGGAGAGAATTTGAAGATTTTGAATGGGTGAGCAATAAATTTAATGTGTGATTTATTTTTATCTTAGAATTTCTCCGTTTATCAATTCAAAGGAAGTCGCCAAACGCTTCGCATTTTGTCTATTGCACCTCCTCGAGAGAAGAGTAAAGGGAACAAAAGTGCGTACATACTTGATCTATGATTGTATTTTCTCTTTTTCAGCCGGAATCAATTGCAAACTTACTCTCGACACTCAGCTCTATTGTGGAGAATCTCGACGATCCGGTGGAAGTTTATTGGTTAGTTAAATCTGGTTAACACTAAATTTGCCTTTTCAGCAAATTGCCAAAATTCTTTGCTGTGTTCGATAATCGAACAACTCGCGAAGTCCTAGGAAATGTTTGTGATAAATTGGGCAAAAATCCAAAATGTACGCCGATTGATGTCGAGGTAGTCCTGTGCCAATTTTGATTTTTAGAAAGTTTTTTTTCAGATTTTGAATTGCTTAACCGATCTTGAAAGCTGGAATGCGAAACGACTTGATGAACCGGATTTCGACCGACGTGCAAATGGTTACAGTCGAATTGCGAAGGTAAAATTTTTAATCGAAAGTGTGAGTGTGGTGAATTTTATGGCAATTGTGTAATTCATAAATTTAGATTTTCCAAAAAGCGAACGATCCACCGAACCTTCATTTACTTGCAGCTTTGGCTCAATCAAATGCGCACACGATATCTACGGTGGGACTTTATATATGAGCATAGTATTAAACAAAATACTTTATGTTACGTAGCTATGCTATTTAAATGTTGTCTAGGTGTGTTTAAACTCTAGAATATTTAGATTGATGACATTGCTCTTCGAGCTCAAGCCTCATTGAATCTCCGGGATCTCAACGATTTCATCGCCAAACCGATCTTCAACGAGAAAGAAGTTTCTGCCATTATTTTTGAAAAAATAAAACGATTTTAAAGGTTTATTACATGATTGATCATCATCTCCTGCCATTGATTATCCGAGGATTTAGACAAGAACAACAAGTTTGATGCGAGAGAAATTAGCTTCTATTCAATTTTAGAATGTTCGAGATGAGTTTATTCGTGATTTGAACGGACTTGTTTCTACGTTCCCCCAACACGGTCATTTATCACAAATGTCGAAGGTTTGAGATAAAGTTCTGAAGGAGTAACGAACTTGTTGTTTAGGCTAAAAATGTGGAAGATCCTGATCGAGATTTCTTCGAAAATGCTGTTCACATTCAGGTTTGAATAATTTATTTTATTGCTTATAAAAACAAATTTAGATTGGAAGACGTCGAGCTGGCTTTAAGATTCTATCAGAACAGATCGATTCAGGAGAGGTAAACCTCAGCTCTAAAATTCCTGTATCGAGATCACTTTAAGGTTGTAATGAGGCCACAAATTCTCGTCGCGTATTTCATCCCGTTGTTGAGACATTACATGCTGAATGTCACCGAAAAAATGAGCTCCGTTTCTGATGCAGCACTTGAACTTCTGGGTCAGGAAAATGATTTACAATTTTAGTATTCAGAAGTTTTTAGTTTCGATTCTGAAGAAAACATCATGGAATGCTTATATAAAAATCATGGATCAATACATCAATCAAATGGCTCAAGATCTGGAGAGTGAAAAAGCCTACGTTAGGTTCGTTTTTGATTTGTATAAATTGTTATATAATTTAGTAATTAATATATTTAATACTCGTTCTAAATAGTTTTTAACAAGGAAAATTTAGAATTGTTTGTGCCATTCTTGATGCTTTTCACTTTGATGCAACGATTGCGAAACAACATGAGAAACGAGGCCGCAAGCAAAAGGAGGTGCCGATGGAAGTTGATGTTCAAATTGTGCAGGAACCGAATGAAGGTATTTTTTGAGCATTGCAAAATTGTGGTCAATGATTTAAAAAATTTAATGTTATGTTTAGGAGACGATGAAGAAGTAAATTTGGAAAGCCAACCTATCGACCAGAATGCGGAGGAAGAAGTTGGTTTATTTTCCAGCCTATCTACTAAATTGTACGTCAGGTTTCACCCGAAGTTGTCTACGAAAAGGTTGTGAAGAATTTACTTCCAAAATTGAAAGCTGCAATCAATGGAAAGGTATTGTGCGCTGGTTTGGCGATCCGAAACTTTTGAATTTAGTTGAATCCGAAAGCGAAAGATGTGCATAAACTAGCGATGGATGCAGGACAGAAACATTACCAAGTAATTTTTTGCAAGAAGCGTTACAGGAAAGACTGTCTGATCCGCAAAAATACAAATGCGGCTAAAGTTGCAGAGTAATACGTTGAATTCTAGGAAGATGATGACATTCGGCGGGCTCCAATCACCTTGGCTGCAGCTAAAGTACTTCTTCATATGCCCCCAATTGTTATTGATCACAATTTGCATGGGTAAGTCAAACATTGTTAGCAAATATTTAGTTATTTAGAGTTATTATGAAACTTGTTGAACTACTAGTGGCTAGATCGGATCGCGTACGAGAAACGGCTAGAAAGGTTTGGGTTTTGTTCAAACACATTGTATACGTGGTTTAGGTTATGACTCAAGTAGTTCTGGAGTTAGGCCCACGTTATTTTCCATTTATTATCAGAGAAATGGAACATGTGATGCAGAGAGGATATCAAGTAAGAAACTGCTCGCTATCAGCATATTTTAAGCTTCATTCAGGTTCATGTACTCATTTTCACGACTCATCTCTTAATCGGTGTCATGCGGGATCAGCTAAAGCCTGGCAATTTGGACTCTTGCCTTGATGTGATTATGAAGGTGAAATTAGAAATCCCAATTGGAAAAATTATATTTTCTTTAGCTATGCTGTGAAGATCTCTTCTACGGAGCCGCTGAAGAGAAAGAAGTGGAAGCGATTCGAGCCAAAGTTCCAGAGGCGAAAGCAAAGAGAACGATGGACACAGTTGAGAATGTTGGAAGGTTTGTTGTTAAACATGGTTATTACTAAGGCAAGTTACCTTTTTATCACAAAGCTTTTTAGATTCATAGGCATTCAATCGCTACGTTCGGTGTTGGCCCCGTTATATGAAGTTATCGAAACAAAACCAACAGCCAAAGTTATCAAATCGATTGGCGAAGTTTTGAGACATATGGCAATTGGAATAAAAGATAATGCCGGTAGCTATTAATGCATAATTTTTGTACTTTTTTCTAGGCATCTCTGTGGATACATCGTTAGTATTTTCGCATCAACTTCTAACGGAAAACGTCGCTAAAATGGTTGTAGTGCAGGTTGCTCCCAAGGCTTAAATCTTTTAATTTTGATTTAGAAAAATAATGTTACAAACGAAAAAAAGTCGAAAGGCATTATCAAACCGGAAAGTTGTCTGATTATACCAAAGGTGAAACGATCCTCAAGTCATTGGTAATCTTTGTTTTAGGAGCCGCGACGAATCGGAGAAATATCAAAGCACTCGTTGAAGAGCCGTTCTCATGTATTCGTTGAATATGCGCTTCAAATATTGGCGTTTGTGTTGCAAAACAAAAAGTGAGATTGATCATTTTCACAATTTATTACCGGATTTATAGACTTGACGCTGGTAATTTGGCGGATATTGAAAAACTCGATCCATTTGTGTCTATCATGGCGGAATGTTTAGCACTCAAATACGATAAGGTATAATTCTCACAAATACCAAGTACCAAAGAATTTTTCAGGTTAACTCGTTAGCTTTACGATGTGTGTATCGAATGTTGCCCTATCCATTGCCGACATTGCACGCAAATACAAAATCTCTTTGTGAACGACTTTTTGTTATCTTGGCCGACTACTCTGCGATGGGAAATGCTGGAAATAGACAAACCGTTTTAGAGCTTAATCAATTATTGTTTAAGGTAAGGGTTTTGTTAATTTTGACAACCGTATTAAATGAATTCGCTTGCTGTTAACAGGAAAAAAGAATCACAAGTCCATAAAAAACTTTTTCATTTAGACATTTGACGGCTTGATCAAGATTTCATCGGCTACTTTACTGGATGCAAAACATGTGGAGTTGCTTTTGAACTATGTAGCGACGGATGTCTTGGATAGTGCAAAGCAAGCAACTGCTTTTGCTCTTCTGAAGACAATCATTGCAAAGGGAATTCAGCATCCAATGGTATAATTTTAATTGCGAATTTTAATACCAAATTTTAGTTAATTGATATTATTAAACTGCTACGAGAGCAAGCTGTGCTCAGCGAGTTTCCTCACGTTCAGGCACAATGTCGTTTGGTAAGTTGCTAAAAATATTGGGTTGGTGAATTGAAGACTGCCGGACTTTGAACTAAAATTTATTCAACATAAAAACATAAATTCATAAAACAACGATGCACTTAGTAGTTTCGCTTAAAATGCGAGTTTTGTGAAAATTCGTAAATTTGGCATTTCTTGGAAACAGTTTTTGAATCGTTCTGAAAATTTGGATATAAGCTTAATTTTTGATTCTCTACAACTTTTCCATTGACACCAAAATGGGTTTCTTTTGAAGAAAGTGCTCAAACTGTGACATATGACAATAGCCCGCAGTTTTCAATTCACCAACCCAATAAATGGCTGGAGTTGTGGAAGTTCAAAAGGATCCTTTAGGTGATTGCTGCGTTTGTCGGACAACATCCACAATCTCGTGCGCCGAAAGCGGAAATTCAATGGTGGCTTGAGCAACTCGAGTATGAACATGAAGGAGGACGCTTGAGTGCTTCCGAGATGCTCAACTTGTTCTTTGGAAATTTCTTGCCAGTAGAAAACATTCATTGTCCTAAAGGTTTAATCTCTTTAGGACATTCTCGACGAAATCTCGCTTTTGGCCTTGGTGAAAATCGGTTCTCGACTCGTTAATGATTCGTTACCCAAGTGTCGTCGATTTTGTGCACTTTCAATCAAAACATTGCTCTCGAATGTTAGTGAAGCATCGAGGAATGAGGCCTTCACTTCATGTATCGATTGGCTCAACAGTGAACAGGTAAAAGTGCTTTACAGGAATACCGAATAGACTTAAATCTTTATTATTTCATCGACCTACTTTAGGAAGGGAATTATGCTGTAGCGGCTGGCATCATTGTGCAACTTGTCAACGTCGAAGGGGAAAGATTCCGAGCAAGAGGCGCTGAGGTTAGTTGCTGTGGTTCTTTTAATGAATCCAAGCTATTCAGGCAATCACACACTTGTCGAAAATGTTGAGCAAAGAAGATGCACTTGAAACGTTTGCTGAAAATACGGTGAGTCTTTTTTGTTTTCTCTTCAAATTTCTCGTGGTTTAGATTCTCAGTATCATTGAAGCGTTGAGGACGATTCTCCAGCACTCGAATCTTGACAGCAATGTTTTACTGTCAACAGTCAACGAGCTTTTGGGTAATTCTTTTACGAGTTTATATTCGAACTTTAAATGTTTTAGGAATTCTCAGTCCTTTTTGTCGATGTGTTCAAGAAATGGAAGACGTTCGCAGAGCCGCTTCTGAACTTATTGGACAGGTAAAATTTAAGAGCTTGAATGGCTCTTTTCAATCGAAATTTCAGTCACTCGCCATGATCGATGCGAAAGCGCTCACCGACCCATCACCATTTGATGTTTGTGATTGGATGATCTTCCAAATGAGGGCCACAAAATTGACTGATCCAACTGCTCAACAAGTATTTAAAGTTTTCCTTTCGCTATATTTGATGAAAATTTTAGGCAATCAAAAATCTCCTTTCTTTGAGCAGTGCCATCTCGGATTCGGAAAAATGGCAGAATATTGTGGAGAGAACGGCAAAAGTTTGTCACTTTGAGATACGCAAACTTCCGGAACAAGCTATTCGGGTAAATTTTATAGAGTTTTCTATTCAAAAGTACTGTTCAGAGATTGTTCCTATTCAAATTCTGCGCCGCTCTGGCAATGAAATTCAAAGAGGACACGGAAAAGTTGAACTACATCGTTGAATGTTTTATGCCTTCCGTCACACGAGAAATGCTCAAGAAAAGCACAAAAAGTGCGTGTTAATTGGGAAACAAAGATAAAACTAAAGCTTTAGATACCGATGTGCTATTTGATATGGCAACACAAGTCGGCGATTTGATCAAAGGATTGGTCGGAGAAGCGGAATGGGCAAACCTCTTGAGCAAGAATACACGAGAAATCACCGAGAAAGCGGAGGATAGAAAAATTTCAAAGAAAGAGGTAGACAAAGTGTTTTAGTATAATTTTTGGGGCAAACTGGATAGTCCTCTTTCTTCTTCTATTCATGTTCTACTATCATTTTAGAAAAATGTTGCCAACGTCGAACAAGCGATTACGGATCGACAAAAGAAGTACAAGAAAAAGGTGGGCTTTTTAGAGCTTTGGTGATTCTCAATGAAAAGTCAATTTTTAGCAACATTTTTTATTTAGGCTGAAGCGAAGAAACGTAAAATTGATATGTGGAAACCGTATCGCGTTGGAAAGAGGAAAAGACTGGAGGACTTGAGAGCTCAGCTCAGTGATGAGGATGAATAGAAAATTTAGAATCACCTGCTTTCATTTTTGTTATTTCTAGGTCTTATAGTTCTTGTTTTGGTTTTTTTGAGAATTTTTATTCAGTTTGTCGGGTATCACGTTGTTATTTTTCTTGTTGATTTTTTTGTTTTACTTTGTTGTTTTTGTTGTCAAGGAATAAATTTTACTCATAATCAGAACCTAATGAGAAACGGCAGTATTTCCCTCAACTTGTGCCAAGAATTCAGTTTAGGCTTTCAGTTTACTTCACGGCAACGCGGATTCTTTAGAAATTTATTCAGAATTCTAAATATGTGCATATTTGATATATGTCGTAGCCGATGAAGAATTTCAGCCGAAGGAGTCTCAGACTTCTTCGGCTAGCCGATTAAGCCTCAAAAATGAAAGCTTGAGTTATGTATTGACTCAAGTCAATACCACAAACTCAAGCTCTCTAAAAGGCGCTTAAAAGCTAAAAACGCATTCTAAAGAGTGCGCATTTTATCATATTGTAACCAAAGGCCATAAAAGGGCCCTTTTCGTCATTTTCTATCTGATTAGTCATTTATTTGAAATAGAATTGTTTGTTTTTGTAAGTCAATTTGACCCCTTTGTTGGATCATCGATAAGACTTGTTTATCACTAATCTGTTTATAATCGAACACAGAATTTTGTTTTTTAGGAATGGAGAAAGAATTCGACCTGCAGTTTTCTCACTTTCAATCAAATCAAAAGCGAAGTTTGATTCTTTCAAGCGAGAAATACGCGGGAATCGTCACCGTTCTCCAACAGTTGCGGAATGAAGACTTCAAACCATCGGAAAAAACACGAAAACTTGTAGTGCGATTCTCTCTTCGATACGAATTGAATCAAGAGGCGCTTTACAATCATGGGATCAAAGGCGATTTGGACAAACGCAAGAAAGTCGTCAAGAAAGAGGAGCTCTTTGGCCTGTTAACGACCACTCACCAACGACTTGAGCACGCCGGACGAGATATAATGTGGCAAGGACTACGAGACTATCATGGAATCTCAAAAGAAGTAATCGAGATTTTGGTCAAGTTGTGCCCAGAATGCGAGCTCAAAAAAGGAACACCAAAGAAAGGAAACAATTCTATTTCAAATAAATGACGAATCAGACAGAAAATGACGAAAAGGGCCCTTTTATAGCCTTTGGCTACAGTATGATAAAATGCGCACTCTTTAGAATGCGTTTTTAGCTTTTAAGCGCCTTTTAGAGAGCTTGAGTTTGTGGTATTGACTTGAGTCAATACATAACTCAAGCTTTCATTTTTGAGACTTAATCGGCTAGCTGGAAGAAGATTTCGCTAGCGAAAAAATTTGAGACTTCATCGGCTACGACATATACAATATCATTCTGATATCCGAGCCATCGAAAATGCGATTTTTGATTGATGAACGGATTGAAGAGTTCGGAAAGTGGCGGGGGAAACGGAGAAATTCGTGACTGTTGGGGCTGTAGCTCGTTTGCGATTCCAACTGAAATTTTGGATTTGGAATGAGATCAACACTAGTTGAGAAAATAGCTCAATTGTTTTAGAAATGGTTGCAAAAGGGCAGGCATAGGTAGCCCACTTGCACTACAGTATGTCCTAGAAAAAGTAATCTGGGTTAAAGCTGAATATCTTGCTCCAATTGAAGAGTCTGAAAGATATTCACTCTTATCCGCTGAAAACGTTGTATTCTGAAATACTGTAGTGAGACGAAAGCTGTAGCTGTTTACTGTAGGAATTACTGTGTATGTAACTGGTTTTTAAGCTCCTCACCAAAATATTAGCAGAAACGACTCTCGGTAGTCTTTTCGATATCGAAAATTGATGAACATGTTGATGATTGTGAGAAAACTGAAAAATTTTAGGAGTAAGGAATTTGCAAGCCTAATGAGCTCTAAACTCACCCCGGCATCCCTGTCACAATGGCCACTACGACATCGCTCACTTCCCAGGCGTTCCATCTGGAAAGTTGTGAGATTTGAGTGGCTTATTAGCTTAACACATTCATGACGATTCGACACCTTCATGACCCACCAATGGCCGCACTAATGGCGATTATTTTTTGGGTCGACTCAAATTTTTAAGGACTTTTGTTATTTGTTTCGTAGAAAGTTCTCGGTACTTTGTACTAATTTTCAAGAGGAGATTCAGCGCTATCAATACATGGGGATGACGATGGGATCAAAGCATCAGGGAATAATTTTAAAGGAAGCAAATTGCACTTTTAGAGTGACCGCGCAATTCGCCCGATTTGAATCGACAAGTAAACGTTTTGGGATGCATGGTTCGCAAAATTTATGCCAATAATCGGACGTATGCAGACGTGAATTCACTCAAGAAAGCGGTTGTTGCAGCTTGGCACACTGTGGATCAAAAACTCATCGACAACCTCGTTTTAAGTATGGACAACAGAGTTTTTCAAGTGATTTAGCGTTCGGGAGGCCCAATTGATTATTGATTTGTTGTTAGAATAGCGCCACCGCGAAGGTGTTAAGTACTTCCAAAAGCTTACAGATGCACAATAAAAGAATTCAGTGTCAAGATCAATTTTGCTGCACTTGCCGACTTCTTTTTAGTCCGGTACACTGTCCGCTAGACGATGGTTTTACAATAGCTTTCAAATTCGAAACAAACAAATATAGTGTTTCAATTTAGCCAGCAATTGCTCGCTAAATTGAAACACTATATTTGTTCACCAACTGCCAAGTTCTCGTTGTTTCATTTTCAAAATTCCTCTCACTCACTTGATTCCCACCAAAACCACCGATGGTCCAGACACAAAAAGAATTGAAATGAAACACATGACCATCATGATAAAGAACTTTTTGTCTCGATCATTTCTATTCGTACTCGCCGACACTTTCTAAAAACTTTTCGTAAAAGTTAACGTGTGAAGAATGAACTCCAATCACCGTTGAAGCACAATAAACGGCGAGCAGTGAAAGAAATGAGAAAATATAAGCAAAGATCACCCAAGTGTAGTGGAAAGTGGAGTAGGCTGAAATGTGGAATCTACGTACATCAATTTATAGCATTCTTGTAATCTACCAGTAACTCGGAAATGTTGTCTAACAACTCGAAATTTTATGAATCAAATTTGTACTTCTTCTTCACCCTACCAGCTATTACTTCGTTAGCCTACAATAATATAGCGCAACTGTTTAAAGTGATACAAACGCTTCAGAATCTCAACAGTACCTGTCCCAGTCGAGGTAATGATAGCACAATGGCGAGAAGTGTTGATCGTTTCATCGCCCCAAGCCGAGATCCCACCAGCTGCGAGGGATAACTGAAAACAATTCAAATAATGGTTTTCGATAATGTTCGAAGAAAATCTGGACTCTTATACAGTAGTGAACATTAACTTTGCAACTTTTCGTTCTTAAACAAGATCTTTGTTTTCAGATCAGTTACTGTAAACCGATTTCGAAATATATTTGCATATTTTCAAGATAATCCTCATAGCAAACTAAACTTAAGGTCCTTGCTTTGCGTTTTTAATTAACATTTATTCAAAAACCCAACGGCATTAACTTAGCAACTCAAAGAGAATCATTTCTTTTCTTTATTCTTAATTTCTTTTTTAATCTACTGTTATCTAAAGTTTTTATTAAACAAATCTTTTGTTTTAGTCGTGGAAAAGAATAAGCAAATCATTCCTGCAATTCAGGATACGATCTTTGCGATGCAACAAGCAGGAGACACACAAAGTCGGATTTCGATAATTTTGAAGGTGCACAAATCAATCGTTTCTCGAATTTTGAAGCTTCATGCTACGCAAGGCTCTACCATTGCCAAGAAAAACAAAGGTCAACCCAGAAAAAACACTCTTCGAGACGATAATCGGATGACTCTTCTTTCAAAGCAGGACCCATGCAAAACCGCTGTTCACATCCATCAAGAATTACCGGCAACCTTTTGAAATTCTATCAGTTCTTGTACTGTGCAGCGTTGTTTGAATCATTCTGGACTATTTGGAAGACGCCCGGCAAAGAAACCATTGATTTCTGCAAAGAACCGCAAACCCCAGGTCAAATTCGCCATGGAGGACGCCCGCGAAGTGGATTGATTGCCTTTTTTTCCGATGAAAGCAAGTTTATGATGTTTGGATCAGGTGGAATCAAGTTTATTCGAAGGTCAATCAACCAAAGATTTGTAACCAAAGATGACCAATCAAGTACTTGCTCCCGACTGTAAAACATGGTAGTGGAAGCATAATGGTTTGCGGAAGGTTTTTCTTCACTTTATGTTATAAGTTACCTTGTTTGAAAAGTTGTTAAGTTAATGTTCGTTACCGTAGCATCCAACAAATAGGCTTTAGTTGGATCAAAAACAAAAAAAAAAAGAACAGTCATTGTTCTTTTAAGCAAAAAGAACAATGACTTTTAATCAGGATTTCATTGTCGGCAATCAAAAACATGAACACATTTCTAAGTACTTGCTCCCGACTGTAAAACATGGTGATGGAAACGTAATGGTTTAGGGAGGGTTTTCTTCTCACGGAATCGGGTTAAAGCAAATTGTTGGAATAATGAATCAAAAAGTGTATCTAGATATTTTACAAAATCATATGCTACCATACGCTCAACGGATTATGCCTCAAAACTTTGTTTTTCAACACGACAACGATCTGAAACATCGAGCTCGTCTTGTGCAGCAATGGTTGACTCAACAAAATTTTGATGTCATGGATTGGCTAAGTCAGAGTCCCCGACCTTATGGAACATCTTTGGGAGAGCTTGGAAAGAAAGTGTTTTAGCATTAAAGCACAAAATGTGCAGCAAAAGTTTGATTTACTGGCAAAAAAAAGTGGTTGGAGATTCCATGATGAACTATCGATGCACTGATCACTTCAATGCCACGCCGATATGATGCAAGAATTACTTCTAAAGGATATCTAACTAAATTTCAACTCTTTTACTTTACTTTATGTTATAATATACCTTGTTTTTTTGAGAAGTTGCTAAGTGAATGTCGTTGGGTTTTTGAATAAATGTGAATTAAAAACGCAAAGCAATGAATTTCGAGTTTTGAATATTCGAATATGACAATTAAATCTTACCAATCCGGCCAGGACAACAAAAATGACGAAGTATAGCTTCGTGTACCCAGAGAAATACTTCTTGTAGATGACGGGCGACGTGGCAGCGCAAATCCTTTCAATTGACATCAAGATAACCATCCAACACGGCCATTCAATGCCGATGTCCAATGTATGCACCCAATATGTCTAGGATATTTAAGTCACCTTGGTGCTTGTAGTTTAAAAGACAATACCATATGCAATGTATTCCTAATGTCTTTGATTCTAGTACTTGATCTTCGGTCAGTAACTCTTTCGATAAACTCCAATTTTTTAGAACATTCAACTTTAAAGACCCCAAGAGAATACTTTTTTTTTAGGAGAATTGCTTGTTAAACTTGCTTGTTAAACTCAATTTTTGTTCGTTTTGCAAACAATACAAAAGATGAGTTATATTTTTGGACTTTCCTTTTATTTACCTTGAAAAAGCAATCGTTTACGGTGATATTCGTATAGAGATAGCCGCCCCATAAAGCTGTGCCACGACCGATTCCAGTGAGAAGAAGACTGACAAAAAGATTGCGGTCAATTTGAGATACAAAGAATACAAATTGCACATTTATTCACGCGAATAATGTGGTGCAAACAATACACAAGCACAACCCCTAAGCCCTAAATGTAGGGGGAAAAAGAACCTATATATCCCGTATTCTCTCTAATAGTAGTGCACCCTGAACGTCACCTAAATTGCTCGCAATCTCGAGAACCGCTTATCAGAACCTATCGATTTGGGGTCGGAAAATGTAGCTGACGATGAGATCTCGTGGGGGATTAGAGTGTTGAGCTTCTGGGAAAAATTGGAAACCGTAAAATAGACATTAACTCGGCTCGGTGCAGTGCACTACTATTAGAGAAAATAGAAAAGTACCATAGAAAGTAGATTCTAGTCTTAGAGTTAAAGCTAGATCTTTAGATCCTCTAAAGTTAGATTTTAGCGGTATTCCCAGTTTGTAAAATTAGCTGGTAACAGTGAAAATAGTAAATGAGTGCGAGAAAGCAAAAATTTTGATCTTTAAAGTAATGCTCAGCTTATCGATAGCCAACTTATCGTTAATCTTTGCTTGATATACCGTATTCTCTCAAACCGTTGTGCATCCTGAGCGTCGCCTAAATTGCTCGCAATCTCGCGAACCGCTTATCAGAACCTATCGATTTGGGGTCGGAAAATGTAGCTGATGATGAGATCTCGTGGGGGATTAGAGTGTTGAGCTTCTGGGAAAAATTGGAAACCGTAAAATAGTCATCAACTCGGCTCGGTGTGGTGCACTACTATTAGAATACGGAGAGAATACGGCATATGAGAAAAAGAACTAATGATCTAGCCGGTGGGATTGAACCCTTGACCTCCCGACTAAGCTAGGCTCTTAGCCAGTCGAGCAAGATTTTTAAGAATATTGAATTGAAAAAAGATTACGAAAGATTTATCAAGATCTTGAGTAAGAGTAAGATTGACAAAAAAGACTGCGTAAGACTTATAGAGTAAACTACTTATAGAGTAAGTAAGACTTATAGAGTAAATCTTTAACAATTCATTGAATAAATCTATAATGAAAGTGCGAAATTTAGTGTTTATTTGAATATTTGTCTACTAAGTCTATAAATTTTAACGTATCCTGTCAATATATTGATAATTTTGAGGGGTATTGATGATACTTTATGTAAAAATGATCCCTAGACTCACCTTAAGCTATCGAAAATTTCGAAAGACTCGTAGGAGACCTGATAGAGGTATTTGTGGCGAATCGTGCTTCGACCGTAGGCAATAATATTTAAAATATTCAATGGCAATGATAATGAACCTGGAAAATTGAGTGTACCGGAAAGATGGCTTTACTATTTTTAAAACAGAATAAAATAAGCCAAAATTTTTCACTACAGTCGATCATAAATACCCTAAAGTCTCGAGTATAAGTTCTGCCTTAATTTACATTCGCTTTAATTGCTTTGAATTTCTTTTTGTTGGATTTTTATCCATTTTTATTGTTATATAAAGTTTTATTATTGTTCTTGGAGCGCGGGATACTACAGGGTGACAGCCTATCACCATTGCTATTTGTTATCTGCATGGATACATTCAGACGATAGTGTTGAAGAAGACGCTGGAAAGCATCTCTTTCGACCGTCGACGTCGACTTTGGCCAAATGAAGAGGCCAGGGAGGGATCCATAAGACTGAGCACCGGAGAGGAGCAGGGCGGACGCGCCGAGCCACGCCCGGAGCAACAAATAACAGCATAAAATTGCTATAACCCTCAATAAATTCACTTCTATTATTGTTCTTAAAAAGCAAAAAAGTTATGCTGCAGCGGGGTTCGAACCCTCGACACACCGCACCGGAGACAGCCATCAATTTGCATGCGAAAACCAAACAGAACTTATACTCGCGACTTTAGGGTACGAAAATCAAACACTTATCCAAAAATCTTCACTAATAAACTAAAGAAAAAGATATTCTAATGTCTGCTATAATAGGCTTTGGTGAATCAGGGCCCTGGATACTTGTTCATATATTCTAGCAGGCCAGCGCAAGACCAGTGCTGATCTAGCTTTGCCATAAAACTTACAGGATCTTTCCGGTTAACGGGGGGTAACTTTTTTGGTTGGCCAACTTGCAGCCTGATTTTAAATAGATTTTTGAAAATAACTTTTGATAAAACAAATATTTTCTGAAAGCTGACATTCTAAGCTATCTAAATATTATTAAAACTTTCTGATCTGACAAGTTTAAGGTGCTTAAAAATGAGCTGGAAGTAGGCCAAAAAGTTATCCCCCGCCCACGTTAACCGGAAAGATCCGAGTTGCAGTTACAAGGCTTAAGCTTATTGGCTTAAGTTCTCAAAGTTACAGTAAGATTCTAGGATAAAATTGAGCATAGTCAGACTATCTTGTTCTGACTTGATTTGGCCTGGAAATATTGTTTTCTGAATGACCAGACTCGGGGAAAAGCAGGATTAGCCTAGGATGCTCAATTTGAAACTTAATAATGGATACTGTTCAAGGTTTCTAGAAGTTACGGTAATATTTTAACATCCAAAATTTTCCCAAGCACTCACCCAACGAGATATAAAATGTACACATAAACAAGGAGGCTCCGTAGTTCGTCTCGAATCCTCCCATCACAGCTAAAGACATTTTTCTGAATAGAACAAGAAATGGAGAACGTTAAAAAACGAAAACTTTTCTGCAATTTCGCACAGAAGTTGACAAAAGCCAACTTCCGCGTAAATTCCCCATTTTTTCCCAGTAATAGAGTAATTTATCGGCGACGAGCCAAATGTGAAATTTTACGACTCAAAATCACCTTTTCCGTGCTAATCTTTAAAAAAAACTGTATTAACCTGGTTATAATTGAAAAATTTGCAATAACTTTCAATAACCGGAAGTAAAGTCAAGTAAAGTAAATGAATTAGCAACTATTTGCCCTACTTTTAGCCTCGGAAACTTCGGCAAACTATTTCGGCGAAACGAGGAAATAATTTTTGTTTGAAAATTGAATTCAATCGCGTTTTTGATATTTTGATGCCAAAAATCATGATCAAAAATAGAGAAAAAGCTGAGATGAGGGTGGAAAACAGGGAAAAACTATTCATTTTCCCCAATTATTTTGATCCCTGTTAATAGTAGAATGAATGTACTTGAGTAATATGTAATAATAGAACAATAGAATAATAGAATAATAGAATGAGCTTTCTTCTTGAGCTTTCTTCTTAAGTTTTCTTAAGTTTTCTTCTTTTCCAAAAAGCACTCATTTTATCGTAATCTTTGCGCAAGTTTTTATTCAATCTATCTAATTTCTATCTAATCTATCTAATTCTAAATCTATCACTCTATCTTGTAAAAGTAAAAGGTTTTAAAAGGGTTTTAAAAGGGCTTTAAAAAGGTTTGAAAGCTCTCCGTAAATGGGATGCACAAATGAAATGTGAAACTTGAAAAGTGCAAAAGCTTTCATCATATTTTTACTGTTAAATGGGGGGCCACGACAAAGGCCACCGAACGAGCCCTGAGAACGACGCATCGAAAGGAACCTCCTCGGGAACAATAGGAAGACGCAGCTCGACCAAGACCTAAGAAGTACGGATATGCGCCAGCTCTCCGGACTCAGAGATCCAGTGGAAGTGATTGAGAGAAAAAGACTCAGGTGGGCTGGCCAAGTAGCCAGAAGAACAGACGACAGATGGACGATACGGATCACAGAGTAGCTGCCACGAGACCAGAAGAGGCCCATCGGAAGACCAGCAACGAGGTGGAGCACAAGAGTGGCAGAGACGGTCAGAGAAAGGATGGCTAGAGTGCAACCACCACCAGCACAAGCAAGTCGAAGACTTCGAACCAGGAACAATCAAGATAGGAAACACTGGATGACAATAGCAAGGGATAGAGAAATGTGGAAGCAGGTTGTGATCTGCACAAATAGGAACACCTGAATGCGAAGACAGATAAAAAAAAACAACTTGAAAAGTGCAAAAGCTTTCATCATATTTTCACTGTTAAATCCATTCTTTAGACCGCGTTTTTGATTGAATCAAAAATTAGAAACAATAAAGCTTGAAAGCTGACAAGTTTAGAGCTATTTCTTTTGAGCAATAACACCCCATACTCCCAAAAACAACCCCTATCCTTTTTCTCACAAAAATTTTACTCATTAGTCTTTTACAAGAAAAAAGGCAGTTTTTGATTAAGAAAATATTTGACACCTGTTCAAGATCAATTTGTATTTGATTTTAATGTATTTGTAAAGTCGCTGATAAAGAAGACAGGTGATTTTTTTAATTGCTTTGATCGTTGATGGCAACAAGAAAGTTTTGAGAGAAGATACGGTATCGGGAAGTGAAAACTTTCTGTCTTGGTCTTTACTCTAAACACTTGATTTGTAGTTTCATACAAAGTGCGTAAAATTGAAATTATATTGATCTAGTGCCGAGTCATTGCATCATTATGCTTTGGTACAAGAGGCGGTATCAAATGCATAGACTTCTTTCTATTGGATCAGTGAGTATGAGATATACAGTACTGGACAATGAAATATCATATTTGAAAAACGATCGTCACTTTCGCGCGTCTGTAACTCCCTTGCTTTTGAGTTTAAACTATTAGTGTTATACATTTTCTGAAAGCTCTTTTCAAGGGCTACACAATGGTAATATTAATATTTAGAAATACGGTAAAGACAAGGGAGTTACAGAAGCGCGAAAGTGACGATCGTTTTTCAAATATGATATTTCATTGTACAGTAGTGTAGCTATTTTTCTGATTGATCCATAAAATCGTAAACAAAACGGAGATGGAAACTGTTGCGTGAAACTGATAAAGTGAAGAACACTTTTCAAAAAAACAATGAAACCAGGTTTCCTCACTTTCTGTTATTTCGAAATTTTGGTAACTTTGGATGTGGATGATAATCTGTCATCTGGATTTCTACGACACGATATGCTATATTCTACATGGACATAAGGACCTCTAACGTCCAGCTAATATTAAAAATGGTTATGTGGAAGGATAAGCTTCACTACGGACATTACGGACAGTTTTCTGTCATCTGGACTTCTACGATTATATTGTACGATATTCTACATGGACATAAGGACCTCTAATGTTCAGCTAATATTAAAAATGGTTATGTGGATGGATAAGCTAAGGACATGTGTAAACTAGTTTGTTGAATTTTGTTCTGTGGATAACTTCTCGAAGACAAATGGAGGAGTTATCCAGCAGTCAAGCTGAAGTTTTTTAATTAGTGTAGCCAATAAACTATCTATTGGGCTGGTGGGTATGACTTGGTACGTTTTTTCAAATTAAATCCCAAAGATGTAAACAAAAATGAGGGAGGGAGTTTTGTCGAAAATAGGTAAGTGAACATTCACTCTTCCGAAAACAATGGACTTTCACTTTCGACATATTTGGCTTTTGGAATCTTACTTTACTTTGTTCTAACTATTGAAAATCTACCACCTGGAGATCTGCGACACGTTATGTTGTACGAATTTCTACAAAGACACAAGGGCCTCTAGTGTTCAGTTGATATTGAGATTGTTTATGTCGAAGGATCAGCTCAACTACGGACATATACAAGCTTTTTCTAAATCCTCGAAGTCCAGATGTGGCCCAGCTTCTGGTCCAGCTTCTGGCCCAGCTTCTGGCCCAGCTTCTGATCCAGCTTCTGGATTAGCCATAAATCCTCGAAGACAAAGGGAGGAGTCATCTAGCGGATAATAACAAGTTACTCGAAATTTTCTAAACCAACAAAAGGCTTTCTTAGCAGAAATAGCAGAAGAGTTATCAGTTAATCATACAATAATATTCGAACATTGCATACACTTGGGTTTAAACCGTATTAGGGACTTCGAAATCAGTGCCACTCATCTTTCTCGATACGAGCGCAAATCTTTTTTTACCCTGTATTGTGACGGGAGATAATAATGAATTCTAACTCTCAACCTTTGGAGAAAGCGTCAATGGGTTGCTGAGGGGGAAAAGCTCGAAGATAAAGGGAGGAGTCATCCAGCAGTCCAGCTGGATAATAATAAGTTGCTCGAAATTTTTTAAACCAACAAAAGGCTTTCTTAGCAGAAATAGCAGAAGAGTTATCAGTTGATCATACAATAAGATTCAAAAATTGCATACACTTCTGTTTAAACCGTATCAGAGACTTGTATTCCGCCGTAACACCCAGAAATGGCAATGTGTCAGAAATCAGTGCTGCGAATCTCGATACGAGTGGAAATCTTTCTTATTCCGTATTGAGATGAAAATGGATTCTAACTGTCAACTTTTGGAGTCAATGGGTTGCTGAGGAAGAAAAGCTCAAACACGACGTCATGCCAAGAAGTGCATGAGAAGGGGTTGCTGAGGGGGAAAAGCTCAAACACGATCTACTGGAAACTTTTAGATAGCAAGAAAACACTTAGCTAGATCTTAGCTAAACACTTAGCTAACTCCGAGCAACTTGACAAATCAGCCAAATCTTTGCCAGAGAAAAGATTCCAAAGAGAAAAATGCTTTAAAGCTCATGCTTTCGCTCATCCAAGAATTTGAGCCTGTAGTCTCTAACGATAAGATGTCATTTCTGGTTCTAGTAGACCCAGGATCTGCGTTTTGGTTCTGGCCTCGACCTTGCACTTGGAACAACCCTGAACATAATCAAACAAGATAAAAAAAGAGCCATTTAACAGAAAAATGCTTTTGCACTTGTTGTATCATCAAGATATTCAACTTTAATTTCCAATCATTTGTTTTATGATGTTATTCTCTTCATCCCTTTCCGTTGTTTCACTCAACCGTTCCGAAAACTCATAAATCTGGCTCACAAAAAACACATAAAATTTTGATTAATCTCGACTAAAGTTTAAAGCATTTCAAAAACTCATAAAAGGAAATTGCTAAGAGATTTTTATAGGGAAATGTTTTGAAGTTTGAAGTTTGAAGTTTGAAGTTGGAAGTTGGAAGTTGGAAACAAGGTTATTCCAGTGGAGAACGGGACACTCAAAGTTAGACTGTACACCCGTCATTATGAGGGTCCTACTAGTGTATTTACTGCATGTCTGACCAGCCAAAAGTCTCAGAGTCAACTAGTAGCCAGGTTCTAGACCTGATTCTTATCAGACCTTAAATAGACATTCCAATTGTAAGCCTGATTAATAGACTAGTTAATATAGATATTGGGTTGGTGAATTGAAAACTGTGGGACTTTGAACCAAAATTTATTCAACATAAAACCATCAATTCATTCCAAATAGTTTCCATTATTATTGACGACTTCTGCCAATTTTACAGGCAATTTGCGGATTCCTCTTTCGTGGTAGGATTTTGGTTTGTGTGTGAGACAAGTGTGAGACTCAAAAATGGAGGACTGGAGATGTCCCAGTTTGAGCGCTTTCTTCAAAAGAAACCCATTCTGGTGTCAATAGAAAAGTTGTAGAGAATCAAAAATTAGGTTTATAGCCAAATTTCCAAAAAGAGATACTTAGTAGTTTCGCTTAAAATGCAAGTTTTGTGAAGATTCGTAAATTTGGCATTTCTTGAAAACGAGTTTTTGAATCGTTCTGAAAATTTGGATATAAGCTTGATTTTTGATTCTCTACAACTTTTCCATTGACACCAAAATGGGTTTCTTTTGAAGAAAGTGCTCAAACTGTCACATATGACAATAGCCGCAGTTTTCAATTCACCAACCCAATATTATAGTCATTCGATAGCCCTGAATCTCCTCTTTAAAACTAGTACAAAGTTACTTTCGACTTTCTGCGAAATGACTAACAAAATCCTTGAAAACGAGTTAATACCAAAAATAATCGTCATTAGAACGGCCCAACGGTGGATTAGATCGTTGTGAATTTGTTAAACGACTTACAGAAGTCAACACAATGAGCGTCGTGAAAGCGACTAGTGTATTTACTGCATGTCTGACCAGCAAAAAGTCTCAGAGTCAACTAGTAGCCAGGTTCTAGACCTGATTCTGATCAGACCTTAAATAGACATTGCAATTGTAAGCCCGATTACTAGACTAGTTAATATAGATACTTTATTCAAGATCTGAAGAAATGAGGAAGAAAATTTTCAATGCAGTTAGTAACACCTTTAGAATTATATTAATGGTAAAGAAATGTTGCAAAATTATAGAATAAATGAAATCCAATCAGTTACAAGCTTCCAAAGTACACCGAAGCTTTTTTTACCTTGATACTTGATTGATACTATTTTAGTTTCTAGCTTTTCTTCAAATTTCTCAATTCATACAATTTTGAACTCAATAAACTCCTTATTACTTTGTAGGAATTGATTTGTTGGTGTTTGGGTGAGAAAAAGAAAAATGATTGCGTTCGGCTTTTGGATGGGAATCCAATTAACGCCCGGGAAACTAAACTAATGGAAACTCCCAGTACTTTGCGCTCAAATGAGAGAAGAAACCTCCCCTGGTACATTTGAATTCTCTTTTTAAACTTACATTATCAAATCGTTACCACGAGAATGGAAGAATTGAGTGCACTAGAGAGTCTAGTGTTGAACAACTGTAGCTTTAAAGAAAACCCCAAGATTACGATGGTTTCAAAAGTTTACTAGATCAACCATTAGTTGATAGACAAGTTATTTATCCCTTCTTTGACTTTGAGTTACAAATGCTTTTCCAAAGGCGATTCTCAGGATTAAAAGCTGACCTTGCTTGGCCTCGCAAGATCAGCAAGGCCTAGCAAGCAAAGCTTTACTAAAACTTTGCCCACAAAAGTTCTGTATGAATCCGAGTTTTGTCTCTGGCCTAGTGGACGACTTAATTTAAAGTAAAGTTTCGAAACAGGATTATGTCAGTCAAATGTTGACCCACGTATTATTAGGGTGGTGCAAAAGAAACTGCCGATTTGACGGTAAATTCAAAAAAAAAGATGGCATTCAATGGTGACATGATCACAATGGAATATTTTCGCAAGATTTCGAGCAGATTGGCATGGATCGGCCTGAATAACGTCCCTCAGCTTGGCTTCGTTCACGACTTCTGACCTCGAACCGCGCTCGTAATCTTCCAAAGTCTCGTCTCCCTCTCGGAATCGTTGAAACCAAGTCTGACACTGTCTGAGAGACAAACTGTCATCTCTGAAAGCAGCACAGAGAGAACGATGCGATTCGGCAGCAGACTTTCCAATTTTGAAGTTAAATAGCTGCTCGTAGCACAAACTTTTGCTCGGTCATGATCTAAATAAAAAATATAAGCATTTTTAAATAAAACAAACAACAACCAAAAAATTCAAATATCGAAATAAATAGCAAACAAATACGCGAACAAAACATAAAAAAAATAATGCCATTAGCATCGCTCGTTTCTGTTAAATGAGAGCTGATACCATCGGCAGTTCCTTTTGCACCACCCTAATAGTTGCATTCTTCTTTTTTTCTCTTTTTGTTCACGAATCACGGGCGGTGTGCGCCCCTTACCACCAGTAAGTGCACAAAGAACAGCTCGTCACTGTTACGATCATATATTACGATAAAATGAATAACTCCAATCGATTCTCTGACCTTGAAAACCCTAGGTAGTCAAATGTTGACCCATGTTGCATTCTTCTTTTTTCTCTTTTTGTTCACGAATCACGGGCAGACCAAAAAGAGCGCCCATACCACCAGTAAGTGCACAAAGAACAGCTCGCCACTGTGGGTTTGAGCGGAAATTGGCCAAGATTTAGTCACAGAATTGCGGTAGTTTTGAATTAACACCTTTTAGTCTCACCTCCAACCATTGTCGCCAACAAAAACGGAACCACAGCCAGCAGCGCGAGATTCAAATACAATAAATTCTTCATAGTTTTGGAGAAAGCTCAAAAAATGCTTTTGCCGATGACAAAGCAAATGGAAAGATCGTTTATTTGAACAAATTTTGTTCTGAAACTTTAAAACTGTTCGAGTTTTTTTCAAAAATCTCTCTTGAGATTACTTCAAGAAAGTACGAGGAAATGGGCACAAATTGATTAAGGAATAGTTTTCAAAATTTTCTTTTAATTAACGGACGCTCAAAAACTAGGAAATTTTAAACTTTTGAGGCAAATTTGTTGATCATTCACTATTTATTCAATTTAAAGCTGTTTATTTTTGAAAATCTAATGTTTGATTCAGATTTAGCGTGTATTTTTGCAATTCTTATATTCCACAAGGCATTGAACATAAAAAATGCTATAGTTGAAAAATTTGGAAACTTTTTCGAACTCCGATATGTGCTTTGAGAAGCGACTCGGCTACCGTAACCCGTAGAATTGTGTTACAGTAACCCAAGCAGCTTCTACTGTTCGATTACTGTAATTACTTAGTGCGTACAGATTACTGTACATCAAACAACTCAAAGTCGAATGTTGTTGTGTTTTAACGGTGTTTTAAAACGTGACTGGACTACCGTACTTCGTAACCAAATTACGTTAGCCCAAGCTTTTACAGTAACCCAAGTAGTTTACTGTTAGATTACTGTAACTACTTAGGTTACTGTGATAGCTACGGTGGGGCATGCTTTAAAGCGTCTATCCGATCCGGCCACCCACCCAGTCAGTCAATTTTACACTATCCAGTTTGTTGATTCCGTAATTTGAATTACCGTATTTTCTCTAATAGTAGTGTACCCTGAGTGTCGCCTAAATTGCTCGAAATCTCAAGAACCGCTTATCAGAACCTATCGATTTGTGGTCGGAAAATATAGCTGACGATGAGATCTAGTGGAGGATTAGAGTGTTGAGCTTCTGCGAAAACTTCAAAACCGTAAAATAGTCACCAACTCGGCTCGGTCAACAACAAAAGGTCGCGCCAACAATACCATATGCAATGTATTCCTAATGTCTTTGATTCTAGTACTTTATCTTCGGTCATTAACTCTTTCGATAAACTCCAATTTTTTAGAACATTCAACTTCAACCCCAAGAGAATACTTTTTTTTAGGAGAATTGCTTAATTTGCTCGTTAAACTCAAATTTTTGTTCGTTTTGCAAACAATACAAAAGATGAGTTATATTTTTGGACTTTCCTTTTATTTACCTTGAAAAAGCAATCGTTTACGGTGATATTCGTGTAGAGATAGCCGCCCCATAAAGCTGTGCCACGACCGATTCCAGTGAGAAGAAGACTGACAAAAAGATTGCGGTCAATTTGAGATACAAAGAATACAAATTGCACATTTATTCACGCGAACAATGTGGTGCAAACAATACACAAGCACAACCCCTACGCCCTAAATGTAGGGCGGAAAAAGAACCCATATATCCCGTATTCTCTCTAATAGTAGTGCACCCTGAGCGTTGCCTAAATTGCTCGAAATCTCGAAAAGCGCTCATCAGAACCTATCGATGTGGGGTCGGAAAATGTAGCTGACGATGAGATCTAGTGGGGGATTAGAGTGTTGAGCTTCTGCGAAAACTTCGAAACCGTAAAATAGTGATCAACTCGACTCGCCGGGGTGCACTACTATTAGAGAAAATACGGTAACAGAGTTGAAGATATTGATAATAACTGACTATTGATATTAATGATAATAATTGATAATAAATAGCCAGTCAAACACTCAAGATCTTTTTGTTTTATGCAAACTATTGTAATAATTTGAAGGAATTGTAGGAATAGTGAAGGAATTGACAAGAAAAAGTAGATTTCTGGAGAGGGAATTGAATCCTCGACCTTTAAATACGAAAATACGACCTAAGCCTAAGCCTAAGCCTTTTCAGCCAATTCCTCTAACCACTGAGCTATTTGGTAACTTAACTTGCAAGAGAAAGAGGAAAAGACAAGAGGAAAGAAAGAAAGGAAGAAGGAAAGAAAGGAAGAAGGAAATAAAGGAAGAAAGAAAAAAGAAAGAACGAAGGCAATATTATAACGCGACTGTAGTCGTAAGGGTTACTGTAACATCAAATAACTTGGAGATAGTAAACGCAACTAAATAAAGATCAAATTATCTAGATATTTGCTGGGTTACGGTAGCTGGAGGACGATTTAGAGGCGGTTTGTTCAAAATCTAGATTGGGTTTAGATTTTGCGTGTATTTTTGCAATTTTTATATTCCACAAGGCACCGATCATGAAAAAAATGACACATATGCAAGAAAATCAAATTTTTAAAACGTTTTACACAATTTGAGCCTAAAAATGAAAGATTTGACAAATTTACAAAGAAATTGATGATCCTTTGACATTTCTAACATGATTTTGACAAAGTAAAGTTGACAAATAAACAAAAAAAACAGTAAACTGACTAGTCCATTTTCTAAAAAGCCTAAGAAGCATCTATTTTAGAAAACTACCGTAATCAAACCGCCAGTTTATCTGCGACAGCCGGATTTTCGTCTTATTGACGGAGTTTTGTGGCTCTAAGCTGATCAAATGTAAACTGGGATTATTAGCTTTATAAAATAGCTGCCTTTTAAAAAACGCATCAAGTGAGAGAAGAAAAACAAGAGCTTCTAACTACAAAAACAAATTTTCACTACAATCACAAACACAACGAATCGATTAAACAGGCATAGAGATTTCTCTATGCCATAGAGATAGGCATAGAGATTTCGTTTATCTTATGCCTATCCGATAGATATCTCAATTTACATATACAATCCACCGGTGATCTCCAATTGAGCCCCAGTTACATAAGAGGAGAGATCCGAGGCTAGATACAGGACACCATTCGCGATCTCGTCAGCATGACCTGAATCTTGGATTATCGTAACTAACTACCGGCTAATTGTTATCTAATCATTATTCTAAACTAATAAGTCAGACTAAACAAGTGTTGCTAGGTAAATTAGGTTGTTCGGATATAAAAAAGCGTTGCTAAACTTATTGTTGTGAGATAAGCTTTTAAAACATGTCTTTCTGTATTTAAAAGTACGCTATCTTGTGCATATTTGGAATCTTTTTAAATGGATAATTTCTTATTTTTAAGATCTTTTTTCTTGCTTTAGATGACCGACTTCAAATACAAATGTATATAAAGTTCGCGTCTGCCTACTTTACGACTTCAAACTGGGCAAAACAGTAGCGAAATCCCATCGAGATTTGGTCAAAGCCTTTGGGAATGATGTATAGTCCGAAAGCCGATGCCGAGCCTGGTTTCAACGCTTTCGGAATGGTGATGAAAGTCTCGAGGATGATGAACACTCTGGTCGACCTCAAACAGTAGACAACGTTATTTTGAGGGCTGCAATCGAATCGGATTCATGCCAAACGACGTGTGAACTTGCTCAACAGTTTCTAACTTTTCTAATTTTAAAGACACTATTCCTCCCAGATTGTGAATTTTGGGGTGAAATTAGTAAATTTTGCTAGATCTAGCAAAGTCTCGACCCAGGTCCTGGTTTCTGGCTGGCCCAGGGACAGAGCTATGGCTGGCTCAAGGACAGGCTTGCTGCTTTGGCTGGCTAGCAACTTGATCCAGCCAGAAATCAGGCTTGAACCTTGTCTGGCTTACGATTAGAATGATGCAAACGAGAGCTTGTTCATTTGTCGGTCTGTTTTTCAATCGGTGTACAACAAAAAACGAGATTTGACCATTTCAAGCAACTTTTTTTAACGATTTCTTACTACACAAAGATAGTATTTTCCAAGCTCTATCTTATCTTATTTATAAATTTAAACTTAAAATCTAAAAATTGACAATCAGCTCGAAAATGAAGAGCTCTGTTCATTGCAATAGTTTTTACGTCACTTTTTAAATGAAGCATTTCATAAGAAAGCAGTTTTTATATTAAATCATAAAAGAAAATCTTTTTAGATTCTACTATTCTTAAATTTTAGATATTAGATAATTAGCTAGCTCTTTATCTTACCCAAATATTCAAAATTTCATTCGGATTGGAGGTTTTATGATTTCAAAACTCAGAAAAACAACTCCATTCTCCAAAAAACTTCAATTCTTTGGCGGACTTCTTGTTTTTTTTGAAGTAAAATTTCTTATACTGTGATCGAACTTTGAAAATGGTCAACAATGTTAAAATTTCTATAAAAACAGTGAAACTCACCCATTCGTCCCATTGGGATTCCCGCGCAAATCGACTTGAGCACCTAGAAATTTCAAGATTTATGTTTATTTGAGTAAAAAAGTATCCAAAAAACGTAATCTTTCATAAATTTTATAAACATAATTTGAAGTTTTTTTGGATTTTAAAATAATCGGAAACTAGAGAAACCTTCAGAGAGAAAAAAATGTTTCTCGAGACTTTTTCATGTTAAATTTGAATTTCTGCAAAATTTTCTTGCAAATTTTAAATGTTAATTTTCGCGCGACGTTGCATTCCAATTGACGTCGCCGCCCATTGGAGGTAGTCGATGGGAGCGCCGCGTTGTCGTTTCTTTTTCATTTTGCAAATCATTTCTTTTTGTCAGATTAATTGAAAGTATTGTTTTAAGCGATAAATTTTATGCTTCTCTTTGAAATGAGAAAGAAATCTATTGGGTTGGTGAATTGAAAACTGCGGGACTTTGAACTAAAATTTATTCAACATAAAACCATCAATTCATTCCAAATAATTTCCATTATTATTGACGACTTCTGCCCATTTTACAGGCAATTTGCGGATTCCTCTTTCGTAGTAGGATTTTGGTTTGTGTGTGGGACAAGTGTGAGACTCAAAAATGGAGGACTGGAGATGTCCCAGTTTGAGCACTTTCTTCAAAAGAAACGCATTTTGGTGTCAATGGAAAAGTTGTAGAGAATCAAAAATTAGGCTTATGGCCAAATTTCCAAAAAGATACACTTAGTAGTTTCGCTTAAAATGCAAGTTTTGTGAAAATTCGTATATTTCGCATTTCTTGAAAACCTGTTTTTGAATCGTTCTGAAAATTTGGATATAAGCTTGATTTTTGATTCTCTACAACTTTTCCATTGACACCAAAATGCGTTTCTTTTGAAGAAAGTGCTCAAACTGTCACATATGACAATAGCCCGCAGTTTTCTATTCACCAACCCAATATTTCCATTTGGGAGCTGAGTGGAGAATCCGGAACTTTTCGTAGCCGGGCCACAATGAAGGCCAAAACTAATTGTAAGATGGTTTGCGGAGTTGAATGGAAACAGCGAAAGCAAGACTCATCCCCATGACTGTTGCAAGACTGCCACTTTAAACTAGATCGCAGAATGTGTTAGGAATGGCAAAAGTTCCTCTCAATCTTTCATTCTTACAGAGTGAACAACACACTCTCACTCATACATCCAAATTATCTACAGCTAAAGCATAACTAAAAGTATAATAAAATGTTGCTGATAATCGTCGAATTTTGCTGCTTAAGAAGTGAAAATAAGTGACCAGCTTGATTGAGTGAATATCTTGAAAGTGTTAAAAAGAAAAGCTGTAACTAAAAGTTGACAAGTTAGGTAAGATATTCAGCTTACTTTTACTTCAAATTGAAGTGTGTTCTTCTCAGCCAAAGAGTTTTCTAATCTTTTAGAAACCTACCGTAACCAAATTGCCTGTTTCAATTAAATTTGTAATCAAAAAAATCTTCAATCAGCCCAGTTTGGTATTATTTACTGAGCCTTTTGATTTCTCATCGAATGATGGGCTGATCAAATGAAAACTGGCTGTTAGATTACGGTAGTTTTCTAAAATAGTCGTCTTTTAGAAAACGCATTAATCGAAAGGACTGCTTTAAGCTTTTTGAACTAATAGTTTTCGGGTTTTTTTGCGAACTATAATAATAACTCCTTACATCTGGCGGCATTGCTGTAGTCATCGGTGTCTCGACGAAACCAGGAAGAACAGCATTCACGCGGATTCCCTAGAGAAATTTTAATCACTAATATTGAAAATTTATTCTCAATCACCGTCCAAACAAAATTATATTTGAGAACATTGTTCGGAAACTAGAAACTAGATATTTTTCATCATTTCCTTTCGTCTCACCTTTTTCGCTAATTCCTTGGCGGCACTCTTTGAGAAAGCGATCACTCCAGCTTTCGTCGCTGCGTAATTTGTTTGGCCAAAGTTTCCGACCTGAAAAATTGTCAAAATCAAAAACACTATTGCTTGAACAACTTTCACAAACCTTTCCAATAATACTCGAAACATTAATGACAGAAAGAAGTGCTTGATTTGCAACTGCTTCACGGGCGAAAGCTTGCGTTACCTGAATGTGGATTGTGGGGTGTAAAAGTAGCTAGTACATCATTGATAAAGTTTTCTTAATTTCCAGTTCACTCACCAAATGCACCCCTTTCAAATTCACAGCCACCACATCGTCAAACGCTTGTTCGGACATTTTCAACAAAGTTGCATCTCTTGTGATCCCCGCGCAATTCACCACAACATTTGGCGCTCCTTTGAGGTGATCGACCGCGAATTTTCGGAGATTCTCCACGTCGGCGCTCTAGAAAGCAAATAGATTAACAATTTTGACAAGACTGACAAGACAAGTCTTCAATTTGAAGTCAGATCTACGAGCTTGACAAGTTTGAAAGACTTTTCGGGCTGATAACTGGTTAGCAATGAAAACCTTCATATGTACTTCTGTTTTTGAAAGGATTTAATAAATATTAAGTTGAGTACTTGGTATGCTATTTTCATTGATTGCTTTAGAAGCGGTGAATGAACATCTGAACAAGTTTTGCTATAAGATTAGATTAAGTACTATGTGTTCGTATGCTATCTTCATTGATCGTTTTAGAACCGGTTCCTTATTGTTTTAGAAGCGGTTTAGAAGCGCTTTAGAATCAACCAAAACAAAAACGGTTTATTTTATTGAAAAGCCCTATCTTTTTGCTACAAAATGTTAGGAGTAGCGCGAAATTTTCAGAAAAATTTGTCCCACCATTTTCTTTATCTTTCTCTTCTAAGAATTTAAGTTAAATGAGAATTTACTTGCGAATTTGCTTCATATCAGATCAAAATTTGTTTTAAAATGCCTAAAATTAAACACTTGACACTTTTTATTTTTAGCAATTCAACGTTTCTTTGAAGAAAAGTCGCTAATAAGAAAAAATAATGAGCAAAGGATACCAAAACAGGAAGAAAAATAACCTTTCACCATTCAACAAAATAACCATTCAAAAATAACATTCACTTATCATGAAATGACTCATTTTCGGGGTTCAGCTTGATCAGCAAACGAATGAATCAAAACGAATTTGGGAAGGATTTTTGATGCAAATGGGATTAGATACTTGTTGAGTAACTAAGAAAAAGTAATAAAGTAAGGATTGATAACTTTAGAAGTAAGATTTTCGGAGAGGGGACCGAACCGATCTTCTTACTTTCGGGGAGTAGATGGCAACCACTGAGCTATTGGGTTGGTGAATTGAAAACTGCGGGACTTTGAACTAAAATTTATTCAACATAAAACCATCAATTCATTCCAAATAATTTCCATTATTATTGACGACTTCTGCCCATTTTACAAGCAATTTGCGGATTCCTCTTTCGTAGTAGGATTTTGGTTTGTGTGTGAGACAAGTGTGAGACTCAAAAATGGAGGACTGGAGATGTCCCAGTTTGAGCGCTTTCTTCAAAAGAAACCCATTCTGGTGTCAATAGAAAAGTTGTAGAGAATCAAAAATTAGGTTTATAGCCAAATTTCCAAAAAGATATACTTAGTAGTTTCGCTTAAAATGCAAGTTTTGTGAAAATTCGTAAATTTGGCATTTCTTGAAAAACAGTTTTTGAATCGTTCTGAAAATTTGGATATAAGCTTGATTTTTGATTCTCTACAACTTTTCCATTGACACCAAAATGGGTTTCTTTTGAAGAAAGTGCTCAAACTGTCACATATGACAATAGCCGCAGTTTTCAATTCACCAGCCCAATATTTCCATTTGGAAGCTGAGTGGAGAATCCGGAACTTTTCGTAGCCGGGCCACAATGAAGGCCAAAACTAATTGTAAGATGGTTTGCGGAGTTGAATGGAAACAACGAAAGCAAGACTCATCCCCAAGACTTGCAAGACTACCACTTTAAACTAGATCGCAGAATGTGTTAGGCATGGCAAAAGTGCTCAAACTGTCACATATGACAATAGTTTTCAATTCACCAACCCAATAGTACTCAACTTAATCATTTTTTAGTTGCACTGATTTTGGGAAGAAAAATAACCTTTCACAGCCGATAAGATTAAAAAATAAAACTCTTAAAAACACTCTTGTAATCGAATCTTGAAACTAAAGCCAACCTTGCTAACATCACCGGCAAAACTTTTATGTCCTTGTCCTTCGAGTTGAGAAACGGTGCTTGACGCGGATTCCTCATGTCTAGAGAAAAGTTTTAACTTGTGAATGCTGTATTATTCAGCTATTCTAACTATAAGATAAGATTCGGCTATTATTTTCTTTTATTATTTTCATCCTTTACACCAACCTGTCCACAACGATTAAACGGGCTCCTTGTGCGGCTAAACGCTGGCAAATCGCCCGACCAATTCCCGAGCCACCGCCTGCAATAAGAAGCTAATAACTCAAGAAAAACAGTTAAAAATTCAAGTTAAAAATTGCATTTAAGTTATAAAGTTTGCATTTATACCTGTAATCACTCCCAATTTTCCTTGCAACAAGTTGGCCATATTTTTCACTAAAGTCTGAAGTCTGAAATCATTTTTTGATTAAAATTTTTAAACTCAAGAAGAAACAAAGTTGAAATGGTGTGATGAGGGGAAATTTGACGACAATGTCTCTCCTTCCCCACTTCAATGATCAATCGAGATCAGAAAACGAAAATTTTTCGTTCAATGCTCGAGCAAAGGAAAGGGGAAAGGGGAACCGATTGCAAGAGACGCTCGGTGATCGATTGATCAAAGGAGTCAAGTGTTTGCAGAGGGAACAGCTACAGTAAGACTATGTCGCTAATAAGCTTTCTAAAGACGCATGCTTTAGAAAGCTATCATAATCAACTGCTAGTTTACCTTCGAGCCCAACTTTGTTATCACTTTGGTATCATTGACTGAATCTTGTGATTTCCTCATCGAATGATACCAAAATTGGGCTGATCGAATAAAAACTGGCAGGATTACAGTAGTTTTTAAATGAATGGCTTTTAGAAGGCGATTAGCACTCTACTGCGCTGGCCAGAGTATAGGAGTGTGGCTTAAGAATACGGCATCTTTTTTTAACTATTAGGTTAGTCAATAAGTAATGAGCCTCTCCTTTATTTACAATTTTGCAAAAGCCAAGCCATAGATCTTTCTGATACTTTAGTATGATAATTATCAAAGAGATTAACATTATTGTGCAAAGTGAACTTAATTTGATGGCTGGGCTTTGAGGAGGAATTTTTAGAAGAGCAATAGCTTGATTTTAATTTCTTCAAAATCTCCTTCAACAAAAAGTTTCATTTCTTTTTTCTCTCAAAGTAACCAACCAAATAAAGTGAACTTAATCTGATGGCTGCATCTCAACCAGCAAGTACCCGGTCTCAACGATGTTGTTCGACCCGAATTCGTGCTCATCGACCTCGAAGCCAAGAAGAAGTCCATCATCAACGTCACCATGCCCGTCGAGAACCGTGTGACCGCCTTCCTCACTCCAAGACGGTGTGACGCTCTCCAAGAAAAGCAACGCAAGTACAACCACGTGGCTGCCCACTTCCGGTCCCTCGGCTTTGATGTGTTCCGAATGCTCTGATCGTCGGCCTCCTCGGCTCCTCAACGATTTGGTTCTCCAAAGGCTCGGCGTCTCCTTGAAGTATGGTCATCTGATGAAGAAGTTGATGTGCTCTGATGCGAGCAAATGGAGTCGAAACATCTATGTGGAGCATCTAACAAAGCAGTATGGAACAAGCAGTATGAATAGGTATCCCCTTAAGCGATCTATATTTTTCACACTTTTATTTTATGATTTCTAGTCAGTTTTGATACAAAGATTTATGCCAAGAGCATATTCTTTATTTGATTTTGCGGTTTTTCGAGTCTAATTTTGAGTTTCTATTCTTATAGCAAAGTATAAAAATAAGAAAAAGATGCCCCTTTTCAAATGTTGTATTTCTATTAGATGCAGGTCTACAAAGAAAGAGTTTCTCTTTTTTTTCATCAAAAACTTCAAGCAAACCATCATTTACACAATCGCCAAAAACTCAAAGTGAGGGTCTACGCGTGCAAGCCAGCGTCGGCCCGCCTTAGGTGGCCTAGATTTTCAGAGATTTTGAAAGAGAACAACGAAAAATCATTCAAGAATTGAATAAGGCAATAAGGCAAGAATTGATAAGCAATGTTAGGCTCGGTTAGTCATTGGATCGGTGACGGCTTGAGAATCCCGAATGTCTTAAGTTTTTGCTTAATGTCTTAATTTTGCTTAATGCTTAATTTTGCTTAATTTCTTAATTTTTGACAAAGTGAATGGGCTTTTTGTTTTTTGAAAAAGGGAAACTTTTTGTTTTTAAAATGCACATAGGTAATGCCGTATTTTCTCTAATAGTAGTGCACCCCGGCGAGCTGAGTTGGTGACTATTTTATGGTTTCCAAGCTTTTGCAGAAGCTCAACACTCTAATCCTCCACTAGATCTGATCGTCAGCTACATTTTCCGACCCCACATCGATAGATTCTGATCAGCGGTTCTCGAGATTTCGAGCAAATTAGGCAGGGTGCACTACTATTAGAGAAAATACGGTAGATACCATAATTTTGTTTGAAAAGATCTCATCTGTGAGATGAGAAACAACTATCAAAACTACACCTTCAACCAATATAACTCGGCGAACGGAAGAGGTGATAAGTGATAGGAATGATTTTTCGTTGTTCTCTTTCAAAATCTCTGAAAATCTAGGCCACCTAAGGTGGGCAAGAATAAAACTTAAAAGTATTTGTTTTAGTCAAAAAAGTTGAAGTTTTATTTTTTAAGTTTTATTCTTGCAGCTTCACCCCCACTAACCACCCCATTGCCAGTTTTATCCCCCTTTTTGCCCTACCACATTGTCCCTCATTTCGTGCCTCAAAAAGCTCCTCTTTTTGCCGATAAACCCCTAAAAACTGCCTCAATCTCGAAATTTTCGAATGGCACCGATAAAATTTACGATCATTACAGCCGAGAAAGTTTTTGCCGATTAGAGGAAAGGATTGGGGGTATGAATAGGCAAGAATTGAAGGGGAATCGGGTAAACTGACTGCCTGTTAGACTGTCACGTTTTCGGGTTCAGGTTTGGTTTTTAAACTAAAATTTTAATAGAAATTAGAATAGCTTTATCGATTTACACAAGTTTAGAGCAGTCTGGATCAGGTTTAGATCAGAATTTTACTTGTCATTTGCTTTTTGAAGTAACCCAAGGAAAGTGGGCTAATTTAATCTAAAAATTAAGCAAACTATAAGATTTTCTAAAGGCTAAGGTTTTTAGAATTAGAATCTTGAAGCTAAATCTATTCGATTTCCAAGCGATGATCGACTTGCTCTTCTACTTTCTCCCCTTTTGGCTCTATCTGTTATTCTGGTTGACTCGTCTTTATTGGGAAAGAGTGAGACTCGACAATTTGCATGAGAGACCCGTGCTGATCACCGGGTGTGATTACGGTAATGGGATTTTATGAAAGATACAGTAAGCCAAGATCCTTGTCCTCAGGAGTTGGATTGCCAAGCTCAGGGTTAAGACAAAATGCCTAATTTCATGGTTGTAGGACAGTTGATACGCGTTCCGCCCCTTTGCCATTGACAATCCAACTTTGAGCTCAAATATCTTAATGCCAGGCTGTCCAACTTAAATAGTTTTTGTACCAATCGATAGAGAAAGACTTGGCGCACCTAATGCTGCAAAGAATATTTCAATTGAACAGCTCAACACCAAGATATTTGAGCTCAAAGTTGGATTGCAAAAGAGGCGGGGCAATCGTGAGATCTTTTATACGCGAGGCTTCTTTTGCCATTGGCAATCCAACTTTAAACCCAAATTTCTTGGTGTTGGACTGTTCAATTGAAATAGTTTTTGTAGCAATTGATAGAGAAAGACTTGGCGCATCCAATGATATCAAGAATAGTGAAATTGAACAGCCCAACACAAAGATATTTGAGCTTAAAGTTAGATTGCCGATGACAAAAGGGGCGGGGCGCGTCTAAAATGTCTGATAACTTAATTTCATTGAAATTGGTTATGGTAATAGATTCATTACTTAAAGATACAGTAAGCTTGTTACAGTAAGCTGTTTATTGTTGGCTGAATGTTATGGCTGAGCGTTTATTGCATGATAAACTGGCTGGCTGATTCTCCAGGTTTTCCAGACTTAGAACCAAAGCCAACAGGGTTGATAAAACAGCAAAAAGCTAGCCAAAAGCAAGTTTTAAGTTCTAGGGTTTTTGTTGAAATTCCTAGCCAAGACCAATTGAAAGTTTGACTTGGCTTTGTCTTGTCTTGATTGACTTTTTTTTGCCAATCCCAAGACCATGAGCATGCTTTGGCTTATAAAATCTAGCCCTAGATCAACGCTGGTATAGACTATGTTTATCAATTTAAGATCAATAGACTATGTATAGACTATTTATCAATTTTATATAAAAAAAACTCTTTAAAGCTCAAACCTTTTCAGGTTTTGCCTATGATGCAGCCATTGAACTTGCTAAACTTCAAGTTCCCGTTTTTGCTGCTTGTTACACTCAAGATGTAAGAAAACTGAATAGAAAATGCAAAATGATTTGTTAGGGAATGAGGAAAATCCAAGCCGAAGCTGAGAAAATTCATGGAGCTCGTTTGATGGCTCTTCCATTGGATGTAACTGATGATGAGAGTGTGGAAAGAATGGGACAAATTGTTGATAAGGAATGCAAACGCTATGGAGGTGAGCTATTGTAAACTTCCTGCTCAATTACCATACTCTTATGTATCTTGGCAAAAATGTGCCTTTGCTTCTTAATACAGAACTCAATTGGTTATCGAATTCTTGGCCATCAATCATTTCCAGGCCTTTGGGCGGTGATCAACAGTGCTGGAGTGGCTCTGAATTTGTTCATTGACGAGTTTCTCACATGTGAAGACTATTACAAGACAATGGACACGAATCTCTATGGCCTCAAACGCGTTGTAAATAGGGTTGCCAAGCTCATTAAACAGAAGAAGTTTGTTTTAATAAATACAAGCTAAAACCTTTACAAATTCAGTTACTTTGATAGGAAGCCAAGCTCTGACTCTGGCCTGTTTGGCCAGGCGTCCTACGATAGGAAGAGAGCTTATATTTAACCGCTTAATACGCTTAATAGCGAAATACAACAAAACTGGACTTATTGCGGGTAAAATAGGCTTCAAGGTAAGGTTTGAAGCCAAGTTCTGACTCTGGCCTGTCTGGCCAGGCGTCTTACGGTACTTGTTCTTTGTACAGTACTCTTTCTCACAGCATTTTTAAACCTACCGTAAATACTGTAATAGTACCCCACCCCCCTTGTACAGTCGCCAAAGCTTTTTAGTATTTCATTTTTTTCAAAGCGCCCGTACTTTCAAAAAATGCGTCTTTGGTATCAAAAAATAGCTGAAATTCAGGGCTATTTTTTGATACCTAAGCGCGCATTGTAGCATAAACCAGTGTCGAGAAAAACTCGTCCAAAGCTAGACTGCGCAACACTCCGCACCGTCATTATGGGGGTGGAGTACTATTACAGTATTTACGGTAAGCCTTTTAAATCGTTATTGCTTTCAATCCTTTGTTTCCTTGCTTGCTTTGCTCCTTTGCTTTCAAATCGACTCTCAAAGTCCCTGGGTAAGGACAAGAGCTGGACCACCAGAAGTAAGGACAAGACCTGAACCTGAACTCTTTCTTGTCTGGCCTTCCTTGCAGCTTAACCCGATAAAATTCCTTAAGTCTCTCCCTATTCCCAGTCGAGTTAATTTCCTTAGCTTTGACAAACTAGAAAAGATCTCTTAAAGTGAAATTCTCAAGAGTTTCAGAGGCCGAGTGGTTAATGTAACCTCAATCCTGGCGAGGTGTCCTGTGGCTGGAATTGGGCCTTATGTGATCTCGAAACATGCAGCCGGGGCATACACAGATGTTATCAGGTTGAAATCGATTCTAACTCATTCATTCTTCTTCTCAGAAAAGAACTTGCCATGTTTGGCGTGAAAGTGATCACAATTGAGCCGGGATTCTTTCGAACGAACATGAGCGATCTTGATCGAATCGCTAAAGAGAATTGGGGAGTGCGTTTCAAATTTGCACAGTTGCTTTCAATTTTTGCTATTAGGTCTGGGATCGAACAAAATCTGAGATAAAAGATGAATATGGATATGACTTTGTGAAGACAGGTTTAAATCGGAAAAGATCTCAAGGAAAACCTTTCAGCAATCGACAATCAAGCACTGATGATGAAGATGGTTAAATCTGAGACGACTACAAGAGGTTTATTCTTAACAACAACTTATCAAGAATACATTTGTTCACACGAATATTGTGGTACAAACAATACAAAAGTACAGCCTCTAGCACCCAATCCTAAGCCCTAAATATAGAGGAAAAAAGTCCACTAAAGAAGGGAAAAAGAGCCACTAATCCAGCAGGATTGAACCCCTCCCGACTAAGCTACATGGCTCTTAGCCAGTCGGCCATGACGGTCAAAACCAAAACATTCTAGTTGTGCATGCCTACGTGAAATCTGTGACCTCAGTCTACGCGCGTCGTCGCTACAAGGTCGGCTTCGACACCTGGTTTTTGTAGGTTTTCTTGGTGCTTTCATTTTATTCATTTACCTTAATTCTTGAAGCCATACAGCCAGAATTGACAACTTTAAACTAATTGCATTCAACAATTGTAGAGCCTAGCCTATCTTTGGAACAACAGAGCTCATCAGATCAGAACATAGATCAATGCAAAAAGAAATTCATTGCTTGATAAAGCATCAAATATGTAGCTTTGCTCAATTCATTCATTTTTAAACCAGATTTGTTAGGCTTTACTACAGAATGACGGCGAAAAGTCGAAGTCGAAGTCGAAGAGAAGTTGAAAGTGGAAAACTTTTGGAAAAGTTGCTGGCAAACGTCTGACTTATTACCAAAATGTCAAGTGTTATATAGAAAAAGAAAGCCCTTTATCTTGACATCATTTATCTATAAAGAACTTTCCGATTCGAATTATACAACTCTTTTTATAAGCTCTTGAATGAGCTCAAGTTGGCCTCTCTTCAGCGATCCATGACACTTTTTGACACACAATATTCTTATCTAGAAAGACATTCCTTCAATCAAACTTGTGGTATTTTACTTTATAAGTATTATTTAACAAAAATATAACGCTAAAAAAGCTTATACAGCAAGATCTTCTTGTGAAATGGATATTCGAAAATCCATTTCCTTTTTTTGCGGAGTTTTCAAATAAATCCAGGAATCAACTCCAAATTTGGCTATTATTTTTATTGTTATTTTCTCACGAAAGAAATATCGAGAAAAATTTTTAATAAGAAAAGTTATTAAGAAAAGTGTCATGGCAGATCGCTGGAGAGAGGCCAACTTGAGCTCATTCAAGTCCTTATAAAATAAGTTGCATAATTCGAATCGGGAATTTCTTCATAGATAAATGATGTCAAGATAAAGGGCTTTCTTTTTCTATATAACACTTGACATTTTGATAATAAGTCAAACGTTTGCCTTATGCTTAAAGTCTTGGCTTCTTGGCTGGCCCTGTTTGGCTTGGCTACAGGTCTATCTGGGCCTACTGAAAAAGTATCTGGGTTTGTCAGAAGCTACTTGGTCAAAAAGTATCTGGTCCAGGCTTTCCTGGCTTGTCAGGCTTTAGATTTTCATGCTTTAGATGACATCTGTTCACTTTTCTAAAGTTCCAGGCCAGTTGTTGCCTTCAGAATCCAAAAAGCTAGATCTTAGCTAGATCTTAGCTTTAATTGGATGGATTTGAACTGAATATTTTTGTAACTGAATGCTTTACAGACCTTATAGTAACCTTTCTAGATGGCATCCGATGAGCCTCTTGCCCACGAATCTCCAGGACATCATCTTCTACTATATGTCTCTTGCAATCGGCGGCCCTCCACCCGCTTCCCTCCTTCCACATTGTTCTCATTGTAAACTCAAAGAGAACACAGATCAAGAAAATATCATTTAAATGTTATTGTATTTAAATGATCTTAGTTTGGATATGATTTGATTCTAAACAAATTGGCTTAGCTACTTTCTAGTTGCGATTCATGATTTCAGCTTTTTTTTATTTTTAATGGGATAGAAAGAATAAATTTATCAATTTGAAAACTTATGTGTGTGTACCTTTCGTGTATCTCGTAAGAAAAAACGGCATCTGGCAAACGGCCCCCACATGTAGCCGACAAAGACACAGAGACGGTTTAATTACCCAGGTTTGAGGTTAGCATTAACTCCAGAGCCCGGCCTATAATGTGGCGGGAAATATAGTTCCCTCTAGTTTTTCCCGCGGGAATGACTTCTCGTTCCTGTCCCTTTATGATGCCATAATTTCTCGGGAAAATTCTCCCGGGAAAAGTTTCCCGTGGGAAAGATGATGGCGTAAGAAATTTGGTTTTGTTTTGGTTTGGATTTCCCGCGGCATTATGACCCGGGCTCAGGATTTGGTTCTTTTTCTCGATAGATTTGGTTCCTTTTCTCTATAGATTTGGTTCCTTGTCTCTACAGATTTGGTACCTTTTCTCTACAGATTTGGTTTCTTTTCTCTACAAATTTGGTTCCTTTTCTCCAAAGATTTGGTTCCTTTTCTTCCTGCAAAAAGTGTGTGACAAAAAATCTTGCACAGTTTGAAGATTGAAAGTGGGAGAAGTTTGCTGATCGGAAACTTCTTTTCTTTTTCAGTCTTAAAGTAAAAGAGTGAGGGTGAAAAATAAATAAAACAATTTTTTTCTGAAGAAAAGATACGAGCTTTTTCGTTTCTTTCAAACATTTGATATCGAAGGAAAAATTGGACCAATCCAGTGAGCCGAATGCTGGGTGGTCCAAAGTAGATCTCTTATTTTCTAAAAGACAAATATTTTGAGAAAACTACCATACTAAAGCTGACATTTTGCCTTTGATCAGTTCAATTTTTGGAATTTCAATGTGAGATCACAAGGATCAGTTAATGATACAAAAATTGGGCTGATCCAATCGAAACTGACAAATGGATTACGGTAGTTTTCTTAGTTTTCTTAGAAAGCGCCAAAATTCCAATTTTTCTTGTGAAACTTTAAAAATTTTCAGAGTTTTCAGTTCCTATTTTTCTTAGCCTTCATTTTGCGATAACTTTGATGAAAGAGAATGTTATTAAGCTAGAAAAATCTCTTGGGTGGTCCCAATCGATCATCGTTACCGAGAAAACTGGGTTTTTGTTGTGAAACAACTAGACAAGTGCTCAATCAAAACATTGCAGTTTTTCGATCTATTTTCCTGATCCAAAAGATTCCTGATGTCATTTTTGTGATATAAAAAGGCATAACAGCTGCTAAACTTTGCTATTTAATCAATTTGAATGCCAATTTGTACTTAGTGCTTAAAATTCGAAAAAAACAATTTCTGGTGCACAGGATTCCTCATTTTTCACCCAGAGTTTAAAGGAAAATGAAGCATTCAATGCGTTAGAAAGGTTCAATTTTTGAGCACAAGTACACCAAATAAAAAACAGCCAATTTTATTTCTGAAATCTTTCTTCGAAAACATCATTTTTGTCACGTGAAAATCTCAGGCTTCACTTTTTTCTTTGATCTTAAATTTTTCCCGAGAGCAATGAAACAATTTGAAATCATAAAATTAGAAAAAATCCCCTCTACATCTGACCGTTTTTTTAATGCTAACTTGACTTTTCTCTTGAAAAATTGGTTCACGATGAACGGGACAAAGACTATAAGTTACAATCTGTATATAAAAGAGCAGTATCTGTTCGTCTGTTCGTCTGTCCGTCTTTCCATCCGTCCGTCCGTCTGTCCCTCCGTCTGTCTGTCCATCTGTCTGTCCATCTGTCCATCAGTCCGCCTGTCCGCCTGTCCGCCTGTCCATCCGTCCGTCCGTCCGTCTGTCTGTCCGTCCATCCGTCCGCAACTTTCATCTAGAGAACGGGAGGAGCTAGAGCTCCAAAAACAACAACCTTATAGGTTTTCAGGGTTTAAATACAAAAGGTTGGTTCTGGCGAGCTCCGGAATAAGCCAAGAGCAAGACCAGAGCCTGAGCTTGAAATCAGAGCAATATCTGGCTTCTGGCCTAGAACTGTCTATTCTGTTTGCCCTTGAAAATCTTGATTTTCCTAATTTACACGTTTGCATCGTCAAAATCATTTTTGAACCTTTACACTAATTTTTCTCTTTTTCCCACTTTTCCCCATTCTCGAAACTCACCTGATCTTTTCCTCACAGATCAAAATTAAAAGAGAAAATTGTTTTTTTTGCTCAAGTTTTCCCAAAAAATTCCTTATGGATTAGAGTTTTGAGAAATAGAAAAGATGCGAAACGGCGATAATGTCTCGAGAAATTTTCATCTCACGAAAAGGAGGTGCCAATTGATGTCGAGTGACATGAAAGAAAGGTTTTCGCTCAAAAATCAGCTCATGAAAGTTTGACTTTTCTTCGAATTGCACTTTGTCCTAGATTAGATTTTAAACAAGTTCAATTTTCATCAACAGAATCGTTTTGAATCAACCAATCTTGGTCCATTCCCAGCTCAAACCCATAGTGACGAGGTGTTCTTTGTACGCGCCCACAATCGCCCTTCATCTGGCACACATCCCCGATAGATACCCCTTCCCTCCTCAAAGTTCCTATAGCTTCTGTCCAATGTGTCGCCTTAAACCGCCTCGTCAAAGCCCTGAAACCATCGCCAACCGCTGAAGTGGGCCTCAACCAGCAAGTGCCCGGCCTTAACGATGGTGTTCAATGTGTGGTCATTTTTGTGCTCTTTCGTGGCACACGAACCTCAAGGCTACTGGGTGTATGACCGAATGTGCTTGCCGATGCTGATAACCTCGCCCTTGTTGTCTCCAACCACGATCAAGTCATTGATGTGTTAGATGCGACCACCGAAGTTGCTGACTGGGCTGGCCTCAAATTCAATGCCAAGAACTGTCCCACCCTTCTTATTGGCTTAATCTCCGGTACAAGTTTCATTGGACTCATTGAGATTGATCAATTTTTGGCACTGTTTGTAAAAGCTTGCTTCTCGCTATACAGCGTCGGCTCGCTATTGCACTTACTGGCGCATACCCCCAGTGATGGGGGAACAAAAAAGTACAAGAAAAGGAAAGATTGTTAATAATATCAGAATTGGGTTGACTTCCACGAATATTCGCAGCCGATCCGTTCCACGTTGAATTCTGGAATTTTTTCAATAGAAACTGTCTTTCTTTCATTTTCAATGATACGATTTCCCATATTTATTTTCAACTTTATTTTACTTTATTTTACTTTTAAATACTCCATTTTAGATGTTAGCCTTATTATTCCTCTTCATTTTCTTGTATCTCAGTTTTCTTTTCATTCGTTCTCGTTTGGAAGCCGAGACGGTGACTGGATTGTGGAATCGAGCTGTTTTTGTGACTGGATGTGATTGTGGTGGGTCATTCAAAATCGATATCACAGAGTTGACATAACTAGAGATTAGATTAGCCAATTACTGACTTAAAATCATCTAGTTTTCAGGGTTCGGTCATGACATTGCCATTCGACTCGCCAAAATGGGAATGCCCGTCTTTGCAGGATGTCTCACGCAAGAGGTGAAAACATTTAATGGTTGAATAGATTTAATTAAAAATAATTTGACAACAAGCTAAAGATCTAGCGCTTTTTATTTGTAACAAATTGTTTAGTACTGTAGTACAAATTGGCTAGAGTACTGTAGAAATCTTAGAGATCTTCAGGGTAATGTGAAAACTTTAGATACTATATAAATCGTAGAGATCCTACAATACGAGATACTGTAATTTGAGCTCTTTAAAGTCTTTAAGGAATACAATAGACTTCTTTGACACTTTAAGCATCTTACAATAAGCTGAAGGGGTACTGTAGAAAGACTTAGACAACAAAAGAATAAAGACATAATAAGGGAATTTTTTAGGGCCAAAAACGGCTTGAAACTGAGATCTCAAATATTCCTGGTGCAAAGCTTCGGGCAATCGAATGTGACGTCACAAATGATGAAAGTGTCGAGAAAATGGGGAAAATCGTTGACACTGAATGCCAACAATATGGAGGTGGATAGATCAGGGAATTTTCGGGAATTTTCGATGTCAACATCTATAAGTGTCCAACGAAAATGCCATATTTTCTCTAATTTTCACTCCAATCTTTTTGTCTTTCCTTTCAAACGATAGAAAATGAAATTCTCTGTCAATTAATATTAAAATCAAAAAGATCGGAGTGAAATCGGTCGAGATATGCCATTTTTCCGTTGTACGCCTATTGCCGTTGAGGAAGCTTTTAGGGGTAGGCTAATTTTCGCAATTTTTTTTTGCGCAATTAGGTCGTTTGCGCAACTTGCCATAACTTTATTCTTAGTAAGCCAATCTTTATGATTTTGGTTTCATTTTGTAGATCTCAATAAGTGCAACAAAATGAAACCAAAATAATAAAGATTGGTCTACTTAGAAGAAAGTTATGGCGAGTTGCGCAAATGACCCAGTTGCGCAAAAAAAATTGCGGAAATTAGCCTACCCTTGATTTTTTTGTCATTTGCCCGGATTGTTTTTAGTGCTTTGCGATCTTCTCAATCATTTTCCACACATTTGCACAAATTTCTCTGCATTAGTTACCCCACCACAACCATTCGATCGTTGTGCTTGTTCATCGCGCGCAATATCTTGCCCCCCTCACATCGACCCACTTAGAAGAAAGTTATGGCGAGTTGCGCAAACGACCCAGTTGATGAGATGCGCAAAAAAAATTGCGGAAATTAGCCTACCCGATTTTTTTGAAGAAATAAAAGAACAGTTCAACAGAGGTCTAACAAAATAAAGAAAAACTAGTTTAACAGTAATCCTTTTCACCATTAGTCTTATTTAGGTCTATGGGCGGTGATCAACAACGCCGGAGTTGGCCATGGAGTGTTTCTCGACGATTTTCTTCAACCTGATGATTATCGCTTGACGATGGAGGTGAATTTATATGGAATGATTCGAGTGGTGCACCGATTGAGAAGACTCGTCAAACAGAAAAAGTTAGTTAAATCGAATTTGTGATGCTCAAAAATCGTAGCACACCCGATTTCTATTTCAAGCGAAAATAATAACTGACAAAGAAATGACCCGGCCCAAAGTTCAGAATTCGGGTAGAGTTGGACATGCTGGTTCTGAATTTGCTGAAACTAGCTGCAAACTAGACATGGACACTATAAACTACAAAAATGACGAACTATCACATTATAAACACTTCTAACTTTCTTCAAATCAACTGGATTGAAATGATCTATAGCTCAAAAAAAATAGAGAATCTCAAGAGCTTTCGAGTGAAACAAAGCATACCCAAAAGAGCAATGCTAAAGAAAGCTACGGTGGTTTGTAGCCCTGAGTCGAAACGTGCAGTCGAACCGATTGAGTCAGGCTATAAACCACTGTAACTTTCTTTAGCATTGCTCTTTTGGGCCTGATTTAGTCTATTCGAAAGCTCTTGAGATTCTCTATTTTTTTGAGCTATAGATCATATCAATTCAGTTGATTTGAAGAAAGTTAGAAGCGTTTGTAGTTCACGTTTGTAGTTTGTAGTGCTCATGTCTACTGTAAGCAGCCAATGGCAAGATATTTGCATAAAAATTGAGTGAATTTATTAGAGGGTAATCAGCGGAAAGGGTTTTAACCAAAACCAAAAAACCGGTGAACTTCTGGTATGTTTCAAAGCCTTTAACTTGCCTCGAGTTCAAATCCTGCTCTTGTCGAACTTTTGTAGAAACAATTTCGCTTTCAAGAACTAGGACCAGTCAAAACTTGTTCAAAGTTTAGTGAAACTTTCCCGTCGAACAAACTCACCCGATTCCCGTTATATCTAGAGGTATAACTCCCATTAATCCACCCAAAATGCTTGAGTCCCAAATTACTGACGTTTACTGGGATTTTGATGGTTTATATTGAAATAATATGGGAGAAAATCAGTCTTAGATATTTAATATCCTAAAGAATATCTCAACCAGTGCACCAAAATCGATTTTCAGAGGCCGAATCGTGAACGTGACTTCAATTCTCGGCCGCTGTCCGGTCACTTGCATCGGTCCATACATCATCTCAAAGCATGCGGCCAACGCGTATACAGAAGTCATCAGGTAAATTGAGAGTACTGTATTCGACTACGAATCCCTATCCACCATTTAGAAAAGAGCTCTCGATTTTCGGGGTCGACGTGGTGAACATCGAGCCGGGTTTTGTCAAGACCACTCTTACAAATGTTGATCGGATTAAGAAAGGAAATGAACATGTACTGTAGAAAAGATTTAATATAAATATAAAAATAGTTATCTATTGTAAAAATAGTTATCATATTGTGCTCTAAAATGAACTCTTTTAGTTATGGAATCGAGCCTGCACCGAGTTGAAAGACGAATACGGCTATGAGTTTTTCCAGAAAGGTTTATTCTTTATTATAATTGTTGGCGAGTTTATTGACCCTTTGTGCCAAGAAAAGAGAATCGAATTGGCTTTGGTTTTTGCATATGATAGCTTTTCACAATGAAAAGACTCATTTTTCAAAAGTCTCGGATTTCCTCGAAGAACAGAATCATTTATTTTAGCATGTGAAAACCAGGCAATGATGATCAACAGTCTTGGCGCTGAGAAGACAGATAATGGTGAGAAAGCACTTGTAACACGAGACTTGTATTGTATTTTTGTAAAGCACTTTACATTTTCATAGCTACTATCAACTTTTTGAATGGCTTAATCAAGAATTTCAGTCATGGACGCTTACACTAAGGCGGTCACTTCAGCCTACCCCCGTCGCCGCTACAAAGTCGGATGGGATACACTGTTCTTGTGAGTGCTTTTTTTCTAAGCGCTGGTTAATGCTAAAAATGGTTAATGGGGTCCATACCCACTCAAACGGTTTGCTGAATAAACTTAAATCTATTCTTATTGGCTTAAATCTCTAAATTTGGTTCCCTATCTCTTTAAACTTGGTGCCCTATCTCAACAAGTTTAGTTCCCTATCTCTTTAAATTTGGTTCCCTAACTCTTGAAATTTGCTTCCCTATCTCTCTATTTCCTCTAATAGTAGTGCCCACGACTATTTTTTCAACCCCCTCCTGGACCGCAATACTATTAGAGAGAATACGGTAATCTCCGGTACGATTTCTTTTGAAATCATCTAGATTAATCAATTTTTGGAACGGGTACGGTTTGTAGAAGCTTGCTTCTCGCCGTACAGCGTCGGCCCGCTATTGCACTTACTAGCGGGATCGGCGCACACCCCCAGTGATGGGGGAACAAAATAAAGAACGAAAAACAAAGCTCAAAGCGACAGTCTTCCTTTGTTTTATCGAAACCTACAAGCAAACCATCATCTTTACTCTACCGGCGAAAAGCAAAAAGCTTACGACACTCGGGATTCCCAAGCCGTCTCCGATCCAAGTACTAACCGAGCCCAACGTTGCTTAACTTGGCAGATCGGACGGGATGCCGTGTTTTCAACGTGGTATGGTCGTAAGCGAGTGCTGGGCGGTGAAAGACGGTTGAAATAGTTGAAAGGAAAGAAAGAAAGAGAAAGCGATCCTTTATCACCGAAGAGACGCGAGACGACGCGACTGTGTGCACCTTTTTGTGTGTCTCGTAGGAAAAAGCGGCTACTGGCCTACGACCTCTACACATAGGGCGACAGAGATCTCCCACTTCGGTTTAATTACCCAAGTTTGAGGTTAGCATTAACCCCAAGACCTTGTAAAAGTGTCTTGAGAAAATTTTGGAACGCATCCCCGTGAAGGGGATGCACAAGGTAAGTGCGAAAGTTGATAGTGAAGCGGAGAAGCTTTCGTGCTGTTCGTTTCATTTTTACTGACTTGTTGCGATAAAACTAAATCTGTTCTTATCGGCTTAATCTCCGGTACGAGTTCTATTGAACTCATCGAGATTAATCAATTTTTTGAACGGGTACGGTTTGTAGAAGCTTGCTTCTCGCCGTACAGCGTCGACCTGCTATTGCACTTACTGGCAGGATTGGCGCACCCCCGCAGCGATGGGGGAAGTATTCAAAATAGATGGAGAAGCGAGATCTTTTCAAGCTTGACTGTATATTAAATTTAAGTTGAAAAACAGAAAGACTTCAAGAAAACCATCATTTACTCCCAAAAACCCATCATTTACTTAATCGACAAAGTGCACTTAAGTCAAACTACTACTCAAGTCGATAAATGAAACGTGAATGACAAAAAAAACCATATTGGGTTTTTTTAGGTGGCATCCACTCACATTCCTTCCCACAAACGTTCAAGATGCAATCTTTTGTCTTCTCGATAGAGCAGCCGGTGCTCCAACCCCCGCCAGAATCCAAATGGAAAAGAGCAAACTTTAGAAAAACTTGTAATAAGATTTTATTCAATAAACAGAACATTCACAAGTGTTTCGAAGCTGGCAAAGATTTGATGGCGATGAGATTTTTGTGTGCTGAATCTTCTTGTGATCCTTGCGCCAAACGGGTGAGAATTTTTCGCGCAAGTTGAGATGCTCCGCCCGGGTTGCTAAATGAATCTCTTTTTGATTGATGATTTTTTTATTTTGACTTTTGAGCTGTTAATTTGAAGTAGCGAGAACTCGAGAGTTCCGCTAAAAGGTGGATAAAAGGTGGATATTTTAGCTCAAAGTTAGATTGCCAATGGAGGCGTCAAACCGACGTCAAACGGTCAAATGGAAATTGTAAAGCGCAATCTTTTCTCGGGTTTTGTTCGTTTGACTTAATTATTATCTCATCCAATGAAAAATCAAGCTAAGTAAATCAAAATTAAGTAGAATCAATAAAATCGAATAGAAGGATTACTGTATCTTTTCCATTTGATCGCCTTTTAGAAATGTGAGTGTTTTTGCTAAATTTTGATTTGATTGCAAATTTCACGGTCGCAGGAAAATAATCGTATTTTATTAGACACTTTTAACTTCCCCGGCAGCTTATCGCACATTTCATAAACACCTCCATTAGCAATCTAAGTTTAAGCTCAAATATCTTTGTGTTGAGCTGTCCAATTTCAATATTCTTGGTACCATTAGATGCGCCAAGCCTTTCTCTATCGACTGGTACAAAAACTATTTAAATTAAACAGCCCAACACCAAGAAATTTGAGCTCAAAGTTGCATTTCCAATGGCAAAGAGGGCGGGACCTCGCGTATAAAAGACCCCACAATCTTCCAGGCACGTAACTCTTTTGTCAGTCTTACACAAGTTTGATATTGGCTTTTTCGAAAAAGACAAGGCATTTAAGTCGGTCAAATCGTTAAGCAACTGATTCAGTCTTAAATTTTTCTTATTTTTGAGATCCGAAACCCCACCTCAACGTATTCATCTCTTCAGCATTGACCATCTCCGCCTCATCGCCTGCATCGAGTCCACCGTCTCGTAGACGGGTTTTCAGCTTCCTAAAATTAGCTAACTTAATTCCAAATTTCTTTCTTCTTTGTCTTTTCGATTTCTTCTTGAACAAAAGAAGGCGCTGATGGATCAGTGATAAAAAAATCTGCCTTATAAGCAGAAAGTCGAGGGTTCTATTCCCCCTAGTTTCCGAATTCTTTACCATTTCTTTACTTTATTAAACGTTTCCGATAGCGATGCAAATATCTTGCCATTGGCTGTTTACAGTATGCATGAGCACTAGAAACTACAAACGTAAACTACAAACGCTTCTAACTTTCTTCAAATCTACCGGATTGACATGATCTATAGCTCAAAAAATAGAGAATCTCAAGAGCTTTCGAATGAAACAAGGCACACCCAAAAAGAGCAATGCTAAAGAAAGTGAACTAATTTGTTCACTTCATACTTGATTTCCGTTTCATAGTGCAGAATGAGAGTTGCGACTTGTGTGTGAATTGTGGCCAATTCCCAGTCGAGACGGGTCAATTCATTGAATGCTTCGGAAAGAGCGGCTGGCTGAATGAATTGAAAGCTGAATTGAAAATATTGCACTGAATTCCAAAATACTTATACAATGACATACAAGCTTATACAAAATGGCGTAACGCTCAGCTTACTGGTAAAAAGGCGTGAATCTTTTCCATTTACATCAAAGTATACTTTGTGCTCAAAAGTGTGGCGCTTTCCGGCGCACTCAATGTCCTTTCCTTTTGCAAATGTAATTTTGTACGTTTTCTGAATCTAGAGATACAATACGACAAAATGCTTTTGCATTTAGTGTACTTTTGCAAACACAAACTTTCTAATGTACTTGATTTTTTGGGACTATGAGAATACCGCACCACCATTTGCGCACACGAACAAAAGCGTCTTTTGCGCACGTATTTTTGTGCACAAGTCTTTTGCGCAACGTCATTTGCGCAAGTGACGTTTTTGTTCGTGTGTTCGTGTGCGCAAATGACTTGCGCGCAAAAGACGCTTTTGTTTGTGTGCGCAAATGACTTGTGCGCAAAAGACGCTTTTGTTCGTGCGCGCAAAAGTCTTGTGCGCAAAAGCCGCTTTTGTTCGTGTGCGCAAAAGACGCTTTTGTTCGTGCGCGCAAATGGTGGTGCGGTATTGTCCTAGTCCCAACTTTTCGCTTTTCGCATTAGAACAAACTTTTCTGAGTTTTTGTAAGAAAATGTGCAAAAAAACAGCTGGATTTCCGTTTTTTTGAACACAAAGTACACATGAAAAATGAAAATTCATTGAAAATTAGAAATATTAACTGATTTTAAGTTTAAGACTATAAATCACCAAAAAAATGATCTCAAAACTTACATCATTCGACATTTGCCCATTGTTCAACCGATTCGGCACAAACGGTGCCATTAGCTTTTTGAATTTCAAAAATTTAGAGAATTCCAGTTTCTTATAAATTCAAGAAATGAATTTTTCCAAATGTTTTCCAATAAATAAATTTCTTTTCGTTGCCCGAAATCCCCTCTTTATCCTCTGAGGAAAAATGAACGGAAATCTGAGGGGATTTCCCAGGATTTTTGTAATCCGAAAAGAGAAATGGGCAAATGCCATGAATTGCGCTCGGACTTAAGCAAAAAAAAGGATTCTATTCTGAGAAAGATTTCTCGGATTTCCCATGTTTACGTGAAGCTCATAACTTTTCGGTGTTAGTCTAATCCCCGCAAAAGTTCCCCCGAAATGTCTTTTGATCAAAAAGCTTTAAGCAAACAATCATTTACTCTATCGGCAAAAAGCTGCGACACTAGACACAAGCCGTGCCCGATCCAAGTACTAACCGAGCCCATCATTGCTTAACTTGGGATGAACGGACGAGATGCCGTGTTTTCAACGTGGTATGGTCGTAAGCGAGTGCTGGGCGGTGAGACGGATAAAATAGTAAAAGAAAGAGAGATCCTTTATCACCGAAGAGACGCGAGACGACGCGACTGTGTGCACTTTTCGTGTGTCTCGTAGGAAAAAGCGGCTACTGGCCTACGTCCGCTACTCATAACGCGACAGAGATCTCCCACTCCGGTTTAATTACCCAAGTTTGAGGTTAGCATTAACCCCAAGACCTTGTAAAAGTGTCTTGAGAAAATTTTGGAACGCATCCCCGTGAAGGGGATGTACAATGCTAATGTGAGAATTGCACGTGAAGTGGAGAAGCTTTCATGTTGGTCGTTTCATTTTGTTATCAATTCAGTTTGTTTCATTTTGATTTACTTTTAGTAAAGTAGTGGCGCAGAATCACAGAATCAAAATCTTGAAAATAAGCCTTGTTGTAATGGTGAAATCGAGTCAAAACACATTTTTTGGGGTTTTCAGGATGAGGCTTTTGGGAATTCTCTAAAGGCTCAAGTTCAAAAGTCAAGCTTTCCAGACCATATGGTGACCACATTGAAATTGGCAGGCTGGTTTCAAGACCAAATTTGCTTTCCGATGTTCATTTTATTCAAATTGTTGCCTTCGAAAACAAGCAGGTCTTCCGTATTACTTTACTCAAAGATAAACCGTTTATTTTTATACAATCAGATACATAATTAGATGTCTACAAAAGAATTCACAAAAAAACGAGATCTGGAATTTTTACCTGATAGACGAAACCCGATGATGTGTAAAGCGAGTCCTAACTTTAAAAGAAAAATGTTAGAAAATTAACAACCTTCAAACGAAAACAAAGAGTATAAATCTAGAACAAACAACAATCGGAATAACAATCAAGATAAAAAAAAAGATTTTTAAAGGTAAGGCGCCCATCCGAGATACATTCTTGAAAGAAGCGTTTCATCTGCTGCCATCTCGATTAAACGATCCACTTGGCCTTCAACGATCATCGGTGAGGTTTGTCTGAAAGAAGCACCATGCTTTTATTGTGATTTTTGGGATCTTGAAAGATTTTTTCTAATGAAAGATACTGACTCGGACTGATGTTGATTCTTCATACTAATGATGTGCCCCTCAAGACGTCTTGTGATCAGAGTAACGCTATTCTTTGCATGCCGCTCTTTTGCCTCACTTGACATCGCATCAATCTAGAGCACAAAAATTATCGTAAGAACCTTGCCCAATCACCCACTTCGCTTGGCAAGAATTGTTTGCTGGAATGCGACTGCCGATTGGCTCTTTCAGCCGCCTTGAAAAATTCGAGAAGTGGATCGTGGACAAATGTAGCTATTACCGTCAACAGAGTTTCCTGAAACAACTAAAATTTCAATTAGATTTGGACAAGTACCTTGTTTTCACGCATTACGCTCAGCGTTGCCTCACAACTTTTTCTAAAAGCTCCTTCAACACCGGTGGGTCCAAGTCCATCGACCATATTCCGAGTTAAACGGAATGGCACAACCTAAATTAAGAATGAAAAAAGTTTGCAAGAAAAACAAACCTCGGGAACGGGTAATTGCTCCCCCTTGTTGAAAATCAGGTTGTAATCAACGTGAACCGTCACACCATCAATTTTGTCAATGAGGATATTTTCTGCATGTCTAAAATTGATATGCTCGCCCATAAACCAAAACGATTTACCTATCGCCCAAACCCATCACAAATCCAATCATACTCATCACAGCTGTCGAGCGTACGTACGCCAATCGTGCGGAATGCCAAGAACATGGGTCATTAAAAGTTTGCCTAAAATCAAGTTAAAGCAGGTAGACTTTTGATTACTAACCGAAACCAGTCAGAAAGCACAAGTGGATGAGCTGGATAGTAGCTTTCACGCATTATTTTCAAACTTTGTTCATCGTTCATTCGAGTAAATCTGAACAATTTTAATGGTGCCTAAAAGTCAAACTTACTCTGTAAAATCCAGTTTGACGGCTGGTGGATCTTTTCCAAACTTTCCGGGAAACATAGAAGTAAGGACACGACGATAAGTCTCCAAATTTGGCAACCATTCCATAATTCCACCTTCACTCTAAAAAAATTGGTCTTTTAAGGATGCTAAGGTTAAAAACTCACCGCCAGAGGCACCACGGTGTACGTTTTGACCATCAGCTGTCGACGACGAGCGACTGGATTGCGTTTCATTAAACAATTCATCATCTAAAGTCGTGGGAATAAAATCAGCGCCAAAAGGACAAGATGTATACCCTGTTGACATCATTAAATCGTGCATCTTTTCGCAATTCGTCGCCACCTTTTGCTAATAAATCATATCTGAATTACAAATAAACGCTTTTATCGTCCATACTATTTACCGTTTGCCATCCATTCCGCGAACCGTAAACTTTTTAGGCTTAGCCATGGAAGCGAAAACCTAAAGCTCCAATTTCGATTTTTTAAACCCCAAAAACTTACCATGTACTCATCGACAATTTCATGAATAAACACTTCATCGGGGACCTCAAATGATGAATTCAACGCATTTTGACCTTGTGGTTGACTATTGAAGCAGACTTGAGACATTGACAACGGCTGAATAAAATGCAATATCAGGCTGCATAGCGGCCCTTACCTTTGTATTATAAGCGTAGTCTACTGCACGCATCATTAACTCAGTATAAGGAATCATAATCTAAAATCTCCGTTGTTTTGAATTCTTTAGCAAGCAATTACCTCCACTTTTCGCGGCCCTTCCCCCATTCGGCCTGAATCGATCCTCCGAACCTTTGATTTTATTCCGAATCTTTCTGCGACCAGATTCCGTGCTAAATTTATAAAAATATTTCAAACTCAAAACAAATATCTCACCCAAATGCATCGAATTGATCTTTCCACTACCAAAAAAATTGACAAGCTCTGGGAAATCCTTCTTTAGACTCAGATTTGAGCCGGTTCGAGAGACTGATTTATCGGCAAAGCTAAATCAAAGATTCTTGAAAGTAAAGCTACACTTACTTCAGAAGCAAATAAGAAACGTAATCGTATTGATCGATGAGTGTATTTAATTCAGGGTTCGCCGCTCGTATAACGTCGAAAACTTGGTGGATCCTTCAAATAAGTATTTAATAGTATATTGAGCTGTCACGTATCACAAAACCCACCTTTCAAGCCGCATTCTCATGAATTTCTGTTTTTCTTCCATTACAGCATCCGGCACACCCTTTGCTTGTGGTACATTCGTTGGTTTATCGGGACGATATACAGCAACAGATTGCCAAAGACATTGATGAGGAAACGCTCTGATCAATCCAGATAGAATTTCCTAAAATATAACGTTGTAAAGGATAAACATAAGATAACCTTTAGCAATTCAAAAACGCTGTTTGAAGGATGACAAATGCGGGAGATTAGTTGCGGAAATGATTCAAAAAACAAAACCGCATCGACAGTTTGCCAAACCTTCCTCATCGCATTACATAGCTAAACAATACTTTAAAGTCATGATCTAAAGTCCTGCTCACCGAATCAATCGTTCCGTTGATGTTTTTCGCAATCGATGGCTCAGTTTCTTTTGTTAAAAGTTTATGCTAAAATTGAATAGTTAAAACAATTAGTTTTTTATGTGGACCTTATTTTCGGTGTAATCAAGCCAAATCGTCAACATTCTCGGCATTACGTGTAAAGAGTGTGACTTTCCATTTCGTAAGACATCCATATACGTTGTAAGCACATAAGCCACCACTTGGTCTGCTCGAGTTGTCTGCATGAGATCTGTGACAATAAGAATTAAGTAAATACTTACCGTCGTATTGCTAGTCAAGCTCTTCTCAAGAAGACAGTCGTAAAAAGTGGCAATACTAAAAATTGTATCGATTATTTTTAAAAAACTGATTACCGATAAGAGAGATCTTCACTTCTTACATTCAAATGTCGTAAACATGCGTAAGTGGGATAAAGGTCGTTGTAATCTCTATTACCCGCCTTTTGATTGTATTCGGCTGCCATGAGTTGAATCTAAAAATATCGTGTTTTTCTATACAATATTCTTAAAAGACCTCTGCATATTGAACTCGAATCTCTTTTGGAATAGACTTCAGAGTTTGATGCGCTGCTTGCGCCGCTTGCTTAACCTCGTCATGTCGTTTTGCCTAAAATAACGATTCAAAACTTCCAAAACGGAATCGACCTTTAGAGTGTTGAAAAAGTTATGGAGTTCGCTAAATCTTGGTCCCACGAGCATTCTATTTAATACCGAAATCGATGCAGGAGCGGAATTCTGAAAGTAAAGCATTTAACTAAAATATTAAAGCTAAATACAACCTTTTGAAAAAGGAATCTCGCCTCCTCAGCTCCCAACTCAAAATCGCAAGTGTTGAGGGCTTTTGCTTCGCACAGAAAAGTCCATGCAATTTGAAGATGGCCAGCTTGCCGTGCCAAACGTGAGCTCTGGATTCGCAAAAAAAAATGGCAAACCCGATTGAAAAATCTTACTTGGAGTAATAGCTGGGACCTCTGTGGAGCATATGATTTGACGTCTGCAAGCAACTCCCTTCTTACACGTAATATTGGTTCAAGGAACGATGTATCTTGTATCACCATCTCCGATCTTTTCTAAAAACAGAAATCGGATAGAGCCATGGCTAAATGTTATACCTGCCACTTTTTCAGCGTATTATCAAGTGACCCCAATTGAACACCGGGAGGTGCAGAGGAAAATTCTTCAATCTCATCTAGGATGTGTAATCTAAAGAAACGAAGACATGCCAAGTTGATCCACCAAACCTCGTAAAATATTTATATGATTGTGCGTACGCATCCGCATCCTCCATTGTCATTGTAATTAAACCATCAATAACTCTAGAGAATTGTCGAAATACGAGAGTGTTGCAGTTAACTCACCTTTGTCGACTAGCAAGAATGCACTCCTCGATCAAATTTTTGTCTCTTTTACGGACAGCGTGTAAGGCAATAGCACAAGAAGCACCCCATGAAGTATCTCGATTATCGGATAATGGTTGAAACTCCTATAAGATTCGTTTTAATTTCAAGTAAACCGTCTTACTTCAATACGATCTCCTAATTTGTCCCAATCTCTAAGGTACCAGGCGGCCTCCATTTGGATGTCTTCAATGGCGCGAAGAGTCAAACTAGTACCATCTCAAGAAATGTGTTAAGAGTAATTTTCTTGAACGTTCAATACCAGAAGAGTAGCGTCGATACATCTCTTCAGCTGTTGTGAGCGCAAGCATAGGTTGATTCAAACTAATAAGGGATCTCAATAGGCGATACTAAAAAGTCACTAAATAAGTCGTCATAGTTCAGTCTGCTTACTTCTTTATTTTCCGTACATTGTTCGTAAAGTGGCATGGCTTCACTGTAATCTCCAATAGCTTCACAAGCAAGAATCTAAAATAATTTAATTTACTTTATAAGTAAAGTTCGCGACCGTTTCATCAGGAGTCGGTGAGTTCTTTTTGCGAATAGTCTCAAATGATCCTTGTACCCCATCCACATCTCCCAAGGCAGTGTAAATCCGCTAAAATTCTTAATTTAACTTTGTCTAAACAAGAGTAGCACCTCGAGAACGTAGAAAGAATGTCGTTCGGTTTTTGGGTCTACTCCATCGATGGCATACTGTTCACACCATCTCAGCGCACGTAACAAACATCCCGATCTAAAAACAACGTAATAATAGGGTGGTAGAGTGAAGAACAGCTTACTTTTCAGCCGCCAAAACGACAAGAAATTCTCCGTCCTTTGTTTTCAATCCAACAATTTTTGAGTGAACTTGAGTAGCCAAATTGAGTACCTAAAATTTTTTTGAAAAGTTTTGCTTCGAAATTACTTTGTCATTCTCCTTGTTCGCTTGCTTCTTTCTTCTCAGAATAAATGCCTCTAGTGAGTCAAGAACGCAGAATACCTTAATAATGATTGTAAGCATAAATAATTTCTTTATATCTCTCACAGCATTAGCGGTCATTCGTTGCCAGCCAATAACTTCCGTCGCCAGTCGTATACATAACTCCATTTCGTCAGCAAACTGAAAGCAACCTAGTTAGTCAGTTAGTCATACCTAGTTGCTTAACATAATTGTGGTAATACACTACCTTCTTGACGACTTCGAAATTTAACTCAATGATCAATTGAATAATAGCGTGAGGTAGAAGCTCGCACAAAAAGGGGGCATCATAACATGCAGCTATATTGCGCAAATTCTTGAAGACGTCACACAAAAGAGGAGCCGAAATCTGAAGTAGGACATTCAGGCTAATAGACAAAACAACTGACGTATGATATTCCCATCAAAAAGCAATCGAGTAACCATTGATTATAACTGGTCGAGTTCGTAACAAGAGGTCTAAAACAACAATTTTTAATGAGCACCTAGCTTCATTGAAGATTAAACGCACGTCTCAAATACGATGTCTTGACTGGAGCCTTGTGGTGATAACCTTGTGCTAATTAGAGGCTCAAGATCTTGTTGGCACTGTGAATTATTGACTTTTCCTAGCACATCCATCTAAATCAAAACTTAAATGTAAATGCTTAACAAAAACTCACTCCGCCCATTGTTTTCAGTAGCTTCTGCAACGAATATTCTGCGCTGTTGATCAATTCCGGATCGACAATCGTTGAATAAACTCGCCAGCAACGTTCGAGCAAATAAATGAAGAACTAAACAACAAGTACCCTTAAAACAAGCACCACCATTTTACTTGACTGTTCGGATCATCCACAAAAACGTTTTGAGTCCCGGGTTGTTTTGTTCTAAATAGATGTTGTTCATACATTTGTAAGCACTAACACCTGTGAGCCATACGGTGTGCCAAAGAGAGCCCAACTCTTCCAGGATCTACAGCACCAATACGCCCCAAACAACGAGCTGCCAATTCACGCACATCCGCTTGTCCGCAATTACGAATCGTATACAACAAAGCACGAACCTAAATAAAATAGACTCATTTAAAAAAAAATGAATACCAGCAAGCCAATGGAAGTTTCATCAGTGAGGGGGTCGTCTAGATTTGATAGAATCCTTTGCAGTACAACTCGTCCCACCACGTCACACTCGGCTTCCAACATTTTCGCTGCATCTGAAAAAAGAAAAATGTTCCCAATCGGCATTTTTATAATTGACAGCTTACCATTTATTATCGTCTCCATCGGCGCCTCACTGGAGCCAAGGACCTTTTGTTTCAGGTACTTTGTCATCGCCGTTGGTTTATCCGTTTTATGCCAAGCAAGTACGCGAGCCGTCGGTAGAAGTTCTTCCCTAAAAAGTGGCTTGTCTAGAAAAAAAATTCACAAAACCGTCTCTCTGTGTCGCCATTTATATCTTCGAATAAAGCCTCGAGAATCTCATGTGATTCGTCTTCCAAACAAAGTGGCTCGACTGCAATCAAAATTTGAGGCAGTAAAACTGAACGCTGTCTAAAAATATTTCCACTATGGGGTTAACGCATGCCTCTTACCGAGCAGGCAGTGCCCTTGCAAATTCACACCAGATTTTCCAGCACATCTGTCCCAGCGTAGCCGTTGCGGCTCTCAAAAGGATGAGTACCTTTGTCGCTATCTAAAATTGGACTTTAGCGAATGATTACAAAAACAAACCCTTTCGAGAAAATTTTTATCAATTGTTCGAATAATAATCGCAATTGATTTCAACATTGTTTCTCGTAATTCATAATTTTCCTCGTCTTCGAGATGACGGCGAAAAGACAACAAAAATCCAAGATATTCACAACTAAAGTGTTATGACTTCAAGCTTATCTTTCAGTTTACTTGTAGCGTAGAATTTCCGTCAATGTGCTAGAAGAATCGGCTTTTCCTTTTTCACGAGGCTCTTGAGACCCAGGCAAAGTCTTTTGAAGTAACTTGGAGACCTAAGCGATCCAGTGTAAACGTATAGTGCATAGTTGTTACCTCTTCCGGATTGTAAGCCAGCGAACGAAGAAGGCTGTAAACAATTGTATAACGTCTACTTGCCCAAACACTCTCCTAAACATACAGTAACCGTTTATACAACAAATTAATCTTACAATATCAACATTTGCATATGCCAGGTACACGGCTCTCAGTCGATCCATAGTACTCTTGAACAACGCACAACGTTCAAAGCGTTTTTCGAAAATAGAGGGAAGTATCTAAACTCATTCTTGAAGGATCGCTTTTTAAAGTTACCTCGATTAAAAGAGTAGCTCTTGGCTTATTTACGCCGAGACAGATGCGATTTAAGCAAAGAAAGATATCCTCCTAAAATTTTGATTGAAATGCCAAATAGGAGTTGTTACTTACTCGATGATAGGTATCGACATCACAAACAAGTAGAAGATACGAAGCCACGTGCACAGCTGCAAAATTAAGAAAACTGAAAACATATAAATTTCAACAAGTTCAAACTAAAGCTCACTTCCTGGCATTGAATTTAAAGACAAGACTGATGTTGTCAATTAGAACATCCACGCTTTTTTCGGCTTGAATTGCTGCTTCTTCCGGGGAACTATTTTCCTCCTTAACAATTATTCGTTTATTCAGCAAAGTTCAAATGCTTACAGCACAAGTTCTGGCGGTAAAAGCCAAAGTTCGTAGTTCCTCGGCCAGCTCTTTGCAAATCTCCTAAATTTAGCCATTATGTGCTAAACAAATTTTGTTACCCTAGAATTCCGCAAGAAAAGAGATTGAATCGATATCTTTTCATTTTCCGCTCGTTCTTGTATCATTTGCATCACCAGAGTATCAATTTGCTGAATGAATATAACAAATAGTGTTAAACTATTGTTTTATACTTTTGTCTCCATCGAGTCTTCATCGAGTCGCATCCATCGTGTCAGAAAGCGAATAAAACAAAATTGAGCCAAAGACTTGTTTTGAGAAAATATCGCGCCAGTGTACAAATACGGAGCAAACGAGGAGTAGACTTTGCTTGATGGTAGAGCTATCTGATTCATCTAAAAAACCAGATTAAACATAACAATAGAATCGTTTCTTACATTAGGAGTCTTCAAAGCATCTCGTATCGCATTCTCCAGTTTCTCCCCTTCTTTGCCAGCTTTCAAGTTCGAGACGATGAATTTAAAGCTGACCCTAAAATTAACGGAAATGAGTTAAAATTTAAGCACTTGCAAAAATTCGTTGCGAACTTCATCGTCCGAGTCTTTAATACAAGTGAATGATGCAAAAATAATGTCATCAGGGATTTTGTAATTGTGAGACAGACAACTCCATAAAAGAGCACACGCTTCTAAATAAGCTATCAAACTTATTAAAACAGAAACGGAAACCTTTCCGTAAATGAACTAAATGATCGACACTTTGTTTGAGAGCTTCTTCGGTGAATATTTTTAATAAGGCATTTGAAAGTTTCTTTGGGAGCTCCATCATAGTTGCCGAAGAGTTGTTTCTAGCTTCACTGTTCGTGCAAATCTTGCAAGTAATCGTTGAGCCACGCACCTATTTAGTCTCTTATTAAAAAGTTGCAAACGCGTTACCTCAGCCGATGAATCAGAAGCACATATTGCTTTAGCGAATGCCGCAAAAATTCCCGAGAGAAATTGGATATCGGATTTCTAAAAATCTTCATCATTTTGAAGTCCAAAAAGATACATACCGCCAATAGAGCTTCTGGAATTGCATTCGTCAGCACTTGAAAGAGTGGGCCGTGAGTTGAGCGAGTTATGAGATCGGCAAATGAATTAAGGGCCGTTTCAACCTATAATAAACCACGATGTTGCTTGAACATTTTTGAAATTACAATCGATGGCTCATGTGAGTGAAGTGCTGTTTCAAAAACTTGACGCCTCCACTCCGTCCATCCCTCAACATGAATTCGGCAAATGGATTTCAAGGTGCGGCATAGAATCTTTTCATCTAAGATTTAAAGAGAATTTTTTGTAATTGTAAGCTCTTCTACCAATATATTGTCGACAAATTTTCGCTTGTGATTCAGCAACTTTTAAGAGGGGGAGTTTTCTTTTATGTTGCTGTTCCGTTGAAAGATCGATAATCTGAAAAGATCTGTATGTATTGCAGAACTCTTTTCACGTACTTTTAGCCACGGAATTGATAACAAGGCCAGATTCATTCCGACTTCCTCATTAATCTTCGAAGCCACATCTGCGAGATATTCGAACATCTTTAGTAGAAATTGGCCAGTTTTTGCCGGTGATGAGAGTTTAACTGCGATAGCAACCCACTAAAGCTTTTATTTTTTGGCTAAACCTTTAAGGAATTTACATGTTCAATATTTGCACGAGAAGGTAAAAAGTGTTTCAACAATTCCTCATTTCCCACTTTATTCGGCTTTATAGCAGATGCCAATGTGTGCCGAAGAGCTAAAAAATAGTCAGATAAGTCAATTAACAAATTGCAGGTACCAATAACTTCGTCGTACATAAGTTTGCTCTCAAAGTTTTGAGCTCTTTTTTGGTATAATTGAAACAACCATTCCGTGTTCACTCTAAAGTACAGTATAACCATAACTTTCGTTAGAAGTAAATGCACCTATTGGACTTCACATGATCAATCATTAGTACGTAGTGAAGCATTGAGCGTAATCGTCGAACAACGAGTCCAGTGTATCCATTCTTTGTCGTGTCCAAGCAATGCTTTATCAATTCCTAAAAGAACATAATTGAACGTTCACAGAATACAAACCTTGGTTGTGGTTGTAAACGCAACAGCCGTTTCATCATCAAAACAAGCTTCGTCTTCTATGGCCGACAGGATTTTTTGAATAAAACGCAATATATCAAAAAGAGCGGTCACTAAAAGTACTTAATATTATCATTTGCCACAATTAGTCACTAACCTTCTGCTGGATCACATTCAACATTTTCGAGTGAAATTTCAACAAGATGGCCAATTCTTTCGCCCCAATCAAATAGATCCCCAACACCTAACTCGTCCTTGTACTTGGACTTGTTGCTAAGGACTGTGGATGTAAAAACCTAAACACCAATTTAAATTATAGAATCACGATTTTTTACTTTTAGGAATGAAACAGCATTTCTTCGTAATTCAAGCGGTGGATCTTTACAGTTTTCCAATAATTCAATGTAGATGCTAAAGATAAAATTTATGTTATAAATTTGTTTAGCTACCTGCAACCCGCATCTAATGCAAATCCGCATGTCCAAGGGCGCCATATGCCAGTATGAAAAAGCTTTTGCATTGTGTCGAGGCAACTCTAAAATCACTCGACATTAAACTCAGTAGATTATTGTAATACCGTTAAAACTTTTGCATCTATTGGGGTAGCTTCTAAGGCGTTAGCGCACAACTCGTAAAGGCAACACCAGAGACCAGTCACCTGATTGTCATCGAATGCTTCAAGACCGACAGATCCATGCCGAATCAGCTCTCTAAATACATTTTCAACTCAATGATTCAAATTCAGCAACTTACACCAAAGATAAGCAAACTATTTGCTTGGCACCAGAATCTTCGTCGACTGAGACCCGCACTTTGAACTCCGGATTTATTCTGTCCGAATCATCGTCATGAAAGACCAGATAAGAAGTGTCTTCAGCCATCACATCTTAATCACAAATAATTATCATCTTACATCAAACATACCGATCAGTTGGCGAACAATATAAAGAGCTAACTCTTTTTGTGCCTCTTCAGATAGAAGTCGAAAGATGAGAAGCATCGATTGCTAAAGAAGATACCATTAACTGACTACCTATAATGTTTTCCAACCTGTATCACATCGCCCATCCTTTCATTGACAAGTTGATTTGTTTTGGCCGCCAATAACTTGATTATCACCCATTTTATCAAATCTAAATTTAAAGTGCATCGGCCATGATAAATAGGAAACCAACCCGAGTTCAAAGCTCGTATTCTGTGAACAATTTGAAAGCAGTGAGTAATGTAATTTAAGTTGAGGACATGATTTCCGAAGGTTTCATCGCAATCAGGAGAACTAAAACAAGTAAGATCGAATAGACCGTTTACTATTTTACTTACTTAACTAATTGTTCGCCATACCGTGTGTTTACCAATGCACGTAGATCTCGAATCATCTCGGCTCGTATTCTAAAATAATCAACGTTGACATTAAATTAAGCCAAATAACCTCAATTTTTCCTTATCATCCGTCGCTGGGTCTTTCAGTTTCCTCAAATTGGTCATCACTTTTGTCCCTAGCGCATAGCTCTCGCTCTCATCCTCTTCGTCTGGTGAATCATCTGCCGCTTAAAAATTAAATTTAGCAAAAGCAAGTAGTTTTTCCACAAGTAAAAATATTGAAAAGTTACCCGTTTTGGCTCGCTTCGAAGGATGATTTTCGATGTCCTCAGATATAGCTCTCTTCATTTACTAAAACAAAGTTCGTGATAATGTTGAAAAATATCGAGAGGAAAATCGAAACTTTTGAACGATGAATAAAGATTCAAAACCTAATCACTTACGCGAGCTAAAGTGCCTTTTCAAAAACTGCAATCGGGGGAAAAAACTGCTGAAACGGCGGAAAAAGACGGAACGCTGCATTGAACTTTTTTATTCGATAAACTACAGACTATCGAATATTGTCCGAAAACCTTAAAAAATTGACTATTGGACCAACTAGGTGAACACCACTATAACAAATATATTTTTCACTGAAAGTGAAGTAAAATAAAGCGAATTGATAACGAACAGCACGAACAGCTTTTCGCACTTTAAATTTTAACATTCATTTTGCATCCCCTTTACTGGGACTCGTTCCAAAATTTTCCCGAAATACTTTTTGCAAGGTCTTGGGGTTAAGGCTAACCTCAAATTTGGATAATTAAACCGAAATGTGTCGTCTCTGTCACCCTATCTGTGGAGGCTGTGTGCCAGATGCCGTTTTTCCTTACGCACACAAAAGATTTCTGATTACCGTAAATATTCTAATAGAAGAGCCCACTATAGGAGCGTCGCGTAGTCTAAGTTTACTCTCAAACAAACGCTCATACCTCAGCACCAGTACGTTTGTTTCTGCGCGTTTAGGTATCAAATTAAAGTAGAGAGGGTGGGTGATTTTTTTGAGATATAACACTTATTTTTAGCATTAACCAGCGCTTACTAGTTAGAACAAAATGATTGAAAAGTAGCAAAATAGCCGATTTTTCATCATTTTTTCTAAGCGCTGGTTAATGCTAAAAATATGTGTTATATCTCAAAAAATCACCCATCTTCTCTACTTTAATTTGATACCTACCGTAATATATGTAATAGTAGCACCTGTAATAGTATTAAGGTAAGCCCGCAGAAACAAATGTCTGGCGTCGAGATATGAGCGGTTCTTTGAGTATAAACTTAGACTACGCGACGCTCCTATAGGAGGTTCTTCTATTAGAATATTTACGTTATTTTGGGAAACTTTTATGAAGATTAGACGGACATTATAAGTTTTTATGACTTTAAGAGTTTTATGACTAGAGTCGACTATTCTTCTCTTGCAATAAAATCGTGCAAAATCATAATCTCGATCTAGATCTCGATGTGATATTTCGAGAAATCGGAGACGCAAAAAGCAAAACGATCGTAGTTGATCTTCAAAAATCGTCTCTCCTTGTCTTTTATCTGTTTTTTCCTTCTTTTTCTTTGTGAGTGCCACCAGATGTGCCCCCGCGAAATATCGGAAATCGAGGTTGTGAAAAAGAAAGGAAAGAAAAGGAAAAGAGATAAAAGAGACAAAGATCACTCATTCTGTTTCTCTCAACACAGACAGACAGACAGGCAGGTCCATTCTCTGTACACAAACTCAAATTTCCATCTTTCCAGATTTTGTCAATGTATCCAAATACAAACTGGCACTCGAAACACTAAAAAACTTTTCTGAAGAGCTAATTTTCATTGTTCCTTACCGTTTTTTTTACATTTGAAGCTTTGATTTGCATTTTGAACGCTGATTTTCATTCAAATCTTTTTTTTTTATTTGTGCCTTAGTCCCCATGTGTGTACTTTTTGTGTTTCTCGTAGGAAAAACGGCAACTGGCACACGGTTCACATATATAGGGCGACAGAGATTTGCCATTTCGGTTTAATTACCCAAGTTTGACAAGTTTGAGGTTAGCATTAACTCCAAGACTCCGTAAAAGGTCACCGCAAAAGAATGCATAAAATTTGAACTTTGAAAGTTTAATCCCTCATCCACCGATCTAATTGGGGTTTCTAAATGTGTAAATTGATTTTTGAGATCTTTCAATAGCGACAATCTGTGACTTGCTTAATTGTTGAACAAAAATGTTTAATTACGTGCATTAGAAAGGATACGTTTACAAGCTCAAAAACACATCAAGATACAACTAAAATACGAAGATCAAAACCCGTATTTGCCTACTTTCATAACTAAATTTCTATCTGAAAAGCTTTTGATCCAAAATTGTAAAGCTGTTAAAGTTGTTAAAGTTGTTGCTTTTCACCAAAAATTCCTCAATGTTTGCTTACACTACAATTTTTCAATTTTTTTTTTTGATAAATCCATTCAATAAATATTTTCCTCATTGTATTTTTTCAAAAAAAAGCTTTAAGGTCAATATTTTGTGCGTCTAAATGTAAATTCCAATATCTTTTGGCTAATTCCCAGGGGAATTTGTTCCATTTATTTACTGGCAAAAGAAAAAAAAGCCCATTTTCATTTAGTGACTTAAATATCGATAGATTTTTTTTCTAAATAAGTTAATAAAATAGATATTTCAAAATTTAAAATCCGATTTCCCAACTATTTTACGTGCTCCATTTGAGTGTACTTTGTGCTCAAAAGTGCAAAAACACCCTTTCTTGAGCACCCAATCCGTCCTTTTTCTTCACCTTGAAATTCTATTGAATCTAAAAGAATTGAATACACCAGGAGATGTGTGTCTACATTTTTCAGCTCAAAGCACGCACATTAATCGTTTCTTCATCAATCAAATAGCTTTTCCAAGTTTTTCATAGCACTAATAATAAATTTTTACACTTTTCCAACTAACAAATGACTTTGTGGTGAGCGTTCATGCAAAGTTGCACGCAACAATAGCTCTATTTGTCTATTTGCTTAGGTCAAACAGTCTTGTCTTGCTCTTCAATGCGTTCACGTTCAAATTTTGGGTGTTCTATGTAAAGTCTGTTTCTATCTTTCAATTTATCTTAAAGTTTAGACATTCATGGTGGACACTTTTGTGAATAATGTTGAAAAAATAACAGCACGAAAGCTTTCGACTTTCAATTTTCACATTTATTACGGGAACGCGTTCCAAAATTTCGCAAGACTTGGGGAGCCATTTTAACTCCGCCCCTTCGATCAGTTTGCCGTTGGCAACTAGGAATTTTGCTCGTGCCTTGACCGGTTTTGTTTGAAAAACGTTGAATTTGATTTCATTCGATAGAAGATTTGATTTGGAGTCGAATCAAGGAAATTCAATGTAATTCTATAGAAAATTAATTTCGAATCAACCGAAAGCAAATTCAACGTTTTTCAAATAATCCCGGCTAGGGTACGAGGAAAATAAGTGTATTGCCAACGGCAAATAGATTGATGGAGGAGCGGAATCAACATGCCCAGTCCGGGGTCTTGCGAAACTCAAACTTGGGTAATTGAACCGAAACGGGGCCTCTCTATCGCCCTATCCCTGGGGACCGTGTGCCAGCTGCCGTTTTTTCCTACGAGACACACAAAAGATACGCACAAAGCGGTGTCTAGTGAACACTAGTCGTTAAATTTCTATTTTAACAAAACGTGTCAATCCTCAATTTTTTTCATTCAAACTTCCGTGTTGACTACAGTTTTTTTGTCTCAAAACTCACAACTGATAAGTGATTAAGCGGAAAATTTCGATGGATCTAATGGATTTTTCAGCTTCTGAACAAAAATCACTACTTTTTTTTTGGATAAAATTAAAATCTATTTCCCAGGCAGTGTGTTTATTTTAGAGAAAAACTATGAAACTGTTCCTTTCCCATCGCTTTTTTTCCCTTTGCCAACACTGCAACTTTTCAACAAAGCTTTTCAAAGATTGTCTGGAATTTTTTTTAAATTCAGCAAATGCTCATTAAGTATATCTTGCTATTTTTGGGTAAAAGTTTACAGTTTATAAGTTTACAAGTTCTTAAAATTGTAAACACATACTTTCTGGGGCATTGAATCATTCGATTTATTGGGTTGGTGAATTGAAAACTGCGGGCTATTGTCATATGTGACAGTTTGAGCACTTTCTTCAAAAGAAACCTATTTTGGTGTCAATGGGAAAGTTGTAGAGAATCAAAAATCAAGCTTATATCCAAATTTTCAGAACGATTCAAAAACTGGTTTTCAAGAAATGCCAAATTTACACAAAAGAAATGCCAAATTTTCACAAAACTTGCATTTTAAGCGAAACTACTAAGTGTATCTTTTTGGAAATTTGGCTATAAGCCTAATTTTTGATTCTCCACAACTTTTCTATTGACACCAAAATGGGTTTCTTTCGAAGAAAGTGCTCAAACTGAGACATCTCCAGTCCTCCATTTTTGAGTCTCACACTTGTCTCACACACAAACCAAAATCCTACTAAGAAAGAGGAATCCACAACTTGCCTGTAAAATGGGCAGAAGTCGTCAATAATAATAGAAATTATTTGGAATGAATTCATGGTTTTATGTTGAATAAATTTTAGTTCCAAGTTCGGCAGTTTTCAATTCACCAACCCAATACTTGCGAAATCAAGTTTTTAAGAAATTCATTGTGCCAGAAAGATTGTGCCACTTTAAAGTCAGCCATTCTCTTATACTTTAACTAAGCTTATATTCATTTAGCTATATTTTACTGTACCTCTTGAATTAAACATATTATTGAGCTTATATAAATGCAAGATATCGATTAGATTAAAGCTATATAGATTAGATTAAAAATAGAGACAAGATTACGAAAGTTTACTGAAGGTGACACGCTTTAGAAAGCGCATTAAGAGAAACACACTTTAATTCGTTGATAAGTATCAAATTTTATCAAAATTTTTATTTTAGAGAACTTTTGTCAGTTTTGAGGTAATTTTTGTCGAATTCAAAGCTAAAAACATGACCGCTTCAGTTAGGAAATTAGTTTTTCTTGTTTTCAACAAAAATTTCTCAAAGCTTTTCCATCTATTGACGATTTCTCTTTCAAAAAACTTTTTATCAGCAGTTTCTAATGAAAGAAAATCTTTTCCTTTTCAGCATCAATCAGCTTTTCACTAATCAGCTATTTACAATTCTTAATCATTTCGAAAAATTTCCCATTTCCAATTCACTTCCTCGTTTTCTTTCCAGAGTCGATATGATCTTTGAAAGAAATTTCTAAAAGTGATCTTTTTTTTCGTTTTTGGCGCTCAAATGATTCATCGTAATCGTAAAATTGAAAAAAATTCTTTTTTTTGGTATATTTTTTTTCCAAATTTCAATGAAGGCATTTTCTTGGCGGTTTTGAAAAGCAAAATCGATGATTCAATCAAATGTTTTTCTTTGAAAGGCTGTAGAGACGTAGACGGGGTTTCGTGACTTTCAGTCTAACGGCCCAACCTCCTCGGGGCTACCCCCAATCAATTTCCGACCAAAGAATTAAATTTTTATAAAGATTTCAGGCTACAAAACTGTCTAAACAGTTTTTTTGAAAAACTTTAAAGGGCTCGAGATTTTTGCATTTTAGTGCAAAAGTTTGGATAAAACGAGTTTTTAGGCATGAATAATTGATTTTACAAAACAAAACTAACGTTATGGTTTTCAGAAAGTAGAGGAAATTTGACTATGGGGGCCAACCAACATAAAAAACGATTGGCCATCTAGTTTTCGATGGCCTAGATGGCCTTTCGATGGCCTAGATGGCCTTTCGATGGCCTAGATGGCCTTTCGATGGCCTAGATGGCCTTTCGATGGCCTAGATGGCCTTTCGATGGCCTAGATGGCCTTTCGATGGCCTAGATGGCCTTTCGATGGCCTAGATGGCCTTTCGATGGCCTAGATGGCCTTTCGATGGCCTAGATGGCCTTTCGATGGCCTAGATGGCCTTTCGATGGCCTAGATGGCCTTTCGATGGCCTAGATGGCCTTTCGATGGCCTAGATGGCCTTTCTGAATGGCCCAAATGGCCTTCCATTTCCTAGATGGCCTTTCGATGGCCTAGATGGCCTTTCGATGGCCTAGATGGCCTTTCGATGGCCTAGATGGCCTTTCGATGGCCTAGATGGCCTTTCGATGGCCTAGATGGCCTTTCGATGGCCTAGATGGCCTTTCGATGGCCTAGATGGCCTTTCGATGGCCTAGATGGCCTTTCGATGGCCTAGATGGCCTTTCGATGGCACTTAGACTAAAAAAGGCTTAATGACGTCAAAAACCGGATGAAAATCCAACAAAAACACCCATCTTTGAGCTCTTGAAAATTTGGGTATACTTGGTTTGGTTGACTTTTTGCATAAATCCTGTTATTCTGAGTGTTCAAACTCTGCTTGATGGTGAACACCTTCTTGTCAGTAAAAAGGATGTTCGTGTGATCGATGTCATTGAATCGAAGCATCGGTCCTTTAATCGATCTTCGTGGCCGGACTCTGAGCGGAATTGACCGGACTTCGCGCTTCTTTTTGGCATCGATTTTGAGAAATTGGGCTTTCACAAACTTGTAAGCTTTCATTTTCAAATGTTTTTTTCACGATTCGACTCACTAATCCTTCGAAAATCTTCAATTTCTTGGCCATTTATCGTTGAGATTGCATCGGGTTGTATCGGAGCTTCTTGAACCTTCTTGATTTTCTTCTTTGTTGTCACGGTAGCTTTTCGATCCGGCTCGATCGATCAGAAGTTGTTACAAGATCGACGAATTGTCTCGGTTTTGATTTTGCTTTTGATTTGATTTTTGATTTTGATCTCGGATCGATTTTGCCACCAGCAGCCTTCAAGAACTCTTAATTGACCGGACTCGGCTCCGAAAAAGCTCGATAATTGAAACTTGATAAGTAGATTTGCTCACCATACCTAAAAAAATTAATTTTAATGAGTAAATAACATTTTGAAAGACAGAATTTGCATAATAAACAAAAAAGAAATAGCAAAGATAGTCAACTCAAAAGTGCATAACAGCAAAGGAGGCTGGTTTGGGTAATTTTGAGGCAACCTGTACTGTAGCTAGGGCCCTGTACTGTAGCTAGGGCCCTGTACTGCAGCTAGGGCCCTGTACTGTAGCTAGGGCACGAAAAAGACCTTTTAGAGGGACTTTGAAGGGCCTTCTATTAGAATCTATAAGTTTTCTATTGCATTCTTCTATTAGAAACTTCTATTAGTATCTATTTTTTTGTATCTTTAGATAACCTTTGTGAATCATTCATAGAATCAAACGAAAAGTGGAGAGATTCCAATGTATTCACTTAAAACACGTTGATTTTGAAAGTTGAAACGTTTTAAAAAAACATCTCATTTAAGAAGAACATTCTCTAGTTTCAATCGAGCCAAAAATCTGTTTGCAATGAAAATTTAACAATTTTTATGTTGCTCACTTGTTATTTGATCCATCCCAAATGGACTCAAATCAATATTTTCCCCTTTTCATCTCTCTACTTATCTATATTTTAATCCATTCTCTCACCCAATAAAATCGAGCTCATTATTGTCCAAAAAGTTTCCTGAAAATTTTTTAGTTTTTCCAAAAACCGCTTGTCAAAACGGTCGATTCAATGCACAAAGCCATGATCTCCAACCTCGATTTTCTGTTGAAACATAGATCTCTCCAAAATAATCGCTTTTGCAAACAGAAATTGAAGTAATTTTTCGAATGATTTCTGATTTCATCTCTAAAAATTTCAGTTCCGGATTAAATGATCTCTTTTCGATGGCTTTGTGCATTGAATCAACCGTTTTGACAAGCGATTAGTCGACGGAAAAATCGAGAGAAAAGAGAAAAATGAGCATTGTGGGAAATGTCTAACATTGTCGGGGTCAAAACTCACTTTTCGGTAAGTGAAAAAGGGTTTTGTCACGTTTTTAGTAAATTTCTTATTTCTTTTCATTTGCTACTATTGGAAAAAGTAGTTGTTCCTCTTTTGAAATTCGGGAAATCTCAATGTTTTTGTAGAGATCTTTGCTTTGCACACCGTGTCGTCGTGTTCTTTGTGCGCCCGCATAATCGCCCTCCATCTGGTACATCTCCCCAATAGATACCCCCTCCTTCGCCGATCGTCTATCGCCTCTGGCCTCTGTCTAAGATCAATGTTTAGTCGCTTTCGTGCTCATTAGTGCGCTCATCCACTTCAAGATTGGTTACCCGTTGCGTGGCTGAACGCTCTGGCTTATGCTGATCCCCTCGTCATCTCCAACCACGATCAACTCACAAACCACGATATGCTAGCTGTAGCCACCTACGTTGCTGACTGGGCCGGCCTCAAATACAACGCCAAGAAGTGTGCGACCCTTGTTATCGGCCTAATCTCCGGTACGAGCTCTGGAATGGGTACGGTTTGTGGAAGCTTGTTTCTCGCCGTACACCATCGGGCCGCTATTGCATTTACTGGTGGAATCGGCGCACAAAAGACAAAGAAGAAAGAGAAGATTTTCAAGAGTTGAAGAGAAATACTGAAGATATTGAACAAGATGGATGTACTTTATGTTCAAAACGGGGAAACCCACCCTCTCTGGCGCACCCATTCGTCATTTTTCTTGAAGAAACCCTAAAAATGAAGGCTTCAGTGCGTCAAGGATGGGTCTTTTATTTTTACGCTCAAAGGAATTTTATGAATCTGAATTTTACGAATCTTATTGTACCGGACTCAAAATTTCACTAACAATAAGATTTTAAAAAGTGAACTTATCAAGTCAAAAGAAACGATCAATCTCATATTTTCAATTGTGGTGTCTATTTTGCACTTGTGTTCTGTTGAGTTTTGAAATTTGTATTACCCTTATCATACACTTCATCATACAACTTTCAAATCTATTTAGATCTTTTTGCATTCAATGGTTCAACATCAATTTCATTTTCATTTCCCCATGTCTTCCCAAATCTATTCACCAATTCCACTTCCAGTTTATGATCAAAAGATGTCGTTTCTTTCAAATAAATACCGTGCTCTTGTCGTCGGTGTCACTTTTCTTTGCCTCACTGCCATCAATTCGAACTATATTGTGGTCAATTTCACGATCATTTGTATGAGCGGAGATATGAGCGAAACGATCACACAACCAAATGGAGTCAGGTTTTGAGTGAAAAGATTTTCAAATTTGAAATTGTTTACAAAACTATAGGTATATTGATTTTTACCTCAATCTCTGTTCTTCAACAAAAGTTTTCTTTCAGAATGTGACCTCTCGATACGCCTATACCCCGGCACAGCAGAGTATGGGGTTGTGGGCGGTGGCGTTGGGCAGTGTGATTGGCACTTTCCCCTACAGTTGGGCTTTCATTCAATATGGAGCCAGGTTAGTGATCAAAATCAAAGTCAAACACTTAGCAAGGGTTGTTCTAGGCAAGGCTAGGGTCCAGAAGCTAGATCCTTGACCAAAGGTACTCTAGACCAAGGTCAGTTCCTGGCTGCAGACCTGGAAAGGCAGCCTGGCTTGAAGCCAGCCTGGCTAACCAAGCTTGAGCAAAGCAAAAACCTTCTGGCTTCTGGCCCACCAGAAACCAGCCTTAGACCTGGTCTGATCTTACCTGAACTGGCCTGGCTTTACCTAGGTACACAAAGAGTTCCTAGGACCACAAGAAGCTACTAGTTGTCCTCAAGAATGTCTTGAACTGTCTTGATTAGGTAACGACGTTAACTAATAAAATTTCCAATCTACAGTACTCTTTCAGATTCCCATTCCTTCTCGCGGGTCTCCTGTCAATGGGCGCCACTGCAGCCATCCCCTTGGCCGCTCACTTATCATTCATTGGTGTCCTTTTTCTGCGTTTTATCCAGGCTAGTACATTCTTGGCGTCAGTCTAGAATTTCTCATTTTTTCAGGGTGTCTCTTACGCAGCTGATTTCTCTGTATTGGGTGTAGTGACGGTGAAATGGGCCCCATTGGATGAGACGAGTATCTTCATCGCAATTATGACCTCATTTGTCACGTATTCGCCATTCATCACGAATCTTGTCTCGTCTTGGGTTAGCTGAAAATTAGTTGAAAATTGGTTACTACGAAAGCCAAATCGCTAGAGATAGGGTTGTTCTTTGTGCTCTAGTAAACAAAAACCTTTCTAGCACAGACAATGTATTTTTTGAGTCAACAAATCAAAATAAGAAAGCATTTAATGAGACAGAAAGAGTGCGTAGACATTTTTGAATTCAAACATAACCTTGTGCTTGGATTGTTACCTGCTACTTTGTGCTCTTAATAAACTCAACCTTTCTGGCGCACTCGATCCACAGAAATTTGACTTGTTTCTTGTTGAAATTAAAGGAATGTGTGCACCAGTAAAGGTGTGTTTCCAGAGAATGAAGGACGGGCTAAGGTCCAACGATTTCAACGATTTTATTCTTTAGTCTTGAGTCCCAAGTCTAAGACAATGCATGCTTATTTATAAAATAAAACAAATTTGTAAATGAAAAGGTAGAACTTTATTTGTACCATTGTTAACCAATGTTAACCAATTCCAGTTTTGTACCTCGTCACTTGGTTGGAAGTTCTCTTTCTATGCACATGCCGCTTTCACGGCCGTTTGCTTTGCTGGTGAGGGTTTTCTGATGAAATTTTTGATCAAATTCCATGTAATTTCAATTATTCAGTGCGATTTACAAATTAAAATGCAAATTTCAGCCTGGCTTGGCATTTACGGAGACGAGCCATCAAAGCACTCACGCGTGAAAAAGCAGGAGTTGTTGAAGATTCAAAAGGACAAGACAAAGGAACACTTGGAGGCGGATAACTTTGTGCCTTATAAGGTACAAAAAAAAGACGAATTATGTATAAGTTGCACGTATTCAGGCGATTCTCACCACTCCGACGGTGTACGCGATTTGGCTAAACGGTTTCGCTGAGATCACCACGATCACCGTTTTGCTCACCTACATGCCTCAATATTTTCATACGGTAAGCAACAAAAAAGTATAAAAGCTCAAAAAAAATGATAGACTTACTGCGAGATAAGTTGCAAAAATTGTGTTGTATTGTCGTGTCGAATATGTCGAGAGAATATTGTGTCAACTTGGACTTTTTTTTTTTGATCTGTTTTCGCACTCAGGTGTTCCTATGCGCAGATCACAACCTGCTTCCACATTTCTCTATCCCTTGCTATTGTCATCCAGTGTTTCCTAGCTTGATTGTTCCTGGTTCCAAGTCTTCGACTTGCTGGTGCTGGTGGTTGTTGCACTCTAGCCATCATTTCTCTGACCGTCTCTGCCACTCTTGTGCTCCACCTCGTTGCTGGTCTTCCGATGGGCCTCTTCTGGTCTCGTGGTAGCCACTCTGTGATCCGTATCGTCCATCTGTCGTCTGTTCTTCTGGCTACGTGGCCGGCCCATCTGAGTCTTTTTCTCTCGATCACTTCCACTGGATCTCTGAGTCCGGAGAGCTGGCGCATATCCGTACTTCTTAGGTCTTGGTCGAGCTGCGTCTTCCTATTGTACCCGAGCAGGTTCCTTTCAAGGGCTCGATGCGTCGTTCTCAGGGCTCGTTCAGCGGTCTGTGTCGTGGCCCAGGTCTCTGTCAACTTGAACTTGAACAAACCAATTCCTACTTTGCAAACTTGAACAAACTTGACCAAACCAATTCTTGAACCAACAACTTGAACAAATCAATTCCTACTTTGTAAACAGTCATAATGAAATTAGCTGCAAAATGCTAGAAGTTGCTTTCAAAGAAAAACAAAGCAAAAAGCTGGGATCGCCCACGGGATCAGGAATCGAACTCTGATCCTGTGGGAGAAAACTTATTACGCTATCCGTTAGGCCATCAAACTTATTACGCTATCCGTTAGGCCATACCTTGTTTCCGCTAGGAAGGAGCCTTTTAAAGTATCCGTTTTGACGCCAATTTTGAGTGAATTCGATTGAATTTTGACAGTCATGACAGTTTGAAAGTCATTTGACAGATTTTGATTTCAGATTCGGATTCCTCATACCTTATTCTATAAGGTGCACAGGATCAGGCTTCGGTTCGGACGTAGTGTTTAAAGCTCTCAAATCTATCATTCAAAATAATTAAGAGTTGGGATCATTTCATGGAAAAACTTTGTTTTTGCAATAATTTTTCTTTTTTGTGAAAAAGCCGGTTTTTTGACAATTTTAAAGGTTTTGAACTTACGGCTCTATCTAAATTTCTGTAAATGCATTTCCGTTAGACTTTTTAATGAATTGATATATAGTTATCCTTCTTTTTTTAAATCTTCAATTTTGGGAAGCTAACTCTATTTTGACCACACTAAACTTGTCCCTAAAGTGACTCGATCCCTTTTTTGGTCACTCGCATTTCGCCCAGCGAAATTTCTTCAATGGTTCGATCAATTGAAACACGTTTTAGCCTATTTTGTAGAGGAGATTTACACCTTTCAAATAGTTTATAACAGTTATAACAGTTTATAACATCGATATCAGGTTTCTATCATTGGAAATTTATGAAAATGTTGAAATCCGCATTTCTTATGCATGTACTTAATAGTAATAGGGATAACTAATTAACTAACTAACTAACTAACTAACTAATTAAACTAATTAACTAATTAAACTAATTAACTATTAACTAATATTAACTAATAGAATTAGAACTCGAATTTTGCAGTATTTACATAAATTACTTTAAAGTTTTTCATAAATTACTCAAGAAAAGCTAGTTTGTAGGCTGATAGTGAGGGAATTTTTGCTTCAATTCAATAGATTTCAATAGAGTTAGGAACTGAACACATAGAAAGCCTGCAAAAGCCTAAATCTAGGGTCAGTGTCAAAAGCAATGTCAAAATAATTGTTGGTAAAAAGGGAAAGAGTGAAAAGTTTTCCTGTTTATTGTTTAGATCTTTGTTTTTAAGTTTCAGGGGAGTGGGACAAATGTGACCTTTTTTTGCGCACCCGGACATTTGCGCACCTTTTTTTCCGCACCTTGCCCATTAGCGCACCTTTTTTCGCGTTTTAAAAAAGCTCTAAAAAGCTAATATTAACCAATTTCTATTCCAAATGTTGTTTTTCTAGGTAATTTGAGGGTGTCGAATTCAAATTTTGACATAACAGAGCGTGTGGAACCCATTTGAAAGACAAAACGGCTAGATCAAATTACAGAAAATTGTCGATCTTTCTCTTTGTATAACTCCGTCCGTTTGTTTCCACAAGCTCTGATATGTCAAAATTTCGATTCTACGCCCTAAAATTACCTAGAAAAACAAATTTTGGAATAGAAATTCGTTAATATTAGCTTTTTAGAGCTTTTTTAAAACGCGAAAAAAGGTGCGCAAATGTCCGGGTGCGCAAAAAAAGGTCGCATTTGTCCCACTCCCAGTTTCAGAGATCTATTTTTTAAAAATTCAGGTTCTCGGCTTCGACGTGACCTCGACGGGTATCCTCTCCGCGGTAGCTGCGCTCATTCACGCTCCTATCAAGTACATCTCCGGGTATTGCAGTGACAAAATAACGTGAGTTTTTTTAAGCAAAAATTTACATACAGACTCCCAATGTTTCTAGTCAAAAACAAATTTAATATACAAAAGATTCTCTCTCAAATAAATCCCATTTTCTCTTTCACTTTTCGGTAGAAGTCGAGAATTTTGTCGAAAGTTGACTCTTGAGCTTTTGAGCTGAAATTTTTGATTACAAGTTTTGAAACTACTGAGGTACTGAGGTACTGAGGTAAGTACTGAGGTACTGAGGTAAGTACTGAGGTACTGAGGTAAGTACTGAGGGCACATAGCACAAATCTGATTGCAGATTCGGATTCCTCGTACCCGAAAACCCCCAAGTACAAAGTTTCAGCTTTCTAGCTCACTTTGTTGTAATTTTACGTTAACGTAATTTGTATTGTCGCCTAGCCGTTTTATTTTTTGTATATAGTGGATTGATATTCAAATTTGGAATTATATGTAAATTTATCGTACCTTTCATCCTTGACAAGCCAACTCTTCAAGAGTTGATCGATTGCAGACTTTTCCTGAATTCAGCCTTTGAATTTGTCCCAATGATCAATGCAAACCTTTATATTTTCTGTATTCTTTCCTCTTTTCTCTAACTTTTCCACAAATTCGTCAACTGATGGTAGAAGCCCAAGTTCCGGGATTTCGATCAAAAACGTGTCCTTGTAATCGGGATGATCGAGCTCATTTAGGGTAATCGATCCGTCCAGCAATGATTGCAAAATGGTCTAAACTCATTAGACTTCTAACTTTTTTTGCAAAACCTGATCTTGATCTTGTAGATCTAGTAGATCTAGTAGATCTTGTAGATCTTGTAGATCTTGTAGATCTTGTAGATCTAGTAGATCTAGTAGATCTAGTAGATCTTGTAGATCTTGTAGATCTAGTAGATCTAGTAGATCTTGTAGATCTAGTAGATCTAGTAGATCTTGTAGATCTTGTAGATCTAGTAGATCTTGTAGATCTTGTAGATCTAGTAGATCTAGTAGATCTTGTAGATCTTGTAGATCTAGTAGATCTAGTAGATCTTGTAGATCTTGTAGATCTAGTAGATCTTGTAGATCTTGTAGATCTAGTAGATCTTGTAGATCTAGTAGATCTTGTAGATCTTGTAGATCTAGTAGATCTAGTAGATCTTGTAGATCTTGTAGATCTAGTAGATCTTGTAGATCTAGTAGATCTTGTATCCAAAATTTCAGTACTTCTGCATCTTTACCCTTTTGGAAGTTAATATGCAAATCGATCCTTGAAATCTTACTTTATCGTTAAATTTTAAGATGTTTTCTCTAGTTATTATATGCTTTTTGAAAAGATTTAAGTTAAAATTAATAAATATAAATCTAATAAAGCTATTTATACGATTTTCACGATAAGGCGGCGCTTGTGGCGTATATAAGGCGGTGCTTTTTCCCGTTCGACATTTCATAAACGTCCGCCTCCATTGACAGTCCAACTTTGACCTCAAATATCTTGGTGTTGGGCTGTTCAATTTAAATATTCTTAATATGATTGGATGCACCAAGTCTTTCTCTGTCGATTGGTGCAAAAACTATTTCAATTGAACAGCTCAACACCAAGATATTTGAGCTCAAAGTTGGATTGCCAATGGCAAAGAGGCGGGCGTTTATGAAATGTCGGACGGTCCAAAAACCGCCGTCTTATATACGACACGAGTCCCGCCTTATATACGCCACAAGCGGCGCCTTATATACGACTTCTTTTAAAGATATTCGACCGTTTAACTGATTTGGTGACAAATTCCCTTCAAATGTAAAGATATTCAATTTACTCGACGTGTAAAGAGGATTAGTTACTCGACTAAAAGCGTCGATTAATGTCCCACAATCACAAACCTGATCCCTTTTCTTCTTCATTGCCTCAATTGGATCCTCTTCGATCTTGTCTGTGAATTGATGTAGGAGTTGAGTGATAGCTGTACAGTGCAATCTCTCCATATGTATCCATCCTTTCTTCGAGAAACTTTTTGACTTGATTGAGTATTTCTTCTTGCACTCGAAACATTCACGGAAACCGTCGGCGGTGATTGGCAAGATCAAGCTGTAGAAGTGTTGATCTAAATCTCTATCGTTATTTATTGGTGTGCCAGTTTGCTCGCGTTTACACCCTAGGGGGAACCCTTGATTCTTCTTTTTCCCTAAAGCAAAGTTTGGTGTCACAAGAATCGTCACAATGAAGAATCGGCTTCACCAGAAATGACGCGTTTCCAATTTCGTTCACAAAATACATCAAAAAGAACAAATTTTCTGTAGACAAACCATTGATTTTGAGCTTCCAAAGTGGCTCTGAGAATCCGGGTTTGTGCTCGGTGGCACAAAAACATCGATCCGATCGATTCTCGATCTGGGAAATCAACTCCAATAACTGTGGCTTTTTGTGTCTTGAGATCGGCTTCTCTTCTGCGATCGTTTCGTCTTCATCAGATTCAACTAAATAAAGATATCAGCGATTTATAAATAAAACAAATAATTTAAAAACTCTACAATCTTCAAGCAATTTCCTTTTTTTTTTTAAAAAAAAAAAATTTTTTCTAATTAATATTTATACGGCATTAGTGATTGATTCAATAGAGGGGGGTTTTATTAGCTGCAATGACCGCTTGAAGCCTCCGGGGCATCCTGTCAACTAGATTGCGTAAAATTTGTGGCACAATTGTCGCTCAAACTCGCCGTACGAAGTACCAAAGATCCGCCTTAGAGCTAACCGTCTTCCCTTGAGTTTCGTCTTGATAAACGCCCATAGGTGTTCAATAACATTCAAATCGCGGCTGTAGGAGAAGCTGAAACGAGTTGAACACGATTCGCGCGGAACCATCCGAGTAGTCGAGCTCTTCCTCCATTGGCAATCGAACAGGGCGGCCCATAAGCAACTGACTCTTGAGCATTGTCCTGGTAGAGGAGCCATTATCCCATTTTGGCGGTCGCAAATTTTACGCGATCTAGTTGACAGAATGCCCCGGAGGCTCCAAGCGGTCATTGCAGCTAAAGGCGGATCTACAAAATATTGAATTTTTCGCCTCTATCTCTGTGCCGCCAAGACTTTTGTCCATTGTTTTTGGTGGCCTTTTGTTGTTTACGCTTATTTTTGTTGTTTAAAATAAACTTTCGAGTTCAATGCTTGATCATAGCTAAAAGTAGAGTAAAAATGCTCAAAAATACTTGTGATAACTTTTCCATAGCCTCTCGGAAAGGTTCCTAAATTTGCGTTTGAAAGTTTCCACTCAGAAGCCGCCAAGACTTTTGTCCATGACTGTATAATTAATCCGTTAAACTAACTAGTAAATCAATTTGTTAAATAAAAGCAACTCTTCCTATCGATTTCAAATTTTTTCAAGAGTTGCACAGATCTAACAAATTGAGATTTCTCTTTGCAATATAGAGAACTGTTTTCTGAAATGTTCTTTTGCTCAGAGGACAACGGGATTTTTAAATCGTAGAGTAAAATAAATAACTTTTCGAACTCTCTGACTATTTCTATTTCAAGAGTTGCAAAGATTTAACAGATTGAGATTATTTCCAGAACTTTAACTACTTTTTATTCTATCAAAATAATCTAATCGATTTATTCCATGCAAATTGAAATCTACCTTTCTCATCCTCTTTTTCGCCTTCAAGGAAATCCATGAACGCATCATTTGAACGAATTTCCTCTACATCATCCTTTTCTCCTGCTTCTAAAAATACAAATTTAACTAAAGGTTTCAGAATGTAGACGAAAATATCGTACTTTATATATACTTTAGATAAGTCAAGCTAAACACAAGCTTTCAGTTTCAAAGCTTTTCAAAGTCTCCAAGCATAAGTTTTAAGTCAAAAATTGTATAATTGTGAATGCAAGTTGTTGAACTTACTCATGTCCATTTCTTTCTTGTCTTCAAGTGACTTTACGAGGTCACCGATTGAAATAATCCCTTCTGTTTCTGGAAGTGTTAGAAGTTACTGATTGTTCTGATGGAAAAAAGCTGTTTCAACTAGATTCTAAAGCCGTAATCCAGCCCAGGTCAAGGTAGAACCAGACTTTCTAGTCGATCAATGGATTTTCAAAGGTTGTAGAGCAGGGCTTTGGCTGTTTCTCTTCTATTTCTGGAAGTATTAGAAGTTACTGATTGTTCTGATGGAAAAAAAGCTATTCCAATTAGATTCTAGAGCCGTAATCCAGCCCAGGTCAAGCTAGAACCAGACTTTCTAGTCGATCAATGGATTTTCAAAGGTTGTGGGCAGGCCAGGACTTGGCTTCTGATCTTAAGATTGCCTTAGAGTTGACTCTGGAAGCATTAGACCCAGTACCCCTTTAGGGAAAACGTCTTTTCCTCTGACAATTTTGACCTTTTCACTTGCTCGTACACCATTCTCCACGGATTTCAAGCTAACTTTGATCTTTCTTTGCGTAAACAGTTTTTAGACTCGTTTCTTACGAAGTAGAAAAAATAAAGTAACCATGACTTACTATTAGATTCGTTACAAACATATCTAAATCCAACCTTTCATTCCCTTTCCATTTTGTCTCCATTTCTTAAAAGTTGTCTCCAATTCCTCTTCCAATGGCACAATCTCCTCAACTTTTTTCCTTTGACTTTTTGATTTTGGTGTTTCATTCAGAGCATCGACTTTCTTTTTCTTTCTCTCGATTGAAAGTGGAACTTCTTGGTCGCCTGAAAATGAAATGCAATGCGTTGAACTCTATGTTCTACAGGGTTGGCCAAAATTATCGTTACAATGCTCACTCACGCACAAATGCGAAAGCGAAATGGAAGAAAGCGAAAGGTAACAACTTCAGCAAATGTCAAAAAAAGTGAGGAATCGCCTGTTGAAAACGCGAAACTAATCGGTGCAGAAAATGTCACAAAAATGGGTATTAAGCGAACATCCCTTAGAAGAATCATCAAAAACAAGCTCAAGTTAAAGGCCTACAAGAAAAATAAATCACAAATGCTATCAGTTGACGCTATCAACCACACAAAACTGTTGATAGTTTGAAAAAAGCGCTCGAAAAGGCTTGGGAAGAGCTGGATCTCCTATACCTTGGGAAGAGCTGGATCTCCTATACGATCGACGCTTTTCTACGACGTTTGGACGCCTGTGTAAAAGCTATTGGAGATCTGTTTGAAAAGGAATAGTTTCTAGGAATTTTTATGAGACAATAAAAGTTATTTTTAAGAAAAATCTTTGACCTTTTGCTTTTTATACAGAGACTTTTTTATATGTAACGGTAATTTTGGCCCACCCTTTACAATCACCTGCTTTTCTTCTCAATCACTAGGTTGAAACATTTCGTAAACCTTTATGAAGTTAAAAATAGAATAAAGCTTAGATGATAATAATCTGTTTTCTTTGTTCTAAACCATTAATCACCATTAATCTCCCCGAAATTTCTCTTGATCTTGCGAACTCGCGATTTCTGACTCCCATCACTCCCACTTTGAGGGCTACTCTCTTTATTGCCCGTTGGAGTGAAGAATGACTCTAAACAAGATATATAAAATGATATACATAAGCCAGGGTTGTTTTAAAACCATTTTTGGCCATTGATCGGCTAGGGTCAAAGCCTGACTGCGCTAGAAACCAGATCTAGACCCAGATTCACAGGATGGCCCACAGTGCCACACTTCAGAGGGCCTAGATTGGCCAAAATTGATTCAATCGTTCCGATTTTCCTGGAAGTAAATCTCAAGTATGTCTCCTGTAACAGTGCCCATTATCTAATCAATTCAAACTTTCAACTTTTTTATATAACCTTCCAAAGTTGAGAGGCGAGTGTCGCTCGGCACGCTACTCATTCATGTCTTTTGAGACTCATCTTGTCAAAAATCTTGTTAAAATTGAATTTATTATGTTAAAAAACAAATTTTCACATGCTCTACACAGTTTAATTGGAAAAATTCTTGAGAAATGTCACCAAAACTCACTTAATATGGTCTCTCAAAAATCCTATAGCGTGTCGAGCGACACTCGCCTCTCAACTTTGGAAGGTTATATAAAAAAGTTGAAAGTTTGAATTGATTAGATAATGGGCACTTTTACAGGAGACATACTTAAGATTTCCCTCCAGAAAAATCAAAACGATTGAATCAATTTTGGTCAATCTAGGCCCTCTGAAGTGCGGCGATATGATTGTGGACTACCCTGTAGTCTGGCTTAGGTTTTATTTGATCTACCTAGCTCTGGGACATCTTAATCTAATATCAATATCTAGACTTTTTAACTATTTAAATTATAAGTCTTACCCAATGACTGCAAATTGGACAAAGCTCCAGAGTTTTCCTTTCGTTCGATGCTGGAAATTGATGCCAAGAGAAGCTCATTGTAGTTGATGTCTTTAATCGCTGAATAAAGATAAAGATAAAGATTTTAGTTTATAATTTTTATAATCTAGCTTACTTTTTGGTGTAGTTGGCTGTCTTTCACGGAATTGTTGAGTTCTAAGCTGAAGCGCTCCATTTCCAGTATTCCTGGGCTCGGCTCTCGGCGTGAAAAAACACTCTGGTTCATCTAGAGTTTTTAAATTTGAAGAAAATATTTCCTAGCACATTTCCTAGTTGTTATGAAGGACTTTTTAGTTTAGAAGAACTTAGTATACAAGGCCTCAATGCACTGTACAGGCATTATCAATTCCTAGCTCAATGTTCCAGAACTTCCGGAACAAAATATTCAACCTTGTTAGCTGAATATCTTTTGCATCGCCTGACTGTAATGAAATTAAACCTAATGCAAGGCTTACTGTAACGGTTTACTGTTAACTGTTACTGTAACTGGAGAGTCCAACTGGAGAGAGAGAGTTTAGTAGCAGCTAAACCGAGAAGCGCGCCGCTGGACCTCACATCTTTCATGCAGTTTTTCTCAGGATTGGCTAGCCCAATCCAGCTCTGATTTATATCATTTGAAAGCCTGAATTGTCCTGAGATTTTTTGCTAAATTGCACTGATCAAAAACTTTTTCCAGACAAGTTACGAATCGGCTCTAAATCCATCAATATCGTCTTTTTGAGTACCGTATTTTCTCTAATAGTAGTCTCCATGAGCGCCGCCTAAATTTCTAAATCTCGAGAACCGCTTATCAGAACCTATCGATGTGGGGTCGGAAAATGTAGCTGAAGATGAGATCTAGTGGGGGATTAGAGTGTTGAGCTTCTGGGAAAAATTGGAAACTGTAAAGTAGGCATTAACTCGGCTCGGCGGAGTGCACTACTATTAGAGAGAAGACGGTATTAGATTGATAATTAAGTCTTTTCATTCCTTTTCATTCCTTTTCATACTTTCATTGAAAAATATCAAATTCATCAATGAATCGATGGTTTCCTCTAAATAAAAAGTGTTTATTGCTGCAATTTCTCATCTTTTTAAGTAAATTTCGTGAAATCACTTGTTTTTGCGTAAAAAAACTATCAAAAACCTCTGCAAAGAAATTGGCTTAATGAATTTCTCTGAAAATTTAGCTATATACCAAACTTTTTGTGCTCTATCTTTTATCTATTGACACCAAAATAGGTTTCCTTAGCCAAAATCTCTAAACCGTATCATCGAGCATCATTTTTGACTACCCGACTTCACGCTTCCAAAAGAATTCCAGACATAAGTCATTTTAAAGCCGTTTTAACGTTATTTTGCAGAAAAATAAGTAACCTTTTTAATGAAAAGGAACCAAAAAGACTTATTCATCAATCTAATAGCTATTAATCAATCTATTAGCTACGTTAACTCACCTCCTGAATCGCTCTCTGAATCTATTATGATCACTTCCTCATCAATGACTCGATCGTCTTTCTCCCAAAGTTTTGGAGTAAGTACTCTAGGCTTTGGAGGCATAACTTTTGTCGGAATCGCTTAATTTTTCGAAATTTTAAGATAGAAAGCATATTCTAAAGCTAAATTTAAAGCTTTACATACTTCTAAAAGCGTTGGATAAGCGAGCGAGCAAACGAGGAGCAAAAGAGCGATCAAACGGGAAACTTTGGCAAATGAAGAACTCGGGGTTGCTGGAAAAGAATGAATGAGATTTTTTTGAAATATAAACCTTAACCTATATTATTTTAGTTTTAGATTTGGCTATTGCTTTTTAAAATAATGTTTTATGAGTTCTTTTTGAACGGACTTTTTTCTGAGGAAGGTTTTGGTGTCTCGATTGTACATTTTACAGAATTTTTTTGATTTTCATCTTCCTCATTACGCAGCATTCTCAAAATATAAAATTTAAGCTTTAAATCAAAAAGTGTAAAGAGTTTAAAAGAGTTATTGTTTAAAATGTAAACTTGCCAAGAAGTTGTTTGAAAAAATGAATTCAGAGCTTTATCAATAAGAAAATCTCAAAAGAAAAGAAAACAAAGAGAAAAGAAAACAAATTTGAATCAAAAGATTTAAAAAAATAACAGATTTCAATGTCTTTTTCTATAGAAATTTTTGAATTCAAGGAATTTTTAAGATTTCAGCAATTTCTGTCTATACTTGCCATTGGCTAATCACTAAAATTTCCTTCTTGAACAATTGTCGGATAGCAGATCGAACAATTATTGGATAGCTGATAGCAGATCGAACAATTATCGGAGAGCTGATAGCAGATCGAACAATTATCGGAGAGCTGATAGCAGATCGAACAATTATCGGATAGCTGATAGCAGATCGAACAATTATCGGAGAGCTGATAGCAGATCGAACAATTATCGGATAGCTGATAGCAGATCGAACAATTATCGGAGAGCTGATAGCAGATCGAACAATTATCGGATAGCTGATAGCAGATCGAACAATTATCGGAGAGCTGATAGCAGATCGAACAATTATCGGAGAGCTGATAGCAGATCGAACAATTATTGGATAGCTGATAGCAGATCGAACAATTATCGGAGAGCTGATAGCAGATCGAACAATTATTGGATAGCTGATAGCAGATCGAACAAAATTATTGGATAGCTGATAGCAGATCGAATCAAAACTAGAGATAGGATTACTAGCAAATGTTTACACGTTTTAGAAAACAAAAGAAGAACTTTTCCTCTCACCATACCTAAGAGAAAACGTTCAATTCGACAAAACGATTCTTTTATGGGTTGCGGAATATAAAACATGCTCGCCCTTGGGATTCGAACCCGCGACCTTTCGCTTACCGGGTGAACCCTCTGCCAAGGAGCTACACCGATAAATCCCATCTCCGCCAGGATAGGCAAAACCTTACTGTTCCTTACAACAAAGCCTAAACTTTTCAGATGGATAAGCGAGCATCGAAAGCTGCAAATCTGCAACTTTTTCGCCGTTGGCTTGGCGGGTCTTTTCTTCTTTGCAATCGGAATTGTCAAGAAGAGCGGTGATGGAGTGACCGGAGTGGTGGGGATTTCTATAGAAGGATTCATCGAAAAAACTTTTCTAAACAATCTTGTAATTGTTTTAGAGATAAAACTTTAAACTAATGAGAATTGAAAGTAAGGTTTCGAGGTCTAAATTCGTTTACTTTGTGCCAAAATCTCGAGTAAACGCACTCTTTCCAGTGCACTTACTTCTGCATTTTTCTCTTCATAACGGCTTGATATCGGAGATTCAAGTGCGCCAAAAAGGGTGCGTTTCGGCAAGAGTTGAGCACAAAGTACAAGTCTTTTAAATTTGTACAGCTTGAATACAGGCTTGGCCTAATAGTAAGAGGCCCTGGACCTGGCCCTGGACCTGGCCCTGGACCTGTAGCTTTATACTTGTAAGTAAATAAGCTTGTAAGCACACAACCTTGTAATGAAGTTATCAATTTGCATATCTAATCTATATCTCTTTTCAAATTCAATACCCTAATTCAAGTTTTAGGCACTTTTCTTCGCGATTTACCTTGTAATGGGCGCGAATTGTGGAGCTTATTGGAAATGTGCGGCGCTTGTTTCAAGGTGAGATTTGAAATTTTAGCATAAAATATTCAAGTAACTAATTCAAGTAACTAAATCAAACAAAGTCGTAAATGCAAATTCACAAATCTTCAATTGTATCTCCAAGTTAAGATACACAGCAATCAAATAGCTTTCCACTGTTGATTTACATAGTTCTGATCTGGCTTGCTTGGCTTAGCTTGGCTTTACTACAAACTTGACACTGTTTTCTGTATTTATCGTTAACTCTTGCTCTACTTCGGTCTAAGCCAGTCTACAGGTACTAGGAATAGCTGGGAACTAGATCTGGACCTGGTTTCTGGCCTGGCTTAGCTTAGCTTTACTACAGACCTAGTAAGAAGCCTTGGACCTAACTTTTGCTCTACTTTTGTTTAATCCAGCTTACAGTCCTAGGACCTGATTAGACCCGGGATTAGACATTTTCACCGGGTAGAAATTGTTTATCTGGCTTACAGCTTTTATAATTAGGGTCTAACTTGAGCTGAGCTTTAGGGCTTGGAATATTTTGACAAAACTCAGTTTGAATACAATTCAACAACACCTTTCATCTACGCTTCATCTTTTTGGAATAAAATCGAGCCCAAATCTAAATATATATCTTTTAGCTATTTAACATCTCAATTTTCCAGACAATATGCTCATTTTGTTCTCTCGGTGAATCAATTCATGAAATGCTTAGCCTTAGCGACAGCGCCGGGTAGTTGGCTGCTCTTTGTACGGGATGAGAAAGGTTTGTTTGCTTGAAGTATTAGATTCGAATCCTACTGTATCCAGAGCTAATTACTATATCTTACGGTATCTAAACCAATCATACACGTTTTTAGATGTTGTTCAATGGTCTTACGTGTATTACCTCAACGGTGCTTTATTGATTGTGGTGAGTTTTTGCGTGAGAATAGGTCAGGTGTACTTTGTGCTCAAAACGGATCCTTCCTAGTGCACTGAAGCCTTCATTTTCTCACAATGAAATGTGGAAAGCAAGCTTAATGACACGGATTTTTACTAATTTACTGTTAATTCGCCAAAATTTAGGTCCATCTTTTTGTATTTACTTAGCTGATCGAATTGTTAAAATTCTTAAAGCTATTAGATGAATAGCTTTTAAATACAATTATTATTTAGGCAAATGTTGTTTTTTTCTTCATGTGTTCGGATAAACCAGCGGCTTTCACGAAAATGACTCGAGATAATCCAACGGGAAAAATGCTTGCATCACCCGACAATCATCTCGAGAGAATACATCAAGAAACAATCATTCCTGCATAATTCTTTTGTTTCTGTGCACTTTTTTTATCATTACAGATAGGATCTCTATGAATTTGGTACATAAATATTTTACCATTTGTTTGAATTTCAAAACTTTCTTCAATATTAGTGAGTTTGAGAGTTTTAGGTTACTGTAACTGTAAAATCTTGCCGTTTATGCTAGAGAGTTCGTTTTTCTCAGTAGCAAAATCGGTGAAATGCACCGTAAACCTGAGCTTTGCGTAAATCTTTTCAAGTTCGGGTTCTTTGTTCTCAAAACCGTGATGAGACAGGTACAAATCACCCAGAAAGTTGATGTAAATCAGTGTTGAAATGCAACAAAAAAGTGCTACTCTTTTGTAGAAAACATCACAAATTTATTGAATAGCGTTATTTATCTATTAAGGTGGTAACTTCGTGAAACTCTGGCACCTGACGAGCGAACACGTTGCTTAAAATTTATTATACATACACAAACGAGCTATGTTGTCTGTATTTGCTCTTTTTTACGCTCTAGAAAGCAACCAAAAAGGTGCCTTTATGAGAAGAAATAAAATTTTGAGTAATAGATCTAAACACTTGCTTATAGCTCTCACTAAACCAGCTAAAGGACGAAAGAAAAGAAAAGAAACGTAGTCGCCACGTAAAACAAAATGCGCAGAAATTTTGATGATTGCTAAAAAAATACCGATTAGCAAAACAATAAAAACTCTATTAGAATGAGAAATTTTTCGCCAAATTGAACAAATCCTGCTCACTGCGGATCCCGGTGCCCGGCTTTCAGTCCCGGCGGTGAAGCGACTTGTCTAAAGCAAATCAGTAAATATTATATATCCACAATCTACTCTATCCAAAAACATCAGACATCAGAGAATCAGACCAAAAGTAGCTAGATCGGATAAAAACTAAAGGTAGTTTCCAAAAGTTGCCAAGTTTGGTTTTGAAAAATTTCTCTATACACGTTTTCCAGAGACTTGCCTGGCTGCTCGGGAAATTTCGCAACGCCATACAAATCATCGGCATGCTGGCGGGCGAAATTTGATTATTGAAAACAGCCAAAATCTCCTCTCGCGTGTATTTCCGTGTCGCCTAAATTCATTTGCCTTCACACTTTCAATGACAAAATTTCAACCGCAAGCTTTTCAAAGTAAATGCGGCAAATGTTGAAAAGAGCATCGTTCAACGGTTTCTGGAGATCAACGTCACTCCGAGTTTGCCTCAATTGTTGCTCAATTTCTTTAATCGTTGCAATTAGTTTATCGACAAAGAGGAGACATTTCTGGGGCGTCCATAAAGCGGCGGCGCTGGGATCCTGGAAATTGTTGAAATTTGGACTTTAAAACGAAAATGTAAACCGTGCAAAATGTAACTAGATTGCGAATTTCAAAAAGATTTTGTGCAATTTCCAACTATCTCGATACTTGATTACGAAATCTACCTCTCCCAAGCGTTCGATGATGTTGTCTTCAAGGCGTTTCGGGTCGATACTTTGACGATTCCAGTTAAATTCAAGGCAGAAAAACTAAAAGAAACTGCGGCTTTCGTGTTTGATTAACGCCTTTGCTTTTGACGGAGAACATCAGTTTTTATTTTTAAATCTTTAAATTCTGTTCTTTTTATGTTTACATATTCGTTTTTTCCACTGTCTCACCTTCTTAAGATGACGGAGCCAGTTCGGTTGAAGGTCTTGCCACAGCTTGTAAGACTGAAGCGCCGACATTGTTGCCTAAACTTTGAGATTTCCACGAAAACCTAATCAAAGACTTCAATTTCTTTGGGCAGTACGTGAAAGGTTTGCATCAATATCTCGGCATTATTTCTCATCAAGTCTTCACCGAGTCGATTCACCGAGGCTCTGGGAATCTTTTTGCGAGCGGCTTCCTCATTGAAATGATTGATGTTTTCTCGGAAGGCTTTCAACAAATCTTCTTTAGTAAAGTTGGCCATTTGCTAAAGTTATAACAATCTGTTTATAACAAGAATTTATGAATACAAATTTCAGTATTGGCATTGGAAGTGTGTTTTTTGTTTAACTTTTTGCCTAGGATTTTTTTGGAGGATTCTTATGTATTTTTTTTACAAAGATCTAGAGCTAAAACACTAGTTCGGCTAAAACAGTGTTCGGCTTGTGAAAGTCATATTTATTTGGCCCTGATTTGTGAAAAAGTCAAACCGTTCTCCTTGTTTGAACAAACCTTTGAACAAACGTGGAACATATTTCGGCATTCCTCATGGAGAGCTACGGCCATTCTCTCGAGCATTTCTTCTAAAAATGCAAAGTCAATAATTTTTTGCCAGCTCGCAAAGTTGTCTCTTAAGAACACCACTTTGTTCATGTAATTTTCTGAACCAACCTTTCGCACTTTGAGGACCATTACCATTCAGCCCGGTCAAACTAAAATCAAACAAAACCTTCAAAATCAATCTTTGGAAAAATTCTCAATTTACTGTAACAGAAATGATATTTTAACAGTGCATATGTCAATATTTCAAATAGTAATTCAAAATTTTATCAAGTTCGAGCTCGGTTATTTCCTATTAACAACTCTAATGGCATAACGAAAAGCCATACAAATGCCCAAAGCTCCACCAATGTGTACGGCCTGGTGAAATTCTGTGATACCTATTGGTGAAACCGGTAAATGATTTTTTAATGACCTTGAACTCGTCGAAATTGGGTTGGGCTGGGTGGTGTGTAGATCGCTTGATGTAGAGGCAATCCTGGTGAAGCTGTTTAGCAACAGAGAATTCTGATTAGGACTGGAATACGAATTTAGCGGAGGTCTTTCCACTCCACCAAAAGATCGTTTGACAACTGCACGACTAGCGGTAGAACGTAAAACGCTTGGGGTTGGCTTAAGCATCTTCAAAGGTGGCAACGCGTTTGGCAACATGGGTCTACTTTTTGACATTTCCAAATCGTTTAGAGCATTTCTTTTCATTTCCTAAATGTGTAATTTGATGTTAATTGTAGTGCTGTTCATTCTTGAAATGAAACCAGAGCCACTTTATCTAGAGCAAACGTTTACTCAAACCTGTAACGCCAATCCAACATCTTCCACGATTTCCACCAAATAGTCATCGTTGATTGCATTTGTTCGACATGACTCCCGAAGTCGTTCCATTTGTTGAGATATTCTGTGGTCTAACAAATCCTCATCGACACTCTTCTGGTTTTGTCGCTGAAATGAGAGGTTTCAACGACAGTTTGATGTTATGAGAAACTCAAGAGTATTTTCAGCTTACTAAAAACTCGGCAAAACCACGTTCGATTTCGTCCTTTTCCCGTGCCGCGTAGCCGACGGTCAGTGAAGCAATTCGATTATCGAGACGAGCCTAAGCACACTTATGTTACTTCTGACCTCTCGGTTTAAAATACAGCCAAATAGTGAACCAGCTTTTATAGCTAGAGGACTAAACTCTAGCCGGGAAATTTAAGATCTTCACCTCTAGCACATGTTTTGTTGAATCCGGAATCTTCAGTGAATCCGACTCCATGCCCAGCTTATCTTTGAGCTCTACCGCGTTTGAAAGGTCGTTGAGCTTTAAAAACTTAAATGCAATAATGTTTACAAGTAAACCTTCGCAATTCGAGTTTTCCATTCATCGCTGAATTCTTCAATGTTTTTCTCCGTTGCTTTTTCGATAGCTAGAGCCTCGAAGTATCTGCGTTTTTCCTGGATGGCTTGCTGAAAAAAATAGCGGCATTATGGGATCATAGGGACAAGAGATCAAAAATTTGCGACCCCAAAAAAATCGCTTTTGCACCATACCTACCACTTTGAGCCACTTACAGTTTATTAGAAATTAGACACAAAGTTACTTTTTGTTTTGGACACCCTGCACAGGGTATCAAAATATGGTGAAAAAAAGAAAAAAGGTGCCAAACACAAATAAACGCTTTTGACCCAAAGCGGCCACATGTAGCCACCAGAATTTTTTAGGAAGTTCGATTTGAAAACCTTTTTTATGAGACACCCTGTATTCCTATCGGTGCGTGTAAAAGGCGAGCTTCTTGGGGGATAGAATTCCACCAGCCGAAAAGCCCGAGAAAACGGCCGAGAAAATGCCCGTACAGACAGACAGCCAGACACTGCTCTTTTATATATAATAAATAGTACCAAAATAGCTTTTAGCCAGTGAAGTTAGTTGAGCGTTCTTTAAAACGTGTCAACTTTCGAAAACTACTGTAATCTTGGTTCTTTATTCAATCTAGGTATCTATTAGGTTGTTCGGAAATAAACAAGCGTTGCTAAACTTATTGTTGTGAGGGAAGCTTTTAAAACATGTCTTTCTGTATTTAAAAGTACGTTATCTTGTGCCTATTTGGAATTTTTTTAAACGGATAAGTTATTTCTAAGAGCTTTTTTCTTGCTTTAGATGACCGACTTGAAACATCAAGTTCGCGTCTGTCTACTTTACGGCTTCAAACTGGGCAAAACAGTCGCAGAATCCCATCGAGATTTGGTCAAAGCATTTGGGAATGATGTATTGTCCGAAAGCCGATGCCGAGCCTGATTCCGACGCTTTCGGAATGGTGATGAAAGTCTCGAGGATGATGAACACTCTCGTCGACCTCAAGCGATAGACAACGTTATTTTGAGGGCTGCAATCGAACCGGATCCATGTCAAACGACGCGCGAACTTGCTCAACAGTTTTTATGTTCAAATTCTACCATTGATGAGCATCTCCACGCCATTGGAAAGACGATCAGATGCGGGAAATGGCTTCCTCACAAGTTAAACAGTGCATATCCAATCTAGGTATCTACTTCGAATCTTGGTATCTACTGATTCTGTAAGCTTCGTTCTTTAAATTATCCAAATGAAATTGAAAACTCTCTCAAATTAAATTAATTTCCCCAAAAGTTCTCATTCTAGCCTCTAGTTTTGGTCGTAACACGGCCTGTGCCTGTTCGATGGCGTTCTTGTTTTTGAGCAACTCTCTCAAATTTCCTTGAATTTCTTGCATTGCCAAATCTTTGTAAACTTCAATAGTTTCTGCCGTAGAGTTCTATAAAAAAAAATTAAATTTTGAGTGTTCGAATCGGTTACTTTAATTATTGCCAGAAATCTATCGAATGTCCGGTTGACAGCAAAAAGAATGGCCCTTTCTTCGACGATCTGAATATTTTTCTTGTATTCAAAATATTCTGAACAAAAAACTCTACCACAGCCACTGGTTTTAGTTGCGGAGCATCATGTTGCAAAAAGTTTGTCATGGCCTAAAAGTCGAAAGTTTTATTTTCTCAATCAAATCAACATCAGCTAGCGCAATGATTTCTTCTGCATTACGATCGACCACTTCTGAATCATTGGTGAAAAATTGTTCGATAGAAGCTTTGACTTTCTCGAGTTGACCAAAGAAGTCATTGTCTGAATGGTGTTGAGTAAAATAAAAGTTATTGCTTAAAGTTCACCCTCATTAGTCACTTTCGCAACACCGTTTGCCTTTACAACACCCAATGATGGAGTTGGCACACAAATAGAGGTGATTTGAGCCGGGAAACGGTCTCTCAAACCTCGTGTACATTTTTGGAGCACTTTTGAGCTTTCCGATTCTTTCTAAAAGACAAAGACATCGTTCAAAATTTCAAAACCATTTTCACCATTCAACTTTTAAAAGACTAACCCAAACATTTTCGATGTAGCTCACTTCTCGCCAGTTGGGAAAATTTCTTATCACAAAGAGCAAACCCTAAAATTTTATGTAAAAGACGGCTAGCTTTTTGTCCACTTTAGGCAAGAGTGTCTCTTGAAAAGAAGCAATTGAATCCACGAAGAATTGCAATGTTTCCAGCTGATCACTGCTAAGCACGCTCCCCAAGTTTATAATCTGAATGCAAATTGCCTGGGTTTTGTAGTTGTAATACCTGTAAATCGGAAAGCAAAAGACTGTAAGCAGCGATTTGGGCGGAGACATTTCGATTTGTTTCCAAATCGAATAAACCTTGAGTGTCAAGAAAGAAGATCGCTTTCTGAAATTGTCTTGATGTAAGACAAAGAAGAAGTGGTATTGTCGGTTAAGTCCTCAAAATTGGCCTGATGCAATAGGAGACATAACCCACTTGATTCAAGGGCGGATATAACCGATAGTACCAAAAACTTATACCAGTCAAAGAAAAAGTTCATATAGGATTCCAAGTGCTTACTAGACCGAAATTATCGATTTAAAAGACCCCTTTGGCAACTTCAAAATCTATTTGCCTTGCGATCAAATTTCTAATATTAGGTTGTCCCATAAAAATCCTGAGATTTTTGTTTTGATCAGTACTCGCTCACAACACAACGTTTTGTATTATCTTTTTTTTCTTTTTCATGCTAAAACTTTTTTTCTTTCTTGCATTAACATTCATTTCTAGGGATCGACACGAGAAGAGAGTTGCAGTCGATCGAATGAAGCCAACTCAAGAAGAAATCCACGCCCAACTACTCCAACGATTTTCAGAGGGATTTCAGCGGCCAAAGCAGCACGAGAAATCAATCAGTTTTATGGCAACAGCATCGATGGAACGAGTATTGCACAGGGATGGTTTCACAAATTCAAGACGGGCAATACGAGGATCAAACGGAAGAGCGGAAGTGGCAGACCCCGGAAAGTGGATCGATCGATTCTGAGGTACCGACTCCTGCGAAACCACGATAGATCAACCCGGAAATTGGTTGGACGTTAATGTGGACGAATGACTGTGTGGCGATGGCTGCGAAAAGTGAGAAGAAATTGAAGAAAACAACGACAGATCCCATACGAAATGTCGGAAAGAATCCAAGCCAAAAGAAAGCGGACATGCCATCACTTGCGGAGCGAATCGCGGCGTGGTCGGCTTCCTCTTTTGAACATCATCCTTTACGATCAAATGTGGATTTTCTACAATGGTCGAGTGTTACAACGGCAGTGATTGAAGAAAGGGCAAGTAGGGAAAACATGCACGGAAAAAAAATGGAACGGCCCCGTTTTTTTCTTTACGATGGCGCAAACTTCCAAAAACCAAAAAGATCGATCGATTTTGTGAAGAACAACCTCCACTGGAATATCCTTCCTCCTGCACCGTATTCTCCGGACGTTGCACCCTTCTGACTATCACTTGTTATTGTCGCTAAAGGATTTCTTACGTGGTAAAAATCCAAAGATGAGAGCGAACTCGAGAACGGATTGAGCGGCTATTTTTGGCTCGCTTTTTTTACGGTTTTACGAAGAGGGATTGGCAAGCTACCCAACTGCTGGGGAAAAGTTATGAATTCATCTGGAAAAGATATCATTTGGTTCTGATTCTTTGTTGTTTCTTTGTGTTGAAAATAAATAAAGCCCAAAATCTCTGGGTTTTTATGGGACAACCTAATAGGAAATCGAATATTGAAAAGATGATAGGAATGTGCGTGTTATTACCGGTTACTAGATTGCCCTAGATGTGCCAGTTTTATGAGAATTCAATGCCTGCACGTCTTACTCTCAAACCTTTAAAATCGCAATAAAATTGGGTACGGGCTTTCCCCCTTTTCTTCCACCCTTCATAGGCTTAACTTATGTAGCTCCAAGTTAGTCAACGTAGTGGAGTCATATAAGTAGTGGAGGCAATGCGGCGCGTGCCCAACTCTACCGTATTCAACCCAAAAAATGTTAGCATGTGTTTTGGGGTCGAACAGAACAAACTAAATTAACTGTATTGCTCTAAAACCAATTATACTTTTTTCCAAATACCTATTGTACTTTCGTGTTTAAAATTTTTCAGCCTCTTTTTTTTTGTTTTCTACTCATTTTATGGGTCCATAAGCGATTCTTAATTTCCCTCTCAATTCCTGACACAATAATTTTACGTTTTTTGAATCATGATAAGAAACAAAAGCAAAAAAATTTTATTTGCTTAAAAAATTTTTTTGAGGGATAAAGTCCAAAATTAATCTGGCGCCAAAATATTTTTATCAGCGAGCTTTGTGAACAATTTGAGCTATTAAATTTCCTGTGTCATAATATGTTGAGCTTCGAGAAGAGCATCGGCTAATAAAGGTCTTTTTCTTGCTAAACAAAAAGGAGTGTATTGCAACGAAACGATTAGTGGCGCCGTTTTTTTCTTGAAACGAATAAAAAAGTCTTACTCATGGTTTGCTACAGTAAACCTTGTTGGCAGCAACTCTGTGGTTACCTGTGTCCTTCTTGAATAAGGTGTTTTCTAAAGCGTGTCATTTTCCGAAAAACTATCGTAATCTAGGTATCTACTATGGACTGCAAGCATTCAAGAAGGACATCGAAGAATACAAAAGGATATATTAGGTCTTTAGTCTTAGTCCATAAGTCTTTAGACACTTTAGCTACTTTAGTAGGCCTTTCTAATGGAGTCAATTGTAGGCCAATTGGTGAATGTGTCATTTATAAACGCTGGTAGAAAAAAGTGTCTAAAGACTTGATGAATCCATTAGAAAGGCCAATCTGATAGATTGGATGAAAATAGACACAAGATTACGGTAGTTGCACATTTTAGAAAATGCATTATTGATTAGCACACACTCTAGCCATACCAAAACCGGTACTGTAGTGGGTAAACCAAAAAAATCTCAAGCCTAAATTCCTCCAACGTCGGTGTCATACGCAAAAACCTGCTTATTCAAGCCTACTCAACTTGTAGTGTAGAAAAACGCTGTAGTCAATTGAAATATTATGGGGCGCTTAGAACTTTAAGTTTCTAATGGTATCCCATGGGGTAATACTGATTCAATTGCTCTCTATTTCTTTGTATCGACTAATATCGACTACCCGCTGATATGGGTTGAGCTATATCAGAGGGTGGGACTATGCTAGGATACTATAGCATTCAAATGCCTTCTCGAGGCAATATTAGAGGAGTGTGGTTATTAGAGTGTGTTCTTCTCAAGAAATATTGTGAAATAGGGAACGGATTACGGTAGGAATCAACTGAATATCTTGAATATCTTCTATAATTCGCAAGATATTCAGTTTATTTCAACCATACCTGTTTCCTATTTCACACTATTTCTTGAGAAGAACACACTCTAGTGGTTATATCATAGTTATATTAATGGGAATATATTGCAATATTCGAAATTTAGTGTAGTTTTGCCACTCACGTCATCCACAATGTAGGGCTGGGGAAAAATGAGGATTCCCTCCGTTTGACGACGAAATCCCGACTCGAAAACGCCTCTAAAAGTTGGAAAAGTTAAATGCAGATATGGGAAAACAAACATTAGCTGAAAAGTCATCTCGTAACAATGACAGTGCCTCAAACAGAACTCACCTGATCTCACCATTCTTGATCCCATTTGAGAGGTAGGTCATTAGAAAGCTTTTTCCGCAACGCGATGCCCCCATCGTACTGACAAATCTTTTCTGAAAATGTTGGTTACGAAAAACACAGTTTTAGTTAACTATTGAAAATCAAGTTACCTTTTTGCTTTCATACAGCGGGTTGTCAATTGTATGCCTTGCTACTTTTTCATCAAAGTGAATCTCTCCATTAGCGAACGAAACGAGTACCAGCGGTTCATTGATTTCTTCAACCTGTAATAAATATTGATTAAGCAATATTAAGATTATTGATTAAGATTTAAAAAACTAACGATAAGCAATTTTTGCGTAGACTATGGCAAACTTTTTTATTTACAATAGTTTATTTACAATATTACATTGTCATCTTTGTTCCAGACGGGCTCCCAGGAATTGTCTTGTCTTGAATCTTGTCTTGAATCACAGTCAAAAATTCCGCTATCCATTTCCTGAAAGTTTTTTTAAGCTAACGCACAATAAGGTGCAATATGTTTTAAAAATATGAAAACTGAAATGTTGTTTGATGCGAAAATTATGAGTTTCGAAAGTCGACCAAAAAGGGATTGGGGCAACGAGGAGACCTTATCAGTGAGTTGTTAAAGTGTTGAGCAAGAATTTGAGAGTAGAAAAGAGAGACTCCACAGCCACTTGATTACTTTTTTTGTATCCCTTTCTTGTACCCATCTACAGTACTCCTCAGGGTCCTTTCCAACTAAAAGTTTTGGGCTTAAAAATACAGTAAAACCTCGTTAGCAGAAAACTCTTTAGTAAATGAACCTCTTTAGTAAATATGTTTTCTAGCACCCCTTTGACAAAAAAAACATTCATAAATTGATAGTAAATATAGTAAATAGATTTTTCGATCTTCCTTGAGTTATTTACTAACGAGGTTTTGAACTGTAGTAAGGTTTTGAATAAGTTTAATCTACTTTTTAAGACATTGCTAGAAAATCAAGACATTACTACCGTAATCAACTACCTTTTTCGTTCGATCAGCCCAATTTTTGGATCATTGAATGTGCCTTGTGATTCTTCATTGAATAATACCAAAAGTGGGCTAATGAAATGTAGAACACTAGTTTGAGTATAAAACGTCACCCAGCAGAAACCTACTCTAATCCCAAAGCGGATTTTGTTTCAAAATCCGATTTGTTTCGATCAGAATCGAAAGCGGATTGTTTTGTTAAAATTTTATGCTCGGTGCCAAATAATTTGCTTTGCTAAACTTCGATAAAGAAAACTGATGCCAAACTTTGACAAAGAATGTCTTTAGGATGACGCTCAGTAACGAAAACTTTTCAACGAGTCAAGAACAAGTGAGTTTTAATGCTTTTATAGATTGTTACCCTTTGAATTACTGAAAGCTCTTTAGTCGACGAGTAGAGAGGATCCAATCGAACTGATTCTCTCAAGTAGCGCCGAGTTCCTCGCGCAGTTAAGTGAGGCTACTCCATCTGACGGCAACCTTTCCTCGATTCACTCAAGCTCCACTCAAATGTCGATTGTTAGTGTATGGAAAGAAAATTTGATTACAGATTTTTTTCATTTCAGGAGGGTTTGGAGCAACTCTTCGCTATTGACGATAATGGTAAGACGCACTACAAACAAGAGGTTTTGCAGAGACTTTGTGCACAAATTGGATCTAAACCAGTAAGTTGAAATTCATGTTTTCTGGCCCAGGCTAACACATTTCTGCCTTTGCTTTCTTTAGTCCAAAGTTCGGCCGAAGACATTACTAGAGAATCAAGACATTATTACCGTAATCAACTACCGTTTTCGTTCGATCAGCCCAATTTTTGGATCATTGACTGTGCTTTTGGCTAGTTGGCGGCTCTTTGTACGGGATGCGAAAGGTTTGTTTGCTTCGAGTAATAGATATTAGGAAAAATATTAGATTCGAATCGTGCTGTATCCAGAGCTAATTACCAGAACTTGAAGCTGCACAAAAAAATCAATTCTTTGAAGAAATCGTTGATGAAAGCCTGGCTTGAGTTTTTACAGCCTACCTGGTCCCCACGGTCAAAGCGTTCCCGAAACAACTCAAGGCCTGCATTAACGCCCAAGGCTCCCACTTTGGGCTTGAATGATTTTTTTTGTTGGAAAATGAATAAAAATTGTTATTGTATCGGTGGTTTAATTATTTTTAAATAGCAGTTGTTGATTTCAGCAAATACCGAGTTGCTATAATTTTGGACCAGCCTGTATAATACTTTAAGAGAGTGCTCTTAATGTTACAATAGTTCTTTTCCTGAATATCTGGTGAGTCAATTGGATTTGAATTGTTTAAAACACTGCAAAAACGAGAATTTATTGAAAACAGGATCGAGCTTTGAATAAATGTAAACACAAGCTTTGAAATTGAAATTGCAAGCAATCTAAACGGATTTCAGTTGTTTTTGTGAGAAAAAGCCTAAGAAGAAAAGGTTTGTTTTTTGAAGACTTTGTAAAGTACCGTAGTACTCGATACTGTAGTATCGAGTACTACAGTACTTTACAAAGTCGCTACAAATCGAGAGTTCGTTCAGAAAATGTCCAGAAAATACCCCGAACCAGATTTATATTATTCACTTTTTATATTAGAAACAATGAACAGTAAGTTTTCAGATTCGCGTAGTTCTTGAACATTTGAAAAATTCACAGTAGACCTTGCTTTTTTTCGGTGTGAAATAGGAGTGCAACGGAAAAACTCGATTTACCTCCGTTAAAACCATATTTTCTAAAACTTTTTGTGACTAAAAGATAGTACTTATTATGCTATGTCTTCAAGTCAAAAAAAAGTTTTAAAAATATAAAGTTAAAGGAGATAAATCCAGTTTTTCCGTTTCACTCCTATTTATGTTCACACCGAAAAAACCAAAGTCTAATTCACAGCATGAATTGGCACATAAAAAGTAAATGAAACCGATTGAAACTCTGAAAAAAGATTGAAGAATTCTGGGTACTTCTGCATCTTTGCTCTAATTTCCAACTAGTTAATATGCAAATTGGCCTTTCATGTATTACTTCATCATTGGATTTTAATGTCTATTTGTCGTAGCCAATTTTAACTGAAATTTTTTCGCTAGCCGATTTTAAGTTAAATCTCTCAATACTAACTTTCTCTTTTTAAATGCGAGTTCACTTTCATTTTTTTCCACATTTTTGCTACTTCCCTTCGCATTTTAGCACTTTTTCCATGTGCTTGTTTTCTGTTTATATAGGATAAATTGGGTAGATTTGAGCTAGATTATTAATTTGAACTTAATAAAGCCATTTATATTTGTGTGCCCAACTTGATACATTTTGGGGAAATTTGCGTTTATCCTGTTTTGGCTAGTAGGGGAAAGATGCAAAAATACCGAATTCTGTATCGAGACTTTGATTGGAGATGGGCACGAGTTGGGGCAATACTGAATTTGAGCTGAGAAATCTCAACAAGGCAATCGATGCCTGGTTCTTAAGCAACGCCAAGTTTGTTTCGTTGTTGAGCCAGATCATTGTACTCCACAAAAACCGTTGCTATTTTTCTCTTTCCTCCATCCTCATCCACGTTTCCATTTGTCGTTCTAGCATCATTTCGACCGCTCGCTCGGTCGCCTAAACGAGTTCCAATGATTTGGGTTAGGTGCTTAGAGATTAAAAAGCCAGTTGGGCTAAGAATCTGTAATGCAAAAATCGAATTTCGTAAGTCTAGAAAAAATGTAGGTTTCCGATTTGGCTGATGAACCGAGAAACGCAGTTACCAAGCTTTCCTAAAATCCCTGTTGCAAGCGTTGCCCACAATTTTGTCCACAATTTCAGAGTCATAAAGTCAAACCGACTTGTGTCCGCAGGTCCAAAACGTCAAAAATCAGTATACCAGAGTTCTTAAAATCATCAAAGACTTCAGAAAAACGTAAAACTTTTGAGGGAAGTGGGTAAAATTGAGGACAATTTTCAGAACTCTGCTTCTGATTGGTTCTTGGTTTTTCTTTTTAATCTTACCACTTTGGCTTCAAGTTCCAGTCGTGCTTTCTCCACGTTCTCCGCCTTGATTCGATCCTAAAAGTGCCTCCCAATCTTTGTTCTATTCTCTTCTCACTTACTTGCTGGATTCGATGCATATTCTCTTTATGTCGGTACCGTTCCTCAGTTTTTCAATTTCTGATCTCCGATTTGCTTCAAGCATCTTCATCAAGAAGTATAACGGCATTTCTGGCTCTTTTTCTTTTCTTTTCAAAAAAAATAACAAAGGCGAAGCATTTTATTTAACTAGGAAGAATTACGATTGTGAATAAAATGTTTTCTCTACCATGCAAGGCAAGGCTATGGTCGAAATTCTCTTGAAGCGAGGCATAATTTGCTCGATTCTCCTCAAGTTTTCCCTCCAATTTGACCACTTTATCGCACAAGTCTTGTTGCGTCAAACGGTGTCGCGCCTCAGTGGCAAACTCGTTAGCACATCGCTGAAAAGTTCCTTTTAATTTCTTTCCTTGGGCTTATTTGAGACTGTACTCAGTTTCGTAACACTCACCTCAAGCTGCACACTAAAAACCTCGTAATTGTTGTTGATGATGTTGGCAAGGGCCTTCGGAGAAACGTCGTTCAAATATTTTATCACCTCCGTGATCAGCGCATCCTACAACTTATCTCAAAAAAAGCAAGAAATTTTTCAATTACTCTCATCGTTACATATTCTCGAGTCGAGCATTGTCGGCATATTTCTATTATGAGCGGGATTTGCTCTTCGACCGTCACGAGGTGGAGATGCTAAATCGTTCACCATGAAACTCAGAAATTGCTCTTATTTAACGAATTAGTTTTTAATTTGATTTCTAGAATAATCTCCTTTCAACTTACTTTCTGCAAGTTTTCTTGAAAGAAGCGGAGCAAGTCTTGGTAGAGGTTCTCGCACTTGCGCTCAAACTCTTCGTAGCGATCCTCGTTCAGCATGTCTGTATGTCGGATCTAAAAGAAATTTTGAAGTAAAGAAAATGAATATATTGAGGCATTTGCTTGACAATTTTTTTTGAACTTTTCTTTTGAACTTTTCACTTACATCAATTTGTTGCAAAAGCAGTCCTCGTTTCTTTCTCACAAGCTCTTCCTCATCAACGAAATCCAACATGACTAAATGTTTTTTGGCCTTGAAATTTCCGTTTTAAATGCAAATCTTTTGCATCAAAAACAGCTTTATACCGTTGTCAAAATTTTCGAGTGCCTTGCTTTTCGCCTCTTCATGTCGCTGTTTTAGCAGGTTTTCTCGCTTCCTTTTATTCAAGCGCTCGTGGAGTTTTGGCTAAATTTTTCACAAGTGATTGTTTGAAGAAATGTTTGGATGAGTTTTTGAAACAACGAAACAAACGAACTTTGACAGATTTTTCATAAAGAGCATAGCTTTTTGTGACCGCTTCAGCCATTTGCACATCGCGGTATCGGCTCCGATTTGCCCTGGTCTTTTCCTTGGTCCGTCCCTAAATATTGGTCATGTTTTGGAACAAATAATGAAGCACAAAGTCTTGGACCTGAATTTTTGTATACAAGCTATTTGTGAGTACAACTTTTTTCTCCGACCCATGAAAAGTCGTGGCTCTGACTTGGATGCGAAGCCTTGTCTACTGAATATTCTCTCTTTGACTTGATCATCGAGTTTAAAAAGACCAATAGATTTTGTGTCAAAAGCTACCGTAATTACGTGTTGTGATCAAATTACACCCCGTTTACCTCAATATCTTGTTCGAAGCTCTCGAATCGTTCCAGTTTCTCTTCTCTTGTCCCAAAAAACGTATTGTTTTGATAGGCCTAAACGGTGAGTTTTGATAGGCCTAAGCTAGAAGTTAGATTTCAAAGGACTGACCTTCAACGTTTGCGCAACAATTTCTTGTTGTGCCTCCTTGTAGTCTCTTGGCTTGATCGGCCGGTGTTCGAACTTGGATTGGAGCTAGATTTGAGTTGTTTTTACTCAAGACTCAAGTAAGTGTTACCTTCTCAGCGAATGCTAAAATATGTCGACCTTTGAAAACTACCGTAATATTGTTTCACATCTTTACCCAATCCACTTTTATTATCTTTTGTGAACCATACAGAACAATGGTTAATAGATTGACTAAAAATTAGAGATATGATTACTGTAGTTTAAACGTTTTAGTAAGTTTAGAGGGACACAGATGAGTATGAAATGTATGGTGGTGGGATCACAATATCGTGTACCTTTTCATGAAGTGTGTAAAACGTATCCATGCCCGCCATTTTGGCCTTTTCAAAGTACAGCTTGCTCGTGGCCTGAAAAGCAAATTTTCAGGTAGATATGTGTATTTTTACAAACTTGAACCGCTGAAACGATGAACTTATGGGAGTTCGCCTGAATGTATTTGACGAGGTTCTAAATTTTCTCGAATTTTCTCTGAAATTAGCTATAAAAACTCACATCAACATATGGCATCAAAGTGTCTCCGGTGAGCGTTGTTCCGAGTACCGTTTTTGGCATCAGATTTGAGAGGATGAACGCGGCACACTCGCTGAGCGCGTCCAGAAAACCGGGTCCACAATCTGAACATTATGCACAGAATCGTTTTTGCCAAATCTTTATTCATTTCTGGTATCTTTGCTGCATCTACCAGACTAATTCATTATTGAATTTTATTGAAAAACAAGAATTTGATACCTTTTGCGAAGATTTTCCCATCGGCACTTTGGACCTCTCTCGATGGAGTGGGCGCCATAAAACAGGCGACCTCGTCAAACGCATTCTCGATTCCCGTCCAATAATTTTGATTCTCGGACGAGCTCCTCGTTGTTTGCTAAGAGTTTCAAAAATCAGAGCAAATCTTTGGCTTGTTACGGTGTTTTTTTTTACATATGATAGAGGCTCGCAGCCAGGCCATAAGCCATGGCGGGACAAGCCAAATCAGACCGGGCCTAGGCCCAGACCAGGATCATAGCTTGACCCTGGCTGACCTACAAAATGTTGGTTCCAAGACTAGACAAGGTCAGGACCAAAATCCATGAAAATTCATGAGTATAGTATGCCTAGAATTTGGTTCTAGAATCAGCCCTGCTATCATTGATGATTAGAGAAAATGCTGGTGGATCTATCTCAATGTTAAAATGTAGGGACGGATGTCTAATTATATAGAAAATTAGCTAAAGATAGACTTTGTTTTGCATACTGTAGCTTAGCCACGAAATATAACTCTTTTGAAAGAGGAAACTAAACAAACCCGTATCATCTCAAGGTAATCCGGCGAAAGTCCAGACTTTAGAGTGTCTCGTAGCAAGATCAATAAAAGCTAAAGCACTTTTTATCAGTTACATATTTGCACAAACCTGTCCAACTTTATCGTCACTGCTTCGACTGTAATTGATGAAGCTGTTCAGCGAATCGAGATCTTGAGCGTCCATTCGATGAGTCGCGTTGAAAATCTGAAAATTAAGCGTCAATCTTCTACAATGTATATGTCGCAGCCGATTATGAATGAAAGTAGCTTTTTCTAGAAATTTGTCGTCAAATGCAAACTTTTTTTTTATGTTGTAGTTGGTAAAACCCCAATTCTCCCAGTTCGAGCACGTGTCGGCAACTTTCCCATTTCGACCCAGAATTTAAATGTTTTGAACCGTAATAGTTAGTAACCGTAACCATTTTTTGGCAAATTCGCGAACCACCAAAATTATCACCTTCGGGACCGTAAAGAAATCGATTTGACATCGCCTATCATGCTTTATACTTTCGAATAAAGTTTAAGATTTTCACGTTTTCACGTTTTTAACTTTTGTCTTTTATATTTTCATCGGACTAAATTCTTTTTAAGATGGAGGATCGATTCGCTGAAACCTTCACGCAATATCAATCTTAAAGAAAGAAGATTTTGATACCGTCTGCTGACAAATACAATGAAATCCTTGTGAAAATCAAAGAATTCAGCGAGGGAAACGATAAGAAGAAAAAAAACCACGCGATGATGTCAACTTGCTAAATGCTAATTATGATTTTCGCTAGGGAAATCATTTGATTCATAATCGGCTGCGACATATATACGGAGCTTGATTGGGCAAGTTTTTATGCTGTCAAATTAAAAAGAAAACAATTAGGAAAAAGTTAGACTTTACCCACCTTGCACGATGCCATCAACAACGAGATTGTGAAAATGACAGCCGATGCCGATGGGTCGCTGTTCAAGTCAAACGTACCTTGTGTATCGATCAACAGCACGGCCACCTATAATAGTAATCATTTTTGGTTCTTGCCAAGTTGCCGGGTATTATGAAGTTAGTTAAGTTAAGTTTTTAAATGAAAACTCGGTTCTTGTCGGGCCTCCGGGTATTTTGAATGAGTCGTCACGTTTTGAAAGGTTATAACTTTATCCAGGAATAATATTATTGCTAACTTTTTATATCATTGTATAGAGGACATTTCAGGCTTTTGAAAGACACCAAATACAGTTTGATTGAATTTTTTATTTCCATGCGAACAAGGCGACACTGCGCCCGGTTGGATCGGCCTCGTTTGTTCAGATTTGGCTTTGATTATCCAATCAAATTGTATTTGATGTCATTCGAAAGCCTGAAGTCCTCTATTTAACAATTTAAAAATTCACAATAATATCATATCTGCACAAAGTTGTGGCCCTTTAAAAGCGCGGCTACTCATTCAAAATACCCGGAGAACCGATAAGAGCCGAAAAGTCAAAAGTTCAACCTCATTGCCTTCTTTGTCGAGTCGATGAAACACTTGGGACCAAACCATAATCCCAGTGGTGTGTCGGGCGTCACCAGATTTAAATGGAATCCAGTTTCTGTAAGCGATTTAATGACTTGAGTTTAAAAATGAAATCCATGAAAACCCGTATTTTATGAAAAACCACATTTGGGTCGTAGGTGATTTTTTAAAATAGTTTTTGGTTCAACTGGGTTGAAAATTTCCACCCTGGGGCTTTCAATGGTGGTGAAATCGAATCCGGCATTAGCTTTTGGCTAGAGTACACCTGGGATTCGGAATTTGTGCTGCAACGTACTGGCCGGTAGGTCGTATCGATGGGTCTCGTACTTTTTTTGAGTCCTTTTGGGCTGAAAATTTGCACTTGGGGATTCTCGGGGATGGCAAATTCGAATCTGGCCTTAGTTTTTCAAAATAAAGTACCCAGTGCACGCAGCTTACAATTAATATGCCCACACCTCGCCGTGGCTAAAAACACTATAACTGACTTAAACACGTTATTTTTGGGATATCTTTTTAGATATTAAATTTAGAGATATTTTTCAAAATTTTCATATAAAAAATGAGCTTAATGGGCACATGCTCGAAAATGTCTCTAGTTTCAATATCATAAAAGAGAGCGCAAAAAATATTTACTTTAGAGAAAGTTTTCAATTCTTTGCATAAAAGTTTACTGGGATTTGCGATCCTTGTGCCTTCTTTTCTGGCACACTGCCCCGGATGTAGGGTCGGCCAACTTGGGTACTTAAACCGACACAGTAAATTGGTTTTCATTGAGAAAATGCTAGTTTTTCTTTGCTGAATAGTGCTTACGGCACCAAATAATCCCCAGAGCCGAAAACACTCAACTGTGCCTTTTGTGCATTTTAGAATGTCATTATCCAGCAATTATTTGACCCATTTATTTGGATAAAGATTTATTTGCTCAAAATTATCCAAATAATTATTTGTCTGAAATTAACATACCCTGCTAAAGAAGGTATTTGCAGCTTTCTAACCAAATAAAGTCTAAAAATCTATGCAAAATCTGAGATCACCAGCCCCGAAAACCCTATTATACAAATTTTGGGCTTTCTGGCCAAGCCAAAGTTCGTCGCTGTCCAAAAGGTCAGTCAAGTTGAAAATGGCTTCGTCGCGAATGTGTTAAATGGTTTGATACAAACCCGATGACATCGTCGGGGAGAAAAGTTGGTTTCGTCACACCGTCTTGCAAAGCCTTGAGTAAAATGTTCAACCAGAAGGTCTTCCCTCGACGATATTTCCCGGCAGTCGAAATGATAGCAACCTAAAAGCATGGATGATCTACACAATTTTCGAAAAAAATTAGCAAGCCTCCTACGTTCAGCCGTATTAAATTGTTATGCCTAAATGAGAAGTGTTCAGCCTGACAAATTTTTGCATTCAATTTGAAAGCATTCAGCCTTAAAGTCCGGGTTATTTAATTTACGAATAAACTGGGATTTACAATTTCTTTAAGCTCTTGTGCTATGCTCTGTGCTTTAGAAGCCGAAAGGCCAAATATCATATAACAAAGTTTGATACTATGAGTTATGACTGTTGAATATGTGATACTAGCTCTGCAATATGGTGTTATAAAGCGTATGTGCTAATTACGATTAGTAGTTCACACGATGGTACTGTGTAGTACACATTAAGTAGTAATAGTACTGTTTTCTGTTCGGCCGAACTTTGAACTAAAGAAACCAAAGGCAGAAATGTGTTAGCCTGGGCCAGAAAACATGAATTTCAACTTACTGGTTTAGATCCAATTTGTGCACAAAGTCTCTGCAAAACCTCTTGTTTGTAGTGCGTCTTACCATTATCGTCAATAGCGAAGAGTTGCTCCAAACCCTCCTGAAATGAAAAAAATCTGTAATCAAATTTTCTTTCCATACACTAACAATCGACATTTGAGTGGAGCTTGAGTGAATCGAGGAAAGGTTGCCGTCAGATGGAGTAGCCTCACTTAACTGCGCGAGGAACTCGGCGCTACTTGAGAGAATCAGTTCGATTGGATCCTCTCTACTCGTCGACTAAAGAGCTTCCAGTAATTCAAAGGGTAACAATCTATAAAAGCATTAAAACTCACTTTTTCTTGACTCGTTGAAAAGTTTTCGTTACTGAGCGTCATCCTAAAGACATTCTTTGTCAAAGTTTGGCATCAGTTTTCTTTATCGAAGTTTAGCAAAGCAAATTATTTGGCACCGAGCATAAAATTTTAACAAAACAATCCGCTTTCGATTCTGATCGAAACAAATCGGATTTTGAAACAAAATCCGCTTTGGGATTAGAGTAGGTTTCTGCTGGGTGACGTTTTCGAAAAGTCACCTATTTTTTTAAAAATTATTATACTCAAACTAGTGTTCTACATTTCATTAGCCCACTTTTGGTATTATTCAATGAAGAATCACAAGGCACAGTCAATGATCCAAAAATTGGGCTGATCGAACGAAAAAGGTAGTTGATTACGGTAGTAATGTCTTGATTTTCTAGCAATGTCTTAAAAGTAGATAAAACTTATTCAAAACCTTACTACAGTTCAAAACCTCGTTAGTAAATAACTCAAGGAAGATCGAAAAATCTATTGTACTATATTTACTATCAATTTATGGATGTTTTTTTTGTCAAAGGGGTGCTAGAAAACATATTTACTAAAGAGGTTCATTTACTAAAGAGTTTTCTGCTAACGAGGTTTTACTGTATTTTTAAGCCCAAAACTTTTAGTTGGAAAGGATCCTGAGGAGTACTGTAGATGGGTACAAGAAAGGGATAAAAAAAAGTAATCAAGTGGCTGTGGAGCCTCTCTTTTCTACTCTCAAATTCTTGCTCAACACTTTAACAACTCACTGATAAGGTCCCCTCGTTGCCCCAATCCCTTTTTGGTCGACTTTCGAAACTCATAATTTTCGCATCAAACAACATTTCAGTTTTCATATTTTTAAAACATATTGCACCTTATTGTGCGTTAGCTTAAAAAAACTTTTGACTCTCAATCACACTCAATAACTTGCGATAATCTGCATTTTCAGGAAATGGATAGCGGAATTTTTGACTGTGATTCAAGACAAGATTCAAGACAAGACAATTCCTGGGAGCCCGTCTGGAACAAAGATGACAATGTAATATTGTAAATAAACTATTGTAAATAAAAAAGTTTGCCATAGTCTACGCAGAAGTTGCTTATTGTTAGTTTTTTAAATCCAAATCAGGTTAAAAAATTTTTTTTAAAAGTGATTTTACCCTAAGATTACGTTTTTAAGGTCAGAGAACAAAGTAAAGAAAAATACTTTTTTTGATTGTTTATTGCTTAATCAATATTTATTACAGGTTGAAGAAATCAATGAACCGCTGGTACTCGTTTCGTTCGCTAATGGAGAGATTCACTTTGATGGAAAAGTAGCAAGGGATACAATTGACAACCCGCTGTATAAAAGCAAAAAAGGTAATTGATTTTCAATAGTTAACTAAAAGTTTGTTTTTCATAGCCAACATTTCCAGAAAAGATTTGTCAGTACGATGGGGGCATCGCGTTGCGGAAAAAGCTTTCTAATGACCTACCTCTCAAATGGGATCAAGAATGGTGAGATCAGGTGAGTTCTGTTTGAGGCACTGTCATTGTTACGAGATGACTTTTCAGCTAATGTTTGTTTTCCCATATCTGCATTTAACTTTTCCAACTTTTAGAGGCGTTTTCGAGTCGGGATTTCGTCGTCAAACGGAGGGAATCCTCATTTTTCCCCAGCCCTACATTGTGGATGACGTGAGTGGCAAAACTACACTAAATTTCGAATATTGCAATATATTCCCATTAATATAACTATGATATAACCACTAGAGTGTGTTCTTCTCAAGAAATAGTGTGAAATAGGAAACAGGTATGGTTGAAATAAACTGAATATCTTGCGAATTATAGAAGATATTCAAGATATTCAGTTGATTCCTACCGTAATCCGTTCCCTATTTCACAATATTTCTTGAGAAGAACACACTCTAATAACCACACTCCTCTAATAAGCTTTTGCCTCGAGAAGGCATTTGAATGCTATAGTATCCTAGCATAGTCCCACCCTCTGATATAGCTCAATTATCAGAGGGTAGTCGATATTAGTCGATACAAAGATATAGAGAGCAATTGAATCAGTATCACCCCATGGGATACCATTAGAAACTTAAAGTTCTAAGCGCCCCATAATATTTCAATTGACTACAGCGTTTTTCTGCACTACAAATTGAGCAGGATTGAATAAGCAGCTTTTTGCGTATGACACCGACGTTGGAGGAATTTAGGCTTGAGATTTTTTCGGTTTACCCACTACAGTTCTAAAGTAGCTAAAGTGTCTAAAGACTTATGGACTAAGACTAAAGACCTAATACATACTTTTGTATTCTTCGATGTCCTTCTTGAATGCTTGCAGTCCATAGTAGATACCTAGATTACGATAGCTTTTCGGAAAATGACACACTTTAGAAAACACCTTATTCGAGAAGGACACAGGTAACCACAGAGTTTCTGCCAACAAGGTTTACTGTAGCAAACCATGAGTAAGACTTTTCTATTCGTTTCAAGAAAAAACGGCGCCACTAATCGTTTCGTTGCAATACACTCCTTTTTGCTTAGCAAGAAAAAGACATACTTTTGAATGATAAAAGCCTTTATTAGGCGATGCGCTTCTCGAAGCTCAACATATTATGACACAGGAAATTTAATTGCTCAAATTTTTCACAAAGCTCGCTGAAAAAAATATTTTGGCGCCAGATTAATTTTGGACTTTATACCTCAAATAAAATTTTTTTGCTTTTGTTTCTTATCATGATTCAAAAAACGTAAAATTATTGTGTCAGGAATTGAGAGGGAAATTAAGAATCGCTTATGGACCCATAAAATGAGTAGAAAACAAAAAAAAAGAGGCTGAAAAATTTTAAACACGAAAGTACAATAGGTATTTGGAAAAAAGTATAATTGCTTTTAGAGCAATATAGTTAATTTAGGTTGTTCTGTTCGACCCCAAAACACATGCTAACATTTTTCGGGTTGAATACGGTGTGGTAGAGTTGGGCATGCTTGTCTCCACTACTTACAGTGGTGAGGGATCAATTTAACAAGGGTGTATCGCCGGAAACGATCAGACGACGATTAAATCAAGCTGGATTATATGCAAGAAGGCCTGCCGGTAAACCTCTGATGAGGCATAAGGCAGCCTTCGAAGCGAATTTCTTTTCCTTGAGTCGCGACTGCACAAATAACCAGAGATGCTCGATAACATTGATATCCGGTGACTAGGGAGGCGGATTGATCAATTTGCCTCGACTTGCCGCAAACCAGCCCGGAAGTCGTGCTCGTGTACCATTTTGAAGAGTCACCACCGTTCCCATCATGAGCCTTGACTTGTGTTTCGGATCGTTGTCCTGGTAGAGCATCCATCCAGGAGGCATTGTCTGTGTGGCAAAAGGCAGCATTTGGGTCTCCATAATGTTCTTGTAAGCCACAGCATTCATCGTTGAGTTGACGTGAACTAATGGACCTGCTGAAGTTCGTGACATCGCTCCTAAAGAAAAACAGTCAGGTGACAAAATACTAAAAAGGCTCTTGCCCCAACACATTATGTTGCCTTCATTGAATTTCACCGTAGGCCGAATGTACTTGAGTGTGTATCGCTTTCCAGTCGGCGGCCGAATAAGATGGTTTCCGTCCGCGTGAAATAAATTGATTTTTGTCTCATCGGTAAATAGCACTTTCGCCCAATCACTTTTTGTCCAACTTCGGTAGGTCCGTGCAAAATCAAGGCGCTGCTTCCGGTGCTTAGAATTCTTCAGGTTTACGGGCAGCCCTTCTTGCATATAATCCAGCTTGATTTAATCGTCGTCTGATCGTTTCCGGCGATACAACCTTGTTAAATTGATCCCTCAACACTGTAAGTAGCGGAGGCAACGCGGCGCGTGCCCAACTCTAACGTAATCAACCCGAAAAATGTTAGCATGTGTTTTGGGGTCGAACAGAACAAACTAAATTAACTATATTGCTCTAAAAGCAATTATACTTTTTTCCAAATACCTATTGTACTTTCGTGTTTAAAATTTTTCAGCCTCTTTTTTTTTGTTTTCTACTCATTTTATGGGTCCATAAGCGATTCTTAATTTCCCTCTCAATTCCTGACACAATAATTTTACGTTTTTTGAATCATGATAAGAAACAAAAGCAAAAAAATTTTATTTGAGGTATAAAGTCCAAAATTAATCTGGCGCCAAAATATTTTTATCAGCGAGCTTTGTGAAAAATTTGAGCAATTAAATTTCCTGTGTCATAATATGTTGAGCTTCGAGAAGCGCATCGCCTAATAAAGGCTTTTATCATCTAAAAGTTAATCTCTTTTTCCTGCTAAGCAATTGTAAAAGGGGTGTATTGCAACGAAAAGATCAGTGGCGGTCTTTTCTTTAAACGAATAAAAAAGTCTTACTCATGGTTTGCTACAGTAAACCTTGTTGGCAGAAACTCTGTGGTTACCTGTGTCCTTCTCGAATAAGGTGTTTTCTAAAGCGTGTCATTTTCCGAAAAACTATCGTAATCTAGGTATCTACTATGGACTGCAAGCATTCAAGAAGGACATCGAAGAATACAAAAGGATATATTAGGTCTTTAGTCTTAGTCCATGAGTCTTTAGACACTTTTTTCTATTAGCGTTTATAAATGACAAATTCACCAATTGACCTAGAGTTGGCTCTAAATAGAAAATATTTGTTTTTCATTTTTTATCTTTTTAAGACAATTTAGGTCCTTTTCCAAGCAAATTCGATTGCAAAAACTCGTTTTTTGGTAAAATTATTCGATAATAAGCTCTACAAAGGAATCGATTGAACAGATCATCCTGAAAATTCGGCTATATACCTAACTTTTTGCGCTCTATCTTTTTTTATTGACACCAAAATAGGTTTCTTTGGGCCAAAGTGTCTAAATCACTGTTTAAATCATAATAGGATCGTCGCTTTTTTTTGACTGCCCGACTTCGCGCTCCCATAAAAAAACCATAGAGAAAACATTTCATAAGATTCGAACGTTATTTTGTAGAAAAATAGTAGGCCTTTCTAATGGAGTCAGTTGTAGGCCAATTGGTGAATTTGTCATTTATAAACCTTCAAAATCTATTTGCCGTTGTTTTCTTCAATTTCTTCTCACTTTTCGCAGCCATCGCCACACAGTCATTCGTCCGCATTAACGTCCAGCCAATTTCCGGGTTGATCCATCGTGATTTCGCAGGAGTCGGTACCTCAGAATCGATACCTTAGGATCGATCCACTTTCCGGGGTCGGCCACTTCCGCCCTTCCGTTTGATCCTCGTGTTGCCCGTCTTGAATTTGTGAAACCATTCCTGTGCAGATTGATTGATTTCTCGTGCTGCTTTGGCCGCTGAAATCCCTCTGAAAATCGTTGGAGTAGTTGGGCGTGGATTTCTTCTCGAGTTGGCTTCATTCGATCGACTGCAACTCTCTTCTCGTGTCGATCCCTAGAAATGAATGTTAATGCAAGAAAGAAAAAAGTTTTAGCATGAAAAAGAAAAAAAAGATAATACAAAACGTTGTGTTGTGAGCGAGTACTGATCAAAACAAAAATCTCAGGATTTTTATGGGACAATCTAATATTAGAAATTTGATCGCAAAGCAAATAGATTTTGAAGTTGCCAAAGGGGTCTTTTAAATCGATAATTTCGGTCTAGTAAGCACTTTGAATCCAATATGAACCTTTCCTTTGACTGGTATAAGTTTTTGGTACTAGCAGTTATATACGCCCTTGAATCAAGTCGGTTATGTCCCCTATTGCATCAGGTCGATGATGTACCCAAAATTTGCTTTTTAGTGTAATTAGCATTGGAAAAACACTATTACATTACAGGGTGCGGCAAAAGTTCCGACACTTTTTGTAAACGGGCAGTTTGACTTGGAAAAAACGCGATTTTTGAAAGTTCTATCAAATGGTAACAGCAGTTTTTGGAAAAAATTTCATTCTGCAAAGTTTAAGTCAAGTTTCGCAAAAATCTTCAGCGACCAGACCGGGATATAAAAAATTCTTGTCGAAAAGTTATTGAGAGTTGAAATCTTTTTATGAAAATGGCTATATTGGGGTGAAACTACCTAAATTTTTAAAATCCGGCGTTAGTTTTTTGAAACTCACGGGTTTTTGAAGCCAAAAAAATTACTGCTTACAGAAAAAGTGTCAGAACTTTTGCCGCACCCTGTAGTTATAGCTTCCGAAATCGGCATTTAAAATAGTAAATCAATCAATTTTGGGTACATAACCGACAAGTACCACTTCTTCTTTGTCTTACATCTAGACAATTTCAGAAAGCGATCTTCTTCCTTGACACTCAAGGTTTATTCGATTTGGAAACAAATCGAAATGTCTCCGCCCAAATCGCTGCTTACAGTCTTTTGCTTTCCGATTTACAGGTATTACAACTACAAAACCCAGGCAATTTGCATTCAGATTATAAACTTGGGGAGCGTGCTTAGCAGTGATCAGCTGGAAACATTGCAATTCTTCGTGGATTCAATTGCTTCTTTTCAAGAGACACTCTTGCCTAAAGTGGACAAAAAGCTAGCCGCCTTTTACATAAAATTTTAGGGTTTGCTCTTTGTATTAAGAAATTTTCCCAACTGGCGAGAAGTGAACTACATCGAAAATGTTTGGGTTAGTCTTTTAAAAGTTGAATGGTGAAAATGGTTTTGCAATTTTGAACGATGTCTTTGTCTTTTAGAAAGGATCGGAAAGCTCAGAAGTGCTCAAAAAATGCACACGAGGTTTGAGAGATCGTTTCTCGGATCGAATCACCTCTATTTGTGTGCCAACTCCATCATTGGATGTTGTAAAGGCAAACGGTGTTGCGAAAGTGACTAATGAGGGTGAACTTTAAGCAATAACTTTTATTTTACTCAACATCATTCAGACAAGGATTTCTTTGGTCAACTCGAGAAAGTCAAAGCTTTTATCGAACAATTTTTCACAGATGATTCAGAAGTCATCGATCGTAATGCAGAAGAAATCATTGCGCTAGCTGATGTTGATTTGATTGAGAAAATAAAACTTTCAACTTTTAGGCCATGACAAACTTTTTGCAACGTGATGCTCCGCAACTAAAACCAGTGGCTGTGGTAGAAATTTCTTTTTCAGAATATTTAGGATACAAGAAAAATATTCAGATCGTCGAAGAAAGGGAGATTCTTTTCGCTGTCAACCGGACATTCGATAGATTTCTGGCAATAATTAAAGTAACCGATTCGAACACTCAAAATTTAATTTTTTTTATAGAACTCTACGGCAGAAACTATTGAATTTTACCAAGATCTGGCAACGCAAGAAGTTCAAGGAAATTTGAGAGAGTTGCTCAAAAACAAGAACGCCATCGAACAGGCACAGGCGATGTTAGGACCAAAACGAGAGGTTAGAATACGAACTTTTGGGGAAATCGATTGGATAGTTTAAAGGACGAAGCTTAGAGTGTAGCACGTTTCACTTAAATAGCGTGTTTTCTAAAACATGTCATCTTTTGAAAACTACCGTAATCTATCTAGTTTTTATCCAATCTTCTATTTAGTAGGTATTCTTTATGAACTCTTGCAGAATCAGTAGATACCTAGATTCGAAGTATTAGGTTGTTCGGATATAAACGAGCGTTTTAGTCGTTGACAAAATTTTCTTAAAAACCGAAACAACACAGTTTAATCCAAAATATATTCACCATTATTATTGATTACTTCTTGCCATCTTTTGCGCAAAGAGTTGATGCCGCTCTTGAAAAACTCAGCCGGCTGTGACTCGAAAAACATCGCGACCCAATTTTGGACATCTTCACGAGCTTTGAATTTCTCATTGGTCAAAAAGTTTTGAATCGACCGGAATCAAAGGTAATCTGAGGGAGCCAAATCGGGAGCATACTGCGGATGTGGTAAAACCTCCCATCCTAGATTCTCTAGTTTTTGCTGAGTCATTTTTGCAACGTGAGGTCTAGCGTTGTTATCGATGAACTTTATCTCTGATGTGTCTACTCCTTAACGAATGAGAGCTTCATTGACCCGATCAAGTTCCTGTTTGTAGAGGTCGGATGTGACTGTTTGGCCGGGTTGTAGAAGCTACATACACAATACACAAGGACCTTGTTATTCCACCATACTGAGAGCATGACCTTTTTCCCATGAATGTCCGGTTTCACGGTCGGATTTGGCCGTTCTCCTGGTCCGTTTTCCGTTTTCATTTTCGAATAGTATTATCGAAATGGATCCACTTCTCATCTCCAGTAACGAGAGAATCAAAAAAGCCATGATCTTTAGGGTGGCGGATGAGGATTTCGGTAATAGCGACCCGTGAAGCCTTGTTTGCACTGTTTAACTTGTGAGGAAGCCATTTCCCGCATCTGATCGTCTTTCCAATGGCGTGGAGATGCTCATCAATGGTAGAATTTGAACATAAAAACTGTTGAGCAAGTTCGCGCGTCGTTTGACATGGATCCGGTTCGATTGCAGCCCTCAAAATAACGTTGTCTATCGCTTGAGGTCGACGAGAGTGTTCATCATCCTCGAGACTTTCATCACCATTCCGAAAGCGTCGGAATCAGGCTCGGCATCGGCTTTCGGACAATACATCATTCCCAAATGCTTTGACCAAATCTCGATGGGATTCTGCGACTGTTTTGCCCAGTTTGAAGCCGTAAAGTAGACAGACGCGAACTTGATGTTTCAAGTCGGTCATCTAAAGCAAGAAAAAAGCTCTTAGAAATAACTTATCCGTTTAAAAAAATTCCAAATAGGCACAAGATAACGTACTTTTAAATACAGAAAGACATGTTTTAAAAGCTTCCCTCACAACAATAAGTTTAGCAACGCTTGTTTATTTCCGAACAACCTAATAGATACCTAGATTGAATAAAGAACCAAGATTACAGTAGTTTTCGAAAGTTGATACTTTTTAAAAAACGCTCAACTAACTTCACTGGCTAAAAGCTATTTGGTACTATTTATTATATATAAAAGAGCAATGTCGGGCTGTCTGTCTGTACGGGCATTTTCTCGGCCGTGTTTTGACCAATAGAGCTAAAACTTCTTCAAAAAATCTTAGAATATATTGTAGTTGTGTCATTTAAAAAAAATTTTTAAATCAAAGCTGGACGAAACACCCGAGAATCGAGCCCGGGTCGTGTGGGTCGTAGCCAAGCGCGCTCCCGACTGCGCCACGGTGACAAGAACTGTGACCCAAAAGGTCCAGCCAGGAAAACCCGAAGTTAGAGGGGTTTTTCGGCTGGTGGAATTCTATCCCCCAAGAAGCTCGCCTTTTACACGCACCGATAGGAATACAGGGTGTCTCATAAAAAAGGTTTTCAAATCGAACTTCCTAAAAAATTCTGGTGGCTACATGTGGCCGCTTTGGGTCAAAAGCGTTTATTTGTGCGCAGGAATTTGGCACCTTTTTTCTTTTTTTTCACCATATTTTGATACCCTGTGCAGGGTGTCCAAAACAAAAAGTAACTTTGTGTCTAATTTCTAATAAACTGTAAGTGGCTCAAAGTGGTAGGTATGGTGCAAAAGCGATTTTTTTTTGGGGTCGCAAATTTTTGATCTCTTATCCCTATGATCCCATAATGCCGCTATTTTTTTCAGCAAGCCATCCAGGAAAAACGCAGATACTTCGAGGCTCTAGCTATCGAAAAAGCAACGGAGAAAAACATTGAAGAATTCAGCGATGAATGGAAAACTCGAATTGCGAAGGTTTACTTGTAAACATTATTGCATTTAAGTTTTTAAAGCTCAACGACCTTTCAAACGCGGTAGAGCTCAAAGAGAAGCTGGGCATGGAGTCGGATTCACTGAAGATTCCGGATTCAACAAAACATGTGCTAGAGGTGAAGATCTTAAATTTCCCGGCTAGAGTTTAGTCCTCTAGCTATAAAAGCTGGTTCACTATTTGGCTGTATTTTAAACCGAGAGGTCAGAAGTAACATAAGTGTGCTTAGGCTCGTCTCGATAATCGAATTGCTTCACTGACCGTCGGCTACGCGGCACGGGAAAAGGACGAAATCGAACGTGGTTTTGCCGAGTTTTTAGTAAGCTGAAAATACTCTTGAGTTTCTCATAACATCAAACTGTCGTTGAAACCTCTCATTTCAGCGACAAAACCAGAAGAGTATTGATGAGGATTTGTTAGACCAAAGAATATCTCAACAAATGGAACGACTTCGGGAGTCATGTCGAACAAATGCAATCAACGATGACTATTTGGTGGAAATCGTGGAAGATGTTGGATTGGCGTTACAGGTTTGAGTAAACGTTTGCTCTAGATATAAAGTGGCTCTGGTTTCATTTCCAGAATGAATAGCACTACAATTAACATCAAATTACACATTTAGGAAATGAAAAGAAATGCTCTAAACGATTTGGAAATGTCAAAAAGTAGACCCATGTTGCCAAACGCGTTGCCACCTTTGAAGACGCTTAAGCCAACCCCAAGTGTACCGGCTGATGCTCAAGTGGTAAGCTTTTTTATAATAGAATTCTTGATTAGAATGCCATTTTGATAACCCTAGAATTTTTTTATCTTAAATCTTTTCCTTAGCATGAATAAAAAGCTCAAGTGTTGCTGCTTTCATCTCTATTCAACATCTAGGAAAGACAGGGTCTTCAATATTTATGGGGGCCTTTAGGCTCGCAGATCGTTTATCGCTCTTATGAAAAAATCGCCAAGAAAAGAAAAAAGTTGGAACAAGGTTGACTTTCTAGGTTATTTTTTTACAGTTTACTAAATTTGATATTCCAAAAATCGATTCATCGGAACTCGATCACCAAACTTCACCAAATGGAGTCAGATTGCCCAATTGTTTTTTGTTGAACGATGAGAAAGTCTTCACTATTTCGAAATTACTTCACTATTACACTATTACTTCACTAACAGTTTTCGAAACTACGGGACATTAAATTAGTCAAAACCACATTTCAGTTTTGGTCCTTGCAAGAAATCTTAACGAGAGTTTGTGACAAACTCAATTTATCCGACCTCCGTACCACAGTAGGCGCTTTCTACAGGTGTTTCTAGGCAAGCAACAGCACAAAAGGCAATAATTTTGAAAAAAGTAATCTAAAGTTGTTAGGCATATTTATAAGTGTGTTTCCTTTTAGCATTAAACTTGTACAAAATGAGCTGTAAACCTAGTATTGGTCCCCATAAATATTGAACACCTTGTAGTAAGTATTCTATTAAAGGGTCGCATTCTAATAGTGAATTTACACTGACTCATTTCTATTTTATTACAAGTTTTTAGATCAACCCAGAGCCATCAATGAGACCAATCGCCGATTCAAGCAGAATGCCTGTGCTGCGACCAAACGTACCTTTATCAACTGCCGAGTCCAGTCTGCCAGTGATGCCTTATCGCCCGAAGCCAAATGATCAGCCAACTTTCACGTCAAATCCAAACCTCTCAATGCGGAAGAACTTGGCACAGCCACCAACAAAACAACAACAAAACAACAACAAAACGAGACCCAAGCCTGTACGACCAGAAGAGCAACTCAACCAGAATTCTACATGGACTACCGTGCAGCCGCAAGCTATCGTTTTCCCTCCTACCGCTAGTCGTGCAGTTGTCAAACGATCTTTTGGTGCAGTGGAAAGAACTCGCCTAAATTCGTATCCCAGTCCTAATCAGAATTCTCTGTTGCGAAACGGCTTCACCACGACTGCCTTTACATCAAGCAAACCGCCCTACACCACCCAGCCCAACCCAATTTCGACGAGTTCAAGGTCATTAAAAAATCATTTACCCGTTTCACCAATAGGTATCACAGAATTTCACCAAGCCGTACCCCAATGTGTAGCTTTGGGCATTTGTATGGCTTTTCGTTATGCCATTAGAGTTTTTAATAGGTCTCGATAGGTAACCGATCTCGAACTTGATAAAATTTTGAATTACTTTTATTGGCAAAATGACGAAATATTGACATATGCACTGTTAAAACATCATTTCTTTTACAGTAAATTGAGAATTTTTCCAAAGATTGATTTTGAGGGTTTTGTTTGATTTTAGTTTGACCCGGCTGAATGGTAATGGTAATGCCGAGAGATTGATGCAAACCTTTCGCGTGCCGCCCGAAGAAATTGAAGTCTTTGATTAAGTTTTCGTAGAAATCTCAAAGTTTAGGCAACAATGTCGGCGCTTCAGTCTTACAAGCTGTGGCAAGACCTTCAACCAAACTTGCACGGTGTTCTTAAGAAGGTGAGACAGTGGAAAAAACGAATATGTAAACATAAAAAGAATTGAATTTAAAGATTTAAAAATAAAAACTAATGTTCTCCATCAAAAGCAAAGGCGTTAATCAAACACGAAAGCCGCAGTTTCTTTTAGTGTTTCGGCTTAACTCCTTTACGTAACTGGGATCCTCAAAGTATCGACGCGAAACGCCTTGAAGAAAACATCATCGAACGCTTGAGAGAGGTAGATTTCGTAATCAAGTATCGAGATAGTTGGAAATTGCACAAAATCTTTTTGAAATTCGCAATCTAGTTACATTTTGCACGGTATACATTTTCGTTTTAGAGTCCAAATTTCAACAATTTGCAGGATCCAAGCGCCGCCGCTTTATGGACCCCCCCAGAAATGGTTCCTCTTTGTCGATAAACCAATTGCAGTGATTAAAGAAATTGAGCGACAATTGAGTCAAACTCGGAGTGACATTGATCTCCAAACACTGTTGAACGATGCTCTCTTCAACACGTACCGCATTGACTTTAAAAAGCTTGCGGTTGAAATTTTGTCATTGAAAGTGTGAAGGCAAATGAATTTAGGCGACACGGCGACCGCGAGAGGAGATTTTGCCTGTTTTCAATAATCAAATTCCGCCCGCCAGCATGCCGATGATTCCGATGGCGTTGCAAAGTTTCCAGGCGAGTCTTTGGAAAGCGTGTATAGAGAAATTTTTCAAAACTAAACTTGGCAACTTTTGGAAACTACCGTAAGCTTGCCTTTAGTTTTTATCCGATCTAGCTACTTTTGGTCTGATTCTCTGATGTCTGATGTTTTTGGATAGAGTAGATTGTGGATATAAAATACTGAGATATCTTTAGCAAATAATGGAAAAAAAACCGCATGATGATATCTTTTCCCTAACTCCTTTTACACACATTTCCTGAGGCGAGTCGGCATCCTATGGTCGCTCAGAAAGTTTTATGTATGGAGACTCATAAACTTGAAAACGGGAAAACTTGAAAAAATACAAAAAATTGTATGCAAAGGTTAGTCATTTTGACGGGACTTAGTCAAAATAGCGCCGCCAAAACAACGCCATTCAAAACCACGTCGTTCAAAACAGCGCCCATACAAAAATAGCGCCGTTCGAAACAGCGCCAAATTTAAAGATTTTAATGTAGATTAATCAATGCTGTGTTCGATAAAAGGTTCGATAAAAGCGTTCGTTCGGAGTGTTCGATAAAAGCTTTATTTTTTTCGTGCATTCTCAAGTAAAATAATAGATGAAAACTTGTTTATTCAATTAACGAAATGAAAAAATGAAACAACGGAGTTAACACAGATGAATGTAACAACATAAAGATTTGAAATGATCGACTGGATTCTTACCCAAAAATCCATTTTGAACCGCAACTTTTCTTACACGCTAGCCGTGAACAACTTTCGACGATTGAGGTGAAGAGGTAGAGTCATGTGCCGAGATTTAGCCGCATCAAGACGTTTTTCGAAGTCTTCTTGAACATCTCGTAGCGTTTGAGCAACATAGCAGGCAGAACAACATGAAGTAAGAGCCTAAATCTTTAAACATTAACAAAACATTAAAAATACAAACTTTTAGTAAAGAATTGTAAGATTCCTGAGACGAGTTGTCAAGTTGTTCGCCACGATAGTTTGTATCATACGAGTTCCACGTTTCAATGGAGTGTGTCGGTCGAATGAAGGGACTATTTTGAACAAATCCAACAAAAAATTTTTCGAAGTACGAGTATAAGCCTAATTTAAAAAAATTAATTTATAACAAAGGTAAACAACAAACCGTGTTAATAAATTTGTGAATTTGTGAATTTGTTTGAAGGCTTCATCTCGTAGTGGACGAAAATATCGCAGGACATCAACAGGCTTTATGAATGTTAGTGCAAGCAATCCTTTCACGTAGACAAACGTATTTGGATCATAAAAGATGTCTTGTAGTTTCTTCTCCTAAAAGAATAGATAAATATTAAAAAAACCAAAGTTTAATGACCTTAATTTTGCGAAAGATGGCCTTGAAGAAATGAAAAAAACAGAAATGGATGGTTGATGTATTCTCATGGACTGTCAGAAAACCGTTGACAATAGCCAGCTTCATATCTAAAGATGTTTTAGAAATTATTCGATGCAAAAATAAACAAGAAAATAACCTGTTTTCATTTTTGTCGGTGGTGGTAATCCCAATTGTTTGACCAGACCAAAGACGTCGCTATACGTTTGTATCAACTTGCTTGACAGAAATGCATATGCACACGGAACGAAAAGATATTCTATCTTCTATCTAAAAACAAGACTATAAAACTATAACATAACAAAAAACCTCAACCCCGATCGCTAGAATTTGAGAAAACCCAAAGGGAGCCGCATGAAACGTACCATCAATATTCGAAATTGAGTGCTAGAAGTATTAGGTTGGCGACATTGAAATTTCGTTTGCGTTTCTCTTTATGGATTTTAACACTGTGGATACTATTACCACCGCAATCTCTTCTGTTTTAAAGATATAAGTATTGTGCTTTATTACGCGTCTTTTCTTTATTTCCAGTTGAAGAATTTTAATAAAAAAATCTTTTAGATGCTAGACGATCTCAAATATCGACTTCGCATTTGTATGCCGTACGATTTCAAACAAGAAAAAACAGAAACGGAATCGCATGAATCACTTCGTAACGTATTTGGGAAAGATGTTATCATTGTTCATCAACATCAAAACTGGTTCAAAAGATTTCGAGAGGGTGACGGAAGATCTGGAACGAGGACACTGCTCATAGGCTGTGGCAAACGACAATTTGAAGCAGATAATCGAAAGTGATCCAAAGCGACAACGATTACACGTGAACTTGCGGAATATTTTAATTGTGATCATAAAACAATCGAAAACCATTTGTATGAATCGTTTTTGGCGACACAGTGCATCTCACGTATCTAAAAATATCAACAAGAAACAATAAGTTAAACAAAACAATACGTACCTCCTGCTTTTCTTTCAATGGCAGGCAAATCATAGCGTGCTCGTTGGTGACAGAAAGGACTCCAGTTGCTTCATCTTTATGCATCCTTCCCCGGCAGTTTGTTTTCGTACAACTGAAAGAAAACTTCTAAATGTTCAACGAATACACAACCAAATTAGTAAAAAGAAATTACCGATAAGCTGTAGCTACCCCTTTTCGGATAGTTTTGTCCTTCCGATACTCGTTTCCATCTTCATCGTAAAGTAGAACTCCACCTTTCCGAGATAGCGACATCCCTAAATGAAAAAAAATGTTGAGATACAAAAATTTTGCAAAAAAGCGTAAAAACTAGCTTAACCTAGTTTATTTAAGATCAAAGAAACAAAGTTATTACCCTTTACAAGTAGAACTTCTTCGCAAAGGATATTGTGTGAAAAGTGCCTGTGATTGTCGCTAACCACGCCGAATCACTTACAACGAGTCTTCTATTCCTTCAGGCGACGTTCTTTTACCTAGAAAACACAAAATTAAGTAACAAGAACAGTAAAAACAAGAGAAAACCATTTTTTTTATTTGACACCCTGTATAGCAACATTAATGACTAAAATCTTTAGCTAGCTGTGATTCTGATGAATACTCAAGGAACTTTTGATACAAGCAGTAATATGAATGATTCGGCAACCATTTTTGCCATTTCTTTGTTGATGTCATCGGTTAAGGTTTTTATATTGAATAGGTAAATTCTATCAAGTACAATAATGAATAGATCTTCAATACAAAAACCCAAATTGATGCTCAAGGTTTGGATGCTTTGAATACTTTTATTTCATTCAGTCAATTGAGCAATGATAAAATTCGGCAGGTGAGAATTACCTTCCAGAGCAAAGTAATCTTTCATTCAGCATTTTCTGATTATGGTTCGTGATGCTCTCTACAAAGGACATAGAAATGATTATCTTGAAGAACTTAAAGTATTTTCTCTTCTTGAAATATTATATTCAAAGTCTCATTTATATAGACTCAAGCAAGCCTAACAAAAGAACCCCAAAGCCTTTTGAATGGAGTCTTTGAAGCATTTGATAAAGTTGATTGTTACATGATTCCACATCCATCATTGGCTGTCACCGAAGCAAATGGACAAATTCTGGCCAAAGGTTATTTGGAAATACTAATATTCCCGTCTGCAAGCAACAAATTTAAACGATAGATTTGAAAAAATCATAATCCATTTTAGTTGAGCAATTTCAGATTGTGGTGAACCATTCCTTGATACATTGTGTGAATGTGCTAACTATTTGTTGGATAATTTGGAGCCAAAAGTTGTGATGGGAACGCCATTGACTGGAAGAACGCTGAAAGCGCATGTTGAGGTTAAATTTATAAACATCAATTGAACTCAATCTTTTTTAACCCATTCGAAACTTCTGCAGCGAATAATCGCTGCAACAAAAACTCAGAAACGGACCGCTGCAGCGATTATTCGCTGCAGCGCTAATTGAGCTATTTTCATTCAATTAATTGGTTTTTTTTTTGCTGTTTTTCAGCATTACATGTATATTCCAATTGTAGCAGATCTACAAATTACGTGGGAAAAAAGATGTTTCATATTTACCCGGAATCAATGCAGTCTCTGGTTTTGCATTGAAATGTTCCATAATAGCTCTAATCTTATAAAGCCGATCTCCTGCAGGATCCAGTTCATTATCACAAAAACGCAGGTTTCGAAGAATAGATTCCAATTTTGCTCTTGACATAATGTGGGACATGTGGGAAAATCCTCCTAATCCAGGCCTGCTACTCCAGTAGTCACGAATCCTCGGTAATTTGACGATTCCCATTTGAAGGTACAGAGCCAGGAAGAGCTTGAAAGATTTTGCATCGAAATCCTGCCAGTTTGTTTTCCTTTTTCCATGTTTATTAGATTCGCCTACTAACATATTGATTAATTTGTCGTCGATAAAATAAGAATAATAATCGATAGGATCTTGAAAAGTACTGAAGTCAAATCCAAATCGTTCTTCATCAAAAATAAATGGCGTAGGAGACTCTCTTACATCTTTCCAACCTTAAATAAACTCTCTTCGGAGTCAAAAATGTCAAAAAAGGGCTTGGTCCGTAGACGAAAAAAAAGAAAAAACGCTGCGGTTTCGAATGGGTTAATAAGCGTGAGAGTTCTCCTAATAAAATAGATCTAGAACCTTGTCGACCACATTCGGAACGCCAGCCACCAGCTTAATACCCAGCAATAGCTTTTTCTACCCGGATATTCTCCAAAGTTTGTTAAAAGCCCAGAAAATTGGCGCTGTCAAAGGGAATCACAAGAAAGCTTTCCCAAAAGCAATGGCTCATTTTTCCGTTTGACTTTCAAATTTTTTATATTGAATAAATTCGGTGTTTTTAATTTGGAAAATAAACGGTTTCCATTGCATGCTTTTGACTAAGGAGTAAGTTTTGAAATATTATGTTGCATACCGAACAAAATAACCCATGATAAGCAATAGAAACACAAAGCAAACAAAAGCGTATAATGTTTATCAAAAAGTCAATCGATCATCAGTATTTTTGAAGAAACCTTTGAAATTTGGTGTTCTTTTACACCAGCAGAAGCCACTCACCTACGGCAGGCGGCTCTGCTTTTGTTAGTAGGGCTTATTTTACATACAACGAAATTAACATACGAAACCAAGTTAGCATACTAATCCAAATTAGCATTTTGTGGATATATTGCCGCAATCCCGACTTTTTGCTATTTGGTGGATAAGCTACCTTAGACCAAAGCTGAAAATGAGCCATAATAATAGAGACACTAAGGGGCACCTAATGAAAAAGGAATCAGCTCAAACGAACCACTGGGCGCCGAAAAATCCCGGGAACAGACACACAGAAAGGCACACACAACCGAACAAGTTCTCTTAATAGAGAGGGAAGATTTCTCCCATTGGGCGGGGAGGATTGAACCAAAAATTTAGCGGCTGTGTACTCAAGGTAAAACGAACAAAAGAACTGATAAGGCAAGTGTTACATTTTTTTTGAAGGAGAGTGCTTCACTGGTTTCACCGTTATTGAAATACTTTTAGCTAGAAATCAGTAGGGTATTTATTCGTTTTCTTGCTTTTCAAACAGTTTCGCATCTCATGGCTACTGCTACGGTGCAGATTACCTACTCTCTGAAAATTTTCCTATAGAGAAGGTTGAAATAGAAATTCTATTGGGTTGGTGAATTGAAAACTGCCGGACTTTGAACTAAAATTGCCGGCTTCTGGTGGCTTACAGGCTTTAGGGTTTGGAATATTTTGACAAAACCCAGTTGGAATACAATTCAGCAACACCTTTCATCAACGCTTCATCTTTTTGGAATACAATCAAGTCCAAATCTAAATATATATCTTTTAGCTATGTCACATTTCAATTTATTGATTGTGGTGAGTTTTTGTGTGAGAATAGGTCAGGTGTACTTTGTGCTCAAAACAGATCCTTCCTAGTGCACTGAAGCCTTCATTTTCTCACGATGAAATGTGGAAAGCAAGCTAAACGACACGGATTTTTACCAATTTACATTTAATTTGCCAAAATTTAGGCCCATCTTTTTGTATTTATTGGTTTGGTGAATTGAAAACTGCCCGACTTTGAACTAAAATTTATTCAACATAAAACCATCAATTCATTCCAAATAATTTCCATTATTATTGACGACTTCTGCCCGTTTTACAGGCAATTTGCGGATTCCTCTTTCGTAGTAGGATTTTGGTTTGTGTGTGAGACAAGTGTGAGACTCAAAAATGGAGGACTGGAGATGTCCCAGTTTGAGCACTTTCTTCAAAAGAAACCCATTTTGGTGTTAATAGAAAAATTGTAGAGAATGAAAAATTAGGCTTAGAGCCAAATTTCCAAAAAGATACACTTAGTAGTTTCGCTTAAAATGCAAGTTTTGTCAAAATTCGTAAATTTAGCATTTCTTGAAAACTAGTTTTTGAATCGTTCTGAAAATTTGGATATAAGCTTGATTTTTGATTCTCTACAACTTTTCCATTGATACCAAAATAAGTTTCTTTTGAAGAAAGTGCTCAAACTGTCACATATGACAATAGCTGGCAGTTTTCAATTCACCAATCCAATACTTAGCTGATGGAATTGTTAAAATTCTTAAAGCTATTAGATGAATAGCTTTTAAATACAATTATTATTTAGGCAAATGTTGTTTTTTTCTTCATGTGTTCGGATAAACCAGCGGCTTTCACGAAAATGACTCGAGATAATCCAACGGGAAAAATGCTTGCATCACCCGACAATCATCTCGAGAGAATACATCAAGAAACAATCATTCCTGCATAATTCTTTTGTTTCTGTGCACTTTTTTTATCATTACAGATAGGATCTCTATGAATTTGGTACATAAATTTTATCAATATTGGAGAAATCGATGAGAAATCACAAGAGATTCTGTAAATGGTTTCAAAAAAAAACTATAATCACTAATTTACATCAGAAATTTGCATAAATGCGGTCAAGAATTACTTTAATAGTGACTACCATGGAAAGAAACACTTATAAATATCTAAATTTTAAATTTAGAAGCCCTAAGCTACTTGCTAATGTTCAAAATTTGGTCACAAGGAGCTGCGTCTCAGCTCTCGAGTTTTGAAGTTCGATAGGATTGCTAATTTTAAGTTTCTGAGTAAAGTATTGAAGTGAAGGGTTGAAAAGAAGCTGTAGATTCTACCAAAAAAGTATGGAGACTGGTTAACTCTAGTCGGAGCTACGCACTGGAGAAAAAGTACCCTTAAGTCTTGAACCTTAGTATCTTATGGATCTTATGGAAACAGGCTTCTCAAACATTAACAAATTTGGGTCCATCTTTTTGTATATTCATTCTTATTTTGCTGGAAAATGCCTATTTTGAACTAATCTGATTGTTAAAATTCTTAAAGCTATTAAATGTAAATGTTGTGATGATTTTTGGGTAAATGATCATCTTTACACAACTATTTTTGGTAAAACAAATGCAAAAACTTGTCTGGTTCTGGTCCAAGCGGCCGATTACCCATCGCCGAATAGGGTTTCCCACAATGTTCCCGGTATTCGGCCCAATGTTGTTGGAGAATTGTCCAATTGTCGGATAGCTGGATTCCAGTGTAGATACAGGCTGCAGCTACCACGGCTACGATCAACAATCAGCTAAAGAGATCTAAAATAAAAGGCAAAGTTGTTAGTTTTGAAATCTGCAAAGCAAAAATTTTTTTGACCGTGACAGGACTCGAACTTGCAACCTTCAGATCCGAAGTCCGAAGGCTTATCCGTTACGCCAGACGGCTTTATCGGACTTTCAAAAAAAAAGAGCTTCTAAAGCTCAAAACCATTGAAATGAAGAGATTCAGTCTCCCATTTTTTATAAAAGCCCTCACTGAATGATCTCGAACATGTGACCGTGTGGCCTAACGGATAAGGCGTCGGACTTCGGATCCGAAGATTGCAGGTTCGAATCCTGTCACGGTCGAAATTTTTTGCTAAATTGCACTGATCAAAAACTTTTTTCAGACAAGTTACGAATCGGTTGCAAATCCATCAATATAGTCTTTTTGAGTACCGTATTCTCTCTAATAGTAGTACACCATGAGCGTCGTCTAAATTCCTCGAAATCTCGAGAACCGCTTATCAGAACCTATCGATGTGGGGTGGGAAAATGTAGCTGACGATGAGATCTTGTGGGGGATTAGAGTGTTGAGCTTCTGCGAAAACTTAGAAACCGTAAAATAGGCATCAACTCGGCTCGGCGGAGTGCACTACTATTAGAGAAAATACGGTAATCTAATAGATAGAGGAATCTCATACAAAGAGATGAACAGTTTCAAGTTCCCGAATCGGTCCCGAATTGGCCTTAAATTTATCAATGGAATCTTTTTTGTTTTACCAAAATTTTACCAAGATCGTGCAAAGATTTACTGAAAGTTTGCTTTTCAGAAATTTTTGAGCAAATTTCCCATCTAACTCGATCGGATCGAGTTCTTCAATTCCCTGAAAAAAATCTCAGTTCCACTTACTCGTTCTCCGCTTTACAAGTCTGTTTTTCCCCAATATTGCCCATTCCCAATTCCTTTCTTCACTTTTTCAAAGAAGAGTTGTAAAATTTAGTCAAGATCGGTGAAAGTGGGGGAACCAAATTGGCTGACAGCTCTCTTTCTCCACTTTTTTTTTTGCCTTTTCTCTTTTCTCGTTCCACACTAGTTACCGAGCTCTTTTCTTTCGCGCAATTTATATAAGGTGAACGGTTGGTCAGTGAAGACATTAGTTTCTTGAGTTTTGACTAATTTGGCTCATTTAGCTTCAGTCTTTGTCAAGTTAATTAGACTTTCTTTAGATTTTTCAGCTTAATTTCACAGACTCTGGTTCTAAAGTTAAATATTTAGTGTTGTATTGACTTTTTCAAGTTCATTAGACTTTTTTTGAGGTTTTAAATGTAAAATCTAAGTTATAGAAGAAAAATTTGGGTGGATAAATAAATAAAACTTCAAACCAGACACTCCAATCCAGTAGAATCAGATTTATAAAGCTAAAAAAGTCAATTTGAGTATTTGAGTAACTATTTGAGTAACTATTTAGTACTGTTGTGCTTTGGAAAACTGTTCTTTCTTTAGGTCATGATGTTTATTTTCTTCAAATTAGCTTATAGAATGAATTCCCAGCTTATGGTAGCTTTGTTCTTAAAGATTACAGATTCTTAAAGATATCTATGAAGTTCTTGAACACTTACTGTAGCTCAAAGTTGTAAGCTAAAGTTCTAGTTCTAAAGCTAAACTTCTAGTTCCAAAGCTAAAGTTCTAAAGCTAAAGTTCTAGTTCTAAAGCTAGTTCTAGTTCTAAAGCTAAAGTCCTAGTTATAAAGCTAAAGTTCTAAAGTTCTGTTTAAATCTGTTTATATAAAACAAACTGACTCAAGTTAAATTTGAAGTTCTAGAGCCATTTTTGAATTCTGAATTGGTTCTGAGTTTAGAAATTGGAATGAGAACAAAGGCATAATATTAAAATGAAGTTAGGAAAGTAACATTTAAAGAAGTTTGATTACATCCTTTTACTTTGTTTTCCTTGTTTTCATCTTTCTCCCACATAAGCGCTGCCATTTGCAGAATGAGTTCGGGTCGTATCGCGGCCTATTCGGCCATCGGCTTGTCAGCCTTCTCGGTTGCTCTTCTCCTCTGCACTCTTCCACAACTCATCAACAAGATCACCGGCATTCAAGCGCTTGTTGATGCCGATATGGATGAGTTCAAGAGAGCCGAATACGGAATTGGGTAAGAGATTTGGAAATTTGGAAATTTGGAAATAAAATGAATACAACTAATCGAGAACTAGTAAGATTAGGATTTTTGATGAAAGCTATTGAATAAAGGTAACAATACCAATAACCAGTACGGGGATTTGCACATGACGCTTGCTGTACCGTAATCTTTACAGTACAGTACAAGATAACAGGACCGATTGCTAGTGCTGTACTTGTTTTACAGTAATCTTTTATCGAAATGAATGCAAGAACAGTACCGTTAGCTATGTAGTACTGGAATTTGTACTCTACCGTAAAAAGCTTGTTCTACAGTCCATAATTTACCTACCTAGGTACCTAGAACATGGGCTTTTTTGTACAGTAACTCAAAAGCTTACTGTACAGCACAAGTATAGGAGTACTTTAGCTATGGTATAACTAGTACTTGGAGTCATTGTCAGTTCGATAGCCAATAATCTATGATACCAGACCAGTACTTGGGACTATTTGATTACTGTATTGGCTAGGTGACTCTTAGATTAAGTTAAAGATCAACCTCCTGTGTCAATTCCCTCCATTTCCAGAGCTCAATACAAGAAGGCTTTCCCTGTGCCGGCTCCTCGTCGTGAGCGCCGCGCAGCTATGGGACAATGCTGCTGCAATGAGCACAACCAGTGCCCACCTGGTGCCCCCGGACAACAGGGACAACCTGGATACCCTGGAGAGGATGGATCTCCTGGAGAGGCTGGAAGACCTGGACTCGCTGGAAACTACCCGGACATCGCCTACGATCACTACAACAACTGCCGAATCTGCCCCAACGGACCACCTGGACCACCTGGAACCCCAGGACAACAGGGACCACAAGGAGCACAGGGAAGCAATGGAGCTCCTGGAGGATGTGCCGAGGATGGAGCTCCTGGACCACCTGGATTCCCTGGAGAGCCTGGACGCCCTGGAAGCGATGGAAGACCTGGAGGCCCTGGAGCACCTGGAGAGAACGGAAGTCAAGGAGGACGTGGACCCCGAGGATCGCCTGGACCCCGTGGAGAGAATGGAGGACCTGGAGCTCCTGGAAACGATGGAGCACCTGGAAACTCGGGAAGACCCGGAGGACAAGGACAACCTGGACGCCCAGGAGAGCAAGGATCACAAGGACAACCCGGATTCCCCGGTGGATCTGGAGGACCTGGAGGACCTGGAATCGATGGAGGATATTGCCCCTGCCCACGCAGAAGACATTAACCTTATTGATTTATGTCCCATCAGTGAACATTGGGAGAATAAACCTTTTGCATTTAAAGTTGAAAGAACAAAAACAGACTTAAAACATAAAACAATCGAATGACAATCAGAACAATCAGCTGGTAAAACATAATTGAATTTACTGTAACGTTTTTCCAATGCTTTTGATAGCCAAAAAGTCTAGATTATAGAAATGCTAGTAACCTCAAATACACTGGATACTATTTTTGGAGGAATGTAAGAATCAAAACAAGAAAGAGATGACCCGATTCAGTTTTCAGCCCGTTATTCTTTGATTTTCATTGCGAAAAACTGCAGAGAATGATATTCAACGAATGGTTTTGTTAAAGAAAACATCAAAAGGATATTTAGTTATTTGGAAAAGTTTTAAAGTGTTTTCCATCTAAAGCCTCTATTCGTAATCAAAGTGCCTTTGAAGAATCACAAATCTCTATTGCTAAAAAGCTTCGAATTCTTAAGCATTGGGCTCGCCAGCCCACGGGAACCACGCCATGACGCTTCCGCTCGAGTTGAACGCTCGACCGAAGATAGCCTCACCATTTTTATACCTGGGAAATAAAACTTCCATTGTTAAACTCGGTACTTGTGCCTCTTATCCCCGCAAATCAAATTTGCATACCTAAGAATTGATAAATGAACTTCTAAATAGTTTTTGTCGTTTTACCCATTTCCCTCATATGTGAGGGTAGTGTTGCTAGTATCTTGAAGACATTCGTAAGAATCAAAACAAGAAAGAGATGACCCAATTCAGTTTTCAGCTCGTTATTCGTTGATTTTCATTGCGAAAAACTGCAGTGAAGGATATTCAACGAATGGTTTTGTTAAAGAAAACATCTAAAGGATATTTAGTTATTTGGAAAAGTTTTAAAGTGTTTTCCATCTAAAGCCTCTATTCGTAATCAAAGTGCCTTTAAAGAATCACAAATCTCTATTGCTAAAAAGCTTCGAATTCTTGAGCATTTGGCTCGACATCCACAGGATAAACACGCTAGATGCCATAAAAAACCGGCTTTTTCACAAAGTTTTCCCCTGAAATGATCCCAACTCTTAATTATTTTGAATGGTATTTAGGGCCGTCATTTTCCACTATATAGTCAAAACCGAACCCTTCTGAAAGTGGGGTTTTCAAAAAGTGCCCTTTTTTGGTCATTTTTTGGCATTTCGCCCTCGAAATTTCTTCAATGGTTCGATCAATTGAAACACGTTTTAGCCTATTTTGTAGAGGAGATTTACAAATTTCAAATAGTTTATAACAATTATAACAGTTTATAACGTCGATATCAGGTTTCTATCGTTGGAAATTTATGAAAATGTTGAAATCCGCATTTCTTATGCATGTACCTAATAATAGCGCCTAGATGCCATAAAATAGGCTAGGGCACACGCATCAATTGATAGTCTTATACAGTCTCTGAAGAAGGCTTTGGATGAAATTCCTATGAGTGTGATCGAGAAAGCTGTTGACACCTTTCCAAAGCGATTGAGGCAATGAATTGCGGCACCAACCGAATAAAACTCATCAAAGTTCCACCTGTCATGATTTGCAGTTGATAGAGATTCCCAAATGGTGAAAATTTCGACAAAAAATGATTTTTATTGACTTAATTGTTTGAATTCAATAAATTTGGTCACTCGCATTTCGTCCTCGAAATTTCTTCAATGGTTCGATCAATTGAAACACATTTTAGCCTATTTTGTAGAGGAGATTTACAAATTTCAAATAGTTTATAACAGTTATAACAGTTTATAACATCGATACCAGGTTTCTATCGTTGGAAATTTATGAAAATGTTGAAATCCGCATTTCTTATGCATGTAACTAATATTTCAATGACATAAATTGCTTACTAGTAAAAGATAAAATTCTTTTAGAACTAAATGCAAAATTTTTAACTAAATTACTTGATAACTAAATTTTCCTTTTAAATAATAACGCCCAGATGCCATAAAAGCAAAATCAAACTAGAAATAATCAAACTATGGCTTGGAAAAAGAGGAAACACAACATTCTCTCTAGATCGTTTTTGGGGCTTCCCGTCATCAGTCGGCAAAGAGTAAAAAACTTTTTTTGAAGTAATTTTAGCTTTGTTTTTGGCTTAATCTAATATCTTTTTGTTTTAAAGTATAAGAATCAAAATTTCGTCCTAGAAAGGACAATCGAGTTCAGAGTTGAAAGTTTTTTTTTAAAAAGTCATTCTTTAGAACTTCGTTAGCAAAGATATTTCTCTAAAATGGTAAAATGATGCACAATAATTATGTATATTGGATAAATTCTTTTGATGAAATGCATTTTTGACTATGAAACTACATTTATATTCCAAAAATTAGTCAAAAACCTTATGGAAAGAAGATATTGTTTGAGTGTTTAAGTGAGTACCAAAATAGACAAATCTTTCATTTATTTGATCATTTAATCTTGTTCTCTTTGTTTTTAAAAGCAATTTATTTCTTTTACAGAGCAATTTACAAAATTCACATTAATTTACAAGCATTTTAGTGTCGATTTAGTGTTGATGATTGTCGGGGTTGGCAGCGTGTCCCTGACGAGCATGAGTGTGAGCCTTGGCGTGCTGAAAATTCTCATAAATTGCTGAAATTAAAATTAATGATTATTAAAAAAGAAAGATTTTAGTCCAGCAGTGGTGCAAAGTTCATTTTTTGGGAAATCTGGGCAACAGGCTTGATGTGGAAGCGACAGAAAAGAAAGAGAAAGGCAGTGAAAGAGCAGTCACACTTTGAAGGCCCATAACTTTGCCCACAGATTATATTATTGCTAATTTTTGCGTAGTTTAATAGAGGACACTTTTGGCTTTCAAATGATGCCAAATAGAGACTGATTGGGTTAGCCAATCCTGAGAAAAACAAGGGACAAGGCTCAAGTCAGATCGCATCGTTCTCTCAGTTTATTTGCTTGTTTCCAAATGTATCTCAAAGTTTGATCAATTAAATCAGCGTTTCAAATGATGGACTTAATAAAATGAATGTTTCAATCGATTCCCTGATCCCGAAAACCCCTCGGTAAAAAGTTACAGCTGAAATTTTGAGCGTCGCTATGCCCAAATTTTTGGGAAAACTTTTTCCTTTAATTTGACTGCATTTTGAAACAAATTTTGCATCCTATTAAACTCATTTCTACATAAAACTACATCAAAAAGTGCATACCATATCCACCAAAAGTCTAAAACCACTTTTCAATTCATTGGATTATCTAAACTAGAGAAAATAGCAGCTAAACCGAGAAGCGCACCGCTTGACCTCACATCTTTCATGCAGTTTTTCTCAGGATTGGCTAGCCCAATCCAGCTCTGATTTATATCATTTGAAAGCCTGAATTGTCCTCTATCAAACTATATAAATAGTTAACGATAATATAGCTTCTGGACAAAGTTATGGTCCTTTAAAGCCTGACACTTAAAGCCCGAATGAAGGAAAAGAGAGACAAAGGTAAGCCGGTGTATGGTGGAATCCCAAAACTGAAAGAATTTAGTTAAAAGTCAAATTTAGATGCTTTTTCTTTATCTAAGATAATGTTTTGGGATTTTCTGTTTTCTTTTCCTTTTCTTTTCCTTTTCTAAACCTCTTGATCACAATGCTCGTGATGGCCATGCTCGGCCTCTTCCGCTGCACACTTTTGCTAAATGACACTTAATTTACAGTCAACCCTGATTCCTTACATTGAAATGATTATCGGGATTTGCGGCGAGACCCTTTCGAATGTGCGTTTTCGTGTCATGCTCATGCTTAACAATGATATAAGACAATGATAAAAATGTTAGTGAAAGTTTGCAAATATTTCGTTGGCTTAAGATTGAATTAGACTTTATCTACGAATCTAATATCTAAAAACTTAAAATCTTGATTTATCTAAACTTTTAGAACAAAAGCAATCGTGAATGCTATTTTTTTGGCCGCTTTTATGTACTTTGTGCAAACTGCAATCTTTCTAGCGCGCCAATTCTTCATTGACCGAAAATGAAATTGACCCATTGACCGAAAATTTACCATTTTCCTTCATTTTTCTTTCTATCGCGAGAAAAGTGAAGATTCAAATGTGCTAGAAAGAATGTGTTTACATTAATGAGGACAAAGTTCACTCAAAAGAGCAAATGCGTTCCTATAGTTTATACGTTTTCTAAAATACATCTATTTTAGATACCGTATTTTCTCTAATAGTAGTGCAGCGAGTCGCGTTGATGACTATTTTACGGGTTTGAAGTTTTCCCAGAAGCTCAACACTCTAATCCCCCACTAGATCTCATCGTCAGCTACATTTTCCGACCCCACATCGATAGGTTCTGATAAGGGGTTCTCGAGATTTCGAGCAATTTAGGCGACGCTCATGGTGCACTACTATTAGAGAGAATCCGGTATATCAAGCAAAGATTAACGATAAGTTGACTATCGATACTTTTCCCATATACCGTCTTCTTTCTAATAGTAGTGCACCGCACCGAGCCGAGTTGAGGCCTATTTTAAGGTTTCCAATTTTTCCCAGAAGCTCAACACTCTAATCCCCCACTAGATCTCATCGTCAGCTACATTTTCCGACCCCACATCGATAGGTTCTGATAAGCGGTTCTCGAGATTTCGAGTAATTTAGGCGATGCTCATGGTGCACTACTATTAGAGAAAATACGGTAACTACCGTAATTACACCGCCAATTTTCATTCGATCAGCTCTATTTTTTGTCTTATTTAATGAGGAATGACAAAAAATTAAACAATCATAGCTGATCAAATGGAAAACAAAAGTTTAAAGGTAGGTTTTATAATATGTACCTTTTAGTAAACGATTTAGAGGCTTAATAAACGATTTGGATAACTCAACTCTTTCACAAAGTCTCCTTTATGTAAATTATTTTCAATTTTCAAACATCTTTATATTTTATATCATTTTATATCTCTTCCCTTGCCTCTAAATCATCTTTCCTCTCAACTGTAAACACTAAATTCTTGGTTTATCCTCAAGAAAAATGAAGAATTGAGTCACCGTGCGTTTACACCGAAGCACCTTTCTCATAATCAGTTAATGAACTAATAAACTAGAAAAAGTTTCGCGTTCAAGTATTAATCTGCAAGCTTAAACTCAAATCTTTGAACACAAATCCCTCACACAATCTCCTTCATGCGAATGATCGTGTCCCTCATGTCCCTCAGCGTGTTTTGCTTGATCGGCGCGGACTCCTGGCGCCAAAACGATCCCTGTCTTCTTTCCCTTCTAAAGAATTAGACAGAAATCAGATATTTACAGATATTTGGAGTATTATAGCTAGATAAATCAATCTCAAACGTACATCCTCGTGGTGGCAATCGCCGGTGTGTTGATGGTCTCCTCCCTGGGAAATGAGATGTTAAAGAAAGAACGAAAAAGTCTCGAGCGAGTATTAGATAAGTATTTTTCTGTGTAAATTTCATTAACTAGTTTCTGTAAATACTTTCTAACATTATTTATTGTTAGTAGAAGTTAAACGGCTGAAAACGAACCTCATGCGATGACATTTTCACAAAATCGATTGATTTCTCGAACAAAAAAGACTCTAAAAGCGACAAATTTTAAACGAAACAAAACAGAACAAAACAAAACAATAGACAAAAAATGCACAATTCACTGCACCAGAAATAGTGTGTTTACGTTTCAAAAGAAAAGGAAAGTCTAGTGAAAATAGAATAGAAGAAAATATGTAAGAATCTGATTTCAAATTGTTTTCCGAAAAGGCAGCTTTCCTTTTTAAAATCTTCATATCTTTATTTTCAGCTAAAATTTCAGCAAAAATTTTTACACACTTCTCCAGAAAGTGATAAGAATCGTTTTTCATAAAAACATTTCTTCTATTTGTCGGTTTAATGTTCAGAGTACGCAATTGATCATTGGTTTTGGCGCTGGGAATTTAAAAAAAAGCTAGAAATGCAATTTTTAAGTGTTTCCTTTATGAGTCTCATATTAAATTTTATTTGTTTGCATCGGTGCTTGAAAATAGGAAAATTTCGAGAATTTTTGAGACTAAAGAATGATTAAATAAACATCGATAGGTTTTGGAAAAGGGTTTTTTTGTTTTTGGGTTGTTTTTGGGTTTTATTTGGTTGTTTTTATTTTTTTTTGTTTAATATGATAAATGCTAATCAATCGAGTTTTATTTTTCTAAAAGTTTAAGGCTAGACAATTTCATTTCAAAATTTGGAAATACTAAATGAGTGTGAGGAAGCAAAAATTTTGATTTCCAATGGATTCAAGCTTGTCATGGTTTTAAAGAATTCACAAATTTATGTTGCGATAGATTTAAATGATTGAAAATGCTATGGAAAAACAAGAACTTTGAATATCAAAACTGAAAAATATTGAAAACAACTCCATGTCAACGACAAGTTGTGGGGATTTTTAGGTATTTAAAGGGAAATTCCCTTGCTTTTTGTGGGGTGTTTGCTGGGCGTTTTTTAAGCTGTTCAAATAGTGAAAAGATTGAGATAAAAAGGGACATTGATATCGAGAGAGAAAGGGGTGAGTCATGGAAGAGAATTTGAAAGAAAAAGAAATGTGAGAGAAAGTTTTTGAAGTGGAATAGTGAAAGAGAGTTGAGAGCGAGTTGATTTTAAGAGAAATGGAAAATGATTGAAAATAGAAGTAAAAAGAGAGTTAAAGAAGAAAGAGAATAAGTAAATATAAAGATATTGGAGTGGAGAAAGATTTCTAGTAAGAAAAGAGGTGATTCATAAAAGAGAAATAGGCGGATGAAATAAAAGGCGAAAGAGAAATGGGAATTTGAGAGTTGAGGCTTGGAAATTGAAGTAATTTGAGTGTTGGTAGAGAAAGGAGAAAAGGAAATTGAAATTGAATGAGATTAGAAAAGAATAAAGGAAAAATGATATCAAGAAAAGCATCAGAAAGTGAAGAAAGTCATAGAAAAAGATCCAAAATTAGAGAATTTACGAGGTAGAAGTGAAAGAAAACTGAAAAACTAATTTTTGATGGGAAAAGAGTCAAGACTTTAACATAATAGAGAAAGAAAATATCAAAAAGATGCTGGTGACAGAGAACTGAAAGAGTTTGGTTTAGAAAAGGATGAATCATTGTGTTTTTCCTTTTATATCATCTTGAATCATCTTGCTTTTTTTCTTTAATAGAAAGCTCTAGCTCATTTCTTCCCATTTAGTCATAATCTTTTTTATAAATTAACAGTGATACAGTCACTGATTCACCGACAATCAATTATAATTCCAGGATTGGAAAAATGAAAATGCTTTGAGCAAAATCATTGCTTTTGAATCATTGATTGCTTTTGAAAAGTGGTTAAACTTTCGAGATTTTCGTTACCACCATCTTTTTTGAGAGAATGTAGAATTTGTTGCAAAATGCAGGCAAATTTAAGGCAAAAATTTGAGCCTATTGAGGACAAGACAACAGGAAACTCGGCTCAATCTCTGGCCGCACCTTCCCCTTGATGAAATAATGAGAAATCGGCTTTTCTTTTGCCACTTTTCAATCATTTTTCTAGGCGCTGCTTGATGCTAAAAATAAGTGTTATATCTCAAAAAATCACCTATCCTCTCTACTTTAATTTTATACCTAAACGCGAGGAAACAAACGTACTGGTGCTGAGAAATGAGCGTTTGTTTGAAAGTAAACTTAGACTACGCGACGCTTCTATAGCGGGCGCTTCTATTATAGCATTTACGGTATGCTTCTTTTTATAAGTTTGTTCAACGGGCGTAAATTGTAAGTCTAAACAACAATACGACGTTTAGACGTTAAAGACCTCTGCCCAAATGACAGCATACTAGGCTAAATTTACAAAAGTCTGGGTGAATTTAGCCTATTCTTTACTTGGGCAGAGGTCTTTAACGTCAGTAACCTGCAAATCATGGATCCGGGTAATAAATTCTAAAATCTTGTTAACGAGCGTCTTAGTACTCCGATTAGTCACTTCAGCAAGGAAACATAACCGAAAAGTACTGACAAATCAACAAGCAAGATTGTACAAATTTTGAGCAGCATACATTAACCAAAAATATAACCAAAACCAAGGGATATAACCAAAAAGTACCATAGTTTTTTATTTTTTTGAATAGAAAACATTGCGTTCTAACAGAATAATTAAAAAAAAGGTGAAAATCAGACTTAAGAAGACGTGAAAAACAGGTGCCCAATTTGACGATGACTTTCCTTAGCTTTCCTTTTGACGCTGACTTTCCTTAGCCTTAGCTTGACTTTCCCGGAATACCTCTTTAATTCTGTTCCTCTTTAATGCTGTTCCAGTATCCCGTTAACCATATGGTTCCAATATGGTTCCAATATGGTTCCAATATGGTTCGGATGCTGTTCCAGTATCCCGTTAACCCTTTATCCCAAGAAAAGCCCCAAGAGAATCGAATTGGCTTTTATTTTGCATGATAATTTGAGCGGGAATACACGAAGATTTAAGTTGAATGAAGATAGGATATTCGATAGTACCTATTAACCTATAGATAACATGAAGATTTTGAAATCTTTTAGCAATCATAAGACAAATACATAGTATGGTAAAGTATAGTAAAAAAAGGGTCAAAAAGGAAACCTATCAGATTCGATTCGATTTCGCTTTCAAGCTTTTAAGTCAATAAACTTTTTTTTTGCTTTTTTCGCTGGGACTTTCTGGGAAATGGGATTCAATTCAGTAAACTAAAAATCTCTCAATCCACTCTCAACTTTTAGGTCAACAGCGGTGAACAGTTGAAGCTGAGCCAATTAAAATCCCATTTCCCAACCAGTTAGTCTCTTTTTTGTAGATTAAATAAACTTTACGAAAAGAGAAATCACTCACCGATTGGCTCAGCTTCAATTGTTCACCGCCGTTGACCTAAAAATTGAGAGTGAATTGAGATATTTTGAGTTTACTTTAGATTAGGAAATCGTTTTTAAAAATATACCGTAAATACTGTAATAGTACCCCATGGAGCCCCAGTCCTCTCTCTCAAACGCTGGCAAGGTTCAACTGTTTGGCACAAAGACCAATAGTTACCAATAGCTAGTCGATACCCAGTTACTTACCACAAGTACTGTAATAGTACCCCAGCCCCCTCGTACAGTCGCGTAGTCGGAAAAGTTTTTTAGTATTCCATTTTTTTCAAAGCGCTCGTACTTTCAAAAAAAACGTCTTTGGTATCAAAAAATAGCCCTGAATTTCAGCCATTTTTTGATACCTAAGCGCGCATTGTAGCATAAACCAGTGTCGAGAAAAACTCGTTCAAAGCTAGACCACGCAACACTCCGCACAGTCATTATGGGGGTGGGGTACTATTACAGTATGTACGGTATGTATTTTGATAAATCTCTTTTAGATATTAGCAGCCAATCGAAACACGTTCATTGATGAGAAACTTCAAATGTTATTGCAGTGCTTCAATTTTCAATCTCTATACAACTTATTCGCGTATTCCAAGCACTCCTATTTTGTTTAAAAGTACTTTAAAGTTGAAATATCAATCCAGTATTGCAACAGTGGCTCAAAAAACGTAAAAACGAAAACTTTACAGTAGCTTAAAGCTGATCTTATTAAACAAAAAAAGCAGTTTTTTTCAAAACCTTATCCTATCAAGGTAAAACTACTTTAATCAGCCCTTTTCTTATTCAATTTTGATTTTTCATATTGAAAAGCTCACCTCAGTATCCCTTTTCAACTCGGTTTCGCGTTTCTGAAAATATTTTAATAAATTTTAATATTCACAATTACACTATCACACTTTTACTAACAAAATACTGAACAAACAAACAAACAAATTCTAATTGTTTTATTTTACTCTATCTATCACACACAGATTACCTACTCTATCTATCACACAAGTCTACTCTATCTATCACACATAGATTACCATTTTCTGAGCTCTTTGCGTTGGAAAGATAAGTTCTTCGAGAACTGCGTGCTCCTTGAAAGAAATCTTTTCTTTGAAACTAATACTTTAAAAACCTCATTCGGATGCGCATCATACAATTGCCCGTTTTCGGTAATGATTTGACGTCTCTGAATCGACTCGTAAAATTGTTTTACAGACAAAAAAAGCGTCGCCCTTCAATTTCCCACTGATTGATTACCGTAAATGATTAAAAATGAATCGAACCGACTTGATGACAAAATGAAACGAACAGCACGAAAGCTTCTCCACTTCACTTTCAACTTTCGCATTCCCTTTCTGCATCCCCTTTACGGAAACGCGTTCCAAAATTTTTACAATACACTTTTACAAGGTCTTAGGCTCAATGATAACCTCAAACTTGGGTAATTAAACCGCAGCAGGGGTCTCTGTGGAAGGACCATGTGGAATGTGGGATCTCTGTGGCTCTGTGGCCAGCGGGGGTCTCTGTCGCCCTATGTGGAAGGACCATGTGCCCTGGATGCCGTTTTTTTCTACGAGACACACGAAAGGTGCACACAGTGCGTCGTCTAGCGTCTCTTCGGTGATAAAGGATCTCTCTTTCTTTCACTATTTGATTTGTCTTTCCGCCCGAGTCACCTACGACTATACCACAATGAAAACACGCCATCCGGTCCAATCTGCCAAGATAAGCAACGTTGGGCTCGGTTAGTACTTGGATTGGAGATGGCTTGGGAATCCCTTGAGCTTTCGGTTTTTTGACAATTGAGTGAATGGATTTTGTTTTTGATGGACAAATGAAAATGGGCTTTCAAAATTCCTCAATTCTAGAACCAGTTTTTGGGTCAGTAGCCCAGCAGCCTTATTGCAACTGTTTGATCCCGTCTGAGTTGAGCCTCGGCTTAAAGATTCTGGTCATCGACCTTATCGACCTTGGCCAATTCTCAATCCGAATCTTCGTAAAGCTGGGTTCATTAGAAAGTGCATTAGCGGCTAATTAGAATAAAAATTAGAGTGAATACCGTATCGAGTTCTGATTTGTTTGATTGTCAATAGGTGTACAACGAAAGAACGAGTTTAAACCACTTCAACGGCTCATCAGGATTTTTAGACCAAGAGATAGAGCTTGAAAATTTCTATCTTTGACAAGAAATCCTGAAAAGGTAGCCGTAGATCTTGCCAAATCTCGTTTTTCCATTGTACACCTATTGAAAAACAGACTAGAGACAGAGACAAATGAACTCTAATTCAGAAAATAAATAACTTCCTTTCGTGGATTTTGAGGATTTGAGATTTTGCATGGGATTCGAGAGGGAAGCGAAATTCGTGTATTTCTTTGTGAAACGATTGGAGTAAGGCTTCTGACTTCTAATTCAGCTCAATTTTCAAAAGCTACCATAATCTTGACTCTAGTTTTATCTAATCTATGTATTATTTAAGGCTTTTGGTGTTTTTAAATGAATCATCAACAAGCAGATCAAAAATAAAAGTACAGATTAGGGTGTTACGGTCAAGATTACGATATTAAGAGTCAGAATTATGGCCTTTTCCGGATTTAATTTGAAATTTACTCAAAAATTGATCGTACGTTATAGAGCTTTTCATTTTTCGATCTGATTGTCAATAGGTGTGCAACGGAGAAACGTGATTTGATCACTTCAACGCCAACTTTTGCAGCCTTCAACGCCAACTTTTGCAGCCTTCAGCGCCAACTCTTGTTGCACGAAGGTGGAGTTTTCGAAGCTTTCTAAAAATCCCTGCAAAAGTAGCCGTAGATCTTGTCAAATCTCGTTTTTCCATTGTACACCTATTGACAAACAGACTAGAAATAGAGATAAATGAACTCTAATTCAGAAAATAACTTCCTTTCGCAAGTTGAAATTAGCTGAACCCAAATTCCAGGTCAAAACACGTTGAGATGACTAATCGAGATATTGAAAATATGAGAAATCATCAAATACGTCTATTAAAAGCCATATCAAGAACATTTCGAGTACTTTATGACTTCAAAGACAACTGATAAACCGTTTTCCGCCCGGAAAACGGGGGAAAACCACAAAAAATTTGTCATCAGAGAATTCTGCAAGAAGCCGACAAAGGAAAAAAACGAGATAAGTTTTCTGAATCAAACAAGAAACGGGTTATCAGTTGTCAAGAAAAAGAAATTGAATATAAAACGAATGGGGAGATGGATTGAGTGCCCAGGTTTTAGATTGATCTTTTTTCTGAAGAAGACAAGATTCGTTCTTGTTTTTTATTGGTTTTCAAAAGTTGATTATTGTATTATTGTATTTTTAACCAAATAAGCTCACTAGCTTCCACCTCAAGCCTCTACTTTGTGCCTCTAGTGCCTCTAGTGCCTCTAGTGCCTCTAGTGCCTCTAGTGCCTCTAGTGCCTCTAGTGCCTCTAGTGCCCAGTGCCCTGGTGCCCTAGTGCCCAGTGCCCTAGTGCCCTAGTGCCCTAGTGCCCAGTGCCTAGTGCCTCTAGTGCCTCTAGTGCCTCTAGTGCCTCTAGTGCCTCTAGTGCCTCTAGTGCCTCTAGTGCCTCTAGTGCCTCTAGTGCCTCTAGTGCCTCTAGTGCAAACATAAAGCCTCTAGTGCACTCAATCTGATTCTTTATCACATGAAACTTAAGATTATATTGCTAGAAAGATTGTTTAAATTTAGAGCATCGATAGAGAACATCTTCTAGAAAAGCTTCAATTTGAATCTCTTTTTCTACAAGAATTTAAATCTCTACAAGACTACAAATTATCAAATTATCTAGCTAATTATCTAAAAAACTTTTTAGATTCACAATGAGACTTTTATTTGCCTTGTTTCCCCTTGTCTTCGCTGGCCGATATTGCCCGCCTGGTTCTTTTGATGTACCCCAACAAAATGAGTGTCTACACACGGAGGTTTCTCGTAAGTTTTGCGAATTTGCGTAAATTTAACTCTTAAAGATCGAAATTGAACTTTAAACTAGAAAACTAGAGCTTTTAGAACTAGAAATTAGAGTGCGTTCCTCGCGAGTAAGTAATTACTCGAGTGAACTTTGCATGAGAAAGCTTTACTCGATTAATCGGCGTTTTTTGGTCGAGTAACTACGAGTAATCCTCTTTACACGTCGAGTAAATTGAATATCTTTAAATTTGAAGGGAATTTGCCACCAAATCAGTTGAATGGTTGAATATCTTTAAAAGGAGTCGTATATAAGGCGGTGTACATAAGGCGGTGTACATAAGGCGGTGTACATAAGGCGGTGTACATAAGGCGGTGTACATAAGGCGGCGTACATAAGGCGGCGTATATAAGGCGGCGTATATAAGGCGGCGTATATAAGGCAGCGTATATAAGGCGGCGTATATAAGGCGGTGTATAGAAGCCGGCGTATATAAGGCGGCGTACCTAAGGGAATTTATTTGCCACCAAATCAGTTAAACGGCTGAATATCTTTAAAAGGAGTCGTATATAAGGCGGCGCTCGTGATTTTCGCGCCAATTTTTTTGCAATGATTTTCGCTAAAAGTACGGGAATTTTTCTTAAGCGTGCGTTTTAAAAAAGGCATTACTCGCGAGGAACACACTCTACTAGAAATATTGCAGACAATAAGTTCAGCTCAAATTTACCGCTCAGCAAATTGAACTTCTAATCAACTTCTTAATGTAAACATTCTGAGAGACTTTTTCAACTCTCCAATTTCCCCATTTTAGCTCAACCGTTCACCGTGGCGAATCTCATCTGCAGTTACATTGGCGGATCACTCGTTAAAGTCACGAACGCTTTCGTAAACAATTTGGTGGCTGGACAAGCGCTTTCACGTGGGGTTTATAAGATTAAAAACATTTCTGATTGTCATATTTCAGAGTTGCAAGGACAAAAAGCCTATATTGGTGTGGTGAAAGCTGGAAATAACAATTGGACTTATGTGGATGGAACACAGTTGACATATGTGAATTGGATGGCCGGTAAGGGAAAAGTATGATCAAATTTGAGCTAAATACCTATCAATCTCTGTCTAATTGTCAGCCATTTGATCTTGGGTTTTGGAAGATTGAGTTAAACCTATTTTTAAGTCAAACCTGACTTGAATTGAATTGAATTGAATAGACTTAGAAATCGTGGTACGCTTGATAATGTACCAAAAGTACAAATTGATAAAAGGAGATTTAAAAGAACATTTAAAAGAACATTGTCAGTCTAGAAATACACCTTCTAGGCCAGCCAAACCAGGAGAATGGCTCATGCGCTGCGATGGACCCGGTCTCTTTGCAATGGACGACAATCAGTTGTCAACAGAGCTTGGGATATTTCTGTACAATCCCCGATCTTTGTAAGTTATTTAAAAAATACTTATGTTTTTCTTTTATCCTTGAAATAGTTCCTCAATTAAATAGTTTTATGAGAAGGTTCAGAAAAACACCGAAAAACTTTCACCAAAATTTCTCACAAGATTAAAAGCTATTCAATTATTTTTATCTGATATCTGATGTAGACTGGATCGATTAATATTGATAAAGTAATAATGTTTATCCTTGCCAAGCAATACCTCAAAACTAATCAAACTCTTCAGCCACCCCTTGCCCCAACGGATGGACCTACTTCTACGACACCGACTCTTGCTACTTGATTCATGTAAGTATTTCCAAAATTCAATTGCTATTCTGAATCTTTAGCAAACATCCGATCCAATCTACTCCTTATACATCCGATAGAGCTGAAGATGAGTGCAAAAAGCTCGGCACACATTTAGCCTCAATTCACAGCGAGAAGGAGAACGATTTTGTGAAGAGTTGGTTTCAAGCAGCTTTGCACTCGTACTTTGTGCTTAAAAATGTGAAAACTCTCTTTCTAGCGCACATATTCCTTTTTCTGACCATGAGAGAGTTTTCTTAAAGCAATCATTTGCTGTTGTGAGGCAAGAATTGAGTGATTATGTCAGAAAGTACCGTCTACTCTCTAATAGTAATGCACCCCGAAGAGCCGAGTTGATGACTATTTTACAGTTTCCAAGCTTTTGCAGAAGCTCAATACCCTAATTCCCCACTAGATCTCATCGTCAGCTACATTTTCCGACCCCACATCGATAGATCTGATAAGCGGTTTTTGAGATTTCGAGCAACTTAGGCAACGTTTTCCTACAGACGAGAAGATACCAGATGGGAGCTTTTCCCAAACCCTACTAATACGGTTAGGGAATGATAAAGGGAAAGATGATGGGGATGAGAATTGACCAAAATTTGATAACGATGACTACGTGTTCTTCTAGGACTTTCTACAATTTTCAAGAGGCTTTGAAATTCTGGATGCGACTTAGGGTGGAAAAGAATTTTATAGTAAATGATAGCTAGATTTGTTTAATAGATTAATTTCTAACTGGACTTTAGCCGCTAATAGACTGAATATATAATTTTAAGCATTAGATCTTGGCTTTGCATTGGATTACGGCGAGCTTATGGTAATTTCCCGGAACGTTTCGTTTTTTATTGTATAGTAGTGCACCGCACCGAGTTGATGACCATTTTACGGTTTCCAAGCTTTCCCAGAAGCTCAACACTCTAATTCCCCACAAGATCTCATCGTCAGCTACATTTTCGAACAATCAATAGGTTCTGATAAGCGGTTTTTGAGATTTCAAGGGCAATGATCAGGGTGCACTAATATTAGAGAGAATACGGTATATCTTTCTATTTTGATCATAGAATATACTTTTAAACAATATCAATCAGTTGTAGCCTTAAAAATCAATAAGTTTATCCTTTCAAGGAATTATTCAAACCGACAACGCCAATTCGAACCGATGCGATGCTAGCGAAGTCGTCTTTGGTCTACAGTGCACAAATGCGGCTTTCAGGTGAGAACAATGAGATAATTGAGATATTCAACGAGCAAATAGGTAACTTACTTAAGAATCTAAACCGTAAACATCACGAATTACTCAAGCTGCTTCTTGATTTCTATGCTCAAAGCCAGATCTAACAACAAAGCATAAATGAAGCTAAACGAACTTTAAACTGAACGAAAATTTTCTATATTAAAGTCTATTTTGTATTTCCAATAGAAACGAATATTGCGTCAAGTACAAAATTTTAGTTGGACCGACGGAACTCCGGTCGATTACAAGAACAGTGAGACGAAACTCTGCTCAACACAGAACTACGTTTACGGGGTAAACATTTAGCTAATAAAGCTTAAAGCTTAAAGCTTAAAGCTTAAAAGCTGTCGTAGCCGGCTGGATAGGAGTCTTGTCTCCGATTTGATTCAAAGGTTCGATTCCTGCGGCTAGAAAAATTGGTTCTTTTCCCATTATTCTGGGTTTTTTCTTAACAATATTTGGGTAGTAAGAACATAACAACATAACAACATAAGAAATGCGGATTTCAACGTTTTCGTAAATTTCCAACGATAGAAAACTGATATCGATGTTATAAACTGTTATAACTGTTATAAACTGTTATAACTGTTATAAACTATTTGAAAGTTGTAAATCTCCTCTACAAAATAGGCTAAAACGTGTTTCAATTGATCGAAGCATCGAAGAAATTTCGAGGGCGAAATGCGAGTGACCAAAAAAGGGCACTTTTTGAAAACCCCACTTTCACAAGAGTTCGGTTTGGGCTATATAGTGGGAAATGACCTAAAATATCAATAAAAGTGCCCTAAAATATCATTTAAAATCATTAAGAGTTGGGATCATTTCATGGGAAAACTATGTTTTTACAATAATTTTTCTTTTTTGTGAAAAAAGCCGGTTTTTTGACAATTTTGAGGGTTTCGAACTCACGCTCTATCTAAATTTCTGTAAATGCATTTCCATTAGACTTTTTTTAATGAATTGATATCTAGTTATCCTTTTTAAATCTTCAATTTTGGGAAGCTAACTCTATTTTGACCACACTAAACTTGTCCCTAAAGTGCCTCGATTCCTTTTTTGGTCACTCGCATTTCGCACACGAAATTTCTTCACATGGTTCGATCAATTGAAACACGTTTTAACCTATTTTGTAGAGGAGATTTGCAACTTTCAAATAGTTTATAACAGTTATAACGGTTTATAACATCGATGTCAGATTTCTATAGTTGAAAATTTATGAAAATGTTGAAATCCGCATTTCTTATGCATGTACCTAATAGTAATAGGGATAACTAATTAACTAACTAACTAATTAAACTAATTAGCTAACTAATTAATAGGAGTAATAAAGTAAAGGTAAAAATTCCCTCCGTTGTGTTTTAGTTCATTATTCGTGTCGTATAAATATACTTTTATATAGGGTGACCGCGAATTATAGCGACAACTTTTATGAAAAAGAAAAGTTTATGAAATAATGTTAAACGCTATTTTTGCATTAAAGAAAGATTAAAGAGCTTTTTTAGAGAAAAGCAGCGCTATTTTTGAATAGCGAAAAGCAGCCAAATCACAGATTCACCGGAGAGCCGCCTAGAGTTCATTCGAGCGCTTGTTAAATGAGTTTTATAAGTCAAATTGGGAAGTTTTTAATAGAGAAATGTAGCCAAGATTAAGAGCTACAATTCTCTAAATAACACTTGAGACTTCTAAAATAAATTAGACATTTGCCAGATAGTTTTCTAATTGTTGCTTGATTCTATGTTAAAGCTTTTCTTTGTTTTAAAATCAAAAACATAAAAATCTAGATGATCAACGACCCAAATTGTAACACGACTCAATATCAACATTGGGATGAATGGCAAACAAATCAACCCTTCTCAAGATACGCTTGCAAAATGGCAGCTCATTAAAGAAATATTGTTCTTAGACTATTTTCAAATAAAAGTTAGTCTAAGTGAATATTGTATTTGAGAATTGAATAATAATGCTGAATACTAAAAGATAAGCACAGTCAGTTAGAGATCTTTAGGGACTTGCTAATCAAAAACTGAATATTTGATTGTTTAAAGTTGAACAATTCACACTCACAAATCACAATAGCTCGCCGGTAATTTAAAATAAACCTACTGTACAGGATGTGCCAGAATTATAGCTACACCTTTTCACCAGATTGTTGCCGAAATCAATTCAAAAACCCCCAAGTGTTATATAGAGAATTAAAGCCCAAATTCTTGCCTACATTTCTGTACCCAAAAATCTTTGATTCGAGTTTTGTAGCCGATTTTTCAGCCTCTCAAATAAGCCCAATCCGACCAGCTTCCTGCACGCTTCTATTTTTAGCTGTTTTCTAACTAAAAAACTTTTCTATGAAGAATTTTTCAGTTGTTTAATACATGAAAAGATAGCATTTTGAATGGTATTGAAAACGATGATATCACCAAAGTGTTTTGACAATGTTAACCTAACCAGAACTTGAGTTAAAGATAGCCCTCTTTGGATGTTCGATGATTTTAGCGAATCAGGGTTTTGGGGGTGTTCAATTCTCAGTTTTTATGTTCGTACGTGCCCAAAGGCTGTAAATTTGTTGAAAATGATTCCTAAATAAAGAAAAATATGCTTTTCTTAAAGAAAAATTCTTCTTACTTAGAAGTTTTTGAGTTAGAAAACAGCTAAAAATGGAAGTGTGTCGGAGACTGGTTGGGCTCATTTGAGAGTCGGAAAAATCGGCTGCAAAACTCGAATCAAAGATTTTTGGGTACAGAAATGTAGGCAAGAATTCGGCCTTCAATTCCCCATATAACACTTGGGGTTTTTGAATTGATTTCGGCATTTGGCAAACAATTTGCTGAAATGGTGTAGCTGTAATTCTGGCGCAGCTTGACTGACTTTCGACACGACTTTCGACTAATGAGCTTTCAAAAACGGGGAAACTTTTGAAAGTTAACGTAATCTTAGCCAATTTTTATACAATCTATAGAAATTTGTTTTGATTCTTTTGGTTCAAAAGGATATTGAATAGGATAAATATTGGGTTGGTGAATTGAAAACTGCGGGCTATTGTCGTATGTGACAGTTTGAGCACTTTCTTCAAAAGAAGCCCATTTTGGTGTCAATGAAAAAGTTGTAGAGAATCAAAAATCAAGCTTATATCCAAATTTTCAAAAAGATTCAAGAACTGGTTTTCAAGAAATGCCAAATTTACGAATTTTCACAAAACTTGCATTTTAAGCGAAACTACTAAGTGTATCTTTTTGGAAATTTGGCTATAAGCCTAATTTTTGATTCTCTACAACTTTTCTATTGACACCAAAATGGGTTTCTTTTGAAGAAAGTGCTCAAACTGGGACATCTCCCGTCCTCCGTTTTTGAGTCTCACACTTGTCTCACACATAAACCAAAATCCTACTACGAAAGAGGAATCCGCAAATTGCCTGTGAAATGGGCAGAAGTCGTCAATAATAAGGGAAATTATTTGGAATGAATTTATGGTTTTATGTCGAATAAATTTTAGTTCAAAGTCCCGCAGTTTTCAATTCACTAACCCAATATTCAAACTGAGTTTTGTCAAAATATTCCAAGCCCTAAAGTCTGTAAGCCACCAGAAGCCAGGCTCAGCTCAAGTTAGACCCTAATTATAAAAGCTGTAAGCCAGATAAACAAGTTCTACGGGTCCAATCATGTCCTAGGACTGTAAGCTGGATCAGACAAAAGTAGATCAAAAGCTGGGTCCAAGTCTTCTTACTATTAGGTCTGTAGTAAAGCCAAGCTAGTTCTATTAGCCAAGCTAGTTCAAAGTCCCGCAGTTTTCAATTCACCAACCCAATAGTTTGATTGAATAAAGACTATGGCTAGTTTTGATAGTTGACACGTTTTAGAAAACATATGACTTGAGAGCCGAATCTAATTCCAATTTTTCAAGCAAGTATCACCTTTCTCATCTGTGGAGAGTTGATAATCTCTGTGAAAACGGCTGCACCCTCGGGATTTGCTGGATTGTTCAATGACATTGGTGTTGAGGCGACTTTTGGCTAAAGTTTTGATGGCTAAAGTGATAAAATCTTTTATTTATGATAACAGACATGATTTCGGTTTGAACTAAATCAAGATCATATGAAATTAGTATTTGTTTACATAAAATTTCCCAACCCCAATCTCCTCATCGTCAGAGTCGCGCTTCTGAAATTTGAATTTAAAGTTTGTTTAGTAAAGAAATTTTTGTTTTACCTCTCTCTTCTCTTCAGCCACTTGATTCTCGGGAGTGGTGGAGATTGGCTGAAAGTTTTATGAGTCCAGAGCTAATCGTAGACAATAAAACATTCAAAAGCTTACATCACCATACGTCTCTTCAGGCACAGATTCGTTGGCCTCGCGTTTATTCACCTAAATTTATCGATCTTTTCGATTTTCATATCGATTATCAAGTTTAGAAGGCTACGGTAGCTATAAAAAGTCTAATAGATCGACTACGAGACGATTCCAGTTAACGTTCGAATAAATTCTACACAAAATCCCACAAACCTCTTTCTTTTGATTTTCCGGATTAGCGGCGTGTCCTTGGCGAGCGTGAGTTTGCGATTTCGGCAAGTCAACTTCTTGTCTTTGCTCTCCTGCAGCGGCCAAACCTTGTCTCGCATGGGTTTGAGACTTGGGCATCTAAAATGTATCTTGCAGCTAGGGAACTTGGTTCTAAAACTAGTCATGCACCAATCCAAGATTTAAAACAGTACTTTAAGGAATGTAGTGTTCTAGCAAGATAGTTAGATCTACAAGATATCTACTAAATCTATAATATCTACAAGATCTTTCCTAAATCTATCAAAACCTCAACGCTTTTGTCTCCTTTCTAAAACAAAGCAAGTTTCTCTTTTCTTAAGCACTCATTCACTTCTCGTTTTGGCGTGGCTCGAGTGGTCACTGGCGGAATATGCGTGTGAGCGATTGGTGGGATCAAATCGTGTTCGTGGAAATGTGAAAGGCTCTTGAATCGGGTTGAAATCTTGTGTTCATATTTTAAAGTCAATGGTTTTAGATCCGGTCCACGGTGCACGGTAGTGTTATAAAATTAGATCTGCATCGATTTTCCGAGCCTTTTTATTTTAAGGACAAATCAAATCTGTACCAGAACCAGGTTTAGATCAATTTTTGTACATCTTGATGGAATTTCAGGTGATGGACTAGGTTAGCTCCCAGAACCGGGCCAGTTCCAGACCAATAACTTAGTCTAGCCAGATCAACTCATCCAACTAGCCAGGTCAACTCATCCGACTAGCCAGGTCAACTCATCCAACTAGCCAGCTCAACTCATCCAACTAACCAGATCAACTCATCCAACTAGCCAGGTCAACTCATCCAACTAACCAGGTCAACTCATCCAACTAGCCAGGTCAACTCATCCAACTAGTGAGGTCAACTCATCCAACTCATCCAATCTGGCAAATCTCTACCGGTCTGGGTAGAGATTTGCTCTTGAGTTAATCTGATAGATTTCTGATCAATATAAGAATACAAAGCTTATACTGAATATTTAAATCCAAATACGGTAGCTGATTGCCGTATTTATTTGAATTAAAGAGCCTACTCTATTAGCAGAGCTCTCTCCAATCTTCTTTAGACGAAATTTTTCATTTTTACGGATTTTTCAACTTTCGGATAGCAAAATGCTCAACTTTTTAGACTGTCAGAGGCTTTAAATAATAGTTATAGCCTAAAAAAAGCTTAATGACGTCGAAAATCGGATAAAAATCTAATAAAAACACCGAAGCACTTAAAAATTTGGGTATACTGTAGCTAGGACCGGAGAAAAAGGATTTTAGTGACATGAATGAGTTAAATAAAAGAGCCGGTTTCTTTATTAGAATGCTTAAAATAGTAAGCACTGACAGGTTGATCTTGAAATATAACTTTTCAGCATCATCACTCACCTCATCGTGTCCTTCGTGGTGATCGCGTTTCTGAAATTTTCAACATTTCTTTACTATTAGCTTTTTTCTTAGCTTTTCTACTTTTGAATAAACTTTAAAATCAAGAGTTCTATCAGAAAATCACTTTTCGAATCAAATCTTCAATGTTGATTGTTGGTCCTTGTTGAAGAATGGTTTCAGCTGTTGGCAAACCTTGAAGAAGATCGCTTGCCTAAAGTTTTGTAGTTCTAGTAGTTTCTAGTTGTTGTAGTTTGTAGTTTAAGAATTGTTTACTTTTTGAAAGCTTAAAGTGTTCGCTAGTTGTTTTTAAATAGTTAAAAATCAAATTTCACCTCAAAATTCTTGTTGTACTTTGGCAGGAGGAGGCCCTTTCTTGGCTCAACGTGGTGCTCCTGGAAAGAAATATGATCGAATCTCGTTTGTAAACTGTGAAAAGGATTCTAAAAAACCGTTCACTATTGAGATTTGATTAGTACTAAAGCAAATTAAAGAAAATTAAACAAATCTTATAAAAAAATCCGTTTACTATCGAGGTGTTCATTAGTTTCGACTGGATTTTAATTAGGAAATGGATTTTGTTTTGTAAACTTGTGGTACTTTTTTGGCAACTTGAAGTTGAAGCATTTTTTCTTTACTTGCTTAGAAAATTGAATTTCAAACATTATGCCTTTAAAGATGAACTTAATTTATCTTAATTTATCTTAATTTATCTTAATTTATCTTAATTCATCTTAATTTATCTTAATTTATCTTAATTTATCTTAATTTATCTTAATTTATCTCAATTTATCTTAATTCATCTTAGTTCATCTGAATTTGTCTCAATTTATCTTAATTTATCTCAATTTATCTTAATTTATCTTAATTTATCTTAATTTATCTTAATTTATCTTAATTTATCTCAATTTATCTTATTTTATCTTAATTTATCTCAATTTATCTCAATTTATTTTAATTTATCTTAATTTATCTCAATTTATCTTAATTTATCTTAATTTATCTTACCGTAAATACTGTAAGAGTACCCCACCCCCCTAATGACGGTGCGGAGCGTTGCGTAGTCTAGCTTTGAACGCGTTTTTCTCGACACTGGTTTATGCTACAATGCGCGCTTAGGTATCAAAAAATAGCCCTGAATTTCAGCTATTTTTAGATACCAAAGACAAATTTTTTGAAAGTACGGACGCTTTGAAAAAAATGAAATGCGAAAAAACTTTTGCGACTACCCGACTGTACGAGGGGGGTGGGGTACTATTACAGTATTTACGGTAATTTATCTTAATTTTCATTTATCTCAATTTATCTCAATTTATCTCAATTTTCCCCAACAAACCCTCTTAAATCTTGATGAAGTCTCCATAACGGGCTTTTTCGTCAATTCTAGCTTCTCTCCACCGTTTACCTAAACTTTTTTCTCTTAACTTTTGTTGATTTGTTTGATTTTCTAACAATCAACAAGCAAAGCGGCAACCTTGTTACAGATTTGATTCCTTTTTTTGTAAATTCAACTTACTAAACAGCTTTAAAACAACGAAAAGCATTTTGACGATTTTTCTGTTTAGAAAACTCTTCTCATTTCAATTTTCAAAACAACGTGAAGCAGTTTATAATTGAAAGCTGCTAGCAAATATTTGAATCATTTAAACTTTAGTTTATGCAGATATCACTTGTATTTGCTCAAAGATCTGTTTCCTAGTTTAATTCCCTTTCGTTTTCTTTTCCTCACTTCAGTTGCTTTTTTCAATTTATCATCACAGCATTCTTCACTCGATTCACTCGATTTCTTCGCTTTCTCATTCAATTCAACGCCTTTTTTGAGTTGACGATGAGAACGCTAAACGAGAAAACAATCTGATTTGTCAAAAAAGAATTTGCTGAAGCGTTTTGATCTCTTAATCTTTTGATAATTGGATTTTTTTTGTTTATCTATTTATCTCTTGATCATTATCATTTCTTGATCATTAGATTTTTTAATGTTTATTAAATTTTGTTACGGTTTCTATTTTGATCTAATACGGTTCCAATACGGCTCCAATACGGTTCTTGTTTTGATCTAATACGGTTCCAACACGGTTCTTGTTTCGATCTAATACGGTTCCAATACGGTTCCTATTTTCATCTAAAAGGTTCCAATACGGTTCCAATGCGGTTCCAATACGGTTCGAATACGGTTCCTGTTTTGATCTAATACGATTCCAATACGGCTCCAATACGGTTCCTATTTCGGTATAATGCGGTTCCAATACGGTTCCTGTTTTGATCTAATACGGTTCCAATACGGTTCCTATTTTGGTATAATACGGTTCCAATGCGGTTCCAATACGGTTCCAATGCGGTTCCAATGCGGCTCCAATACGTACGCTGCTTTTTTTTTTCTTTTGTTTGGTTGTTTTTCTTTCTGCTTTTGTTCACTTTTATCTTCTGCTGAACTTTTAATGATTTCCCTGGCTCACTTTACTAATTGTAAGCAATTTTCAGCAATATTCGTAAGATTACGGCAGTCCGAATTAGCCACTTTTAAGAAACACAACTTTGACATAAAAATAACTACTGGAATTTACTCTAGTTAGTTACTGGAAATCAATTCTTCATTTTTAGATTTGTTGCGAGAAAAACGAAACATTTAGAGCACCGGAAAGAATGCGTTTCCATTTTTGAGCCTAAAGTTCAACTCCAACAAACCAATCACAACACAGATCACCCGAGAAATCACTCTTCCCACTCTTCCCCAATTTCTCTCAATTTTTCTAAACAAATTTGTGTCAAACACCATTTTTATTCTCGAGGCCACACCGTCAAAAAACCCAAGATCAAATCGTAAATTGGAAATTGATCAAATTAGATTTCTCTCTTCAAAATGTTTCAATGATGGAAATTTCTTATTTCCCAGTTTTTCTTCAGAAAAATGTATGTTTTTGTAGCATTTAGTTGTAATTTGATAAGCGTTTAGCGAAGTGATCGTAAAAGTACAGTGAAAGGTCACAATTTAAAGGTACAATCAATGGCTTATAATGGGTTGCATTAAATAAAAAGATGTTCAGTATTGAAGTGACGATTTATGTTTCTAGAGCTCTTCTTGAATTGTCAAATTGTTTTTGTCGGAAAAAGACAATTCAAGAAGAGACAATTTGACAATTCAAGAAGACCTCTAGAAACATAAATCGTCACTTCAAGACTGAACATCTTTTTATTTAATGCAACCCATTATAAGCCATTGATTGTACCTTTAAACCGTGATCTTTCACTGTACTTTCACGATCACTTTTGCTAAGCGCTTATCAAAGTACAACTGAATGACAATTTATGTTTCTAGAGCTCTTCTTGAATTGTTTTTGTCAGAAAAAGTTTGATTGTTGATCGAATTTCCATAAAAAGTCTTACTTGTTTTGAAGTAAAAAGTGCTTTTGGCTGACTATCATTCAAGACTTAAGTTTGGGGGTGAGACAAATGCGACTTTTTTTGCACATGTGCCAAAAGCGCACCTTTTTTTCGCTGGAAAAGGCCGTAGAGCTTCAAAAATGTTCCCATTTAAGGGAATCGTATGCGTAGATTGCGAATTTCGACAAATCAGACCTCGCTGGCATGTCAAATTTGGGCTAAAAGGCAAAAACTACACAACTTAACGCTCTTCCGCAGTTCAAACGATGAGTAGGACTCTGCCATTTTGACTAGCTGTGTTTGGGACTAGGTTGTTCATAAATTCTACGAAAGACTTTGTGGAATCTCTTAAAAGTCATTTTCTAGAGAAATAGTGGACGCTTTTGATAAAATTTCGATGAAAATGTGTATTTAAAGAAGGCTTTAGTCTCTTTAAAGCTCTCCCATTTCATTCTCCTCAACTCCAACTAAACTCTCGGGTTTTATCAAATTTAAAAGAGTTTACGCTAGAATGCTACTCCTTGAATGTACAATAAAGACAAACAGCTTTGTTTAACTACTTACAGTAAACTTTTGTTTCTTTTCTTTGTTCTTTTTCTTTTTTCATGCATTTATTGCTCTTTATTGAATTGGCTAACTTATATTTTACGGTCCAGTGATTAGTGTTGACTAGAATGAATTCAGCTAGCTTTTAAATCAGATTTGTCACAAATTTGACTAATGAGAAGACTAATATGACTAATTTGACTAATTTTAAATTATATCATATCATTTTTTACTATTTTAAAAGTCTAAAGTTTAAATTTGAGTAATTTTTTCTTGCTATCATGCTTTTCAAAAAAACATCTTTATCCGAAAAATAAAATGCATTCATTTGTAAGTGAAAAATGATGAAGAAATGCCCATTAGTCTCAAGAAATTCTCAATCTCAAGCTCATGAAGCTCAAGCTCATGAAGCTCAAGTCTCATAAAGCTCAAGTTCATGAAGCTCAAGCTCATAAAGCTCAAGCTCATAAAGCTCAAGCTCATAAAGCTCAAGCTCACGAAGCTCAAGCTCATAAAGCTCAAGTCTCATGAAGCTCAAGCTCATAAAGCTCAAGCTCATGAAGTTCAAGTCTCATAAAGCTCAAGTTCATAAAGCTCAAGCTCACGAAGCTCAAGCTCATAAAGCCCAAGCTCATAAAGCTCAAGTCTCAAGAAAAATGATGAAGAAATAAAATGCATTCATTTGTAAGTGAAAAATGATGAAGAAATACCCATTGTTTATACAGAAAAATAAATTTTGAACGAATTTAAACGAAAACATTTCATTATGAAATCACGAAAATCATCGAAAAACATGCGACAAGGAAAACAAAAAGCGGATGAGTGAATGGGGAGATTGTTGCTTTTGGAGCATCCTTTTGACGTGAGTGAGAGGTTTTCTAAGCTCATAATATTTTTTTTGGATTCATATGAAGACAAATAATAGCATTAGTTCACATGTTGATAACGTTATCAAAATTCATTTCAACTTTCAACTTCGTTTTTTGGTTGTTAAACAATTTCTAATAGAGCTGGAGCCTTTTTTGTGGCTTAAGCAGGGCTTTGACCTTGTTTCTCGTGATTAAAACGATTTTAAAAACAGTAAAGTTACCGTAATCTCAAGAGTTGTTAGTAAAATAGCTAAATTCACTATATTAGTTGATTAAAATAGTTAAATTATTTAAATCAAGCTACCGTCGACTGAAACTGTTGATTTATGATTTATGATTGTTTATACTAAAGTTCACATGGAGAACTTTCTCGGGACATGAAGTAAATAAAGAATACAAGAAATTTTAAACATTTTTGTGATTGAGAGCTTGAGCTTGAGCTTCATGAGCTTGAGCTTGAGCTTGAGCTTCATGAGCTTGAGCTTGAGCTTGAGCTTCATGAGCTTGAGCTTCGTGAACTTGAGCTTCGTGAACCTGAGCTTAAGATTAGTAAGCTTGAGCTTAAGCTTCGTGAGTCTGAGTTTAAGACTCGTAAGCTTGAGCTTCGTGAACTTGAACTTAAGCTTCGTGAGCTTGAACTTGAGCTTCATGAGCTTGAGTTTGAGACTCGTAAGCTTGAGATTCGTAAGCTTGAGCTTCGTGAGCTTGAGCTTGAGCTTCATGAGCTTGAGATTCGTAAGCTTGAGCTTCGTGAACTTGAACTTAAGCTTCGTGAGCTTGAACTTGAGCTTCATGAGCTTGAGATTCGTAAGCTTGAGCTTAAGATTCGTGAGCCTTAGTTTGAGACTCGTAAGCTTGAGCTTCGTGAACTTGAGCTTCATGAGCTTGAGCTTGAGATTCGTGAGCTTGAGCTTAAGATTCGTGAGTCTTTCTCCCAGTTTTTCTCACCTTTTTTGGCTTAACCAGGTATATTTTATCTAAAAAAGTATCATTTTGATTCCTCTAAATAGAAAAACATCAACTATCGTATCTTTGACTCGTTTTTTTTGCTTCAAAGCCTATTTATTAGCTGACTTGGTCTTGAAATCTTGATCGAACACTGTAAAGCTCTTTTGCACTATGCTAGAAGACAAATATTGCCATCTTTCAATTCACCAAGTAGGGTTTTCACTAAGTTTTTACTCAAAAATGGAAACGCACGCACTGAACTCATCATTTTCTCACAATTACGAGCTGATTTTAAGAAGAAAAATGAAGATAACTTAGCTGAAAGCGCTAGAAGTCTATTTTGAAATGTCTAAGTTGAACTAATGTTGCCAATTGAACCAAAAAAGGCTTCGTTATTCATTCAGAACTCAAAAATCTCGATCAAATACGAATCCTTTTTCTTTTTTCAAATCATAGACTAGTTGATTTCTTTTCCCTTTTCCCCATTTTTGTTTTTCTGCACTTTTCCTCTTTTCGTGAATTCTAGAAAGAGAAAAAAAAGGCCCGGAATGGCCAAAACAAGAAAAAAAATGAAGTGGTTGAGCTTCTCTTCAGAAAATAATATTGTTATTCTTTGAGATATTTTTTTTTTCTTTGAACAATTTTTAATCCCAGCTTCAGAGTAAGTATTTTAATTCTATGAGATTCAAATTTCAATCATTTTTATCATTTTTATCAAAAATTACCTCAATTTTCTTCTTTTTTATCAAGTGAAAATCCGATTTTTGAACTCTTAAGCCGATAATTTTTCGAATTTCTACAATTTTTGATGCCATTTTTTAAACAAAAACTTTAATTTCTCAAGTTTTGTTTAAATAAATTTGTACATTTTCTAATCCCAATGGGATTTGCTACGTTTTCGATTGCGATTTACTGACTGACTTACTGATTTTCAATGAATGAGAAGAGTTTAAAAGCGCTGAGTTTCAAATTTCAATCATTTACTTGATTTCTTTTTGAATTACAGTTTTGCAGTCCTAGTTTTATCAAATTGTAATTTCCGTTTCCTGTTTCGTAATCTTCTGATTCTACTCACCTTCGGAATCTCAACCTCAGTCCCGTTCTTCTTCTCCTCATCTTCCTCCGAACTGCTTTCTGATTCTTTCTTCTTTTCTTTCTCTTTTCCTTCGCGTTCTCGTTCACGAGCTGAAAAATGAACTTTATTAGATAATAACTTTTAATAAATGATCTAATCTAGACTACAAAATAGGCTTTATTTTGAGGATGAGGCTTAGGTTGGTTTTCAAATGATACTCTTGAAAAGTGGCTTTAAAATTCGGGATCGTTCTTTATCTCGGGATAGTCGGGATCGTTCTTTATCTCGGGATAGTCGGGATTGTTCTTTATCTCGAGATAGTCGGGATCGTTCCTTATCTCTTTATCTCTTTATCTCTTTATCTCTTTATCTCTTTATCTCTTTATCTCTTTATCTCTTTATCTCTTTATCTCTTTATCGTTCTTTCTCCTGAGCTTTTGAAACTAATAGACAATTTTTTTTACTTCTAATCATCTAAGTTTGAGGGTTTTTCTTATACTAGTAATACAAAAATAACCGGTGTGATAAACCCGTGATAAATCACAGAGCTCAATTGTGATAAATCAAAAATTTAAAGAAGGTATACAAAAAAAAAGGTAATAAGATTTCAAATTTGTGGAAAATTAGTTATCATTTGGCTGTAAACACTTAATGAAATCATAAAAATTAGAGAGAATTTTAAAAGAACAGAACTTTCACTCTGTAGAATCTAAATCATTGACTTTAACCAAAAAGCTGCTTGAGATGAGCATTGAGATTTTGAATCCAGTCTTACTAAAGTAATTCCTGGGTTCGAGTAATTCCTGGGTTCAAGCCACCTTTGTATTTATGTATACGAGTCTACGAGCGATAGCAACACAATATGCCGTCAGAGTTGTACCAAAAGTTGTACCAAAAGTCTAGAAAACGGTGCTAAACGTTACAGAGTTTTAAAGATAAGTTTAGATATCCGATAAGATCTTTAAAGATCACTTTAACACTTTCATTTTGACAACTCTAGACTTGCTTTTTGATCTGATTAATCTTCTGTTTGATCTCATTTTTTAGTTTTATTCAATAAGCTATTTAGAGAACACTTTTGAGATTCTTTTCGCTGTACTCTATACTCGAAAATTCGTTCAAAACGCACCCTTTCTAGTGCACTCAATTCTCAAGTTTGATCAATTGCGTGCGCTAAAACAGCTACGTTTACGGTGAGCACAAAGTCCAAAGCTCTACTGTACATAAGACTCTACCGAAAGGCAAAAGTTTTAACGTATTTTTAGCTCACTGTTGTTCTAAATTGGTCCTAAACTTGTTCTCTATTTGTTCTAAACTAAACTTGTTCTAAACTTGTCCTAAACTTGCTAAACTTGTCCTAAACTTGTTCTAAACTTGTCTAAACTTGTTCTAAACTTGTTCTAAACTAAGCTTGTCCTAAACTTGTTCTAAACTTGTCCTAAACTTGTCCTAAACTAAGCTTGTTCAAAACTTGTCCTAAACTTGTTCTAAACTTGTCCTAAACTTGTCCTAAACTTGTCCTAAACTTGTCCTAAACTTGTCCTAAACTAAGCTTGTCCTAAACTTGTTCTAAACTTGTCCTAAGCTAAACTTGTTTTAAACCCAAATTTTTCTATTTTTAAGTCATCTATTTCAAAACTCAATCAAGAAATGACCAAAGAACGTTTTTTTTGAGGAATATTTGCCCAAGATCCAATCAAAAAAATGATTTGCTCTTTCCCTTTCTTTTTCCAAATTTGAAATCCGAACCTCCATCCTTATTATCATCCTTTTTTCCTTGTTCACCATCGCCAATCATTGAGCCTAAATAAAAAAGAATAGAATAAAAAAAGGATAGAATATAAAAAGAGAGATTATTGAATAAATATTTCATAAACTGAATCGAAAGTTTTTCTTAATAATTCGTAATTCTTATTTTTAGCTTTGTAGACAGTTTTATTTAACGGGTTTCATTGTTTTTAAGGATTTTATTAGATTAAAGACTGGATTAAAGCAGTTCCAATACGGTTCCAATACAGTTAAAACTGGATTAAAGCAGTAATCTCCTTACCAATGAGTTTTATTTAACACTAAACTCTTTTAGATTAATGTTTATTTTAGCATTTATATTAGCGTTTATATTAGAAAAGATGCGTTCAGATTAGCACAAAGAGCACTGGAGAAAATTAGTAAATACTAGGCAAGTTCCCGCTTGATAATGGTTTCTTTTCAATTTTGAAGAATTTCCAACCAAATTTCTTTGTCATCATGCAATATGAATTCGATTTTGACATTCAAATAGATTCCTCTTCTAATCTTCTAACTTTTATAAGTCTTAGTAATGGAATATTTCTGTTTTCTTTCTGTCATTCTGTTTAGATCAACTTTCCCCATCATTATCTTACTCAAATTCTCTTTCCAATCTCCTACCTCCAGTTGTTTCCTCGTCATCATCATCTTGATTTCTGTTCTTTTTCTTTTTTCGATCTCTTGATGCTGCATCTACTTCCACCAAAAGAGCCAGCGTCAGACAGAAAACGAAGAGCAATTTCCAATTCATCTAAAAATAGGGAAAAGTCGAGGGAAATGGATGGAAAAATAGCATGAGATGAGTGAAAAAGTGGAAAGGGAAATCAAAGATTATTCGGAAATGCTTTAGAACTTCTTCGCTTATTTGAATTTTAATATAAACATCTAGTCAATTTACTAATTGACTTGTTAACCTTGTTAAACTTGTTAAGCCTAACGCCTAAAAGCTAAAGCTGACTAATTTATTGGCTGACTGAGCTAAAGCTGATTAATTTATTGGCTGACTGAACTAAAGCTGATTAATTTATTGGCTGACTGAGCTAAAGTTGATTAATTTATTGACTGACTGAGCTAAAGCTGACTAAAATGCTCGCCTAACGCCTAAAAGCTAAAGCTGACTAATTTATTCGTCAGCTTTAGCTTTTAGATTGGATATAGGTATTTAAATTCATTAAGGACTTAAATTTACTAATCAAGCAAAGTTCACTTGATAGTTTTACCTTGACCTATCGTCTTTTTTGTTGGAAAACAAGAATTCCTTTTTTCAAGGCTGAAATCGATACAAATAATGAGATTTAAAAAGAGGAAACGGTGGAAAAAAAGAAATGAAAGATGTTTTAAAAACTTTAGCCTATAGTTAGAAAGATTTTAGATTCGACAATTTAACAGCTAGTTTTAGCTTTTAATTTTCAGCTTATCAGACGTTTAACTTCAAAATTACCATTCAACTTACGAAGCTTACCAATAAATCCCTATTCTTATCAAATTTTCTTGAAAATTCTCATTAAAATGTTTCAATCTTAAACTTTAAATCAAATAATTTATAAAAAAATAAGTTATACTTTGTTTTCTAACAATCAATTTTATTAGAAAAAGTCATTATTTTTTAGAGAATTGGCTATAAAATGATCAACAAAATCCACAAAATCCTATTTAATCTTTTTATCTTTCTTTTAAATCTATCAGCTTTGAATTTTAGAAAACTTTTGTAAATAAATGAAAAGAAAAATTGCAAACTTTTGCGGTCATTTTGCAGGTTTAACTTTTGAACATTGCTTTCTTTGATTGCTCTATTGCTCTCAAGTGAATGGGTTGGGTCGTTTGAGAGAAATGTTTACTTTTGTCACTAATCTTTCAACAAAAAGAATTGCAAAAAGATCAATTTTCTATTGAAATATCGTATTTTCTCTAATAGTAGTGCACCCTGAGCATCGCCTAAATTGCTCGAAATCTCGAGAACCGCTTATCAGAACCTATTAGTGTGGGGTCGGAAAATGTAGCTGACGATGAGATCTAGTGGGGGATTAGAGTGTTGAGCTTCTGCGAAAACTTAGAAACCGTAAAATAGTCATCAACTCGGCTCACCGAGTGCACTACTATTAGAGAGAAGACGGTATCTGTAAACGAATTAGATCTTATTGCCATTTCAAATCTGTCCTATATTTAAATCTTTTTATATCTCTGTTTCCTAATTGTAGTTTTACTGTACTATTTTTAGTTTTCTTTCTTTTTTTTGTGAAAGTATTGTAGCAATATGTTATATGCGTCTATTATCTGATTCGCTTCTATTCTCCCTCTGAATAAAGCATATATACCATATTTTCTCTAATAGTAGTGGACCTAACCGAGCCGAGTTGATGCCTATTTTACAGTTTCCCAGCTTTCCCAGAAGCTCAACACTCTAATCCCTCACTAGATCTCATCGTCAGCTACATTTTCCGACCCCACATCGATAGGTTCTGATAAGCGGTTTTCGAGATTTCGAGGAATTTAGGCAATGTTTTCCTACAGACGAGAAGATACCAGACGGGAGCTGATTCCAAACTCTACTAATACTCGCAAAAGAATGATAAAGGGAAAGATGATGGGGATGGGAACCGATCAAAATTTGATAAGGATGACGGTAGTTGTTGGTGATACATCCACAGAGACTCAAATCGGTTAAGCAAGAAGCTGACAACTCGGGAGGGGTGATTATGTTTAGTGAAGTAGGGTGCTCGTCTGAAGTGATCAGTCGATCTGTCGAACGAAAATCGATAACCGAGAAGACTCGGATGGGGATGCTTCACCGAGACGAGTCTTTGTGGATGTATAACCGATAACCGACAAGTACCAGGATGACTACGTGTTCTTCTAGGACTTTCTACAATTTTCAAGAGGCTTTGAAATTCTGGATTCGACTTAGGGTGGAAAAGAATTTTATAGCAAAGGGTAGCCAAATTTGTTTAATAAATTAATTTCTAACTGAACTTTAGCCGCTAATAGACTGAATATATAGTTTTAAGCATTAGATCTTGGAATTGCATTAGATTACGGTGAGCTTATGGCAATTTCCCAGAATGTTTCGTTTTTTAAAACGTTCATAAAGTGAAATAAAAGCTCTTTACAGTAATTTAAGGTTTAAAATGAATACAAAGTTTTAACAAGAAAAAGAAAGATTTGAAAGTTTTCTTTGAAATCTTTGAGAGTTTTCTTAATGAGTCGCAAGCCATGAGCACAATTGTACTGAAATTGCTAGAAAAAGAAACAGTTGTCAGAAAAATAAAGATTGTGAAAACAAATGAACAAACAAAATCTGTTATTCGATAAGAAATTTTTCGAGAATATTTACGTCTTTTTGGGTAAAAGAGTAAAAGTGCTTTAGGGCATTATTTGAGGGTTCTCTTTTTGAGTGAAAGATATCTGAAATCTCGCACTTTTTCCCTCTTCTCACCTCTTTTTCCTTTCTTTTTCCTTTCACTTTGATTGATTCTTCTTTGAATCTTTGATTACCCAAACACTTTTCTTTTCAACAAACAACAGCTGTTCCTTTTTTTGAGAAATTTATGTCTAGATTTGAAAGTTAACAATCGAAGTCAAGGATTTAGAGGGAAAACAAGATCTGGGACATCTATATTTGTTGTTCATTGTTCTAACAAAAGCTAATCGACATAGAACAAAATCTGAATTGATTAGTAAACCGTAATTCATATCTAATCTTGGAAAATGTTAGAGCAACTGACAACTGACCAAGCTGCAGCTAAATTGATTAACTTAAACTAGGCTAGATTGTTGCCAGATTAGACCAGAGCTCGGGCCATGGAAATTTCTCTTTACTTTTTCTCTCTTTACTTCAAGGGAAAAGGTTTCGTTTGAAGTTCCTCAAGTGTGCCATCATTCCCGGAAAATTCCTGGAAAAGATGATGGCCAGAGGGTAGTTCCTGCAGGAAAATTCCATTCGTACAACGTGTTTAGTTGTTGAACATGCTTTTATCCAACTTAAACGACGATTTTCATTGTTGAGCTATTCATCAAAACCCTTTTATTAGGATTTAAGTTTGTTATAATTTATCTTTTCTGCGTGACTGGTTTCTGATCTTATTCTCAACTTGTAAGTTAGAAAGAAAGAAAAGGCACACAAAGAGAAAAATCTTTTTTTGTTTCTGGGGGAGGAGGGGGGCGGGAAATTTTTATATTTCCCGAGTTAGAACTCGGGTAGCTCAGAAACTCGTGCGCCGCCGGGACTCGAACCCGCGACCTTTCGATTATGCAACTGTGCTAACCATTACACAACAACCCACTCGATCTTCTTTACTCCAGAGGGAGTTAACTCCCGCAGCCATTTCCCGTGACATCATGACCAGCGGGAAAGCTTTCCCACAGGAATTTTCCTGCGAGAAAGCTTGCCACGACATCATGGCTTAAGCTCAGGTTAGTTTAGAATTAGCCTGGCTCAAGTCTAGAACCTCACCTGACCTTAGCTGATCAAATAGTTTTGGGACAAACATGTTGACTTAGGTCTTCCATTTGGCGGTCAGGACCCAGGCTTCACTTTTCATGACCAAAGATCTCGATGCCAATTTTGAAATGAAATGAAATGAAATTGGAATTTATAACAGCTAAAGCTAATTGTTTTCTAAAAATTGAGATAAATAAAGATATTGAATAATAAAAGTGGATAGATTGAATAAAAATTAGAGACAAGATTGCAGTAGTCAAGGAAAATTGTCACTTTTTAGCTTTGGTTTTGGAAAACACTCTAGCTTTTGTTCATATAGTGAAAGTGGGGGAATTTTTGAGTTTAATTTAAGGTTTAAAAGATAAAAAGTTCATTGTAAGTAAAGAAATCCTCGTGAAACTAGTAGACTAATGGAGTTTCATGAAAGACTCAAGAAAAAACAGACGAAAACCTTTTCACAGTGGACTTTTCATTGAGTGACCACGCCTAGCCACTAGAAAAGAAAAAGAGGTGACTCATCGCAGTTGACTCAAAAATTGATTTCAAAAGTTTTCTGGTGAGAAAAATCTTTTAAAGAATTAGTAATAGGTTTAAAATTTGGGGAGTGGGACAAATGCGACCTTTTTTTTGCGCACCCGGACATTTGCGCACCTTTTTTTGCGCACCTTGCCCATTAGCGCACCTTTTTTCGCGTTTTAAAAAAGCTTTTTTCCGTTTTTTCGTCAAAAATGTTTTCATATAAGGGAATCGTATGCGTAGATTCCGAATTTCGACAAATCAGACCTCGCTGACACGTCAAATTTGGGCTAAAAGGCAAAAACTGCGGAAAAGCGTTAAGTTGCGTACTCTCAATATCCTTCTAACAAAGCAATCTATTTTAAAAAAATGCCTAAAATAAACGTAATTTTAGTTTCAGGTGTAAAGTTAATAAAAAAAAAACATAAAAATAAGGGAGTGGGACAAATGCGACCTTTTTTTTGCGCACCCGGACATTTGCGCACCTTTTTTTCTGCACCTTGCCCGGAAAAAATTTGGTGAGCGTCCTATACCAAATTTTGATGCTCAAGTGTCTTCTGCACATTTTGACACCAAAAATAGATTAATTGTGTGAATCTTTGAAAAGTTGATGCCTTTTGAACGCAAAAGTAGCGTTGTTCAACTTTCTGCGCGCTAAAGCGTGGGTAAACTACCGTAGCCTTTACAAAAAAAAACGCAAAACTATGAAGCGAATGTGGGGGTGGGGACAAATGTGACCTTTTTTTGCGCACCCGGACATTTTCGCACCTTTCCGCACCTTGCCCATTAGCGCACCT